CCCCTTTACGCCTACAACCTTTCATGCGATCGTTAGATTATGTACTACTTGCGGAAGCCCTTGGCCAAATCAACGCTGCGCACCTCCTCCGGTGATGGTTTACCCAAGCCCTTGACAGGACTGCCTAAGCCCTCGTCGGGCTTGCGCTTCACGGGGCTGTCATTATCCTTATGATTGGGTGTGCTGAATTGCATGAAGTTCCAAACCCCAGGCGAGCTCTGGGGGTTGCCCGCGTGACCGTTGGGTGCGGGCAAATGTACCTTGTTGGAGCCCTTGCCACGTTCGGGGGTGTAAGCCTCTACGGCGCTGATACCGTAGCGCTTTGGCGACTGGAACTCGCTCAATGGGAGATCCGCAGGGGCCTTGGCGGCCGCAGGCTCCGCCTCTTTGATTGGTGACGATAGCGGATTCTTCTCGCTGGTCGCCTTGGTGTCTATGGAGCCGTTCTCACGCGACAGTGGCACGCTCAGCGCCGGTGGCGGCATGCTCCCCTGGGTAATGAAGGAGAGCGCATCGTGTGACAGCGAGGGTTTCGGAAAGTCGGGCGTGATCTGCGTAACCAGCTGAAGCTGTGGCATGTACGCCATCCCGAACCCGGGAAACCCCGGTATAGGGCCCTGAGACGCCATGTGGACTGGGCCTTGGTTAAGACTCTGGTTTTGACCCTGGCTATGGCCCTGAGCCTTTTTCTCGCCTGGGAGGTGGTTGTGGTTCGACAAATGCAACTGCAACTGTCTGCTGACAGAACTTCCCCGTCTGGCCTTTGAGAGACTGCCGTCCTCGAGTTTGTTCAAGAACTCTTCCTTGTAGGAGTCACTGATCTGCCACTTCATGCCTTTACCCGGCTCGTTCGGCTTGCGTGGCACCTTCTCGAACGCCTTGTTAAGCGAGAGGTTGTGTCGGATGGAGTTCTGCCAGCCGGTCTTGGAGTGGCGGTAGAACGCGTAGCGTGATGAGATCCACTCGTATATTTCCGATAATGACAACGCGCCTTCGGGGTTGGACAAGATCGACTGCGTGATCATTGTTGCGTACGAGTATGGCGGCTTCGTGTCCTTGCTCTCGTCGCGCGAAAGGTCCTGGTCGATAGAACTGGTGTTAGCAGCAGCGTTGCCCTTGGCAAACAACTGGAAACCCTTCATCAACAGGGGGTTGTAGTGGTTGCCCTTCATCATCCCACTACGCATGCTGTTGGCCTCCAATAACTGCGGGTTGGAGTTGACAAATGGTCGTGTGGCAACGGTTTTCTTGTGTGGCGGTCCCAAACGCGGCGCGAGCTGCGCAAGTACTGGCGGCGCGATGGTCGGGGTCAGGTCCGGCAAGATGAACATCATCTGAGTGCTGCCGATGTCGACAATCGCGCCGGAATGCAACGCGGTCGGCTCGTTGATGCCCACGCGGTTGCCGTCGACCTTTGCACCGTTGCGGCCGCTCACCACCAACTCCCATACGCGCGTGGAAAGGTTGTAGTTGATAGCGGCGTGCGCGCGTGACACCACCTTTGCGGGTCCCAAGTCGATGTCCACCAGGTCCACATTCGCAGGACCCACCGCACTCTCGGTGTTACGCCCGATTGACACGCTCAATTGCTTGACGTAGTACGTCCAGGAATTGCCAGATATTTTTGCGTATGCTTGAACCTCGCTTGCGGAGTTTTTATCGTTGGCAAAATTGAGTGACACATTGGTCACCTCTTCCGGCGTCGCGAGCACCGATATCACGGCATTGACCAAGTCTATTGGGTCTTCAAAGTACGGAAACTGAGATGTTAGTATGTCGCTATGGAAATAAGTTGGCTTACTCGGCTCTTGCTCTAGCATAACCCAACCCCCCCCGTCTATGCTCAGCTGACTTATAAAAGATACAGATAGCTCGGTATAAGATCAAAACTGGTCCTGGCTAAGGGTATTTCTTCCAGTCTTTGCTAAAGTATTGGTCCCAGTCATCGCTAAGGCATTGATCCAAGTAACACAGACGTTGATCTTAGCCTTAACTCAGGTACATTAGGTCTGTATACATACGTTGCCGTTGCCTTCTTCGTCCACGGGACGCTTCATGGAAATGCTCATTGCAGATATACCAAGCGAATAAATAATCACTGTGTTCTTTGAACTTTTGTGTGCTGCTGTCTGGTTTATTTTTGTTTTGATTTCACTGTTGACATTGCAAACTTTCGTTCTATTTTTCCCCCGTCCCAAATTCCGTGTCCGCTGCTGAGTTCACGTGACCTGGACGCAGACAGGGTAAATTAGAAGCCGCAGGGTGTTGCTTGGATGCGGGACTTAGCATAGTGGGTAGCTAATGGTTAGTTGCTGTCCAGACCTGACTTTTTAAGAGGGTTGCAGTTATAGAAATTGATGTACAATATGAAATATTGGCAGATTTTCGTAGAGCTAGAGAGGTTTCCAGGAAAGGCATAGCAATTCTACCTCTACAAGTTTTGGGCTCGGAAATGACTGTTTCCATTGCGGGGGGGGGGTCAAGTGATCTTTTGGTCAATTTCTAGGCTAGTTTTAAACCTCCCGTATACATGATATAAACGGGGCCGTTATATAGGGCAGAGTTATCAAAGTGCTCGAAACCAGAAGGTGCTCATAACTGCAGTAATGTTTAAATTGGTAACTATAGGCCATACACAATCCACCATCGGAGCTGTGAGCATTTCAGATTATTTGACCTTGGGAAAGCGCAACCTGTCTCAGGCACTAAAGACCTTATACAGCTCAAGCTTTAAACCTCTCGATTATATTGCACGCTGGTATGGTCGCCAGCTATTTATATCTATCCGATACATTTCTATCGCCCTCACACTTGTCACTTTTCAAGGTCTAGCTTACTCGTTCTTCTAATCCCCGAGTTTGGTTCATGAGCTTAAATGTTTTTTTTACCATGCTATTCACGCTTCCATCTCTAGGTCATAAGCCCCGTTTCTTGACAAACTTCATTATACATTTTAAATATTTACGTGGAAATACATTCCCCCTCGCTCAAAGTCCACTCTTCCGCCTTCCTCTCTATAACCTAACGACAACTCTCGGTCTCGCTACACCACTGCCTTCTTCTGTACATGGTCCATGAACGACTGCAAACTCACATCGTCCGTTAAAATCACCGTCCCCTGCGCCACAGCACTATCATTATACGTGGTTGTCGGATTCAACTTGCTCATCAAGAACCGCGCCTGTGACCCACCCTGGTCGCAGTCAATAAACCGCGGGAGAGGGAAGCGTTCCACAAGCAAGTCCGCGGCCTCCTGCTTCGGGATCGCCAAGAAGTCCTTGAAGTATGCGTAGTCCTCCATGTCCTGATAGCCGGCCTTTCGCCAGGCGGCAATGGATTCACCGTGGAAGATCAAAACGTGGAAGAACGTGTCCAACAACAAGATACGGTTGGCGGTAATCGATAAAGAGTCGAGTAACACCGGCTGCGGCTCGGCCCATTCCACCTCGTATGCTGTCAACGTCGGCTGGATCATGATGAGCGAATTGTTGGTGTCCTCCGTGAGGAACACATGCCTGTAGAAAGAGGTTTCATCCGGCGAGTTGTTGAAAACCTGGCAGAACTGCGAGCGGCGCAAGTGGTACATGAATTGCGGGAAGAGCGAGAAGTTGGCCGCGAGACGGAAGGTGGCCACGTTGTTCTTGGAATACTCCGCGAAACGGCTGCACATGTTGATCAAGATGCGGTCCAACCACTTGATGACATCGCCCGCGTCTTGCCCCTTGTGCAACTTGCTAACGGCCTGGCGTGCAATTAACACAGCAGCCGCCTCCTGGTCAAAGCTGGAAACCAATGCAGGACTCGTGGCAGGCACGATCGGCCTGGCAATGGTGGTGACACGCAAACGGTTCTCCCCCACGGGGTTCTCGTAGTGCATAATGTACTGGATGAAAGCGTTGGTGACCTGGCCGGGATTGAGCTGAGTGTCGTTGCCATTCACCTCGAAGTAGATGCCGTAGGTCGATTGAGGCGCCACATTGCACAACTTCCAGGCAGCGGTGCCGCCGGTGCCTACCACCATCTCAGACACACTGGCATTTTTGTTCTTTAACGACTCGGCGTGCCCGATCAACCCGTTCAACTTCAACTCCTTGCTCACCTTCACCTCCAAGGACGCGTTGAGGCCAAACTCCAACACACCATCCTCGCTCTTGCTGAACATCCGCACGAGCGACTGCTTAAAGATTGCGGTAGCGAACGCATCCGAGAGAATTACCACCCCGCCGGTCTTGTCCGGCAAGCTGCTCATCTCGTACAAGCCGACTTGGTCATAGCAGCCGACAAACACGTCAACTGCGTGGCCCACGTCCGCAAACCGCTGTGCCAATGCATCGTAAAAGTGGCGCGCCTTGGCAAAGTACTTGGGGCTCTCAGCGATAATCTCGTGGTGCGAACGCATCGCCTCCTTGAGCTCGGCCGAAACGATCGTGCCCGGACCGGTCGTACACGGACCACCAGCGAAAAGCATCACGTGTGCGCCTGTCTTTGCGGCACAGTTGGCCACGAGTAACTGGGCCACGTTGAGCGCTGCACCTGTACAACGCGCGGGCCTCTGGCGCTTGACATTGTAGGGAAACGCGTCGCCAATGAGCTCCTCCATGATGGTGGTGAGCTGGTATTCTGCCATTGCCACCGGCTGGAAGAAGCGCGCGTTGATGGCAGCCGTATACTGTTGTTCCTGTTGGCGTAAATCCGCCGAGAGAAGCCCGAGCGTCTTGGTGACCTGCTCTGCGGTGTACTCCTTGGTACCGTTGAACGCGAAGGTGCGGATGGCGTCGGGAGCGCCGAGCTCGTAGACAGAGACATTGCGGCCGTAGGAAATGAAGCCCACGAGTGCGTCCAGCGGAAGCAAGTTCATGCTGAGAATCAAAGATTCCCTTAACGCGGCAAGGTTTTCCTCGTCATTGACAGAGTCCACCACGTAGACAAAAATGGGCGGTGTTTTGATGCGGCGCGTGTCGCGGTTCGGCAAAACGTACTCAATGGTAGATGCGGCGGTACCTGAAGGAATGCTCTGGGTTTGCTGAAAGTGCGGCGGCGCACGGTTGCGCGCGTGGCAGAACGCACAGCTCCACGTGGCCAAGGCGGGGTCATAGGGGCAGAACGGGTTGATAATCGCCTTGCACTGGGAGCACGGAAGCACTTCTTCCTGCACGATGGCGAGATCTTCACGGTACTTGAGCGGCGTGTAGAGCGAAGCGAGCGGGATCACGCAACGCGTAGCGTCGAACTGCTTCTGCGGAATGGCGTTCCACGTGAGTCTCACGCCATCGGTATCCTCGGCGGTTTCAAAGTCCTGTTGGTTAGCATGCAAGCCGAAGGAATACCTGAAAAAGGTCACATACCATTTTGTAGTTAATGACGTGGTTGGCTTGTCTCCCACCCGGATTGATCTTGTTTTTGTTACGTGTTGCATCTGATTTTCGTGGACATGACTTTCCAGTCAGTAGTATATGCAGGATATCAATATTCCGGCTATCGGGTTTTGATGGCCAAATCTAGGAGAGCGGGTGAAAAAAAAAAAAATATGCACGGGCAGAGTAAGGTAAAGAAGGAGTTCTTGGAGATGGCTAATAGTGGATGTTTGGATGGATTATGGGTTGGTATAGACAGATGTGGCTATCGCAAAGGAAGTACGGCGGTGCCATATGCAGGATGTCAATGCAGTTCGGTAATGTCTAGTTGTACCATGATTTTGAGTGAGTGGATTGAAGAAAGCGGGGGAGGGAAAAGGCCCCTGAAGGGTGTAGGACCATCTAGGTTTTTCATTCATACCATGTCTGAATGGTACCGAAGCGTGTGTGCGATTTCCATAATATTCAGCCCGGTCAACGGACCTGCATGAACGCCTAGCTGAAAAGTCACGTGCACACCACCCATCTTTAAGGCGGTAGATATAGATCAGACCGCGTGCTGTTTCGCTCCACATTCATCTCACCAAGCATGCTACCTCTTTTGAACCGAACTGCACGGCCTTCTAGGCTCATATCATGCCCCAGACTCAACTCCACACAAGCAATCACCCACGAGGAGCGGGAGGTGCTTGAGTTTGCCAACCGGAAGAACCTCATCAAGGCCAATCCGAAGGACTTTTATCCGACGCTAAGCGAAGCCCGTTTCAATGATGCGATTCACTTGCGCGTTCCAGAATTCATAGAGCAGTTCCAGAAATACGAGTTCCCCCCGGAAAATCGACTTTCAAAATACTACACCGTCGAAGGGAAGATTCAAAACATTCGCAAGGCCGGAAAGGCGATGTACTTCATAGACGTGGTGCAGGATTTCCACAAGGTTCAGCTTGTGGCGACGAACTCTATGATGAAAATGAGCAAGGAAGCGTTTGCCGAGGCCCATGAAACCCTCAAAAAGGGGGACATTATCACGTGTAAGGGGTTTCCCGGGACAACCAAGGTCGGAGAGTTGTCTGTGAAGCTCACTGAAGCCATCAGGCTCGCAGTCCCGGCGTTGCATCCTCTTCCGCCTAAGTTAAACGACCGTTCAAAGATTCGTCTGAACCGTGTTGTGGACTATTTGGTCAACGCAAAGTCAAGAGAGCGGATGATAGTCAAGTCCATTCTCTTGACATCCATCCGGAGATTCTTTAACGAACGAGAGTTCTTGGAGGTTCAGACCCCAATCATTGGAAACTCTTCCAAGGGTGCCAATGCCACACCCTTTACCACCAGTTCGCAGCACTTGAAAGATGTGACGGAGAAGCCGATCGAGTTGCATCTCAGAGTAGCCCCAGAGTTGTGGTTGAAGCGGTTGGTGATCGGCGGGTTTGAAAAAGTATACGAAATTGGCCAGGTTTTTCGGAACGAGGGGATCGATAGAACCCACAACCCAGAATTTACATCGTGTGAGTTCTATCAGTCGTTCACCACACTTGAAGAGTTGATGGGGATCACAGAACAGCTCTTTCTCTATATCGCCAAAGACCTCCTGTCCACTAATCTCAAGGTTACAGACGGTTTGAAGGCGAGAGCGCAAGTCTTAGTTGACAATCTTACAACAAACAGTGGCGTGTTCGCTAGGCTTGAATTTATTCCAGCCCTTGAACGGACCACCGGGCATCCGTTCCCGGCTGTCCTCTCCCAAGAATCTCTCTTGGCGTACTATGCTACGATTGGCTTGAAGAAGCCGTCCCTCAACCCTTCTCCTATCCAGTTACTCGACGAGCTATCGGCAACCTACTTGGAACCGTTGTGCAAGGAGTACCCGACGTTCATCTACCACCAGCCGGCCATCATGTCTCCGCTTGCAAAGTCTACTGAGATCGCATACGGGGAAAAGAGGTACGAGATTTCCCGCAGGTTTGAAATGTACATCCACGGAAAGGAGTACGTGAATGCGTACGAGGAGCAGAACTCACCGTTCCAGCAGCTCGAAAACTTCATGCACCAGCAGGAAAGCAAGGACCAGTACCTCGATGACGAGATGCTTGTACCGGATCACAAGTATGTGGAGGCCATGGAATGGGGGCTTCCACCAACTGGAGGCTGGGGTCTTGGGGTTGACCGGTTGGTGATGTTCTTGACCAAGAGTGATCGCATTGAGGAGGTGTTGAGTTTTGGGGACTTGTCTGACGTGACCAAGCAATAAGCGAAAGATAGTGGATGAGCTTACTTCTGTATGCGAGCTTTGATCCCTGGTGTTTGTCTATGATTTAAGCAAACGCTCAGCTCTCTATATCTCCAGACCGACTTTGTAGGTGGGTTCTTGTATATACTAATGTTTCATCTGGGAAATCTTGCCATGCGTGTTTACCCCTCTAATCACCCAATACTTATGCGTGTGCACCCATACAACCAGCATACATGTAGCCATTGGTATATATCGAGACATTATCCAGAAATTTACACTGCTACCGTTTAACTTTATCGATTCCTAATCACTCGTTTGTCCTACCAAAATATATATCCCCACCATTTATCTACCGCATAACCCAAGCTCATCGCATCTATCCTGCACACACCTTCTGCATATGCACGTGACTGAAAAATATTTTTACACATTCTTTTTTAGGAAAACTGCGAAAGTATTTGAACCATTGCTCACCCTTTCCCTTCCCCGTATCATTAGCAATCTAACTATACTTTGAAATGGTATGTAACCCTGTTTTCCAGCTCTATCGGATTAGTACTAACGTGCCCAGATCAGAAAACAAGCCCGTGAAAGAAAGGAGTACCTTTACCGCAAGGCCTTGGAGTTGCAAGAGTCTTCGCTCCAGCAAAAGCGTTCGCAGTTGAAGGCCGCGTTGGCCAGTGGGAAGCCATTGCCAAAGGAAATTGCCGACGACGACCAGCTCAAGACGGACTACATCTTCGATGAGTCTATCCAGGAAGCCGTGGACGATGAGTACGCCCATATGAGTGGGATCGCCGACCCAAAGATCGTGGTCACCACCTCCAGAGACCCGTCCACCAGATTGTCACAGTTTGCCAAGGAAATCAAGTTGTTGTTTCCCACCGCAGTGCGGTTGAACAGAGGTAACTACGTCATGCCATCCTTGGTCAACGCCTGCCAAGCCTCTGGCACCACCGATTTGGTCATTTTGCACGAGCACAGAGGTGTGCCAACCACCTTGACCGTCAGCCACTTCCCGCACGGGCCTACCGCCTTCTTCACCCTTCACAATGTGGTTCTAAGACATGATATTGAAAACTCGGGCAACCAGTCCGAGGCACACCCGCACTTGATCTTTGAGAATTTCAACACCACCTTGGGGAAGAGAGTCGTTACCATATTGAAGCACATGTTCCCACCGGGCGTCAAAAAGGACAGCCCTAGAGTCATAACTTTCAGCAACGACGGCGACTTTATCAGTGTCAGACAACACGTGTATGTGAAGACCAGAGACGGTGTGGAGGTGGCCGAGGTCGGCCCGAGATTCGAAATGAGATTGTTTGAGTTGAGGTTGGGGACACTTGAGAACAAGGAGGCTGACGTCGAGTGGCAGTTGAGGAGGTTTGTCAGAACCGCCAACAGAAAGGACTACTTGGGTTGAGCCTCATGGAGTTAAACTCGAGAGGTTGTACATTAGCTATTTTCAATAGAAATTAAAGTGGAATTTTTTTTTTGCACGGATATGGATTTATAGATGGTAATTCCTTGCCGGTATGCCTGAATAGCCTTGGGTTATATATTTCAATAACGAATATCTCATGAATGGAATGGGTTGAGGAGCGTTGGATGTATCATTAGGAGCTAAAACTAATGTACAGAAGGTCGTATCACGTTTTCGGTCGAAATTAGACACCAAAATACTTTATTTCACCCCTAGACAGGTTTTGGCTCTTTGTAAACCGGATCTTCTAATGGATATTGCAGGTAGTCTGGTGACGCATTGTTGATTATCTGCTGAGTATTTCTACTCTACCGCCAGTCTAAGGGTGAGTATCAAGTCAGTATTAACTGCAATTCAGGATGAAAATAAATCATAAAATCCAGTCTAATATTGATTTATAATACTGAGCTGTAAGAAATATGAAAACACTTAAAGGAAATCCCCCATCACCACAAACTAAAATACTGCACGTGTAGCCTCACATGCGAACCTCCGCGATCATGACGCGTGATATACTTTCGTCCTTTACGCGTACGCTTTTTCCTTGGCCCAACACACAATACACATAACCTATACAAGAAATGACCATTGAGAAAAGAGACTTGGACGGATCTATGAGAGAGTCCGATAAAATCATGAGAGAATCGGATGACGTCGGTGAATCAGGCGTGAAAAAAGACTTGGACCAGGACACGCCAAAGTACGCGTATAAGAAGCGCCGGACCACGCCTGATATCGATGTAACAGACTTTTACCCCCCATCAGTTCCCACGACACACACCACCACGTCAACCACGTATCTCTCGAAGGTGCCTCGGGTGATTTTGGCGGACAAGACCGCGCCATGCGTGCTAGGGGTCGACGAGGCGGGCAGAGGGCCAGTGTTGGGTGCGATGGTTTACGGGGTGAGCTACTGTTTGCAAGACTATGAGAGACAGTTGAAGTCAGACTACGGGTTTGCTGATTCCAAGACGTTGAGTGAGGAGAGGCGGACGCAGTTGATGGCGCAGATCTGCGATGAGAGTAGTGAGTTGTTTGAAAACATCGGCTGGGCTACCAGATCCTTGACGGCGGCGGATATTTCCTCGGGGATGTTGAAACCAAACGCAGTGGGCAACTACAATTTGAACGAGCAGGCACATGATGCTACTATAGATTTGATTCAGCACGTGCTTGACCTCGGGGTCAACTTAGCGCACGTCTACGTCGACACCGTGGGCCCGCCTGTGTCATATCAGACGAAACTCTCGGCCCGCTTTCCGGGGGTCAAGTTCACGGTTGCCAAGAAGGCCGATGCCATTTATCCCATTGTCAGTACCGCAAGTATCTGTGCTAAAGTTACTCGAGACTACAACCTCGAGTTTTACCGCAAGCGCTTTTTGGGTGAAGAGCCGTGGGGATGTGGGTACCCCTCCGATCCAAGGACAACCAAGTGGTTGAAGGGAAAGGTGGATCCCCTCTATGGCTGGAACAGCATGGTGCGGTTCTCGTGGCAGACGTCGAAGGACGCGTTGAAGAATGGCGGTGCGGCCGAGATTGTCTGGGAGGAGGAGTGCGAAAAGGAGAGCTATACCTTGGATGCCATGTTCAGTGACTCCGCTAAGGCAGCGGAGGCGTTGGACAAAATGGATTTGAGCACCTTGTGGTGGGGGAGCAACACTGTTTTAGGGTAGGTACCCTGTGGACGCAGCGATGTAGAGGGTCAGGGCTGCAGTATAGCAGCACCACCTTGTTTATTTTATCGTTCTTTGAATTAACATAAAGATGATTGAAGATGGAGGCGACTTACACGGACTCGACGTGGTAATCAGGTGAGGTGCCGAGTAGAAGCATGTTTGTACCATGTGGCTACGCTTTTGTTTTGTTTTTTTGTTTTTTTTAAGGGACAAAATCTAATCACCTACATGTATCACCATCTTTTTAGCTTGATAACAAGATTAAACTACTATCCGTCCCATTTGGATCTACGCCAACCCTGACCCGATGCCCGGCCTGATGAGTCTCCTGCATAGAGACAAAATATCATGCGTATGGAGAAAGGTCGTGTAGTGCCCGAGCCGCATGACAGCCGGATTACTGTGCTCCTGGAGAGGGGAAACATTCGGGAAGGAACGTCCGCGCGGTTGTGCATCAGCGCTTTGCTAGATAAAACTACAATCCATCCTTCTCCTGCCGTTTCTTCTCTTCATTACACCTCTTAATATCCACAATGTCCGTTATTCTCGCTGCCAGAGTTTCTCGTCAAGCCTTCCGTGCTCTTCCACAGTAAGTTATTGTACCCCCGAGATGCCCGATCTCACTACAAAGACTAACACATCTTTAGAGTCTCCAAGTTTTCTGCTGTTCAGTTTGCTCGTTACTATGCCGGTAAATGTATGTATAATTGCTATTCTGTGATAGTGGATTTTCGGCCATGAATCAGCTACCCCTCGATGGGTCTCTTCTGCGACTAATCTTCCGTTGAATGAAGAACCTTCCGGATATGAACCCGTTCAAAGACCTTAAACAGTCACTAACCTCTAGCTTTCCCTCCGCACACTGTCATTGCCATGCCAGCTTTGTCCCCAACCATGACCCAGGGTGGTATTGCCGCCTGGAGCAAGGCCGTTGGTGACGAGTTGGCTGCCGGTGAAGCCATTGCTGAAATTGAAACCGACAAGGCCCAGATGGACTTTGAGTTCCAGGACGAAGGTTTCTTGGCAAAGATCTTGATGGATGCCGGTACCAAGGATGTCCCTGTCGGTAAGCCAATTGCTGTCTACGTCGAAGACAAGGCCGATGTTGCCGCATTTGCGGACTTTACCGCCGAAGATGCCTCCCCAGCTGCCCCATCTGCCGAAGCTCCAAAGGCCGAAGAAGCCCCAAAAACCGAGGCTAAGGCCAACACCCCAGCCGCCGCTGCACCAGCTGCCACCAAAGCTGCGCCAGCCGGTAGAATCTTTGCGTCCCCATACGCCAAGACCCTCGCTTTGGAGAAGGGCGTTTCCTTGAAGGACCTCAAGGGTACCGGTCCAAACGGCAGAATCGTTGCCAAGGACGTTGAATCCTACGTTCCACAGGCCGCTGCTTCCGTCACCGCCGCGTCGGCTACGACCGCCACCGCTGCTGCCACCGCCACTTACGAAGACATTCCAATTTCCGGCATGAGAAAGGTTATTGCCAGCAGATTGTTGCAATCTACCCAGCAGTCCCCAACCTACATCGTCTCTTCCCAGATCTCTGTTTCCAAGTTGTTGAAGTTGCGTGCCTCCTTGAACGCCTCAGCCGAAGACAGATACAGATTATCCGTCAACGACTTGTTGGTCAAGGCCATCGCTGTTGCTTCCAGAAGGGTTCCACAGGTCAACTCCGCCTGGTTGGAAGAGGCCGGTGTCATCCGCCAGTACAGCAATGTGGACGTTTCCGTTGCTGTTGCCACCCCAACTGGCTTGATCACCCCAATTGTCAAGAACGCTCACACCAAGGGTTTGTCAGAGATCTCTGCTGAAATCAAGGACTTGGGTAAGCGTGCCAAGGCCGGTAAGTTGGCCCCAGAAGAATACCAAGGTGGTACCATTACCATCTCCAACTTGGGTATGAACCCGGCCGTGACCATGTTCACCTCCATCATCAACCCTCCACAATCCGCCATCGTTGCCATCGGTACCGTGGAGGAGAAGGCCATTAGAGACGATACCGCCGCTAACGGTGTCGCTTGGGACCAGGTCATCAACATTACCGGTACCTTCGACCACAGAACTATTGACGGTGCCCTCGGTGGTGAGTGGATGAAGGCCTTGAAGAAGGTTGTTGAAAACCCATTGGAAATCATGCTTTAGAAGGGATCCTAAAGGCTAAACGTTAAAATTCTCACAAAATCTCCCCTGTTCCTTAGTAATATACATATAATTTTCCGTATCTAATTAGTATTAATGTAGTCCGATTGGACAACAATCGTGGGCTTATGCACGACAATTTCAATTATATATAAAGTATACGAACCGTTTATCGCTAATACAAACTGTCTATTGCTAAGTGTGCCGAAATGCGTATATTTAATATTCGGAATATCTAGGTCTAGCTATAATTAAATAAAATTCGATGAATATATATATATATTCAAAACAAGCTCCAGAGTATTTTCCCCTTTGGATCATTGCATTAAACAGAGAGAACTTGGAATGTGGGGTAGTACGTTCTAAAAACATCTAAACCCTCACCTCTAGACTAGGAGAAACTTTAATCTCAATTCGGATTCGCCTTATCCAAAAACTATGTTTCCTTACAAGGATATCACTGGCAAGTACAAATATGGACACATTATGAGCCCTGTCGAGGCTTAACTATAGGTTGCTAAAGGTAAGAGATATTTTTATAACTCCAGATCAGAATATAGAGATTAGTAACGTCATCATAAACCAGCTCTACGTCTAGAAGATTATATACTTTTTCCTGAAGTATAACTTAGAGCCTTGATATTCACCTTTTTCATTACAGCTTTGGACTAGCTTTAGTCAAAGGAGGCCTGGTAAGATTTGTGACGAGGAGAGGTTTGCGTTCACATAAGTATATTATGGGGCGGTAGCGCCGCCTCAATCTAGCCTATGGCGTATACGTATGCTCGAGGCGAGAGCATCACGTCTATGCAGCACCCCTGGCTGTCCTAACAATTGCGCCCACAGAATTCTTTAACCCTTCAGTCGCGCCTTTCTTACATGCACTCCAAATCAGAAAATAGACTTTGCCCAAAACACTTGGTTCGTCTTGGTTTTCCCTGTTAAGCGCCAACACGTTAGCCTTTGCGCCAATCCCGAATACGCCTAATCAAACCAAATAGATATAGGAAAACAAGTATAGAGGCGGAAGCACTCAAGCACGTTGGTCCATTCAAGACGGTAAGGAAAAGTCTCAAGCCTATGTCTAGTCAGCCACAAACCCTTGCACTAGAACCGACAGAAACTTGGGTCATTGCAGCTCCCTGTATGTACACGCTAAGAGTTTCGCAGATAAGGCTAAAGACTCTACACCGTATGTACTTACGGCTATATTAGCGATACGTACGCGGGTGCTATTGGCTACTGCCCCACTGAGAACCGGTCAGGAGGATAAAACTATCTTCTGACCCACTCTTCTTTGTTTACGTTTCCCAGATGTGTCTCCTTTAGGAAATATTCAGCCCTCTGACCAAATGTCATGTGATTATTATGCACTTAATTAAATACTCACCACGCCGCACCGATGTGTACAAGTCGTGGATGGCAACCGCCTGCGGATCTTACCCCTTCTAGCACTCCTTGCTTATGCATGCCGGAGTTGCAGATCAGACGGTCTCTTCACGCGTCGTACAGCCAAACTGCGTTTAGTCTGGGATCGAGATTTCACGCTAGCGAACGATAAACCATAAGATTGACCTGGCACGGCAGAGAGCACTGATCAGGAGGAAAAGAGTTGAATAAGAACGCTCTAGATATTGCATGTAACCGGTGTTTCAACATTGGAGCTGGCGATAAAACTGACTGATCTGTGAGAAATATTACGACGTAGCGTTTTTAAGCGAACCCGTCCGCGCTTATAGGAAAATGGCTGACAAGGGCTGCACGATTCCTTTACACGGCCGAAGAATAGTCGCCGCCGACCGTAACAGTTATATAGCGTATCTTTCATCATGAGAAAATCATAGCGTTTATTGTTTAGCGATTGTCTTTTCACCTTCTCTAGCGTTGAACCAAAACATTGCGTTCGAGAACCATGTGTAATCGGAGACGCTGGCCTTTCCTGAGAAATTCCTGAACGGCATCGTATAACCAGGCAACTCCTGAATGTTCCCACCTCTTACACGTTTGTACGGCAACTGATGCCTTTCAGATTACCTTTGGAGAAATTATGGTAGATTAGCCTGCTCGTGAGGTTACCGTTATGGGTTATGGCTAACTGACGGTCCCTTAAAACTAAGGTATAATATTAGCATCACAGGGGCCTCCCCCCTGTATTATACATACCCCAGAAGATTTTATCTTTAATTTTCCATTCGTTTCATGAAACGTGTACCAGGTGATTGATTCACGGCCTTGCTTAGCGGAAACAATCCCACCCTATGAATGTGTGTCGTCTATATACCGTATACGCGTCGTGATTTCCTCATCTGGCGTAGCAGAGGAGAGCCGCACTGCTCTAGGTCAAACCCAGGCGCGTGTACCTAGTTCCTATTATGCATGTACATTCCGAAGTGCGTTTTAGAATTCCCACATGGTGCAAGGGCCTCACTAATTTTTACAACATGCATGAACGGCCCACCATGTTAGTATCCCTTTGGCTCCTTACGGAATTTCCATGGACAACAGACGCGTCTCTCATCCAGATCTCTTGGGGTTCCAGAGACATGAACCCCAAAACTTTCCACAACTTCTACGATCTTTCTTTTGCCAACTCAAGCTTCATTTTTATATCACCCTACGGCACCCTTTCCCGACTTTCGCTTCTGTACTATAACCCAGGCCCTTCATTCTGCCCTTACAAACAGAACAACGTTCACAAAACCAAGACTCTTGTTGCTTACAAGCAGTCCTATATTAGCTTTGCCATCTGTTGTTTTGTCTGTGTTTACCCTCCTTAATTCTTCCCCTTCATGAAAGTGTCCATATTCACTGTGATCTTCGCGTTGATCACAGTCTCTACGCAGACTCCATACATCGGGTTTCCCTTTGACCAACAATTGCCCGATGTCGCACGTATCGGCATGCCCTACAGCTTCCAGCTCAGCAATATCACATTCCTCTCGAACTCCGATAACAACACGTTGAGCTACGCCATAAGCAACCAGCCTTCATGGCTAACGTTTGACGCGTCCAGCAAGGTGTTATCGGGCACACCCACCAGCACCGACGCACAAGCTGAAAACACATTCACCATCACAGGGACTGATTCCCAAGGCTCGCTCGCAGCTAACTACAGCCTCGTGGTATCCAATGCCGCCGCTCCCACGCTTGTCAACTCAACGGCGCTCTTTGACCAGTTGAAGGAAGGTAGGCTGACCAATGGGGTGAACGGTGTGGTGCTTCTTCCGGGAATACCTTTCTCCATCAAGTTCAACACGGCAGAAATCTTCAGCGCCTCTACTAACCCCATCATCGCGTACTACGGCCGTTCCGGCGACCACACCTCGCTTCCGCCATGGATCATCTTCACGACTTCTGATGACAACAGCGTGGCGACGTTCAGCGGTACTGCGCCCGAAGTTGCCTCGGCGATCGCACCATCTCAGTCCTACGGCTTTTCACTCATTGCGTCTGACTACAAAGGCTTTACCGGGATTCAGCTGGAGTTCTTCATCGTCGTGGGTGCCCACACTCTCTTCACCACCGTTGACGCGCCGATCGCCATCAACGGAACCGAGGGAGAGACCTTTACGGTCACCCTTCCGATGTCGCAGGTTTTTCAGAGTAATGGGAGTGACGCCAACGGTACTGCTATTATGGATTCTGACATCTCGCAGTTGACTCTCACGGGCGAGAACCCATCTTGGGTCGAGCTAGACTCGTCTGCTAGAACCCTCACCGGTACATTTGGAGACGTCTCGAACGCTACCCTGTTTGGTGTAGTTGTGTATGACAACTGGAATAATCAGGTCACGATACCATATGTGATCATGGCCACTAACAACTCTGTCTTTAATGAAACTTCCTTGCCCTCTGTGAATGCGACCAGACTGACCTTTTTTTCCTACGCTATTCCATCGGACATCTTCAGGGATGAGGCCGACACAAACGTGAGTGTGTCATACTCTGACTCCTGGTTATTGTACCACGCGCTGAATTTGACTTTTAACGGGATGGTTCCGCAGGACTTTGATAGCTCCGACATCACGATTACTGGTCAGAGAGGCACTTCCCTGGATTCCTTGACGTTCCAACTTAAGGGTGTAAACAATCAAGCCGTTACCTCTGCCACGTCCTCTGCCACATCCTCTGCCACCTCTGCCGCTGTTTCACCCACTTCTACCCCATCTGCGGCAATAGCTGCCTCTTCTAAAGGAAGCAACAAGACATTGGCAATCGCGCTTGGGGTGGCGATTCCGGTAGCCGCGATCATTATACTCGCGCTCATTCTCTTCCTCTGCTGCCGCAAGCGCAAGTCGAAGAAGGAAAACGTCGAGACCGGCACGATCTCCAAGCCAACCCCGATAGAACCAAAGGTTATCGTTCCTTTTAACGATAAGGAAGCCGATGATGGATCCATTAGCGAAAATCCCCAGCAGATGTCTACCCTTAATATGATGAAGTTAGACGGCTCCAATCGGAAAAACTCAGATTCCCAGTCATACTCCTCTTCTATCACCCACGTGGACCGCCACCGCGAGTCCAACTCTTCCGGCGAACTGTACTACGACGCTGTCGATGTGTCTGGCCCAAAACCCCAGCTCAGCACCGTTCCGCGCAACTCGTGGAGATCCCAGCAAAGAATGGAGTCCCGAGCGTCATACACGTCGATGGCGACGATCGAAACCGAGAACTTGTATTCTGTGCGCTTGGTCGACGATGACGTGAACGGCCCTAGCAACCGCAAGTCTGCCCAGACAATCCTCCAAACCAACAGGTCGTCCTTAGCGTCTGGCTTGGTTGCCGAATTGCCCCGCGACGAGTCTGGCAACTTTCAACGCCTAAACAGTAACGGTGATCTTGTGAGTGAATCAAGAAAAGGCGAGCTTGTGGCCGATCCTGCGGAGAAACCATCCGCCCGCAGTTCCACATTGGATATCCTCCAAGAGGAGGACCCAGGCCTTCCCCTTCCTAATTTCAGTGGCTCGACGGAAGAGCTCAAGGAAAGACTGAAGTCCCCGAGCTTGTCCGGTGTTTTCATCCCCAGCTCCATTGGTAAGCATGGGGAGTTGATCTGGTCCGCGTCGGGCGATCCTCCAAAGCTGGGCTCATCCTCGCCGAGGATGTTGGATCCAAACGTTTCGCTTGCGTCATCGTTGAAAAACACTCCTGTGAGTAACACCTATTCGCCACGCCTCCCTGTCGATTCGTCGTACGCTGCGTCCTCCGACTACACCAGACAGAGCGACAGCAACAACACCGCCGTGTCTAGCGCCAAGTTAGTGGACTTTCCAAACAAGAAGATCATCACTACCGTATCCAAGGATTTTGATAACTTGAGCGTGGAGGGTGAGATTGCCGATTCGTTCGACGACAGCAGCGAGCACAGCCATTAAGCAGCGCTGCGTTGAGTATTTTTTTTTTTACATTTTGGGTATAGTTTTGTCTTTTCGTTTTTTGGTGTTTAATTTTAATTGCTCTTAGATTCCTAGTTGCCGTATATCGCTTGTTGGTTCTCCTTGTACCTACTGCCGCTTAATACCTAACCTAAATGGAGTGACTCTCATACAAAGCACTTGCCCATGTGAACTACCATACTTTTCTAGTATAAACTCCCTACATTCATCAACGTCAAGATCTGTGTCCCCGAAGGTGAAAAGTTTACGCTTTTCTTTGAATACCGCCCCCTATGGTATACCTCGTGGATGCTCATAGCTATGAGAGAACACTTTTCATCTGTAAGATATACACAAGAAAAAGGGTAGCCGGCAGCCTTATATACTAAGGCAGATACGATACCAGGTATCCGCCTATCGGAGATAAGGGGATAATGATCACCAACGCCCGTCTAGTTAAACGATACCTCTACTACAATCCGGAATCATCAACTCCCCCAAAGGCTTCCCGATGAAATTAAACAGTTTATCGGGTATCTTACCTTTTCAAAGCCTGACCTTGACAATTCACCAGTTTCTCACTCGTCGTTGACACGTATGATCCCGCTTCATACTCGTGACATATGGCAGCACCATTAACACAAAGTCCAGCAAAACCGTTTGCCTCGGTCATCCTTGGATTAAATGTCTAGCTGTAATGTGGTAGGGACCAATACCTTATACAAAGAGGTCGATCCCTTTCTCATTTCTCCTCCATTCATTATGTAGCCAACCAGTATACTACGTAGGTATCCTACCTGGATAAAGATATACCACAAGCCCGCTACTAACTTACACAATAACGCGTTAGAAGCCCCGCATAGAAGTTTCCTGTACAAAACAGTGCATGCTTCACACATTAGCCGTTCTGCTAACAATGTCATTAACCGCCGGCTAGCAAAACATCAATATCCATACCGATCCACATTTCCATGGGTTCACGCCAATCCATATTTTCACACTCCAAAATACACAAGTCCAAAACAGTCGCTTTCAGGAGGAAATCACCAAGCCATCCACGCCTCCGCCTTGTTCCGCCGTACTGCAAGTGGACGTAACTAAAGCCACGTACCACCAATGGCCAAACCCTTGAAGTTTGCAAAGAGAACCAGGTCCGTGTTCTATTCCCTCTCGGGACTCGGGCTAACACTTTTGCTCCTAATTGCCTACGTCTACTCATCTGAACACGAAGCCCACTCCTCCGACGCGCCCGGATGCCGCGGGATTGGGATGTACCCATCGTACGCCCGGATCAAAGCCTTTGACAAGACCCACACACGATTTGCGTCCAAGTACTCTTTGTATTTGTACCGCGAACAGGGCAAGGACCGTATTCCGAACGAACTGAATACCGAAAACTACCTTAACGGGGTCCCGGTGTTGTTTATTCCCGGAAACGCCGGCACCTACAAGCAGGGACGCTCATTAGCCGCCGAGGCGTCATACTTGTACTACGATACGTATGAACCGCGCAAAGACGACCCATCGCTTAACCAAAATGCAAGAAACATGGACTTCTTCATGACCCATTTCAATGAGGACTTTACTGCATTCCACGGTAGAACCCTTTTAGACCAAGCGACGTATGTAAATGATGCCATTGGTTTCATTCTTTCGCTCTACAACACCACCGAAAACGCTCCAAAGTCAGTGATTGTTGTGGGTCATTCCATGGGGGGAATTGTCAGCCGCGTGATCTTCAGTTTGCCCAACTATGTGGAAGAATCGGTCAACACGGTGATCACCTTAGCCAGCCCTCACGCCGCTTCTCCCCTTACCTTTGACGGTGATTTGACCAAGATCTACAGTGCCACTGACAAGTTTTGGCGCTACGGATACTCTAACGAGTCGGCTGGCCCCGAAAGTGAATCGGTGCGGATGGTTGCTTGCCAGCGGCTAGCCAACGTATCTTTGATTTCCGTAACCGGCGGCATTTTAGACACCATCCTTCCGGCCGATTACACCTCGTTGGCGAACCTCGTGCCTCCTAGCAACGGCTTCACCGTGTTTACCACCGGGATTCCGGGCGTTTGGTCCCCTATCGACCATTTAGCGATTGTCTGGTGTGACCAGTTGCGGAAGAAGCTCGTGGCGGCGATGATGGAAATTGTTGATTACCGTTCCCCCCAGCGTACTTACCCTCTATCCACCAGAATGAAGGTGATGAGGCGCCACCTTATGTCTGGCTTTGAAGATTACGCCTCCCAGGACTACGCCGCTTTCTCAGGCAATGGCACTCCTGAGTTTGCGGTCAAATTACGTTTGGACAACAGCCACATCAGCGCTGCATCGCCTGGCGAGCGCGTGCTAAGAACTCCATCCTCAAAGCTCTCGGCCCGCGGCACCTCCCCCAAGATGAATCTCTTTCACATTCCGTCTGACGGCTCAAAATTTGAGTTTTCCATGCTCAGCTCGATCCCCATCCAGGACGTGAACTCGCTTGCATCCGGTAGAGGTATTTCGGTGTTGTTGTGCCGCAACGGAGACTCCCTTGCTCTGTCGAACCTCCCGTTCCTCGATTTCACAAAGGCAACTACCCAGAAGTACGTTGAGCTAGAATGTATTGATGTGTCATCCGACGCCCACAGTGTGCCTAGGTCGCTGGGTGATGCAGTCTTGTTGGCAGATTCCTCGATTGGAGGGGCGTTTTCGCCGTTCAACGCCTTTCAGTTTAACTCGAGCATCGTTTCGTCGTACGACGTGGTTGTTGTGGCTGAATCGCCGAACCAGGAGTCCTGGGACGCCTCGGATTTTCTCATTGCTGAACTAGCCTTGGAGAAATCCTGTCATATTGACACCGGTAAGGGCAGCCTTGTGTCTCTCATGGCCTACGGTGCGGATGTGTCCCTTCCAACTGGCAGACCGCTCGCCGTTAATATTGAAGTTCCTGGGGCTTGGAGTAGTCTACTTGCATATAGCATTGAGTTCAGAAACCTCAAACCATCAGAGAACGGGGAGGCCGCTCTCTTTGAGCCAACAGTCAGACAGTGGATTCCCGATACCCACGAAACAAAGTGGCATATTGCCCTCAGACGTAACAACACTCGGCCCGTTTCCATACATGGGGTGAGTCCCTTCGTTGCATTTGAGTCAAAGTCGAACCTGAACTCGTTGAACCTTCAACTTTGGAGCGACGCCATTTCAGACGAATCACCCATTGATGTTTACGTCTCTGTCGACTGGTGGAACAGCTTGCGGTTGCTAGTTTTACGGTTTCGATTGGTAATTGGGGCCTTCCCTGTGGGTATTGTGGGCATGGTGTTGATGTTTCAGTTTAGTGAGTTCAATAGGAACGATTCGTTCCCGACCTTCGGTGAAGGCCTCCTCAAGATTTGCGAATCGTTTGTATTGGTGCCGACTCTTTTGCTTTTGTCAGTTGCGACCCCATTATGCTCCATCGCCGCTATTCAGAAATTGGTGTGTTACTTCAATGTGGCAAGGTGGCTGGATATCAACGAAGTGGCCTACACTACGCATCTGTCCGGCTATCATTTGAATACCCTCTTTTTGGGGATCCAGGAGCGCCCTTTATTTTTCTTGGGACCCCTCTGTTATATTGTTTCGCTAGGGATTGTTGCTGCGCTATACCACTTGATTTTGGTGGTTTGTGCAGGCTTCGTTTGTTTGTGGGTTGCGGTGTATAAGACACTTTCCCGTTTCTACCCAGTTGAAAACATCGGGGCTGCATACGGCGATACCAAGCCAATCTCCCATTCGCCTCGCCGTATGATAGGTACGTTTTTGCTTTTGGCAGCGGTTCCATTCTACATTCCGTATCAATTGGCATACATCGTGTGCTGTGTGCTACAAATCGTTCTAACCTTGAGAGTGGCCTTCAATGCCAGTCAGATTTTAGTTTCAAAGCCCGAACATGGCACGTACCAGAACTTTTTGCATTACAACATCTCTCTCTTGATGTTAATGTTGCTAGTTCTTCCCGTCAACGTACCAGTATTGATCGTGTGGCTTCACAACCTTTCTGTTAGATGGAGCACGCCATTCACCTCGCACCATAACTTCATGGCTATCATGCCAATCGTGGTGATGGTAGAAAAACATATGACTCAGTCATTCATGAGCAAAGCCTCGGCCAGACTACCATCTGTGATTACGCAAACAGTCTTGGCATACATGGTATTTTTTGCTTTTACCTTTGGCGTTCGCCACGCCTTTTGGCTTCATCATCTTTTCAACTTCTTCTCTGGTTGGATGTTGGTGCTTTTGTACACCAATAACTTTAATTTCTCTGCGGTGCCGGAAGCGAAATGCAATGAAAACCAGTCGAAATTGCATTAAATAAAAGTTAAACGACATTTTTCAATCTCCAGTTGTAAATATGACCTGTATTATTTGGCCGATAGTTTTTATGAGCATTGTAATATTTAGGTACAGTAAAGTGATCAATATACAAGTCACGGCTAAGGGTTCTCGGCTAGAGAGATGGGCAGTATTGAATAAGAAATAAGGTGTATTCCATTGAAAGGTTTCGTGTGGGGTTCACGTTGTATGTGGGGCAGGAAAATTCAAGGTATGAATAGTCAGGAAAACAAACTCTTCATCAACATAATCACCTCCGTCGTAGGTCCGGATTCCGGCTATTTGATTGGCACGAGCCCACCAGGTGACTCTTTCATCTGGGCTGATTACCTCTACTCTATCGTTTGGAGGGGCGGTTTTTTCGTTCTGGCTACCCCCAAAAGTTGGATACGCCCTAAACGACTCATCATTGTCAAAATCTATCTTCTGGGGAGAGGTTCCAAGGAAAGTTCGCTGACCCGGAGAGGCGTTATAGCTTTGTCCTCTCGATTGTGTTCTAGCCAAGGTGGGAAGACTTTGCGGGGCAGATTCATTGTGGGAGGCAGACGCCCACATGGCCGATAGAGGTAAAGAAAGCACAACGATAAAAGTACCGAGAGGAGAGAGAATGAAGCTCAGGTTACTTCTAGCGTAGTCGACGATAGTAATGACGGAGGGAATGATCATTGTTTGACCGGACATGATAAAGAGAATGTGGAGACTGTCAAGTTGCTTTAACCCCAAGTACCTTCTGGTTCTAATGGCGAGTAGTAACTTTACCACTAACACCAAACTCATCACATTTACCGACGAAGCAAATAAGATAATCGGGGTATTCACAATCCATTTACTCATGGATCCCCACACCCCGGCGTTACTCCCGAAGGTGATGGAAATACTTCTGATACATGCCACGAGGTAAAACACGACAGTTGTGAGCCCTAACAAACCACAGGTCCCCATTAAGATTCTTGCTGCGAGTTGGTTGTTGTTGGACCGAAAAATCATACGAACCTGAAATACCAAGGACGCTTCGATAAACGCAATAAGCAATACTTGGAACACGTTCGAGGCTGCCGTGATATTGAACTGTGTGGTAGAGTTCTGGATGTATCCCGTAAACACTGCTGTCATATTAGCAGACCCACCGAGAAGGTAGGCTATGTATAATACCGATTGAACCAAAAAGCAGAGTAACGAAAGTTGGTTGAGGATAAAAATGGGCGTTTTGCGATTCTTGGAAACCAACCACAAGACAACAAAGGCCATGCCCCCAGCCCCAACCCTGGCACCGTAGGCAGCCATATACTTCATCTGTGCGTTAAAGAAATCATCGAGGTCTTCAAAAGTGATGGACTGCTCTTGGTTGGAGTAAGTATAGTAGCTTAGTACCTGCTGTCTGATAAGCTCCCCGTTGACTTCTGGGGAGAATGTGTTGGAAGACATTGATGAATGGGTAATCGAGACAAAATAAATAAGTTTTTTTTAAAAAAAGGAAAAAGGAAACAAGTTGTCAAAAAAAAGGAGGGAGGACGAGTGGGGTTGATATAAGAAATTTGGCACACTTTGGCGAATAGATCTTACTATTAGGTCAAGTTTTGAGGCCAGGAGCATACATGGGAGATGTGAAACACTTACCCCATATAAAAGAGTAATTGAATTTCAGTTAAGGGTTGGGAAAATAAAATATTCCAGAAAAGTGTGTCATGGAGTGATGCAGAACTGGAAAGTTTCCTCTTTGGGACTGTACAATTGCTTCGCCAGAGGTGCATCTTTAAAAACAAGTTTTGAGTAGCACTATTTCCGGACATATACACAAAATGAGCCGACCAAAAATCCACAGAGATTTCTCCGAATACCTCACGACCTGACTGCATTTTATTATCCCACCAGGGCCAAAGGTCTCTGCAACGTTGATCTGGGATGCCATTACAGCTGGAGGGCAGTTAAATCACTGCTAGTGTCAACCCTGTTGGCTTGAAATTTCGTAACTTTTCCACCTAATCATCATCAGAGTCGAGATCTGACTCATCCTCCCTCTTTTTGTTTCCTCCCTTGCCTTTCCCACCCTTACCCAGGTCCTTGTCTGTATTCTTGCCTTCGGCATCCTTAGAAATCGACAATGCGGTACTTCTCAACTTTGCGTCACTGACATCATACAACTTTTTGGCCTCTTCGATCTCCTTAGACATTTTCAACAACTCTTCAATACGCCCTACCTTGACCTCGTCGTTTCGGAACACGAACTTGAAGTCCTCGACCTTCATCTTACGAGATTTTGTGACCCCTAAACCACCAGCAACAGCATATTCGTGGGCTTTGTGGCAGGTGTCGACAAGAAACGTCTGGAGAATGTCATCAAGGGTATTCACGGTTTCAGGAAGAGGGTTGGGCACGTCACCAAACGCATAGAGAAGCGATTTCAACTCGTTGGCAAAAATTTGCTGCCGCTTTCTCTTTTGTGTGGACATATGTGAAATTTTGTGTACGATGTGGGAGATATAGAGAGCTTGTGTAGGAAAAACCGTGAAAGGGAGTCTGTGGGTTAAAACAAATGTTTTCAACTCAACTTTTGGCACCTCTGTTTTTGGTCACTGTAAATGTCCTGTATAAAAACAGTCATAACGGCATCGTGCATGTATTTGCACCTCTGGGCTCCAGAAAGACATAGACACAGGCTTGGATGTGATAGAAATACATATATTATAAAGTATAGTCATAAAAAAAACGATACATGGAGTCAATTCTACCTTTTTTTTAATCTTCCTCAAGTCTGATTTCCCAATCTTGGTATCCCTTAATCCTGATATTTCCCAATCTTGGTATCCCTTAATCCTGGTCCCGCTCTACAGTTTTCTCAGATTACATCCCTCCATTTTTCTACATCTCTACTCCTCATGCTTTGTCTAATCACTTTCGTGCTTGGCTGCGGCCAACCTATCAGTCCAGATCTTCTCGGCCTCGACAAGCGTGTTGATGTTGGCCTTCATCTTGTTCATGGTCTCGATGTACTCGTCATACTCGTCGGAGTCATGCACAATCCCACCACCAGCCTGTAAGTAGGCGACACCTTCCTTAACAACCATGGTTCTCAAAGCGATGCACGTGTCCATGGTCTTACCGTCGTAGGACCAGTGGCCAACAGCACCAGCGTAGACACCTCTCTTCTCACCCTCTCTTTCGCTGATAAGCTCCATGGCCTTGACCTTTGGCGCGCCGGAAACGGTCCCAGCAGGGAAAATCGATCTGAAGGCATCGAAGCGGGTCTTGTCGGCGCGCAAGGTCCCAGAAACCTCCGAAACCAAGTGCATCACGTGACTAAATCTTTCAATGGTCAATAAACGGTCGACAGAGGTGGTGACAGGGTCGCAAACACGGTTGATATCGTTACGGGCCAAGTCAACCAACATGACGTGCTCGGCTCTGTCCTTCAACGATGACAGCAACTGCTGGGCCAACTCGTCGTCCTCTTCACGGGTCTTACCGCGTGGCACGGTCCCGGCGATAGGGTGGGTGATGATTTTGTTCTTGATGTCGGACTTGACCAACAACTCAGGAGACGCACCGACAATCTGGAAGTCAAGGTAGTCGATGTAGAAGAGGTACGGTGATGGGTTGACGGTTCTCAAGTGGCGATAGATGTTGAACGCGTGCAAAGAGGTTGGTCTGGCGACGCGCTGGGAAGGCACGGCTTGGATGATGTCCCCCTTCAAGATGTGCTGCTTGAGGGTGGTGACGTGGTTCTCATACCCCTGCTGGCCAATGTTGGAGGTGAAGGTCTGGTTCTGCACAATGTCCGGCTGCGGTGGGTATGGCACCGGGCCCTGCTGCAACAACATACCCTCGATCTTGAGGATTTCGTTAGAAGCTGAGGAATACTTGGCTCTAACCGTGGCGTCGTCATCGGTGGCGGCGATGTGCACGTTGTTGATGATCTGAAATCTCAGGAAGACGTGGTCATACGCCACAATCATGTCGTAGAACATCAACGCGGCTTCCGGCAACTGCAAAATGTCTTTCAAGTCGCGCTTGGTGCGGGGCTCAAAGTACTTTATGCAGTCGTAGGACACATAGCCAATGGCTCCACCGCTCAATCTTGGGACTCCCGGCAACTCGGCCTGCCTGTACTGGTTCAACTCCGCCTCCAACAAGATCAACGGGTCGATTTCCGCGCCGTCAGTCGGACCGGTCTTGATGATCTTGCGTGGGTTAAAGCCCATGAACGAGTACCGGTCGACTTGGTCACCGTTCTTAGCACTTTCGAACAAAAAGGATGGCGTCTTCTTGTGCGATGCATCACCTGGTTTGGTCAACTTGAGGTACGCAATGTGCGGCGTGATATAGTCCGCGTTGAGGAAGGAGTAAATCGGATAGATGTTTGGGCGGGTGTCTACGGACTTTTGGGCATCCTTGTGGATGATATTGACAAGGTTGTCAATAGGTGGTTGGACCTACATGTTAGTCTTGCATTCTCGAGGTGGAGGGCTTTGTGAACGAGGTGAATGGAAAAACAGGAGGGAGTTGGCTCCCGGTTGGTTAAATTCACATTCATAGATAAGGCATCTTTCTCCTCGGTTCTAATAGCGGTACAATGTCACATACAGGCATAGTTGGTCTGGTGGACTAAACGGCAATATGAGATTCAGGTTTAGATTTTTCACACTGGTGACTAGGCGCAATTTTCCTTGGCGAGGCATGCTAGGCGTTGTATATATGGAGAAATGGCGAGAGCGGTGGGCACACGACTATGACTAACAGTTGCGTGCACGAAAAGTGATTGTAAGGTGACTGGTGGTGCACACGATAAACATATGGCAAAATTTGAGTAGGAAAAAGTGTACCACAAATTGCGGTTTAGCTGTATTTACGGACCTTTAGATGCCCTGGAGGGTATCTGGGAAAGCACAATGGCTACAGCCTGAAAACGAAAAAAAAAAAAAAAAACTGTTGTATGTACTGAGAACAAAAGAGTGGGTTAACAAAGGTTGTAAATTCAGGTATGGCAAAGGTGTATCGACACAGATGTAGCGCTAAGAAACTGCAGTATATATGCCCTAAGCTGGTGCTATTTATAAACTCGAGTATCCTTAATACGCACCCCTTTCAGCGGCAAGTGTTGTCTGACTATTAGTATTCGTAAATCAACTTGTAGGTACTGTAGTTGCAACCGCTAAAAACTATAAAGGTTTGGTTATGTCAGCCAGTATCTCCTAACACAGTCCCGTCACTCCATGTGGATCTGCCTATCTTGGCAGCCCATCAAGTGTTATCTATTTCTATGACGTCGCGGTTGTACCACGATACTCAGTATAGCCGAGGCTTCGCACAGGAACCGACAAATAAATGTAAGTTGATGATTTAAATCAACTTCCCGGTATCAGGCAGTAGTCTATATTATAAGCTTATCAACGAATTTTTCAGGGTAGAAAATACAATAACCCCTCATAGTTTCTCGTTTCGCGCTGTTGGTTTCTTTTTCGCATTGTGGAGTGTACTGCGTAAAGACAGCGAAAAACCGGGAGCAAAATTTACAGGAGACGGCGGCCGAGAAAATTTAAACGTAAACAGACACTTCACCTCTCCACTTCTTCACCTCCCTTTCCATACACATCTACTACACTTAACCATGGGCCAAATTTTATCCCAACCAGTCACCGAAAAGGTATGTCCACCTGCTTTTGTCTGAAGGGGCACCGAAAATCTATGCTCCGCCGTTTTACCTGCAGCTCGTTTTGCACGGTTTGCCCCCCATAGAAACCATGGCATGCCGTTGCTTATTGCCCGTTTTTATGGCCCGTTTTGTGCTAGAAACGGAGGCATGGGTTGTAATGGCTTTTCGCTTCCCACTCAGACTGACCCCCCTTTGCGGGTGAAATTGCTGATACTAACGTTTAGACCTCCGAGGAAGGCGCCGACAAGTACCTCGCGTACGGCTTGTCGTGCATGCAGGGGTGGAGAGTCTCGATGGAGGATGCACACTCCACCGTTTTGAACTTGAACGCAGAAGATGCTAGCAAAGACCACGTTGCCTTTTTTGGTGTCTATGACGGCCACGGGGGCGAAAAGGTTGCCCTTTTCACCGGAGACCACTTGCACGAGGTTATTAGACAAACCGAGGCGTTCCAGAACCAAAATTACATCCAGGCCTTGCGCGACGGGTTCATGGGCATGGACAGAGCCATCTTGGACGATACCGTGATGAAGCACGACGAATCAGGGTGTGCCGCCACCTCTGCGATTATCACCAAGGACAAGATCATCTGCGGTAATGCGGGTGACTCCAGAACTATCATGTCGATCAACGGGCAGGCCAAGGCTTTGTCCTACGACCATAAGCCGACTAACCAGGGCGAAAGCATGAGAATTTACAACGCCGGTAGCTATGTGGACGGTGGCAGAGTTAATGGTAACTTGGCGCTCTCCAGAGCCATTGGTGACTTTGAGTTCAAGAGAAAAACCAACATTCCTCCAGAGTTGCAGGCTGTGACTGCCAACCCCGACGTTATTGAGCACACATTGAGCGCGGAAGACGAATTCATTGTCTTGGCCTGTGACGGGATCTGGGACTGTTTGTCCTCTCAGCAAGTGGTCGAGGTTGTCAGAAGAGGGATCCAGGACGACAAGACCTTGATTGAGATTTGCGAGATCTTGATGGAGATCTGTTTGGCCCCTAACACTGGCGGTGCTGGGATCGGTTGTGACAACATGTCTGTCTGCGTGGTTGCCTTGTTGCAGGGTACTCAGACCCTCGAGGAGTGGCATGTGGCCATGAAGGCCAAGATTGCCAAGGACGGTATCGTCTCTGCGCCGTACGCGGACTTGTCGAGAGACTTGTACGGTAGCGAGCACAGCTTCGGCAGTGAAGACGCCACCCCGCGCGCTCCAGCCGGGCCAGTGGCCGGTGCTCCCCTGGGCTTCAGCTTAGAGGAGTTGTTGGCTAGAGACGCTGTTCGTATCGAGAACGGTGCTGTTTACTTTGACCAATCCGCGGCGGCCGACTTGATGGCAAACTTTGGGATTGGTGGTCCTTTGAGCGCGTTCATCAACAATGACGACGAGGAAAGCGAGGCCGAAGCCCAGATCAAGGAGATTGAGGAGGATGAGAGTAAGAAAGAGGAGACCGATGATGATGAGGTCGCCAAGTAGCTTTGTATGCCCCTTCCCCTTGAGTTCATCTGCCTAATTCTCGCAGCCATGACCCCCCTTTCACTTCGCCCTTTTGCACATCCCCACCTATTGTATCCTATTTAGACACTTTGTCTCTTTTTCTATTCCTAATATTTGTTATCGTTTTGATTCCCTTTTTTTTTTTTTCGTTCTTCTGGTTCGTCTGGTTCGTTGATTTAAACGTTTTGTTTTCTTCTGATGAAGTTGTACATGGGCACCGCACTGGCTGGGGTATCCAATTTAAACAGATTAGCAGTATAGATGGGTTTGAGTAAAAATTATGTAGGTGGAGTATCTGTATGTATACCAGCGTGAGGAAAGAAAATTCGGGTGGCGAAAGTGGGGCCAAGTTGGTACCGGCAACACCCAAACCAATTGTCTGGGGCAAGCCCTGAAGTTCACGGTTGGCATAACATTTCCTACTTTAATTGGACTGGGTCTACAAGATGAAATTGATGGAGACCTTGTTTCTGACCTAAAACTGTGTCTGCACCAACTAATTGCCAAGCTAAACTATATAATATGGATGTTTTAGCATCGCGTGGTCTATCAATCTTGCATGTACCCAAAAATAGCCGAGTACCAGCACCACACCAGTACGGCTGTGCTGCCCAGGAGTGGACATGTGCCATCATAGCACTTAACCGATGAAAATAACACTCAGTTGAACTCAGTCTAGATGGAATATTCCAAATAGGTTTAATCCCACAATTTAATACGAAATGTGCCTTATAATGGGTTCTACAAGATCGATCCCAAAACTCGCCGACACGTCAAGCGGTAGGAGCACACCCACGATCAAGACGCGCCCAATCTACATTTTAGATAATCACCCACTTCCCTTCCTTCACCACAAATCGGGAAGCCTCATTGATTATGAACTTTTTGGCCAAAAAGCTCGGAACCCTTACTGGTTTCTCCATTCCCTACAACTTTCTCGGCGAACCGCTTGTGGTGGAGTCTGTGTGGAAGGTGTACCACGGCACAAAGGTTGAGGACGGTGCAAAGGTGACAATTTTCGAGTTTAACCTTAAGGATAACGCAAACCAGCGCAACGTACCGTTGGCACGAAATGCATACAAGAAGCTCAAGTCTATTCGATTCCCCGGGATCCTCCACATCGTGGACTTTATCGAAAACGACAGCTACTTGTACGTGATCAGCGAACCGGTCACGCCGCTCCGCCAGATCTTAGTAGACGCGGAAGTGTCGCCGGAAGTGAAACTCTTTGGACTCTACCAGTTAGCCAAGACAATGAGGTTTGTGAACAAAGACGCCGGGTTTGTACACGGAAACGTGGGCGTGGACCAAATCTATGTAACCCAGCAGGGCGATTGGAAGTTGAGCGGGTTTGAGATGATGACCAACTTGACCAGCGACCCTGACCAGCCGATCTACCGCTTTTCGCAGCCATTTGCCGTGTTACAGCCCCCTGAGGCCGAACGGGGCATGGAGGGGATCAGGAAGGCGCCTGTTAAATACGACTCCTTCAGATTCGGATGCTTGATCTACGAACTTTTCAACGGGAAGGCGTACCAGCTACGTGAGCTTGCTTCCACCGGCAAAATCCCTGCAACATTGATTCCAGCGTACAAGCGCTTAGTGGCGTCGTTCAGCCTTAGAAGCACCATCGAGATGTTCTACCACTCGGGAGAAACAACCTTCTTCCACACACCGTTAATCCACTTTGACGCCGAATTGACTGAATTGGCGTATGGGGAGAATGAGGCAAAGCTCGCGTTTTTGGCCAATCTTTCGGCCGAGCTTGCTCAAATTCCCCAGTTCCCCCCGGGATTTGTTGAGTACAAGATTCTCCCAGAGTTGGTTAAATTGTTCAACACCAACACAGAGCCAGCAAATACCCCCTTAATCTTGTCCCATATTCTTCAATTCTCCGCCGGTCTCCCGCCCACATCTCCAGAATATGCCACCTTGGTCAAGCCCATCATCTTCAAGGCGTTTACATTGGCTGACCGCGTGACTCGGTTGCAGCTCCTCAATGCCTTGCCCCTTTTAGTCACTACGCTCACAAAGGCGGACATTTCCGATCGGGTATTTCCACAGTTGATCAGTGGTTTTGGTGATACGAACGAGACGATCCGTGAGGAAACCGTCAAGTCGTGCACCCTCATCGCCCCGCTCTTGACCGACCGTCAGCTCAACAACGACTTGCTCCGACTCTTGGCCAAATCGCAGATGGATCCTATCCCTACCATTAGAACCAACACGCTTGTGGTGCTTGCATCCGTCGCGCCCAGCTTGACTGCGTCGTCCAGACCGGGCGTCTTGATCACAGCCTTTTCCAAGGGCTTGAAAGATTCCTTTACCCCATGTAAGCTCCACGCGTTGATGGCGTTCAAAAATGCGATCGATCACTTTCCACCGGAGATCTGCTGTACCAGAGTGTTGGGGGTCATCACAAACTGCTTGTTGGACAAGAACTACCGCGTACGTGACGAGGCTAGACTTGTGTTTGAACAGTATATGGTCAAGATTAACGACGAGGTCGCGAAATTGCCACGCGACCCGAAGGATGATGAAGCGTTTGATATCCAGCTGATTGATGCCGCAACCAAAAGCGGGGCAAAGCCTGTAGAGTCGCCCGGGACGTTCATGTCGTTGATGAAAGGCTCGATGAACAACAGAATGGTTATTTCTACCCCACCATTGGACTCCAGGACCGGCAGCACCGTCCTGTTGGTTGCGCCGACTCAGGAAGCGTCGAGGTTATCATTGGACGAAGCGGTGGATGACGGTTGGGGCTTTGACATGGAGGATGAAATCGAAGCTCCAGTTATCAAGCCGGTGCCAACTAAGACCGCTGTGGTGCCAAAGACCAGAATGAAGTTGCAGCCGAAGAAGGCCAACGTCAGCAAGTTGAACTTGAACTTGGATATGGAGGATGATTCGGGCTGGGGTGATGGCTGGTAATGCGAGAGATGACTGTATAGAGGATAGTATGGTAGACTCCTAACTTGGTGAGGTGGTCTCCCGACTTGGTGAAGTAGACTCTCGACTTGGGACTGTTGTACATAATCCATGATTCATCTGTCAGGGCTGTAGTGTAAATGAAACTCTAAGGAAAGTATTGCTGGCTATAATTCTTTGTACTCTACTCACCGTATCTTGGTCGCGGCATTAAAATAGACCAAAGGTTAATATCGATTACCCGCGGGATATATTGGTATAACGTATACCTTTGTTACAACCCCTTTAGGAGGTTGCCTATTGCAAGGGGCCTTGCCATGATTTTCTTCAATGAGACCTTACGCTAAATCTTACTTTTTTTCATATATTACATAGCTGAATCCGCACCGGAGATTATATACACGCGCTATTTGCCTGGTGTGAAAGGCTCTATCCCACACTAGTACAACTTCAAGCCGCCGGTGATCTCGTCCAAGACGGATCTCGGGGCTGGCCCCAACCCCAATACGGTGGCGCTACCCGCGGCGATCTGGGTTCTGCCGGCGTCGTGGATGATGGTGGCATTTACGTTCAAGCTCATAGCTTTGGCAAACAACAACTCCATCTCGTCCTCATGCGGACACTGCAAGGTGATTTTGGCCTGCCCCGCCTTCAACCAGCGGTTTAGGAGTACCAAGTTACCGGATTCGGCATTGACATTGGTCATTTTGCGGTAACATCCAACCGCGGCATGTGCGCATTGGGCCGCAGCCTTGCCCTTACCCATCCGCAAATCGGTTCGTACCACAAGCGCCATACGGACCTCGCCCGGAATTTCGTTTAACGACTTGGAGTTGATCTCAACCTCATCTTCAGACTCCTCATCGGAGTATTCCTCATCGGAGGAAGAATAGGAGTCGGAGAATGACGGGTGCGCGGCATCGCGCGTGGCCCGCGCTTTAGGCTTCGGCAGCGAAGCAGATGTAAGCATCGCCCCGAGGAAACAGCCTGTCGCGAGAGAAATACCGCCAACAGCTAATAAGTGTGACACGTTGAAGTTGGGCGTTGATAAAACCATCGGGGATACTGGATACTATTGGATTCAAACGAGTGAGGCGTCGCGCCATCTTTTTTTCTGTTTACCTTTAGCCTGTTGCTTTTTCGAGGGGTGCGGCAACCGGGTGATATTTGGGTGGGGCTGTAGTGGGGCAAAGAATAATGCCGGAGTATGACGAGAGCTTGCAGTGAATTTGGGGATCTTCTAAGTAGATTTAATCTAATTTCACCTAGGTTAGTTTAGAGAGAGATGGTTACTAGAAGCTTATAAAATATTCAGAACCCGTTTAGCGGCCGTGAAAATCAAATACTGCCACACCCGCAGTACGAGAGAGTTATACCTCAATCATCCGCGCCTCACTAGAAGCTATATTCAAACATGCATTCAAGTGCATATACCTGATCCTGGGTTGATGGACTTAATAAACCCTCCCAGTAAATGTACGCCGATTCCATATGGCTTACATTTGCTGCCTTCTACTCGCGATTCCTCTGCATCCACTTTTATTACGGCTATTGATCGATGCATTGGTTCATATAGCAATATAACATACACTATTTGGCATCCTTCTTCAAGTCCAAGCCGGGTGGAGGTGCCATGCTCAAGCCTGGAGGTGGTGCCATGCCCGCACTACTGCCCATCAAGCCTGGAGGTGGTGGTGGTAGATGACCTGAGGCGCTTGGAGAAAATAAACCGGGAGGTGCCATGCCAGGTGGAGCTATGCCAGGTGGAGCTATTCCCGGAGGAGCCATGCCCGGTGGAGCCATGCCTGGAGGAGCCATACCTGGCGGACCTCTACCTGGAGGCATGGATAGCCCTGAGGATGGGAAGAACTGCTGCATCTGTTGCACAATAGGCACATGCTGAACGGTCGGCTGAACCCCTTGTGAAGCCTTGTTCTCGATAGCCTTCTTCTGCCATGGTGGGATCGGAATTTCAGCCTTGTGGCGCTTCGCCTCAGGTTCGCTGTACTCAATACCATGACCAGAAGGCCCATTATAACCAGTGTTGTTGTTAGTAGAACCACTATATCCGCTGTTTGCACCGTAACCGCCATTGTTGTACCCCCCACTGTAGCCCTCTTGGTTGTGATTGTAATCTCCCTGGTTGTGATTGTAATCTCCCTGGTTCTGGTTATTGTAACCTCCTCGGTGGTTATAGGTCTGGCTCTGGTTTCCACCGGTGTAGCCCTGGTTCCCGTTGTAACCTCTCTGGTCTTGGAACCCAGAACTAGAACTCAACGGAGTATAGGAGCTGCCAGCTGGACCGTTACGAATGGCATCCATCATAGCGTTGTAGTCTGTCTCACCAGGATTTCCGTTATTCCGCTTACAGTCTTTGGCAAAGTGCCCCTGCTGACCACATACGCGACACACGATCTGCGCAACATAGTTCTCGGTTTTGCGGATGTTCTCAGGGCACTCGAAGCGTTTGTGGCCCGTCTCACCGCATGTGGTGCACGCGGTGTCCTCGCGCAATGTCCCGTTGAGTACGGCCAACTCACGCAACTGCCCACGTTTCAAGTCGTTCTGGCCCTCGGGCGTATTGGCAGCCTTGTCGATGATTGCCTGCACCAACTCTGCAGCTTTCTGGATCCTTTCTGTCGACAGTCCGTGGATCTGCACGTGCAAGTTATCCTCCATAGATGGGTCGGGGGGCAACTGCAGGCCACGATTGCTCTTCCCATCCTTGACAGAGCCCTTCCCACGAATGGCAATTCGCGCCCCGCTCTCCTCCTGCATCTTCTTCAAGGTGTTACCACGCGGCCCGAGCAAGAGTCCGATGAAGTTGATGTGGGGGTAGTCCCGCACGGGAACGTAGATCTTCTCCATTGTCTTGACTGGTGGCCGGTAGTCCTGTGGTGGCTTATAGTTTGGCACAGTTTTCTGGGCTAGTTGCACGACCAAATGCCTCTCGTCGGACAAAACCTGCGCATAGCGCGCCGCGCGCGTGTTGGTCCTCTTCCCCTGCGCGTCATAAATCGGTGCGGGCGATGGCGAGCGTGCACGGTTGTGCGCGTACTTCGCGTACGCGGCCGCAAGATACTTCTCGTCCTTCATAAGCGCCGAGAGCTCCTCAATCCGCACCACCGTCATGTATGCAGCGGTCTGTTCGTGTGTGAGCTGGCCAATGACTAGAGTGGGGAGTTCGCGATGGCCGATGATTTTATTCGTTTGGGGGGTTCCCGACCATCTGGAAGAAACAGGCTTGAAAACAGGCTCAGATACAGGCTCGGACACAAGCTTAGGAACAAGCTTGGGGCCAGAAGCGGTGGTCACGGGCTCGGCGTTACCTTTGGCATCTGTCTTAAGAGCTGGGTTCCGTGATTCGGCTCTTACAGGAGAGCAGCCACGCTCTTGTGTGGCAGCGGTAATATCCATGGTCTATATGAGCAATTCTTTGAATAAGTAACGGTAGATGTCCCGGATGCCTTGAAATGCCAATGGCGAGATGGGCAACATCGAAACACTGCAGTTTGCGGCTCTGAGTTTGCCTGAATATTTTCAATGCACGTGCAAATTGAGGTGGGCACGCAATGACTCCTCCGCAGCCACATACACCATATATAAGTTGAAGAACAAGCCAGCATCACATATGACCGGGAATTACAGCCACGCTCCGTTAATGGACAACTCTTCCAGTCATATTACATACTACTAATGCCAAGATATGAGGCTAATAAGTTTGGATTTTGTTTTTCCCCCTTATGCCTCCGTCTTATCTACAGCTAACGTCTTTGTGACAACGTGCATGCCAGTTGAACGTTAATTAATCATCCGGCGCGCTCCACAGTTTCCGAAATTTTCTCAGCTGTGCATTTATTTTCCCTTCTCCCCTTTTTCTTCCTCTTCTTAACCCAACACCATTGCCATGTCTACCCACCGTGAACCAATCAACGTTAAGGAATTGCCAACCACCTATTCCGGAAAAGTGGAGCTCGCCATCATTGGCGGTACCGGATTGTACCGATTGGACACCTTGACCCCTGTTGCGCGTTTAACCATTTCCACCCCGTGGGGCTTCCCGTCCGGACCGATCACCATTTCCAAGACCGACAAGGGGTTTCCTATTGCCTTCCTCCCAAGACATGGGTTGCACCATGACTTGTTGCCTACCGATGTCCCGGCGCAGGCCAACATCGCTGCTCTCAAGTCACTCGGCGTCAAGGTGATCATCGCCTTCTCCGCCGTCGGCTCCTTGCAGCAGCACATCCGTCCACGTGACTTTGTTTTGCCGTCGCAGATCATTGACAGAACCAAGGGCAACCGCCCACACACCTTCTTTGAGCGCGGGTTCGTGGCGCACGCCATGTTTGGCGAGCCATTCGACCCTAAGTTGAATCTGATTTTGGCCAAGTACGAGCATGTTTTGAACGGCGAGGACGGTAAGAAGGTCAAGTTGCACTCACCGGCAACTGAGGGTAAGGACCTCACAATGATCTGTATGGAGGGCCCACAGTTCTCCACCAGAGCCGAGTCTCAATTGTACCAATCTTGGGGTGCTTCGGTCATCAACATGTCTGTCATTCCAGAAAGCAAGTTGGCTAGAGAGGCCGAGATTTCCTACCAAATGGTGTGCATGTCCACTGACTACGATGCCTGGGATGTCAGCGGCGAACCGGTCACCGTGGAGATTGTTGTGGGTAATTTGACCGCGAACGGCTCTAACGCCCACAGATTTGCCGAGGCGGTGATTGACGAGGTGGCTGAGGAGATCAAGAACGGGAACCTTGGAAACGATTTAGCAGGGTCTATGAAGATGAGTGTGAGCACCAACCCAGTCGGGGTCAAGAAGGAAATCTTGGAAAAGATGTCGTTTTTGTTCCCAGGGTACTGGCCAGTCAACTAAGCGATACTGACACGCCAGCACCTATATTTCTGTGTTAAAATAAATGGCGCCTGATACTTGCAGGATTGGGGCTAGGTTCAGAAACAGACACCTTAGTGCGTGCTTTGTTAAAATTAATGTTGTATCAAATATTTTGTAGCGCAAACGGTCTTAATCCTAACACGAACACCCTATGGTCTGTTGCTATTTTGGAGACTGGAGGAAACTTCTGATCTGGGCTCGAGTATCCTGAAAAGTACACTATATTAGAAAATCAGGTGGGGTTAACTATTTCAAATGAAAGTACAAGAGGTTTGGGAAACGACTAGAAAGAGAAATATGATAAATAGACTCTGGTGGATCTGCTTTGGCGTTATGCTAAAGTTGGACTCGAAGCCTGTGTGAGTCATATTCTGTATACCCAAATGTCTGTGTGATAAGTCAAGGTGGATGATGATTTGTTAGGGGATTTCGGTATGTATAAAAAACTAGAGTAAGCTCAGTCAGAATAAACGGTAAATCTGCCGACGTCCTATGTGATCATGGTACGGGGCCATTCTAAGATTAATGGTGAGAAGGTACGGTTTTTATGATAGATTTAGAGATATTCTGATGCGTATAGAGAGATTGGGGAGTTCATAATAACATTTTCAATCTTGAATAACCCCCACGTTACATTCAAGAACTGAACAAATATTTTAAATCACTAGTCCCCTCAAAATTAACTTTAGTTGCCCGGTAGTATGCGGGCACAATGCCGGACGTGGGGAGGATTTGCATGCCAAAATAATTCTCCGTGCGCCCCCACAGTGAGCGCTCTAGAAATTTCCGGTAATCGGAGGCGTTGGGAGCCAGTGTCCCTGACTCTCATGTATGAGTCAGAGTCTTACAAGCCGTTTCAAGCACACACAAGTGACTCATATTCCAAGATTTTTGACCTATTTCCAGGGCTACTATCAACACAAGCCTTATCTGGCATAAACGAAACAAAAAAATTTAACAAAAATACGCCGGATATCGTCCAATAAGCGTGGGATAGAAGACTGACTCTAGTGGACGTGCCCCTACCAATATGACATAAATCCCGCGCCCTTAGCCGTCGACCTTCCGCTACTCCACCGCCCGGTTTTGCACTCCCTTATCTTTCATCTTTCCGGCAATATATAAACGTACGTATCTCCTCTCTGTAATGTTTAGAAGAACATTTCTCAGTGCCAAAACTGTCCTTAGACCGCACACTAACCTCGCTAGAATGTCCTCCCTCGCCCCATTAGACGCCTCCAAGGTGCAAATCACCAAGACCACCACTCCTAAGGCCAAGCTTCCTAAGGAAGAGCTTGTTTTCGGTCAGTCTTTCACCGACCACATGTTGACTATCGAGTGGACCGCCGAAAAGGGCTGGGACACTCCCCAAATCAAACCATACGGCACCCTCAACCTCGACCCATCTTCCTGTGTGTTCCACTACGCGTTTGAATTATTCGAGGGGATGAAGGCTTACCGCGACGCCAACGGCGGTATCAGACTTTTCAGACCGGACATGAACATAGCCAGAATGAACGCCTCTGCCGAGCGTATCTGTCTCCCAGAATTTGACTCCGAGGAGCTCATCAAGCTCCTTGCTGAGTTTGTCAAAACCGATTCTTCCTTCATTCCTGCCGGTGACGGTTACTCCCTCTACCTCCGTCCTACCATGATTGGTACTGATGCCGGTTTGGGTGTTTCCTCCCCAGGCAAGGCCCTTTTGTTCGTTATTGCCTCCCCAGTTGGCCCATACTACTCCACCGGCTTCAAGGCCGTCAGATTAGAGGCCACCTCTTACGCCACCAGAGCCTGGCCAGGTGGCTGTGGTAACCGTAAGTTGGGTGCCAACTATGCGCCATGCATCAAGCCACAGAGACAGGCTGCATCGAGAGGCTACCAACAGAACTTGTGGTTGTTCGGCGAAGAAGACTACATTACCGAAGTCGGAACCATGAACTTGTTTTTCGTCTTCAACAAGGACGGCAAGAAGGAGTTGGTCACCGCACCATTGGACGGAACCATTTTGGAGGGTGTCACCCGTGACTCCATCCTTGCGCTCGCTAGAAGCCGCTTGCCAACCGACGAGTGGACCATCAGCGAACGTAAGTTAACCATGACTGAGGTTGCCGAGAGATACCACAAAGGCGAGTTGGTCGAGGCCTTCGGTTCCGGTACCGCTGCTGTTGTCTCCCCAATCAAGGAGATTTTATACAAGGGCGAGGACATCATGGTCCCATGCGTCAACGGCGAGAGTGGTAATTTGACCGATCAGGTCTGGAAGTGGTTGGGTGATATCCAATACGGTAGAGAGGAGCACGAATGGAGTTTCAAGATCTAAGTCATAAATTGGCCTTACTATTTCCATTACATGATTTTATTTAGAATTAATGTAGGAGTGAGTTCTATCTTCCTAAACCTTTCATGGAGAGCTACGATAAAGGTAATGTGCTTCTGGTTCTTGATACATGGATCCGTTTCAATGACGGGTAATACCAGGCGGGTGGCGTGGAGGGTGTTTTTACAAATGGCTGGTCAGAACTCAAAATTATCGTTGAAAGGAATCTGTGCTCAGGATAGATACCATGAAGATTTGAATATACAATGTCCCTTACATGTGTTAACATACACTGTGTATTACAATTCCTTATGAGCGAATCCTGGAATGCTCCCAAACCTTTTCCAAGCCCTGCTTGAACACATTGACGTTGTGGTCAATAATCGCTAATGATTGCTGCAAGTTCTTATCGCGACACGACTGGTAGTAGTTACCGTTCTCTTCATCCTCAATCTTATCACCTCCATACACATCCCCCTCGTTGTCGACTCGCACGAGCGCCACAAGGGCAAGCCCTCTAATCATCTGGCGAAGATACAACGTAACGCCGTTCTGCAAGGTCGAGATACACTTGACTTCATCCTTGATGGCCGGTCTGGCCTGATCTCCATTCTCATACAAGCTGTCCAAGTCGATTGTGATGTCAATAAACTCAGCGCAAACCTCATAGGTCTGGATATCGACCGGCGACGAGTCGGTGGCAACGTAGATCTTGGAGTTGACGTCGAACAAAAAGACTTTCTCCAAACGCGAGTACTGCACCAAATTGTCCAACATGTTTTCCAAGCTGGGCAACTCCGGCACCAACTTCTGGATGATGCGGCTGAAGGCCTCGTAGATGGAGTGGTCGAAGATGGAAGTAAGGTAGAAGGAGACCTGGACACCCTCCAAGCCCAAGTCCAACAATTCGTCTCCGGTGCGCTGCATAATGTCGCGCTGGGTGTCGAGGCGGTAGTCTTCGCTCAAACCGTCAATTTTGTGGATGAGCACCTCGATGTGGATCAGCGGATTGATCTTGTAGGCGTACTCGATGATCATCGAGAGATTTGTCAAGGCATTCAAGTATTCGTCCTGGGAATCAATGACGTACACCAAGGCCCCGACCTGCGAGAAAATCTTGGCCGAGTCATAGCTGGGCTCGAAGTAGTTGAGCTGCCCGGGAAGCTCCATCACCGAGAGATCAATCAAAGAGTGGAACTTTTCCGTTGTGGGTTTTGACGTGGATTCAAGGTAAAGTGTGTCTAACGGCTGCATGTTGTGGAAGACGACTTTGCAAATGGACGACTTTCCCCCTCTGTGGTGTTAGTATGTAGAAAACAGGAGTGGACATGTGCAAAGTGAAGAGATTGCAACAGCAAGGTTTGCATGGAAACGAGATGGTTGAGATGTGACATGATGGATGCTATTAAAGGGGTAACCGAGTTAGCTGAAGGGGTGGTGGTAAATAAGCCCCTGTGAATAGCTCCATGTCATTTGCTCTCACATGGAGATTGCTCTCAGTGGTGCAACCAGAAATGGAAATGGAAAGGCAAAGATTTTTCGTATTATATAGCCTTGTTTCTTTTTCAATAATGGACCACATAAGCATGCCTTGCAAATATCCTACCAACCATCTTTTTCATTCCTTCATTTGTACTTCATTTCGTATACATACCTCCGTAAACCCATCAAGAGGATGTTGGCCTTGTTGTTTTTCGGCGTCAGAATGGTATGAGAATCCATTATATGTAATAAATGCGAACTTTAGGATAGCCAGACACGTGGTGTATGTGGGTTGGTGCCGATAAGACTGGGTCGGGAGAATTTTATTTCAACCAGGAAAGGCGTGGTTCAGTATCGTTATCGTGTTGGTGGCGCACGACCTCCCAGAGCCATTGTGGTCGAGGTATTTATTTTCGTTCCACTGTATAAGGACTGGAGTTTATATTAATGGCATTAACTCAGGCATAGCCAGGTAATATTATTTTCTATGGCGATAACCAGAAACTCTCATGTAGCTGATGAGAATATGTACATAAAATCACAATGCTATAACAATTAGATCACAGATCACAGATCACAGGTGAATCACGAGTCGCTTTACTCTTCATCAGAAAGGGTGTTAACGAATACAGATACGGCTTTATGAGTGGTATTTTTCGTCAAAAAGTCAACGGAAGCTAATCAGAGTTGAACCAGTACTCTACCAATTCACGTAATTCCGCATAGAAAGGGTAGACGAGAGAAGAATCAATAGCCATTACAACAGTATAGACTGTTTATAACCCAGGGTTACCACCTCTACAATACGAACTGTCCCAGCCTATTGAGTTCTGGGTGGTGTATTGACCAAAGAGTTGCTAAACCCAGAGTATATGCATTCACTGGGACAGGGATATCCAAAATCTCTGGCTGCTGTTTCAATCTTTAATTTATATAAAACTACTTCAACCTATATAAGGTATTCATATACTTATTCTTACGCTTATTCTTCGGTGTCTCGAATCGTTACAAACACTTCGCGTTAACATTTCATTTAACTATGTTACAGAGAAGCCCGGCATGGCCGGTCTAGGACTATAGTACACGGAAGCACCCAGGAGGGTACCCGCCTGAAGGCAGAAGCCTCACAAAACGAGCCGAGAAGAAATATATGCAACATTCCGGGGCCACGCTTTGGTTATTCACTTTATGGCATCGCTTGGCGTGGAATTATTCACTCAGCCTTTGCGCACGCATACTCGAGCGTGAACCAACACCCGTTATTGCAATGGAGCGTACAAAATCTGCGTCGAATATTTCTGCTTGTACCGCACAATACTCGCCACTGCTAACGTGTTATGCTTGATGCTCGTCGTGGCCAAGTGGTTCAACACTACGTGGTTCGGGATCGGCAACGCCCCCGAAATGTTCTGTAATCCAGCGCTTCCCGAGTCGTTACCCGAGTAGTTATTTAAAATTACATTCTCGAGATGCGGCGGTAATTGCGGCGGGATCAACCACTGCTGCTGGCCGCCACGTTGCTGCTGGTCCAAGGTGAGGTAGTATTGCTCCATGACCTTTGGGTCGGTAAAGATTGCGGGAATGTGGTGGGTGTAGTCGTGGGGCGGCGCGAGTTGCACATGCGACTCGTCGTGGTAGCGCGTGTATCCGCCGCCCATGTCGTCGTCGTCTTGTGTAAGTCCGAGCTTCGAGTCTGCAGAGCGCAACTTTTTCGTGCGGAGGTCCGCGCTCAGAGGCTGTGCATGCACGGGTGTTGGTGCCGCCCAACTTGCAACCTCGATGTAGTTCACAAAGTTACCCATCTGGTCGGTGGCGGTGGGCAACACGTCACTGAAACGCAACTCGTTGTCCACGACGAACCGGAAGCGGTGGGTACCCGGCGGCAACGCGAGTTTGATGCTGAACGAGCCATCGGGCAACCGTACGAGCCCAATCATTTTGCGCCACCCGGTGAAAGAACCGGTGACGTAAACCTTTTCGCCGCCTTGAACCCATTTGATCTCGGTCGGCGGGATTGGTTGTGTCTGGCTTGGGATAGGCGCCGCTGGCGCTGGCTCGTCATTCATGTTGACATCGGGCGAGGCCTGAGACGGGGCAGCGTTCTGATGGGCCAACTTTAATTTGTCAAACTCCAAGTCATCGGTGAGGATAAGAGTGGACTTGCGTTTGACCGGTGCATTAACATCGGTCATCGACACATCACCCTGTGTGTGGTTGATTTCGGGGAATTCCGCGTACTCTTGGTGCGAGGAAGACATGGAGGGGGTAGGGTTCAGGCTAGGGCAGGGGGAGTTCTGACGAGAGTTTGGGCGAGGGTTTTGGTTAAGACTGGGAGAGTCGTGGTTGTAACGGTCGTGGGTTTGATTTTCGTCTCTGGGCTTGGTGTGAGGGGAGATCGCGGAGGGAGAATTGCCCATTTAAGCGTGTGTGTGACGAATGGCTAGGCGAGGTCGGAACTGGCGGTGGCTGCCTAAGCTTTAAATTCTGGGTTTTCGCTTTCCGCCACGAGGTGCGTGGCCACAATGGACATATGCAGGACGATCAATGATCTCCACCAAGCGACTTTAAAAGCAGAGCTGGGGTGAAAGGGTAAATCATAATATGGCTTCTACGTGCCCGTAATAAGGGCATTTATTTTATTTCGTCGTCCAATGGCTCTTCAAGGGTATGGACAATGAGAGGTTTGGATATGTCAGGGCCCGTAACCGCGTATCATCATGTGACTGGCCCCTACCCAGAAGGATTAGCGAAAATGTTGGGAAAATCGTCAGGTCTGTCTATTGAGAGTGAAATAGTTGGATTTACCGTATTGGGTGTTGACTCAGGGGTTCCGCTTAGAGTTTAGGGCTGTACATTGTGTTATTTTCATAACCTAGCTTGAGCCGACCCAAATATCTTGTCGACCCTTATCTGTATGCCTTGTTACGTGATGCCCTGCAACCGATCGGCCAATCACGGGACTGTGCGGGAACCACGAGGATCTTAACCTGTGCGTCTATGAGTCCGTTTCTAGTCTGGGAGATAGCGCTAGACCTCGTAAGACATTCTAAGATGAATTGAAGCTATGGATTAAGTTCACGGGCGTCGTAAATGGAGCTATTGACGATATAGGCGGTCGCACGTAGAATGACTCAACTTCTGTTATTGCGCAGATGCTATAACTGGGCTGAGTTTTTGGAGTCACATGGGCAACTAAAAGGTTAAAGGACATAACAGTGAGAGATGGGTAGTTCCCTAAGAGAGTTTGAAGTCGTGGGTATGTAAGGAGACAGAGTGGGCCAAAATGTTCTTCATGGGATAATAACCCTGGCGATGGCACTGAATAGAGCACACTTTAGCACGAATTGGGTCTACCAAATGTATAGCTATAATTTTTCACCGTTATACTCAGAAAGATAGACCTTATCTGGCAATTCTATCCAATAACAGCTTGAAGGCTTCCAATTCAGGCTAACGTTCAGTCGATATTGTACCGATTCACAGTAGGGGCTTACACCGAATTACTACTCGGCCATGTACCCATGAAATTGAAATGATACCCATGGTCCGCTCCGAATCTCCAATCTAATCGCATTAGACAACCCGGTATTTGATTCAAGTTTCTGGAATATTCCCACTTGCAAACCGAGATTCATTGGTGTCTCAAATACTGCGAAACACTTCAAGGTCGTACACTCTTTTATTTTAATAAAACCAATATATTCACTAGTCCTCACACCGGAGGACAATAACACCATAAAGAAAGAGTGTTTTTTGGCGCCAGAAGGTCAATAAATACATAACAAAGATGTAGCGCAACAAATACACAAGACGCTAAAATACAAAACCTCAGGCGTACACCTCGTTGGTGTTGCGTCTGAGCAATTCACCCACAGAGCACCTCTCGCCTTCTTCCTCGCCGGTAAAAGAGGCAATCGAGTGCGCACCCGATATGTTGGAGGCACTTCTCTCCAATCTGGCAGGTCTCCGCGGAGAGAAACTGACGGGTTCGTCGTCATCAGGCACAATGCCGTTCTCGGAGTCGGACGTTTCCGGTGACAACATGAACTTTTTCTTGTTATTCAGTCTCAACTGCTGCGACAACAAGGACGCCTGCAAGCCGGAGGCGGTGACGGACTGCTTGCGGAGGAAGTTGGAGTTGCCACTGGCGGAGCGGTTAGAGAAGGAATTTGTGCGGGAGGCCGCGCGAATGCCCACAAACGGTGGCGAGACGGCATGGAGGTTGGAGGCGGAGGTGGAGAAGGAAAGCGATGGTCTGCGGGCCAGGGCATCATTCTCCAACATGTCGTTGTAGGACATGAATGAAAGGGTCGACTTGGACTGGTTAATCTGTGAGCTAGCGTCATCAGTTTCCGTGTTAGTCGCGATGCGTGAGACGGAGTTGGTGCGGCCCAAAGCGTGGTTGAGGGACATGACGGAGGATCTTCTTGGGGCGTAGATCATTTCCACGTTATCTAAGTCAGAAGTTCCAGAGCCCAAAATGGAGGCGGTCGCATCAAGGACCGGTGGGATGTAGTCCTGGGTGGAGGACAACGTGTGGTTGACGAAGGAGCACGATCTGTGGCCACAAGCCTGATGGGTGGGGGATCTGGAAGGGTCCGCTGGCTCCTCGGAACCGCGGCGCTCTTGCTGGCACTTTGTGCACTGCAGGGCTGACATGTTCAACTGCATTGGCAACGAGTGGTCTTGCACGGAACGCTCAAAAATCATGGACGAAGGAGACGATTCGGCAAACATAAATTCGCTATCGAATTCCTCGTCTGGCTCAGCGGAGGCCATCAGGCTGGGCGACGCCAAGCCGTGGTTGATGTGTGTTTGTGGTTCTTCCGGCTTCTTGTGGAAGGAAAAGAAGCTGAGTCTGCGCTTGGGTTCGGTATTGGACATTGTGATGTGTGATTATGGTATAGCAAGAATCTGGGGCAGGGTAAAGAAGGCTGAAACAGAGGGATGAAAACGGAGAAAGAGGTATAGCGGGTGAGGTGGTGGACAGCAATAGAGGGAGCGGGACGAGTGTTTTAAAGCAAAAGCAAAAAGTATCGCTATCGATAGCGGCGGCTGTTTGTGAGCGGCACCCCCCCTCCTTGGACGCTGGCGGAATGCGAAAAAAGGAAAGATAACGCACGGTGTGTGCAGGTCGTGCAGTGCTCCCCTCCCGGTAGGCGCCGGAGGTCACAAGCCCAGCACGTGTTTCGAGTCTCTTGGCTACGCTTTCCGGGTTTCGGGTTTTCAGCCATGGTCAAGCTCTGACGTCTTGGATCTAGGATGGTTTAAGCAAAGGTCCAAGTGTCACCTTGGGGAGGGTTTGTTAGAAACTCTGGACTAAGGGGTTAGGAAACATTAACGTAACGAGTAGCGCTGCTGCAAGCCCCGGTAAGGTGTGACAAGTGTGGACTGTGGACCCACACCACCGGAAATGCCTCCGGAGCAGGGGGCCGGTATTCTGTGTTTGACGGCTCCAAGACCTAAACGAGAGATTGAAAATGATTGAAACTCTGAGGATGCATTTGAGGACTCCTATGTAAATAGCAGTCCTATGGTAGTTCTACCTAAGGGCAACAGTAAGGAAATGCGACAATGCTAGATACGAGAGTTATATTCTAGTTTGTTTGTTTTCTGAGACAGATTACATGGTATAATAATTGTATAACGTTGGGAGAGCGTTGCGGATGGGGAAAATTCCGCAAATCTTTGTATTGGTATTACTCCCTAGCCGTTGTGTAGCCACGTATCTCAATCGTTAAGTGTCTCTTATGATGATAACAATCACAATTCTCATGGAATCTGCGACGTACAAGGACTTTGGGGGTGAAACGCAAGCAGATAATCACCCATTTAGTCAAGCAGAGCGAGACACTCTGTACCCATTTCCGGTTTAACCTAAGTTTTACTAGCCCCTTGGAGATACGGCATTCTTCCCCTCTTATCAGTCACGGCCCCTGCCAACTTTAAAGTGGATAGCGGGGCCGGGATATGCTCTTTCCGGTCCCGTTATTTAAAGTATTTTCAGGCAATAGTCTAAATCAAAGTTTAAGCTATTCCAATTTAGCTAGCAATGCTCCTTTCGGAGTCGTAGTGCCGACGCTGTAGCTCTAAGAAAGTTTACCTGGTCAATACCTCAAAACAACCTGCGGTATGATAGAACAAAAAAAAAGGATACAGTTGTATCCAAGCTCCTTATCCCTGCCTCTAGCTTAGGACAGCTCAAGGCAAGCATACATCACTTCCAAAATGAGAAACAGCACAATCGGCAATGCGGGATTCCACGCGTTCTCATGTCATTTTCTTGCGATATACCCCGTGTAGCCGACTCTGATTCCGGGCTGTGGAAACCGACAACCTTCTGCAGGCGCAGGATGACGCTTTTCCTGACCTTCAGAACTCCCGGCCGAGGTGCATATCTGTCACGGACAGGCTGCGGCGACATTGCGTCGGTGAGAAAAGTGTGGAAAAACGTGTGCATGCCGTAAGGTATAAAATCGGCGAAACTTAATAATCAAGATCCAACAACCGTAATTGGGGACTATAGCCAAGACATTGAACCATTTTACCTTTGATTCCGACTGCCGGATTACAAAGCCCACTGCTTGATGTTTGGCCTATATCGAAGCGTACACATCTCGGTCTCGGACATGGGGGGCCAATTGTATGCGTTCAACCTCGTCTATCATTCTAGCAGGTGAGTGGTGACGCAAATACAGCCCAGTCTGACCATCAGTCGGGTAAATCACATCGGCGCATGCTTTCTACCAATCGAAAGAATAAGTACCGTCAGGTCATATCACCTATTGTTCCGACTTAAAATCCACACCACTTGAGATTTATCCGATGCACCAATCTACCCAACCGTTTTTTCCAGCTCGCATGTAAGCATGACTCGCCCATGCACCAATCAAAAAGTAGCTTTATGAGCGCGTGACCTGTAGCGTGAGCCGACATGTAAGACACCCTCTCCCCCCGGTATCGGACCACGTTGTACAGCCTCGAGTGAAACTTTTGGCATACCAAATGCCTTGCGAGATAACAGAATCGAGTGACCCTGGAGATAATTGAGAGTTCTACAATCCCAAAGCTCTGTCCTTGGATTTATCATTATGTCACCCCTATATCTTGTACCTATCGACGACTGCAAACCAAAAATGTAATAGTCCAACCCATACCAGTTGAAGATATTTGTGCTGTCCCGAAGTTTCCAAAATAGACTTAGTTGATTTTTAAGGATTGAACCCTGATAAGCAAGGCCGAACCAATATGTTAGTCGAACCTATTTCCGAGCCATCTGAACGTCGAAGTCTGTAAGTGAACCTGGCTTTGCTGTGGCGCACCAATTTTGATTGTGGCGGTATATCTCAAAGTGTTATTCTGTGGCGCATGGAAAGCTGGAGCCTCATCCCGTCATCGAAGGGATAGACCATCTTACAACGCTACTATTTTGGCAGTTTTATGCCATGCGGGCATAATTTCTATTCCTTAGTAATACCTGAAATACGCTTTTCATTAGTTCTGGAAGGAAATATCAATGCCCGTCTGGATCAATCGTTATAGTATAGTCCACCTGCATATACCTACTCCGAGCCCGGAGGCGACTCTAACTGAGTGGAACTCTAGCGGCAACTCCACACACCCCCAAGCTCTCTCCCATTGGCCTAAAATTAACATACCTGATATTGCGGTATATTAAATTCATATATTTAAAATCCACCTATAGTTGACCAACACAGCGGATTCACCAGCCCCGCGGAAGACTCCGGTCTCCTACATGGAGTGTCCTTACCGACATGAAAAAGCCTTCGTTTGCCCAGCGCCTCTGATAAGAAGCTGGACCCTTTTCTCTACCCCTTTCTTCTTTCTTCCTATAGATATACTGCCATGCGACTTATTCAGGGACTTACCAGAGCGTGGAAGCCATCTCATTTGGCCACCTCCCGCCTATCTACCAGACTCCTTCACGCGGTGCCTGTGGACACGCCCCGGAGCGTTGATCCAAAATACCACACCACAATAGAACAGACAAAGGAGAGAAATGACCAGACAAGGCCCTTTAGTAGCCCCTCGCTTGAGGAAACCCACAGTATGCTCCGCAAGGTGTGTGACGATCCAGCGTTCTACCTGACTGTCGCCACCTCCGAAGCCCCACTTGCTTCGTTCTTCAGCAAGTTCACCGCCCCAGTAACCTCTACCGGGCTCTTTAACAACCCATACCTTACCAACCCGGGGGGTCTCCACACATTTGCGGTTAACTCGCTAGAACAGGCCAAGGCGCTTGTTGCGGACATTACCGCACGCGGTGCACAAGCCGCTGAGATGGACGCGCATGCGCGCGACACCCACGACATCACGCGCAAGCTCGACCAGCTCTCCGATGTGCTCTGCCGTGTGCTCGACTTGTGTGGCTACGTGCGCGAACTGCATCCGTCGCATGCATTCCGGCGCCAGGCGCAGCTCGCACACGAGATGCTCTACGAATACATGAACGAGCTCAACACCAACGAAGACATTTACCTCGCGCTCAAATACGCGATGGAAACCCCCGCCAACCTCGCCCGCTGGAGCTCCGAAGATGTTGCCGTCGGGCAGATCTTGATGAACGATTTTGAAAACTCCGGGTTGCACATGGCGTCCGGTGCGGGCAACACGCGCGAGGGCTTTGTGTCGCTCACCCAGGAAATCGCCGTCTTGGGTCAGACGTTCCAGCAGGGCGTGGGGCGCTTAGCGCTGGGCCACGTGGCACTCACGCCAGAGGAAGCAGACCGGGTGCCACGCGCGCATACAATGTTGGGTCTGGCGCGCGCACAAGGAAAGTCAAAGCGTCGCGTCGCGCTCCAGGGCACACTTCCGTACCAACTTCTCCGCTCGTGTCCTGAAGAGTCTGTCCGTCGCAAGATCTGGATTGCCATCCACTCGCCGGCCGAGCAGCAAGAGCAGTTGCTCGAGGCATTGCTTGTGGACCGTGCGTTACTCGCACGCTTGATGGGGAGCAACTCGTACGCAGAATACAATTTGAAGTTGAAAATGGCGCGCACGCCCGAGCAGGTGATGGAGTTTCTCACAGCCGTAATGGATGTGCAGCGGCCAAAGCTCGATGCAGAATTGGCCACGTTGCGCGCGATCAAGATGCAGGGTACGTGTGCGGACGCAGACGTCATGCCATGGGACCTCACGTATCTCAAAACGCAGCTTGCAATCCAGAAACCGTCAAAGCAAACCGAGTCCCATCTGGACTACTTTTCGGTGGGCACCGTGTTACGCGGGATCTCGGAGTTGTTCCAGAGCATCTACGGCATCCACTTCCGCAGCGTGCCTGTGCTCTCGGGTGAGTCGTGGCACCAGGACGTGCGGAAAATCGAAATTGTGTGCGAGGAGGAGGGTGTGATCGGGATCATGTACTTGGATTTGTTCCTGAGACCGGATAAGAACGGTCACCCGGCGCATTACAATATTGTGTGTGCGCGCAAGGTCTTTGCGGATGAATTCGCAGACGCAAACACGTCAAATGGCAATTTTGTCATGAAAGACGCATTCAACGGCGTGAACGTGGTGCAGACGGCGGTCAAAAAGAGTCCTGCCGGCGTGGAGGAGGTTTTCCAGTTGCCCGTCATCGCGCTCGTGTGCGACTTCGCGAAGAACGACCCCGACCACACCACGAGCTTGCTTCACCAGCACCAGGTGGAGACGCTTTTCCACGAGTTTGGTCATGCGATCCACTCCATGTTGGGGCGCACCATCTATCACAGCATTTCCGGCACGCGGACCCCATCGGACTTTGTGGAGGTGCCGCTGATCCTCATGGAGTCGTTCGCGCGCGACCCACGTGTGTTGGCACGCATGGGGCGTCACTACGAGACGGGCCAGCCGATCAGTGAGCAGGCGGTTCGTCTGATGGTGGATCACGGAGCTACATTCCCGGCGTTGGAACTCTTTTCCACATTGAAGCTTGCGGCGGTGGACATGGCGCTTCACGGGGAGGAGGTGTTGCGCGCGGGACGTCCACGTGCAGGCTTTGCGGCGCGTATCGCGCACAGGGTAGAGCGTGATTTTGGCGTTCTAGCGGACACTTACAGCAACGGACAGGCCCAGTGCAGTCACCTCAACTCGTATGGCGCGAACTACTATTCGTACGTGCTTGGCAAGCTCACAGCGCAGCGTATCTGGGATAAGTGGTTTGTTACGGACCCATATGCGCGCTCCGGTGGCACGGCTTTCCGTGCGGGTGTCCTAAAGTGGGGTGGTGGCCGAGACCCGTGGCGGATGTTGGCTGACGTCTTGGAGATTGAGGCATTGGCCAAGGGGGACAAGCAGGCCATGCGAATTCTCGCGGGAGATAAGTAGCATTTGATATAAGACATGTACATGAGAGGTGAAATACAAAAAGTCAGGACAGCTCTAAATCGAAAGTCAGAGCTGAGCGATTGAAGCGTGAGTAGAAATCGGACGATATGTGCTGGAACCTGCGAGTAGGTTGCTAGTCGAAGGCGAGCTCTCCGTTGAAGCATTGGATAGAGCTCTGAGATTTTTAGTCTATATTTGCCCGTCTTACGGAGAAAAAGGGATGGTTATCTGCCATTCGCTAAATTTATATCCGGAAATCTGTATCTTCGTAGGTTTTCTAATCCAGTTCAGGCCATGCGGCAAGTATCTTAAACCTCTTTCCGCCGTGGGTTAGACCGATGGCCCAATGTCACATGGCCTTCTATCCGACACCCAAAGTCTGTGGTTCTAAACGTCACACGTACTAACTGTCGGAATTAATCCTCGTTAATTCACCCACACCCCTGTTACCTTATTTCTTTATCCTCCCTCCTTTATCGTTCCTCGTTATGGCTCTCTTCTTCGGCCCCTCCAATTTATGCCAGTTAGATTCCTATACTTAATAAATTACCTATACACAAGGAACTGGTCCTAGCTGCGGGAAATCGCGCAGCTATTCGCTTACAACAACCCAAGCTTATCCATTCTGACCTTCACAGCATTGCGGTGGCCTTCAAGCCCCTCAACCGCAGCGAGAGTCATCACAGCGTGCCCGATGCTCTTCAACCCCGCTGGAGAAACATCCTGAGAGGTGATGAACTTCTGGAACGTGGCGGTGTTGACACCAGAATACATCTTGGCATACCCGTAGGTTGGTAAGGTGTGGTTGGTCCCAGAGGAATAGTCACCACAGGACTCTGGTGAGTACGCACCAACAAAGATGGAGCCGGCATTGTTGACCTTTGCAACCCAGGACTTGGCCTCCTCAATCTGCAAGATCAAGTGCTCTGGGGCGTATTGGTTGGACAAGGCGATGGCAGCCTCGTAGGACGAAACCAACAAGGTGGTGGAGTGGGCAATACACTTGCGCACAATCTCCACTCTAGGTAACACCAGGGCCTGTCTGTGGACGGCCTCGTCCACAGCCTCCAACTGCTCCGCGGTCATATCCACGGCTAACAAGATAACCTGGGAGTCCACGCCGTGCTCGGCCTGGGACAACAAGTCAGAGGCCACAAAATCTGGATCGGCCTTGCCGTCGCAGATGACCAACACCTCAGATGGGCCCGCTGGCATGTCAATGGAGCACAAGGCGGAAGTGTCGTTTTGTACGTGCATCTTCGCGGCAGTGACAAATTGGTTGCCGGGCCCCATGATCTTGTCACACTTAGGCACGGATTCGGTCCCGTACGCCATGGCTGCGACAGCCTGCGCACCACCAGCCAACAAAATCGCCTTAGCACCGATCTTGTGGGCCACGTAAACAACCTCCGGGGTCAAAGTTCCGTCCTGGCGAGGAGGCGAAGCAAGAATGATGTTCTTACAGCCGGCAACCTTGGCTGGCACACCCAACATCAAGGAGGTGGAGGGCAAGACGGCGGTGCCCCCTGGGACGTACAACCCGACGGTCTCGACCGGTCTGGCAAATCTGGAGCACACGACACCTGGGCAGGTTTCGACCTCCAAGGTCTCCGTCAACTGCGCCGTGTGGAACTTCTCTACGTTGGCGATGGAGATGTCGATGGCGGACTTGATCTCTGGAGTGAGCTCCATAAGCTCTGATGCGAACGGCGCGCGTAACACCGGCGAGGCGAGCTTGACATGATCGAACTTTTCGGTTAATTCGAGAATCCCGACATCGCCCTTGGTCTTGACGAGGTCGATAATCGGCTGAACGAGCTTCATGATGTCGGAGGTTTGCTGGACGGGTCTTTGGAGGGCCGCGGCTACTTCCGCTGAGGTGGCGGTAGCCGAGTCTAAACGTTTCATGACGATCCTGGAATCAGTAAGCTCTGCAGGAGCCATAGCTTCAGCCTTGGCCGGGAGAAACTTTGGTTTGGCATCACCCTTGCGCCTCGTCACCTTCAACCCCTTAATATCCAAGTTCCTCTCAACATCCGCTAACGATACCCCCTCCTTCACACACTTGGTCAACGCAAAATAGATCAAGTCGGCACACTCCCAAGCCACTTCATCCTTGCTCACCGCCTCGGTCAACTCCTCGGCCTCCTCTTTGATCTTGGCCGCGAGCAACACCTCGTCGGAAAAGAGCCTCTGGGTATACGAGCCCGGAAGCGCGTTCGCCTTTCTGTCGAGCAATGTCTTCTCCAACCTCGCCAATCCCGAGTAGTTGCCGAAACAAGTAGATTGTGCCAAATGGCAGAAGCCTACGCCGGACTGCTCTACAGTGAAGACCAAACAGTCACCATCGCAGTCAAAGCTGAGCGTAATAAGCTTCTGGGTGTCGCCGGACGTGGCACCCTTGTACCACAAGCCGTGTCTTCTGGACTGGTATACACCGGTTCCAGTTCTGATGGCCTCGGAGATGGACTCCTGCGACGAGTAGACGAGTCCAAGGGACTTCCCCTGGACGTCATTCACTAAAGTGGTGTACAACCCGTCAGGTCTGTCGGTGACCAATTTGGAGAGCAAGACAGCAGCAAGGGAGACCTTGGAAGGCTCTTCAGCTGCGTTTGTGGTGAGCTTGGTGTGGCACACGATGGCGGTGTAGCCGAGCTTAACGGCTGCGTAGACATCCGTGGAGCGTTCAAAGGAGACATAAACCAGACGAGAGAGCGGTTCGAGCGTTGCGGCGACGGTTTCATTAACGAAGATGGCGCTCTCTGCTGGGATTTCGGCGATCTGCGCGGCAGAGGCGACCTCCACGGCAAGTCTAGCGGCCGGGATGCCGGCTTCGACTAACTGGGCAGCCAATTTTGGGGCAACAAAAACTTGCGAAACGCCGGAGTTGAGCAACTCAACGGCCTGGTCCACACCAGCGTCGGTGGCGAAGATGTCAACCTTGACGTCAACGGTTTGTGGGACGCTTTTGAGGAAGGCCTTGAGCGCCGGGATGTCCGCAACGGCGGCTAACGGAACGACCGCTTTGCCGGTGACGGCAAAGGCAGCAAAATCCGCGGCGGAAGGTATGACGGCGTAATACGGCGCAAGTGGGAAGCTCATTAAATGTGATAGTGGTGGGGAAAAAAAAGAGGTGTAACAGAATAATCTTGAAAGAGGGAGTTTTCACGCCAGAGTTAGCGTCCAAATTACTAACTTGGCGCATGTGAGTCAGATTCACGTGCCGAGTCAGTTCTAGATCAGGCGCAGGCTCTAATGTTAAGCGCGGTGAAAACTGGCGATAGCGATCCGTTAAGGAAAAACAAGCGATGGCCAGTAGCGATACCTAGTAGCACTGGACTTAGGACAAGAATAGGGAGTAGATATTAAAAGATATGGACATATAAGGTAATGTAATTTTATTATGATACGGTGGTAAACCCTGTGATTTTTAATCCAATAAGAGGGCATACAGTGGTGTACTTCTGATACACATCTGGGAGATATCCGGTTTAGATTCCGCGAGACAAGTAGAACTCAGGGGGAGGTCATTGACTGGATTGGGTAAAGTAAGAAGTAACTAGATGGTAAGTAGATACCTTCAAATGCTAAATAAATTTAAATATATATATATAGGAAGCACAACAGATATAAGTATGCGATATATAATCGAAAATTAAGCCTATATATAGAAATATTTAATGAACGGTAGAACAAAACTATTTGGCATAGTTTTACACCCACAATTGAGTGGGTCAGCCAGTTTATACTAGATACAGTGGGTATGAAGTTTATGGATTAGGGAGGTCCTAGTCTACCCCTGATGAAACGACAGAATCAAAGAACTATTCTTCCTATGCGATTTTACATGTATCCTCAAACTCCTAACCGTATAATCAGTAATTAATTTAATGGAGAAATGTCCAAGTTTTGATAAGTGTCAGTAACTCATAGCTTAAGCTAGCATGTTTTGATAGTTATTGTCGAGGAAGGCAATTGGCGCCTGTCTGTAGTTATCTTGTCCTGTAGAAAGACCAAGGGCATTGATATACATTATGTTGTTGGCAACCGAATTAGATGTTCGCTATTCACGTTCGTCAAGGTTTACGTCCATGTGGTATCTGGTAGGTACCATTAGCTAAAAGATAGGTTTTGGTTACATTATACACTAGCTATCACATGAAGAGCTACATAAAGCACAAATTGAAAATACCAGATCTAGGTATAGCTCACACAGTGTTTCCGACCAAGGGTAGCGCACAGCTCGAGGTATGGCTTGGAGTGGGTTGATTCAGAGCTAGCTTACTAAATTAAATATTTCTCGTAAGATCTCTTTGAGCTTCTTTCAAGTCCCCTTCGGTAACTTCTCAATCATTCCTTTCAGTACCTACTAATACCCTTGCGCTACACTCGTATCGGTTTCAACGACTAATTGGACTAAAAATACCTTTTCTAAAAAATCTACATATCTGAGTTAATCTCGCCCGAATATTTTTTCAATACAGATCCCTTTTTGTCTCAAACTCTAGGGTAATATTCAGAGCCTAATCCTTAGACTCTGTCTCTGAAAATACCAACTTCTGCTATCAAGCCCTGCTGGTTTACTATGCATCACTGTATTCCCTTGGCCTACGCATACCTCGAGTTTTGTCAATAAATCCATCCCTGTGCCTCATTTTTCGTTTTTCCTTTTATTCGGCCTGTTGGAATCACCGTTCGGGTATCGGGCCTTCACCAACTTCGGCCACACGCGGAGTCTATCCACCATCAACCACTTGACCATCAACGCGGGGTCAACGGTCAACGCGCTCATAATATCGATATATGGCCCGAGTGCGAGGGACAGGGTAAACTCGCGTAACCGCTTTTCCTCGTAGTACCCCGCCTTAAGGTCTAACTCCCTCAAGATGGCCACTATCCGCCCCACCATCCCACTCTTCTGCTTGTCCGTGATTGCGTTTGTCCTCCACTTGGCGTCCTTTCGCCACGCACTTGCTTTCTTCCCACTCAAGTGCACAGACACCGTTCCAATAAGCGCATCGCCAAAGCCCAACGCCTCCGAGAGGCTCTGTACTGTGAGCAAATCTGTCTTGTCGGTAATTGCATTGGCGTAGCCACGCTGAAGCGATACCACGAATGTAGGGTTGAGCGTCGACGTCTGGTTAATCACCAAGAAATAGAACCGCGCCTGCATTTCTGTATCGTGGATGAACGGCATTACCGAAACCTGGTCCACTACGTACCACGGATATACGCTCCCGGACCTTACCGGGCTCTGTTTGAACCTCTGAACAAGGAGTTGTGCTTCGGTGTACAAGTAGTTGTATGTTTTATTGCGTTGCTCGATCTTGTAGGAGACAAATGCTTCATTGCTTCCCTCACCCGACCGAGGCAAAGCAGTGTATCCCCATCCGAGTTGGGCCAAAATATACGCCACCGCCGCGCGTGGGGCAGCGCGGAAGGCGCCCACTAAACTGGCAAAGTCGCCGAACGTGAGGGCAGAAAAGAACTTTGACACTTCTACTTCGTTGTACCCTTCGACAGCAATCTTCTTCCCGTCCATTAGTCTCCCAAATTCACGCGTGATGTATTCGTGCTGGCTCGGCAAGACGCTGTCGTAGCGCCACAACGCGTGCTTGCGCCAGTCGCTGTGGTTTCCAGAAATAAGGTTGAGGTAGTTTTCGGCTAACGAGAATACTTCGCCGAGCGACACCTTGGAGGTGATGTCTTTCAGAAATCTGTGACCGGGCGCAGTGCAGTCAAGGGTCATTGTATAGCCAGTCTTGGTCTTGCGCACACACAAAAAGAACACACGCCGGTCTAAAACGCTGTTGTTGTTGTGGAGAAGCGGGACGATGAAGGTGAGGGCGTTGAGCGCGAGCCATGGGTAGCTGCTCAGCTCAAAGTCGAGCTGGAGCGAGAGAATGTCCGGATACTTTTCGGCTTCCTTGTCCAATTCGCGGCCGATGTCCAAGTAATCGTAGAATAGCGTCTGGAGGTTGATCTGGTCGGCACTGGCCGTCTTTATCGCCTCTCTTTTCTTGGCTGGAGACTTAACCTCCTCCACCTCTCTCTTCTTGGCATCCGTAGAACCCACCTCGTCCGTCTCTGTTTTCGAAAACATCTCCTCTTCCGCTAGCTCCCTGTCAAGGGAAAGATAATTGACCTTTTCCAACGCTGTTTCGGTATCCATAAGTTTAATCTCCTCCATCGGCCGGTTGTCATCAGAAAAAACAGGCTCCGTTGGACCCTCCATCATGCGAAGCTCCTCCAAAAACCGCTCTGGAAAATTGGTGAGATTTTTCGCCTGCTGCTCCTTCTGCAACGCCAAAATCTCGGAAAGCGACATCCCCTTGAGCTTTGTGCTAGACTTTAAGCCGAGCAACGCAGGAACTGTCTGAGCGTCGGTATCATTCAACCCTACAAAGTCGATAATGTGACAGTTATCCTTTCCCATGGCTCTTCTTAACCCTCGGCCAATCATTTGAGTGAGCAACGGCCGCGATCGGGTGGGACGGGCCAATAAGACACAATCGATGTTCGGAATATCTGTGCCTTCAGTGAACACACCACAGTTGAGTAACACCGGAAACTCGCCCCGTTTGAACGCTTCCACAATCTCGATCCTCTCAGCAGATTTGGTCTCACCGGTGACAAATCTCGCATCGACTCCACGCATGATGAAAACCTCCTGGAGCGAGCGAAGATGGTCGATGTTGATACAGAACACCAAAGTGGACATTCGGCTGTAGGTTTTTGCCATGTGGATGTACGTCGTCAAGATCAACGAGTTGTTGTGACTGGTGTTCATGACCGTGGAAAGTTTATTGGTATTGTAGTCGCCGGTCTGCGAGTACACTTCCACGACGGACAAGTCTGCTTCGGTCTCCACCGTCGTGAAAACAATGTCGCTGAGCCACCTGTCCAGGGCAAAGTCACTCAAGCTTTTTTGGTAAACCACCTCGGGAAACACGGCATGCAATGTTTTCAGGTCCGCTCGCTCCAATGTGGCAGAAAAGCCGATGTACGGGACAGATGCGGACTTGAAATGTTGGAGGATCTTTCTGTAGGACGGAGCAACCGCATGATGGCACTCGTCGATGATAATCAAGTCGAATTCGGATGGAACGTACAGGTCAAGGCGGTTCCCCCGGGATAACGAAGCAACGGAGGCGATCACAATGTTGTTGTCAGGAAGGGCACGATTTTCCGCCATTTCCAAGCCCACCGATAAGTCAGGTAGGTACACGGCGCAGGCCTTCATGGCTTGGGCGGCAAGCTCCTTTCTGTGAACCAAGATCAAGGCTTTCTTGGGTGGATGCTGGCGGGTTCGCTTAATTAAGTTGACAAAAATAACAGTCTTGCCGCTACCTGTGGGGAGGGATACCGCTAGTTTAGTTCTTCCGGCTGCCATGGCTGCCATGCTGTGGGATATACACTCTTCTTGGTAGTCACGAAGGCCATGACTGGTTTCCTCTACGTGTTTCGTGCGGTAAGATGTGTGAGTAAGAAATCGAACATGGCCCATGTTGGAGTGTTTCTGGCCATATCGCCCAACTATGCAGTGACGGGGAAATACGATTGAATAGCTGGCGGCTGTTGGAGGAGGAGTCAAGCTGGGACTGGTTGTAACGGGCGGTGCAGCTTGTTGCGGAAATGTTCGACATGTCGGTATGTATCGGAGGACATTAACTCCGTTTCTTCTTGGCATCGATACAAGTTATTAGTATAGAGTGGTTGTTCTGAGAAACCAATATCACTTTTGCGTATCAAGTTTTAGCTAGAGGTATGAAAAATCGTGTGGTCGTGGATGCACCAGCGATGAGCTAATTAAGGTTTGCTTACCAGTAGAACGTGAGGTTCCATAAACCTCCAATAAGATTCTATGCGAAACTGCTAATCGGGATACTGCGCAGCCTTTCGAGGCGACAATTATATCCCCATGTACCGCCATACTGGCTTGTTTCTAGTCTGTAAATGGGATGGATTAAACGTATCTCGTACCGAACCACCTATGTGCTAGTTGCACGCAAATCTAACCTGCTCTCTAGTCTACTTACTAGACATATGGGGCTAACCCAGGGCGCAAAAGAACAAAAAAAGAGAGAGAAATTTTCAAGAGTATATAAGTGATCCAGTAATTAAATTTACATACCAGATCAATTATCTAGTTTGCTCGGCCAAAGAGATGTCGGCTTTGAAACGTGCTTTGCACCATATCTATACTTGCTGCAGAGGTCAACCCGATAACAATGAACAAAGCCGTTTAACCATGCATACCTACCACGTGTTTAGCAATCAAAATATATTTTATAAAAACCAACCGATACTAAAGAGTACGAAATAAAGGCGATAAACAAATAATACAAAAAGCAAGAAATGCAATGAACGGGACAGAGGTGAAAGACGGGCGAAGATCTATAAAGGGTGTCACGCCCGGCTCAGCTTACCGCCATTAGAAACGACGGTTGTTACCCATTGGGGCATTGTTAGAACCGGATTGTCTACCGTTGAAACCACCACCACCGTAACCACCACGGCCACCACGGAAGCCGCCTCTGCCACCTCTACCACGGGAACCACCTCTACCGTAGCCGTATCTGATGTGGCCACCTGGACCACGGTGCTTTCTGAATTGTTCCAATTCAGCTGGGACCTGCTGATTAGCTTCTTCCATGATACGGATCAAGTCGTTACCCAACTTACCGGCGGCGGAAGGAACAAAGAAAGAAACAGCAGTACCCTTGGCACCACCACGGCCGGTACGACCGATTCTGTGGACGTAGTCCTCGATGTTACCTGGCATCTCGTAGTTAATAACAAAGTTAATACCCTTGACATCTAAAAATAGGTTAGTATACGGGTCTGGGAGATACCTCCACTCCTTTCCTGGTTCAATCGAAACATCAGTTATCTACTATTGGTCATGGGCCAACCACTACACACAAATAAATGATTTCCGTGAAAATGGACGTCTCGGCGGGGAGGCCGGTCCAAAAACGTGTATTGAGAAACATGAGGAGCACGTATGAAGATACATGGAAATTTATATAAGATAACGGGCAGGCTGACGTATTATCGAATGTTTAAATTTCATTTTGATTTCATCCACTGAAAACTTGAATCATCTGAGAGTGTTAAGGTCCCAAACAAGATATCTGATCGTAATCAAACCATCCACAAGTCTTCGAAATGAAAAATGCAAATGCCATAGTGGTAGAACCACGAGCATGCTCTCACAATTTATCTCAACAAAGAATCCCACCTTCCGTTTACCGAAAAGCAAGGGCATTTGTGTGACAAAGCAGTCATACCGAGTGGCTATCACGCACAAGCTCGGTAGTTAGTAGCTGTATACTCAAGGAAGACGAAGCGCCTGTGGCACGGGAGAAAGACACAATAATGCAAGCAGAGATCCAGCTCTGCGGAATTTTCATGTCACTCGGTCCGTGCCTTAGCGGCATCTGCTCCTTGAAAATGTTTCTAAAAATCAGGTTAGTAAGGGGGTCATAAAGGGAAAACACATACCAATACCTCTGGCAGCAACATCGGTCGCAACCATGATTGGGGACTTACCGGATCTGAACTCTCTCAAGACCCAGTCACGTTCCTGCTGTTGCTTGTCACCGTGAATGGCGAGAGCTGGCCAGCCGTCGTCTCTCAAATACTTGGTGACTTCGTCGCAAGTTCTCTTGGTGGAGGCGAAAATCAAAACCTTGTTCTCCTTCTCCTGCATGGCTTCTTCCAAGTACTTGATAAGCTTGTCACGCTTTTCAAAGTCGGAGGTGACCTCGACGATCTGCTTAATGGTGTGGGAAGCAGACAATTCCAAAGAACCAACAGTAACCTGAATTGGGTCGTTCAAGTAGTCCTGGGTCAATCTCTGCACCTCCTTAGGCCAGGTGGCAGACCACATCAAGGTCTGTCTGTCTGGTCTGATCTGGTCAACAATCTTTCTGATTTGAGGTTCGAAACCCATGTCCAACATTCTGTCAGCTTCATCCAAGACTAAGTAGGTAACACGACGCAAGTTAGTCTTGCCGGACTCCAACATATCGATCAATCTACCTGGGGTAGCAATACAAATTTCAGAGCCCCTGGCCAAGTCTCTCACCTGCTGGGACTTTGGAACACCACCATAGACACAGGTGTTTCTGATTCTAGAAGAAGCACCAAACTTGGAGCATTCAGACTGGATCTGGACAGCCAATTCTCTGGTTGGAGCCAAGACCAAGACAATTGGACCATCACCGTGAGTCAACAATGGCTGGGCGTTGATGTGGACAATAGCTGGCAAACAGTAAGACAAGGTCTTACCGGAACCAGTGGAGGCAATACCCACCATGTCTCTACCAGAAGAAGCCATTGGCCAACCCTGGCACTGAATGGCGGTTGGGGATGGGAAACCCTGAGCCTTAACCTCCTTCAACACGTAGTCTGGGAACCCAGCTTCGTCAAAAGAGGTGATTGGCTTTGGAATGTCGTGGCCCTCGATCTTCATCTCATGCTTGGTTCTGAACTCGGCAACCTCAGCTTCGTCTCTGGCGGTGACATCCGGGTGCTCGTTGTAGAAGTTCTTTTCGAACTTTGGCATCTTTTCCAAGTCCCAGGTCTGAGCAACCAAGTTATCACCCAAGTTACCCATTCTGTCTTGCTGACCGTAGCCACCTTGACCACCGCCGTAGCCGCCCTGGCCGCCACCGTAGCCGCCTTGGCCACCACCGTAACCACCTCTGGAGCCACCGTAGCCGCCACCGTAACCACCTTGACCGCCACCGTAGCCGCCTTGGCCACCGTAACCACCACCGTAACTGTTATTGTTGTAAGACATGTTAAGTTTGAATGTTCTTGTTGATATAGGGTGTGTATAAAGAACGAATTATCTGTGGGAAAAAGGGGTGAAAAGAGTAAAGTACAAGGGGGACTGAGGATTTTTATACACTTTGCGCCTCCCGCAACTTCGCACTAGGAAAAATTTTGCACAAAAAGAAACAAAAGAAAAAAAAACTTTCTTCCTGCACGAATTTCTTTTCTCATCTATTTTTTTTCCTGTCTTGGTTGAGGGTTTTAGGGTGATGCCGCATAATCAGGAATGGGTGCAGGCTGAACGGGTGTCTGGAGAATAGGAACTCTGGCTTGTGGCGGTTACCCGGAAGATGAGGTAATCCTGTTGTACAAGACCCGGGGAAGCACCATAAACGGATTTGTAATCGCGTCGCTCATAGCGTTTGCCGGAACTGTAGGGACAAGTCAAAGAGCTATGGGGGGATTTATAACTTTAAAGGCCCAGCGGTGGAGGTTAATTGCCTAGGCCCCGTACGTTACAGAATGGTCCAGCGTAATGCACTTGGCAAGAGGACAAGATTGGCTGGTGGCAGTAGCCCTATCGAGCCTCTGGTTGTAACTAACGGATATGGCTTGCCTTTGAGCATGTATGTCTTTCCGTGGTTCGTTCAACTTTCAATTCCTAAATCTTTTTCCGCCGCAAAGAGCTTAAATGCGGGTAAAGTTCAGGCTATTAAACATTATTCAGACTGGTATTAACTCTAAGGGTCCCAATCTGCAGCTGAATTCCTTGTATGTTTAAGCCGGCCTTTAACATGGTACTGTTATCCTATGTGGGTGTGGAAAGATACAGCCCAACCTTATGCATCATGTTTTCAAGCTCTATATCTTTCTCATAGGTCAAGGCCGATCTGTTTCACCTTCTGAGTGACTTGACAATATCCAGTATTTGCTTATGCAACAAGATTCAAGCTCAATTTACATACATATCATAGGCCAGAAATAGCATCTACTAAATTTTCAAGCGACGTTTCTTTATTATTTCAAGAGTGGTACAAGGTAAGACGAAAAGAACGTATTAACACGATACAAAGATCCCTTTCGCGGGATCTATCTAATATAAGTATGGTACAGTTGCAGCTTCACCGTAGGAGGGCTACGCAAAACGAGTGGCATGGAGATATTCCCATACCCTCTATAAAGCCTATGGGGCCGTGGTATGTGTCAAGGCTTGCTCATCCAATTATGGTTCCTCGGTCTTGAACTTACCCTCACTGATCTTCTCCGAGAACTTTTCTTCGATGTGAGCACACAAGTTAACCAAGTTGTCCAAACCTTGGTGCAAAGCCTCAACAGCGGTAATGGCGCCATAGGTTTGGATTCTCAAGTTCAACTTGGTTTCAGACGGGTGGGGAATAGAGTAACCGCAGAATTCAACCTCCGGGCTTTCTTAGGTTAGTAAACGTTCGAAAAGCGACAAGCGCACCGGATAGAGATAAAACTTACTTCTTCATGATAATGTATCTCAAGGAATTACCCAAAGTGTGGTCTTCGTCAGCAATCTGGAAAGAGGCCGCAGAGCCGTCCTCGGACGCGCCCGGCAACAACTTGATCTTCTCCAAGTCGAGCTCTTGTTCGGGTTCAACATTTTCTGGAGCTTCATCCATAATATGGTCAACTGGTTCTTCGACACTCATTCTAATATAGCTATGGGAATTACTAGCAGATGGTGTCTTATGCCTGATCCGTAAGCATAGAAAAATTAGAGCAAAAAATTTGAGCCGTGAGATGAGATGGTTACCCGGTTTGTATGGGCACGACCTGGTCTTTGCAGCAAGGGCCGTCAACGATGGTATTTGCCAGCCATGGCTGACAGAGAAAGCTATTGGGTGGGTTTAGTTACATTTCGTCTGTATAGGTATCAAGTATTTACTGCGAGTTACCGTCTAGTCACTGTGAACAGGGCTAGTTGAACCTACCTGCGACTATTTCCAAGATGCCCATATTTCTCGGCAATAGAGTATAGGCACTATACGGCGTTGATTAACGCATTGTCGATGCATATTTATCGATAACAGAATATTTTAAATATCTCGGAGTTGTTATCAGAGAGCGATAGAGAATGTATTATTTTTTATCAGAATTTTCAGCTCACAGGTGAATCAAGGGGTTGATCACGTGTGGAGGTGTTCGGATGGGTTAGTCTATATCACGTGTCCTTCAATAGTTAGCGCCTTTGCAATATCACCCCGGATAGCTTCCAAAAGAATCTCGATTTGCCTACATGTATAAAGCGGAATAATAACTATTCAATTATCGCAAGATCGTTCGGTGTTGTGGGATTCTCCCAAGACATACAGGCAGTGGTATAGCAGAGAGGCTAATACCTGCCTGCGGCCCACCCCATACTAAATCTGGCAGTTCATACAACCGGCGCCATATATCCACATTTATCTGCCTATTAGAAATTCAAACCCCCCAGGACAATTTTTTGCGGGCAGGCCCAATTCGATTTTTCCCTGTCGCAAAGCTATTTTGTAGTTTCTTAATCAACTGGTCCCATCAGAATTTCGCTCATCCCTCTGTACCAGTTCCACGTCCTGCCAGGGTCATGTAAAGATGCCACCACGTAGATACCCATATAGTTTACGAAACCCATCCACACAAGAATTGTCCAGCTCAATCAATCCATCGTTGCTCTGATCCAATCAGGTCATTGGCCAGTGGTTGCAAAAAGCAGTTTTTTTTTTAATTCAACAAGCTAAACCCAGCCTTCATCTTTCTGATCCCTGTGTGACGTACTATCCTGCACCCATAGGTCGTGCGCGCGGTCACCCACGGAGCAAGTAGCAAGGCAGAAAAAGAAAAAAGAAAATTTTGTGGGTGTACGATAACAGCCATTGTTATGATTTACACCCCAACAGACCATCCGAACATTGATTGACCTTGACCAATCTTACATTGGCATTCCATCATTGAAATCACCACCCCTCATTTCCCATTGATCTTTTGACAGATTCGAACCCCGCGCTGCTCTTCTCTGCGTCTCACTGCAGATTTTCTTTCTTTTTCTGCCCAACCTCTAATCTATCACAATGGACTTGCATTCCAAGGCTCCGAAGCCAGAGGAAGACCCCAAAGGTCGCAGACCCTCCACGTTTCCCAGACAGGACTCGCTCAACACGTTTCTCAGCGGATTGAACTCACGCGCCTCCACCGAAGGCATGTTTTACCCACCCCAACTGCAGGCGGAGCGCGAGGAGAAGGAAAGGGCACCGCCTTCTGCCTCCAATGCCACAATGTTCATGGACACGCTTCCCTACGGTCGCAGACCGTCGGAACTGCTTGAGCCGTTCAATCCTAACGCGCGCGTGTCGCGCACAGCCTCGTCGTCCTGGAAGTTCAGACAACCGTCGGTGCTCCCCTCAGCGGCTCTCGGAGAGGGCTCCTCTGACTTTGACTCGTTCTTAAAGCGCGACTCGATCTTTGTGGGCAACGATATGAAGGATTTGAACTTTGATCTCCTTCCGGGAGACGAGCGCAGCAGCCGCGGCTCGCTCGGCTCGCTCGGTGCGCTCTTCGGCATCGACCGTCGCAACTCCAAGGGTGCGTGGCTCAAGCCAGAGGAGCGCTCGCGGAACAACTCAGTATTCAAAGAGTACATCAACCCGGAACAGCCGCCGTCTGCGCCCCAGCACGAGGCGTCGTCACCGTCCAGCCATGCCGGCTCCACCACCAGCAAAATGTCGTCCGTGACTCGTCTTAAAGAGGATATTTTTGAGCCAAAGTTCACCCGCAATGAGTTTGCCAACAATGAGTTTGCCAGCCAAAACTCGGCGGAATTTGGTCCTCCAGCCGCGGAGCTTAGAAATCAAAATGCCCCTGAGTACGCCAACCAGGGTGGCGAGTTTACGAGCCAGAATGCGGAATACACGAATCAAAACGCAGAATTCGCAAACCCCAACCCTGAGTTTGCGAACCTGGAGTACGCGCAGAAGTTCAGCCCCGGGTACAACGCAAACGCGTTCAGCCAGAGCGAGAAGCGCCGCGATCTGGGCCACTCGTCGCCGCGCTCTGCGCTCCACGCACTGCCAGAGCCCAAGCGCGCGAAGCCCGCACACCTCTCGCCGTCTATGACGCTTGTCGCGCCCGCACGCCCCGATAACCTCATCCCTGCGCACGAGCTTGTGCACGCGGATGACGGTCGCCCGCTCTTGGGTGCAACCAAGATCGATCAGCTCATGCTCGTGATCCAGGCGCGCACCGCGGGTGTCAGCAAGCCCATCCCGCGTGCGCCTGATGGCTCCATCCTCGACGACGGCAGCATCGTGCCCGCGCCCGAGCAGCTTGTCGGCGGCATTGAGAAGCCCAAGCTGCGCGGCACCAAGGCACACCTGTGTCCCCACTGCGGTAAGACCTTCACGCAGCTGACCCATTTGGAGGTGCATATCCGCTCGCACATTGGCCTCAAGCCGTTCAGCTGCAACTTCTGCGGCAAGAAGTTCACCCAAGGGGGGAACCTCCGTACGCACTTGCGTCTCCACACGGGCGAAAAGCCGTTCAAGTGTGACCTTTGTGCGCGTGAGTTCTCGCGCAAAGGTAACCTCGCTGCGCACAAGTTGACCCACGAGAAGCATCGGCCATACGAGTGCAAGCTCGAGGGTTGTGACAAGCTGTTCACGCAGCTCGGGAACTTGAAATCGCATCAAAACCGGTTCCACTTGGAGAGCGTCAAGACGTTGACCGATCGTCTCGCTGACTTGGGTCCGGACATGGACATGCTGCGCCTTCCGGAAGATGAAAAGTACCTTCTCGAGTACTTCAAGGACTTGTACAAGAACTCCAACAGAGGGATCAAGGGGCGTGGGAAGAAGATCAGCGATCCCGTGGCGGTTTCCCCAACCGTGTCCAGGCCTGCCAACGCTCCAGCGCAGGCGGTTCTCCAGCAGCAGCAGCAGCAGCTCCAGCAGCAGCTCCAGCAGCAAGAGCTCCGCCAACGCCAGCAGCAGGCCCAGCGGATGCATCCGCAGATGGCGCATAGTTTGGAGAACCGCACGGGATACCCGGAGATGTCGCCGTACCAAAACGCGAATTTTTCGCCGAACAGTACGCCGAGCGGGTATTTGTCGTACCAGCAGGGGCATCCGACGGTGAACATGGGTGCGCCACTCGGGTATATGAGCCAAATTCCACACATGCAGCAGGGCTCGCCGCCACGGCAGGGCGAGAAAAACGAGTATCTGGGTAATACTTTCGGCTACTAGCAGCGAGCGAAGAGAGCTGTGTGAGTTTCGGTGATGCGAAGCGTACTGGATCTTTGCTAGGAGCTATTACAGTTTACTAGGCCCCCTTTGGTATCTTCATCCAAGGCTTCCGAAACATGACCCATGGGAATGGTCACTGTGAAGCCACGGTCGGGTCCTTTAGATAAACTGCTGAATCCTCCCAAGGTTGGTGACTATGTACAGCTACTGGTGTCTCTCAACGTTCTAGGGCTCACCCTGTCAGACTTACTCGCTTTTGACTCTCACTTCCCCACCTCATTCTGCTTCACCGTCACCGGGAATCAAAAATCCCCTTTTCCTTTGACGCCTTCCAGACAGGGATCTACTGTTTTAGACTTATTTTAGCTTGGTTGTTGTTGGTTAGCCGGTATGTGAAACGATCCCACTACTTGGATGTCAGTGTTAGGTCTTGTACTGTTTATATTATATTAACGATTGTTACGAGGTGGATAGCATCATGTAGCAGCGGGGTATATAGCTATAGGCAACGCCTGTGCTTCGTATGCTATATGGATTGAACTAGCACGCAATCATGGAGCTGTTGGATCTCAGGTCATTTCCTATTCACACATGGAAAACGGTAAGCATTTGTCTCTCCCTGAAAGAAAGGTAATGGATTACAAGACACACTCAATAATCCACTGAAAGTTTGATGTTGACGGAAATCTCAAATACGATAAAGCTTTGACCCGAAACATCTCTGATGGGAACTTGTGGCGTATGCTTATCTCACATATCCCTTTCCAATAGATCCAGAAAAAGGTTCAAGACCGGTCTATATACCTCTCAGATCCGTGGAATGGGCTCCAAAATTCCTAGCATGTAATAACCTCATCACAAAAGTAGCTGAGAAAGTGCAAGTTGTGATTGGCATCTTCCACCGAGTTGGTCTCGCAGTCGAGTAAAACCTTGTACGCGTAATGCAACATCCGCAACTTAAGCATGGCCCGGGAGACCTCCCTGCTTAGTCCCTGAGTCTTGTTGTAAACCTTTGCACCAGCGACTGAGTGGGACGAGAATATAAGCTGAGAAATGTTTTCCACTATCAAAACGTGTTTGCCGATGCGAGGTGCGGCATCTAGCTCGTCAACCAACGATACTATATCCTCGAGCTTGAACAATTTCGTAACCCGGATCTGATCCACAAAGTCGGATTCTTCGCAGATTGCGATATTAATAAGATCGTTGGATCCTGTGGTGCTAACGTATAAGATCTCCGTCTGACTGCCGGTTTGCCACATATGTTTGGCGAGGTTCAATGCATAGCGGATAGGCTCCGAGCAGCTGTTACCCTCGGTCCGGATTAGTACAAGACTGTTTTCAGCGGGAATAGTAAGTTGGGTTGGCATTCAGGATCGTGTATCCTAAATCGACAAAGAGGCGAGTTTTTAACCATACATTTCCATCGGTTCATGTTGGAAGCCGCGCAGTGGATGCAGGGTGGCGCCTCTGTCTGACTCCGATTCAAAGCCACAGTAATCCCAGCCCTGTTCATTTTCTCAGTTGCTAAATAAATAATTTAGCCAATAACCTTAAATTGCTTTTCTGTTTTTATTCTCAACTATCCAACCGTTATGCTCTGGAATATACCCCCACCTTTTGAAATATCCTGCACCTTTACTATTTAACCTTGAGAACTTCTACCGTAAGGGTCAAACATGCGTACACCAGACAAAAATGATTCAGTTGACTCGTCGTACGAGCTTATTCCCACAGGGGTTTAGTTCTCATTTACCTACTCTTCGCTGTATCACCACATACGCGTCTCAAAGAGTGTTGAAGTATCCACCGGGGAGATATCCAGCCTCCACCAAATCACGCGAACCACACAGAGTAAAAGTCCACGAACCGCCCTATAGTGTGACATACAATAAAGGCGATGCTATCGCAAGCCTCACAGTAGCGTCAAAATACTTCCCATTGTTAACGGGGCATCAGTACGGTACCATAAATGGCATTGAATTCCTGACAGGTGCTTGCATCGACTGCAAGCTGAACGTCCTTGAAATTCGGGGCAAAACGCCTTCAGAGACAGTAGCAGTGTTGGATACGCTCGTCAAAAGAATAGCCGCATTGGTGGAAAACGCCTCTTTCGTCCAGGTTCCCAAGCAATTCTATCCCATTTTGGCCGGTGCGGGAAGATCGGCCTTGGCTGACATACGCACCCGGTACGGTGTTTCGGTTTCATCGTCAGACTCCATTATTGAGGGGTGCAAAGAAATTGTGATATCTGGCGAAACCCGCCTGCAAGTTTCCCAGGCCACTACGTTGCTCAAGGAAAGGCTTGCAGTCATTGTGACGCAGACTCAGAAACTTGCGGTCCCTCAGCACTTATCGGGGGCGCTCCTCGGCTCCAAAGGGACAACTATCAAGCTGGTTACCGAGCAAACGGGGGTGTTTGTCTATACGTCAAACTTACAAGACAATAAAGGGAACTTGACAATGTTCATCTATGGCGATTCCACAGACCTAACTAACAAAGCCCTAGCGGATGTACAAAAACGCTTGGTTAACTTACAGGGTGCTTACAAGACTCTAGATTTCCCTTCCAAGTATTTTAAGTTCCTCTATGGAAGAAACCGTCGAAATATCAACATGATTGAAAATAAAACCGGGGTGGTAATCTTGATGCATAGCACCACTGACAGTATGGAGAATCAATATTTATCGGTTCATCACACAGATATCAACACCATCAACCAGGCTTTGGTGCTATTAACCAAGCAACTCCAAAACATTTCGTTGCAGTACAAGCCGCTGGAGGTGCCGAATGAAATTGCCCCTGTTTTGTTGAAATGCTGTAAGGTGCTAGGTGAAAGGTTCCCCAACGTCAACCTTTCTCTTGCTTTGGGGCAGCCCACTGAGGAATATAACTCCTTGCCTCTGTCATCCAGCTTAACGGTCTACAGTTCTAACCAGGTGGAGCGTGAAGAAGTGGTCAGCATCATAGACCGAGTCGTAAGGATCTTGCAGGAAAATCACCGGGTGATGGCCATCTCGTCGGCGCTAGTTTTCCCTTTGAAAGGACTAGACAATGCGTATCTTGATGACCTCTCTAAAAATGCGAAAGTAGAAATCACCTTCAGCAGGCTCTCTACACGAAAGGGCGAACAATCTCTCATTATCACCCCACTAATAGATGTGGTCCTCGCGGCAGTTGCCATGCCAGATTGTGGTGTAATTGCTTTGGCTCGTGGTTCATTAGCGCATACAGAAGACACCCTAAAAGCCCGGGTCAAAACCTTGAAAGATGAGTGCCAGCCAGTGTATGTGCCTGGTGGGTTCGTCCCATTTTTAATTGGACATCACGATGCAAGAATCAGAAGAATACAGGCGTCCACCGGTACCACTATTTCAATCAGCAATAAGCCAAAAGATGACAAGGGCAACCATATGTTAATTATTTTTGGGACTGCTAAAAAGGTGCAAGATGCGTTTACAAAGGTTTCGAAGTATCTCAACGTTTATTATCAAAGACAGGTATAGAGAGGATATAGCTAAGGTGAGTCAGAGCTCAGACATTGACAGCAGCCGAAACGGAAGACTTGTACATATAATAAACCAACTTGCACTCTTTAACGTTCTCTTCGATCAGAGTTTCGAGCTCAGATATCTCACCTATCAAGGAATCTTCGATTTCTCTGAGTGTTTTGTTGGCAGTGATCCTGTAGAAAGCCTTAATTTTGACAATGGCGGATTCAAATAGCTGTAAGAACCTAAGCAAATTCGTATCAAGAAACATAGCCTCGATAGTGCCTGAAACGTCCTTACTCAACCCTTTAAAGGTATTCCGTGCCAAGGCAAAATCACCTATGGCCAAGGGGATTGTAAAGTTCATTATCCAGTGCATCTCGTAGTACGGGGTATCAGCGCTTGACAAAGTCTCCAATATCTTCAAAACCCCTCCCAAGTATTCAATTCGCGGCTTCACTTGGGTAGAAAGCTTGGCAATGGTGAAAACAGCGGTTCTGTACTCCCTGAAGCCGTCTTTCTTCTCCACCGTTTTGTACACCTTTTTCCCGTCCGTGACGCGGTTGTACCTGTCTCCTATAGTTACTCGACCAATATCATCGTAGCACCCCCTGGCGATGTTGAATGCCATGAATTCGAGCTGCTGGACGTACTTAACAATCACCGAAAGGGACTTGTGTAATCTGGTAGAGGCTGGAGCTAAGTATGGCTGCTGGAATGTTGCCTTGTATTCTTCTGAGTGCTTCAGATACTCCACGTAATGCGCTATATCAAATGATAGATTGTTGAAAGAGTCAAACATTTTTTCAGCTATGCCGACGCGGTCGTTTAGTTGATCGAGGGCTTGCTTGATACTCTTCACAGAGTCATTGAAGCTGAGATACTGTGTAAAGTTCTTTGCCGCAAATTCCTCTAGATGGGACTCTGTTCCCATGATAAAGCCTAATATTTCCCGTTTATAGGCGTTCGACGAGATTAGCATTTCCGTCAAGAATACACTGTAATCGGGGTATGTCTCTAGGTTCTCTAACAATGTTGGAATGTTCTTCACCACTATAATCAAATCATTGGTTACTTCATTGTAAAATTGCCTACTCGTTTCTGAAACAGTGATTGTCTTCCATACCTTGTCAAATTTCTTAAAGGAGCATTTTTGGATATGATTTAATTCGGAAAGAATAGACTTGCAGTCTACTCTGAACTCAGAGTGGTTCTCCTCGGGATCCTTCTCCATCTTGGACTTGAAGTGGAACGATTTCTGTCTGTAGTTACTGCTTAGCAAGGCCAACTGGTTTCTTCGGAGAACTCGGGATAAAAATCCTGTCAATTTTTGAGAAATGAGGATAACCAACTTGTCGCATTCGTATAATAGTTGGGTTAGGACTATTAAATCGCCCTCGGAGGGGCCAATGAGAACGGGCCGATTCAGAGGAATGATCTCGGAATCGAAGAGGAACAGCTCTTGTGGGGCGGCGGATGAAGGAACAAAGGGGGTATAAATCCCTGAGGGGTCGGTTTTGGACACTGCTGTCGGCTCCGCGGATATTTGGGAGGCAAGCTTTTCTTCGGAGAACAAACCAGGCAACCTCTCCTGTAAGATCGCACTGTATGCAGTTGCTCCTGTGAGGGCATTTGATGAGCTTTCCCCAAAATAAGCAGGGCCAATCACCCCAGAGGCTTCTTCGGCGCTTGGACTATCTGACGCCGGCAATCCACTGGATGCAGACCTCAAGTTAAAGAATTTTTTTGGTTGGTCAAGCTCAAATCCTTTAACTGCTTCAGATGAGGACGGATTTTCCTCAAAGGATTCCACCGATTCGTGAAATTGTTCGATTTCGTGTACTTGGACGGCCATTGAGAATAACCCTTGCAGGGAAAACTGGTCACTTTGAAGGGTAAAGTTAATTGGGATGGGAATTTGTAAAAATAAAACTAAATAGAAAACTAACGAATTCTGGAAAAATTCCGGCGGATAACAATTCACAGGGGTCCGTAAACATGGAGGTGTCTTGGAGTCGCGAGAGGCCACAAAAGCATATGCATGTGGCGTTGTATGGCTGGTGCACAATCTCTAAACTGTGTGTCCAAGATAAGAAATTCCTGTATATAAAGTATCAGCGATTTTTAGCAGAATCAATCCAGGTAAATAGACATTAATCGGACTAAACAACTATTGTTCTAGAGATGCCAAAGGAAATAAAGTAAGGTTTTTACTGGTGAATTTTGCCTGCTGTTCCAGCTATGCATTCAGACCTTTACATGTCAGGTCAACGCTTCCTAGGCCTATGTTCAAGATATTATGATTCTCCATCGCCTACCGATCGGTGCCGTACTGCATTTCCCATGCTCACCAGTAATTCTATATACATATATTTCCATTAAACTACGTTATTCCCACTCTTATTTAACTTAAACTATGCCAATTGCGGAGATTTTTCATATTTATAAGATTTTTTAACGTAATATTAAATGCTACATGTCTGACAAGATTAAAATTTTGACAAAGTTAACAGATATACATCTTAAGTTTAGCCATATGTTAAGATATTTATAGTCATATTTCTAATATTTATTTTTAACAGCACAAGTCTTTTATATATCGCAGATCAGAATTAAAAAACATATATATCGCTACGGTAATACCGTTCTATAAGCTATATATACTCCTATTTTGCTAAAATTAATTCACTGTGTGGTTAGTATTTTACGCTAGCACTTCTAGTATATAAGAGGATGTGCGGCGCGCATCCATCATATTCAGTTTAATAGCACAGGCGACCGTGACAATCTAATATAAACACAATCATTTGATTCAGTAAATACCCGAGTTGATCATGCCCCCAGAACATTCTTACAAAAACAGTTTTTTTATATCGTTATTGGAATTATTTTAAATTACAAAAGAAAAAAGTGAAAGAAAACACTAGTTATAAGAATTTAAAACATTTAGTAACCCAAAGCGGTCAACTTCTTGGCGGCTTCAGACTCAGCGACGGAGGCCTTGGCAGCGTTCAACTTCTTGGTCAAAGCCTTCTTCTTGGCGTAGTACTCAGCAGACTTAACCTTTCTCTTTTCTTCCAATTGGTCGACGATAGACTCGTACTTCCAACCGACAGAAGAAGACAACTTACCGACGGTGGTGTACTTGCGGCCTGGCTTCAATCTCAAGACTCTCAAGGCTTGTGGGACGACAACTCTCTTCTTCTTGTCGTATGGTGGTGGGACACCTTCGAAGACCTTAAGTCTCTCCATGGCGGCGGTACCTCTAGCGGTCTTGTGAGCCATCATACCTCTGATAGCCTTGTAGAAGATTCTAGATGGGGCTCTGAAGTGGAAAGGACCGTGAGTCTTGTTGTAACGGGTACCCTTTCTCAAGTAGTCGTGGTACTTGAGCTTGTTTCTGAAGAATTCACCAGAAATGTTCAAGGCTTCACATCTGACAACGACGATCTTCTGACCGTTCATTAATTGCTTAGCAACGATAGAAGCTAATCTACCGAGCAAGTGACCCTTACCGTCAATAACAACAACTGGTTCAAAAGTACTCATTTTTGTGGTATGTTTTTCAAAAAGACTGCAAAACCTCAATAAAAGGGGCGGCGGAAGTTTTTTTTTAGGTAGTACATGGTGAATTTTTGCGGCGGGAGAGGTAGTGCAGTAGGTGAAAGAGGTGAGAGTAAGAGTAGGAGAGGAGCGAGAGAGTGAAAAGATTCTGGGTTTGGCGCACAGTACAGTTGGGAAGGCTAGCAGACGGAGGCGCGCCCACGCAGGATAGCGTGAAAGTGTCTAGCGTGTACACGACCTTTTGGTGAAAATGCGAATGCGAAATTTGTCAATGTGAAAATTTTCCGTTATTGTACTGCATACAACGAAAAATGTATGGGCTTTTCGACTATGGCTTCTCGTTCGTTCGGCATACTAGCGGGAATGAGAAAAAGGAAAAACTTTGCATAGCTTAGGGGAGAGTGGGGAGAAAAAATGAAGTATACGCATGCGTGAGAGAATATACGCATGGGTTACCAAAGAAAAAGTAAAAGCACAGTCACATGAAGTACTCATTGGGAATAAAGTGGTTGATGCACGTATGTAGACGTTTTGTCTCAGTCAGTCATGTGACGAGAACCAGCATTAGTGATTGCGATACGGCCGGAAACATACGGCTCCGATAGGCCTGTAGATTGTAGCATACAATTTAGATTCTTAGATATATGCGATTCAGCTCCTTAGATAGAATTGATTTATTCAACCGTTTCAATAGCATATGGGGGAGGCGGATGTAGTGTGACAGCTCCAAGAATTAGGGTGTCACTTAAGATGCAGAACGCACCGTTCGGGAAGTTGGCCCAGCGAAAGCTGGATGAGTGGGGTATGTATGACCAAAAGGCATTACGGCGTTAATTACACCAGGATAACACCAATTGACGGTAAGTTCTACTTAATTGTATCGTAATATATTAGCAGTGGTGCCTTTATAAAGCTTAGTTCGTGTTCGCCACAATTCTTTGTGCTGGTCTGCCCGGTACAGGCTCAAGCCTCTATCGAGAATGCAGGATGGTTTCAGATCACCCATATAAAACCGCTACGTCACGATCTTGAACCATCTACATCGCCTCCGGTAGACATATTGCCGGTTGACACGAATGGGGTAACGATTTACTCAGAACGCGTCGGCCGCTTACTAGCGGCCTTGTTTCGTAGCGACATTGCCACGGGATGCTCCTCCCTTATCGTTCATGCAGGTTACCCCATAGCCCAGACATTGGGTCCACCGGGGCTTGACGTTTCAAAACACCACGGCTTACGATGTGAAAGGAGTGTGTGGACTTATATTTGACAGGTCATGCCCCAAGAAAAAAAAAACCCTTATACCTTTGGTGACAGCTACCGGTCCGTAATCAACCTTACAACCGAAGTTTACTTCACGAGCCGTGCTCAGACACATAGGTTTCGGATTGCTCGAAGTCAACTGCACGTATGACACACCAGGTTTTATCCTGCACACACTATCGTTTAGACCTGCAGCGTCTCGTTCCGCCGCCGCACGTGATGTTTCCTCATAGCCGCTGTATAGAGGATTTTACCAACAGCTATACGACCGAGTTTCACATGCTTTTACCCTGTCTTTGGAAAACGTTGATCCGGAGCAACAAAAACCAACGTTTAAACCGGTCGGTTTTCACCCAATTTACTCAACGTTTAACTCAGACTTACAAAACGTGCTGTTGGCTAAATTTAAAATAAACTTACGCTTGTTGCTTCGCCCTAACACGTAGACGTACACTTGTCCTCAGAACCATACGGCCCCCGACTCTGCGATATCAGCCCAGTAAAGTCATTGAAGCAAAGATACCAAAACACGTGATGCTACACAATCGAGAGATTTCTTCTATATGACTCATACAAACGAGCGGGATCGTATACAGTGGTGTGGGTACAGATGTGTGCCCCCCCCGGAACAGACACGCATACAGAAAGCAAGATTATGTACGGCCCCACCTGACTCGGGGTGTTCCCGACACCGGAGACCCTCGTATATCTTACTAAACAGCACAGAAACACACATCTCTGCCCTATATCGGTCTCGACTCGGTCCCACTAAATCGCGGTCGTATCTAAAGCATTTCCGGTGTGCGATTTTTCACTAATTTAGCTCAATTAATGTTGGGAAATTTTCACTCGTCTCCTAAACTTTGGCATTATAAATACACCCCTCCCCCCCCAACGTTACACTTCTCTTGCGTCTTTCTTTTCTATCTAATTGCCTGCAATTAATAACAAACAACAAATTAACCATGGTTCAATCATCCGTTTTAGGTTTCCCACGTATCGGTGCCAACAGAGAGTTAAAGAAGACTACCGAGGCGTACTGGTCCGGTAAGGTCAACGTCGAGGAATTGTTGAAGGTGGGTAAGGACTTGAGAGCCCACAACTGGAAGTTGCAGAAGGACGCTGGTGTCGATGTTATCGCCTCCAACGATTTCTCCTACTACGACCAGGTCTTGGATCTCTCCCTTTTGTTCAACGTCATCCCAGACAGATACACCAAGTTTGACTTGGCTCCAATCGATGTCTTGTTCGCTATGGGCAGAGGTTTGCAGAGAAAGGCCACCGACTCCACTCCAGCTGTCGATGTCACTGCCTTGGAAATGGTCAAGTGGTTCGACTCCAACTACCACTACGTCAGACCAACCTTCTCGCACTCCACCCAGTTCAAGTTGAACGGCCAGAAGCCAGTTGACGAGTACTTGGAAGCTAAGGCTCTCGGCATTGAGACCAGACCGGTCTTGGTCGGTCCAGTATCGTACTTGTTCTTGGGTAAGTCTGACAAGGACTCCTTGGACTTGGACCCAATTTCCTTGTTGTCCAAAATTCTCCCGGTCTACGCTGAAATCTTGGCCAAGTTGGCGGCCGCCGGCGCCAAGACCGTTCAGATCGATGAACCAATCTTGGTTTTGGATTTGCCACAGAAGGTTCAGGCCGCTTTCAAGCAGGCGTACGAGTTCTTTGCTCAACACGCCGGTCTCCCAGAAATCATCCTTGCCACTTACTTCGGTGACGTCAGACCAAACTTGGCTGCCGTTGAAGGCTTGCCAGTTGCTGGTTTCCACTACGATTTCGTCAGATGCCCAGAGCAGATCGACGAAGTTATCAAGGCCTTGACTCCAAAGCAGGTTTTGTCTGTTGGTGTTATTGACGGTAGAAACATTTGGAAGGCTGACATCACCAAGGCTATTGCCGTTGTCAAGAAGGCTATTACTGCCATCGGTGCCGAAAGAGTTATCGTTGCCACCTCTTCCTCTTTGTTGCACACCCCAGTCGACCTCTCCAACGAAAAGAAGTTGGACGCTGAAATCAAGGACTGGTTCTCCTTCGCTACCCAGAAGTTGGCCGAAGTTGTTGTCGTTGCCAAGGCCGTTTCCGGTGCCGATGTCTCCGGTGCTTTGGAGGCCAACAAGAAGTCCATCTCTGCAAGAGCTGCCTCTGCCATCACTAACGATGCCAAGGTCCAGGAAAGAGTTGCGTCTATCAACGAAAAGATGGCTACCAGAGCCTCTGCCTTCAATGCCAGATTGGCCGAACAGAAGAAGCACTTCAACCTCCCAGCCTTCCCAACCACCACTATTGGGTCTTTCCCACAGACCAAGGACATCCGTATCAACAGAAACAAGTTCACCAAGGGTGAAATCACTGCTGAGCAGTACGAGAAGTTCATTGAATCCGAAATCGAATCGGTTGTCAGATTCCAGGAAGAGATCGGCTTGGATGTTCTTGTCCACGGTGAACCAGAGAGAAACGACATGGTTCAGTACTTTGGTGAGCAGTTGAAGGGTTACGCCTTCACCTCCAACGGTTGGGTCCAGTCTTACGGTTCCCGTTACGTTAGACCACCTATCATTGTCGGTGACATTTCCCGTCCAAAGGCCATGTCCGTCAAGGAGTCCGTCTACGCCCAGTCCCTTACCTCCAAGCCAATGAAGGGTATGTTGACCGGTCCAGTCACTTGTTTGAGATGGTCTTTCCCACGTAACGACGTCTCCCACAAGGTCCAGTCTTTGCAGTTGGGTTTGGCCTTGAGAGACGAGGTCAACGACTTGGAAAAGGCCGGTGTCTACGTCATCCAGGTCGATGAGCCAGCCATCAGAGAAGGTTTGCCTTTGAGAGCCGGTGCCGAGCGTTCCGACTACTTGCAGTGGGCCGCCCAGTCTTTCCGTGTCGCCACCTCCGGTGTCGAAGACAGAACTCAGATCCACTCCCACTTCTGTTACTCCGATTTGGATCCAAACCACATCAAGGCTTTGGACGCTGATGTTGTTTCTATCGAATTCTCCAAGAAGGACGATCCAAACTACATCCAGGAATTCTCTGAGTACCCTAACCACATCGGTTTGGGCTTGTTCGACATCCACTCTCCACGTATCCCATCCACCGATGAGTTCGTTGCCAGAATCCAAGAAATCTTGAAGGTTTACCCTGCTGAAAAGTTCTGGGTTAACCCAGATTGTGGTTTGAAGACCAGAGGCTGGGAGGAAACCAGAGCTTCTTTGACCAACATGGTTGAAGCTGCCAAGCTCTTCAGAGCCCAGCAATAAGTGTACCGCGTATACGTTTGTGCCGGTTCACAATAGGTTACATTTATTCAACATTAATGTAATGACTTAATGATCATTCATTTTTTTTTTTCCTTTTTCTCTTTTTATTTGCTTTCTATTTTTTTTTCATTGTTTCTTACGAGTGCCTCGATAGAAGCACTCCTCGCATATAGGGTAATTGGGATTTCAACATTCGGTTTTATTAGAAAAGTGTAGTTACACTAATGGCTGGGAAAGATTTCCAGCAGTCCTATAGATTCCTGGACACGTGCAAGTGCCTAGTTACCAACAGAACACCTTGCCTCTGGCCATCGAAGATGCGTCAATGTATCTGCGATTCAGTCTTGGACAAAATTTCAGGGAGGAAATTAATATACAATTTTATGGCAGTTTTATATAGCCGATTTAATATTATCTCTCCGCCAACCTTTAGTGTTGCATTTGGCGGCCCCATCCAAAGGTTCTGAAGTTTTCGCCCCTGATTTGCCACAACGCAGGTCATATTTGATGCACAACAAATTGCGCCCCAACATATTCACCACACCACCTCACGCCGATTGACTATTATCCTCAATGTCCGACCAAGAAGACATCATCAAGCAATTCACCGGTCTCACCAACTCCGATAGAGCCACGGCGGAAACGTTTTTAGCGGCCCATGACTATGACTTGATGGACGCCATTGACGGGTTCTTCAAGCAACCCAGCGCCTCTACGCCGCAGCCATCTGCGCCTAGAAGAGCCCAGGCGGCCAATTTCGGGTCATTTTCACAGTTGAACAAAAGCAGCTCCAATGAGTCAGAGGATGATGACGACACCAACTTCTTCACGGGCGGGGAAAAGTCGGCGTTGCAGGTGGAGAATCCCAACGCGCAGAGCCGCAAGGATACCAGAAACCTAGTCCAGGACTTGTTGAAAAAGGCCGCTGCGCCCCAGGGTGCGCATCCAGATGAAACCCCGACGCAGTCGTTCTCCGGGACGGGATACAAGTTGGGTGACGCGACCACAGAGTCTCAGACCATCCGCGACGTGCGCGCACGCCCCCAGGAGGGCAGGGTCTCCAGACAGATTACGTTCTGGCGCGATGGGTTCCAGGTCGGCGATGGAGCGTTATATCGATATGACAACCCGGCCAATGCGTCCTACTTGAACACGTTGAACCAGGGCCGCGCACCGTTGGACTTGTTGGATGTAAAGTTCGGCCAGGATGTCGATGTGAATGTCACCAAAAAGTTGGATGAAGACTATGTCGCGCCAAAGAGTGTGGTTGCTGGCTTTTCTGGATCCGGTCACAAGTTGGGCTCCATTGTTCCCGGAGAGTCTCCCCAGCCAGAAGAGCCACAGGCCGCTGTTCTGGTCACCAAGCCCCAGACTCAGGGCGAGGGAGATTCACAGGTTCAGATCAGATTGGCCAACGGGAGACGTGTGGTACACAGGTTCAACTCCACCGACCCCGTCAGTGAGGTGTACGCGTTCGTGGCTGCCAATACCGACGGCACCAGGGCCTTTGTTTTGTCTCATGCGTTTCCCGTTAAGCCCATTGACAACTCGAGTCTGACGATCGAGGAGGCTGGCTTGGTCAATGCTGTTGTGGTCCAGAGATGGAAGTAGTTTAAATAAACTACCCCCAGATACGATCTAGCGCTGTGCCCTAGCCAGTTTTATATTAAATGAGATGACTCCTTGTGTACGCAGGCTTACTTATAGATTTGATATATAAGAATTCGAATAAGGTAAAATGGAATAATGCATATACATGTTATAGTGCTTATGTTTTTAAGCTTGATCGTGAGCAAGCACTCGAGATTCCATACTCGTGGAGGTAAATTTTAACGTAGAATTTATTCTATAATGAGGAAAACCATCAGACTAATATTTTATCACCACACTTTTTTGTATTTGGCTTACAAGTTAAACCGGCGCCTACATGCAATTCGAAATATCCGGGGATCGCTTCAGGCCCGTTTCCTACCGATTTTGGGCGTGCCGGATATGCACGAGCGGGCTGAAAAATTAACGCCTAAAGAGTATAGTGCCCCAGACCTTTTCTTTAGGTATAGATCGTGCCCCAGACCTTCTCTTTAGGTATATATTGTACCCATATCACCGATGATAGCGACCACGCTACGAAAAGCTCGGCTGGCGCTACCTCAGTACCATTCCCTGATAGCCTTCATTACCCACACCCAGTTTCCACGCTTTAGGTCTACCGCGTGCAACGTCCAGTTGATTGGGGCCCTTTTTCGAGGCAGGTTTGGGTCGAAAATTACGTCAAATTTGCAAGAAGAGAGAATATTTGAAGCGGGAAAGGTTCAAGATGCGAGAACATCCAGTTATTCAGTGGAAGGGACTGGGGAAACGATAAACAGACACCCAGAGCTGACTCGTCATAACCACGAGGAATTCAACAAAACCAAAGCTGAGAAACACGAAAAGGCTGATATATCCCACGAACCAGAGATAATAGACAACTCTAAAGACGAATCCACTCTTCTCGATACCTACGGCTATTATCGCGGTCTTGCCGACTCCGCCGTGGCGCCTTCTCACAACGTCCACGATACCCACATCCCAGGACTTCTTTCTGCCACCCCGTTGGAAATAAATGCCTCTGCCCCTCGTTTGGGCTCCTTGGTCGAGGTCAGGACAAACGGTCGCGTGCACTTTGGGGTAGTGACCAAACAGTCCCGTGGTCGCTTCCAAGAATCGCACACAGCACTTGAGGTGTTTGCTGCTGAGGGAGAATTCATCTCGGTGCAGCCCTCAGACGTGACGTTACATCTTCCCGGATATTTCAACCGGGAGTTAATCCTAGCGAGTGATATCTACGAGGAGCAAAACTTACTAGAGAACATCCAGCTCCACCTCATCGAGATGGTGCGCAGTGCTTTGGCGCTACGGAAGACCGCTTACCACTCCATCTTTAAATCTCTCCATTCACACTTATCCCGAGACTACGCCATCAATACGTTCAAGCTCGGAGATACGGTTTCGTTGATTTCCCGAAATGGGGTTTCGTTTTCCGCATTTCCGCTTCCCCAGCAGGCCGTCACGCTCTTGGCCTGCCATCTCGAGTTCTCGTGTGTGCCTAAAGACTGGATGGTACTCGGAGGCTACGGCGGCACCCGGCTCGTTCCGTCGTGCACTTACGCGGCAACCTCCATCTACAGCCAGAGCGTCCTCTCCAGTGTGCTCCTACGCCTGAATGAGGCTGACATCGAGAGCTTCCGGTACACCCTAGCGGCATTTTTGGCGAAAAAACCATCGCCCTCGGTGCTCAATGGTCACTTTGTCTATGACAGACCAGCAGAAAACCGCATCCTCCAGCTCTTGAAGCACTACATCGTGTATCCCCACGCCCGAATCGAAAAAAGGGTAGCACAGATCCTTGCTGGAATTACAGAACCCTCTCCTAGCAGTGTTTATCGGTTGTTAATGGCTATCGGAGTCTATTCCACCACAACTGATCCTTACCTTTCCGCTGGTTTTTACGGAAAGGTCCAGAAGTCCAAACTTGAAGCGTCCAACTTTGCCAGCATCGAAGACACTTCTGATGCCGATAGCTTCCAGTCCAATTTCAGCACCTTGGATTCCATGTACTTTGCTCGCACAGTGCTTGCGGAAACGCCCGTATACGCCATTCCTTCGCGGAGTCTCGCGGCCCTGGCCACCCCAGGGCTATCTGAGTTGGCCTTTTCCGTGGACCATATCGACAAACACACCTCGGTGATTCACTTCCACATTCCTGACGTAGTCACCAAGCTCTCACCACACTTGCCGTTGTACCAATGTTTGCGCCAAAAACTCCCGCCATTCGCAGAAAAGACCCTCGACTATAAAGACACGAGCAAGGCGTTTTTCCCCCGGAATTTGCTCCCGATCGCCACCTTTAAGGAATCTGCAGAGCCTATAACCTGTTTCACCGTAAGTATGACTTACCGTAGCAAAAGTTCCGATCTCGTTCAGACGTCTATTTCGTTCAACTACTTGAAGGACATCCGTCTTCTTAGAGAGGATGAGTTGTCAGGGGTACTTGACTTCCACGAAAAGCACCATCCAGCTAATTTCATGCCCCGGAAGGACTATTCCTTGACGCGTGACGATGAGGAAAATATTGGAACGGTCCGGAACATGCTTATGAGCCACAAGGAACAGCGCCGCCGCTGCTATGCCGTGGAGACCAGTTTTCAGGCTCCCACCGTGAACGAGACACCGTCTGGCGATCTCGAGTTGGTATACAAGGGCAGAGACATGATTGACTTGTTTGTGAACGAAATAAACGTCTTGATGGGCGAGCTTGTGGGAAAGTTTGGCACGGCTAAAGGCTTGCCGTTGGCATACCGCTCCCAGGAACTAGTGGATATCGAAAGCCAAGACGAAAAGGGGATTGAGATCTCACCCCGCTCGATCTTGTATCCCAAATATCATGCCACCGCGTATGAGCATTTTTTCCTAGAGCCGAATGTCGGGGGTTTGGCCCCGACTAAGTACGTTTGTGCCACCAATCTCCTTGCGCCAGAAATCGTTTCGTGTGTACCATCGCCGGAGAAGGTTCACACGGGGTTAGGTCTCAAAAATCTGTACGTGAGGATCCACTGTCCGCTCTCGGACTTTGAGGCGATGCTAAACCAGTACCAGCTCCTTTCTCATTGCATCAGAGAGTCGTACTGTCAGACGGCTGTTAAGCGCAGACACATTCTTCTACGTGGCTATGATGTGAACGCCCTAACCGCTCTGGAATTGCACGGTGTTTACAAATCTGTGGCAGCAGCGGAAATGTCCCGCGCCGTGGTGAGGCAGAACATGCACACGTATTGGACATTGCGTTACTTGGAGCAGGAGCTTCGGAGGGAGGCCGATCCGGCTCAGGACTACACGTTTATTTTTAAGTGTGTGGTTTTACAGAGTTCGTCTACATCCCCCGCAAAGGCTTACTGTATGGAATTAGGTATTGACGTTGATGTGGTGGTCAAGCCGGGAGAGTCGATGACAATCGGCGACAGGATTATCTGTTCGCGGGTGGTTATTTTGAATCCACTAGCGGGGAAACTTGTTTTAATGTGACACCCCTGTATATATCAAGCATTGAAACACAGAGTCCCCGGCAGAGGGAGCGTGAAATAATCACCAGAAAGGCATGGCTCTGATTGACATGAGTTTAGGTTTCATGTTATAGTAAACGGGTACAGGTGAGTACGGGTGATAGAGTGGAGATTATTTAGACCTAGAATATCTCTGTAAGCTATATTACAACTTGGTCCTTCGCCACGACCAATCTGCGAACGGTTACCCCCATGTAGTGGAATAATGGAGACAAACAAAGTGCCGAATTACCATTTTAAAGCTTATAGGTAATGACTGGAGGGAAAAATAACATTGTTCTCCTTCCCGAGATATATATAAAGGCTAAATTTCCAGTTCTGATTGGTCTGCTCTGACGGACCAGTCTTTTTAGGAGCATTTTAAACCGTGCTTATTGTTTAATCAACAAAACGGATCAATACCAAGATTAACCTCATTCTCCCCGGTAACCCAAGCTCATCACAATGTCTGTTCAAATTGTACCCGAACCAGTATACTCAACGCATTGTCTTCTCCTTGCTATCTTGGTCTTTCCACCTACAAAGAGGCTCTATAAAGCGATCTCTTTAACTTTTCGAATGGCCATCATCTGCCCAAAAGATGGGACTTAGCAGGCTATTCATGATAGCTCTCCCCGGAGACGCCTTCCGGGGGGGGGATTAGATATTCTACTCAATTAGGACTTTCGCCGGATAAAATCTCTATTCCTACCCGTTTGCCTCACCTGAAACCATCCTAAACCAGTTTCTGGTGAATGCAATTTTGGTTTTCTCACAAAACCGTTTGGATCCCCGCCTTTTTTTCGCTAACGACATCCTTGTAGCACGCAAAGAGTGTAGATAAGCGACGCACAGGCCTCCCCTCTATTTATAGTTAGTGTTATAGATTATGCAACAGAGTCGGGAATTCCAACATTATTTGACGTCAAAAAATTGTCGACATCGTATTGTAATTGATAAGCAATACGCCGAGCCAAATGAGGGGAGGAGGTCCTTGCTCCGATTACTCACACGCACTATGGATGCATACCGGGTTACTCAGTACCGAGGGCCAACAAAAGATGTCTAGAATTATTTACGCCCCGGGATTCAAAAACCTTGACACTGTCGTAGGCCCTCATAACTCCTATGAAGCTATGCCCAGGTTCTACCAACAATTATCGCTTAGAGAATCAGAAAATAAACATATCCCGCACTGAGATGCCTCTGCCACTTTGTCAGTGCTTCAGCCATACCAAGAAGTTCCGGGCCCAACGATTTAATCCGGGAGGGGTACTATCCTGCTCTCACCGGGATCTTCCTTCCAGCCGCAGCAGGCACTTACACATCCTGTGTGATGACCACAAAGATTGGTAGGAGCCCTAAGAGAAAATACCAAAGACATCCTTTGCGTTTAAAGCCCAATCGATGAAAAAAGCATGTTTAGGTCGATTTGACCCTACAAATTCATCCAGGGTGAAATTCCGCCTTGTTGTCCGTTATAGCGCTGCGGGGATGGTCAAAAATAAAATCCTGCACATTCGGATACTTAAGCCCGGATGTCCGGCACAAAAGCTGTTATCTAATGAGAAGTGCTCAATTTGAACCGATATATATATCTTCTCTTTACCTTCCTTCAGCACATCTCCTGGGGAATATCATAACATTCCGTTACTGAAATACAAATCTGACTACCAAAAACATTTTAACTTTGCTAAATTCAATCCAAAGTATGTTGAAGCAATTCAGACCCCGGACGCTCAAGGTGCCGCTTGTGAGATGGAACTCGGTGTTGCCGTCACGCACACCAGACGCCTCTGACGCCTCCGCGACCAAATGCTACGAAGGCTTATACAAACCGCCAGATAGAGCCACCTGGATGGAAGCGCTCACCGAAAGAAACAGACAGTTGGCGCAGGGAAAGGTTTTGGATTCCTATTCGTTTCTGACGCCCAAGACAACCGCTGTGGGTGAAAAGACCCGTGGGGACTCGTTTTCTTATACGCTTTTGCCCTTTAAGGACGACAAGTGGTTGTGTGACTCGTATATCAATGCGTTTGGGCGCTTGCGCGTCGGAACGCTCTTCCAGGACTTGGACTCCTTAGCGGGGAAAATTGCGCACAGCCATTGTTCTCCCGCAGAGCCTATGAACGTGACGGCGTCTGTGGACCGAATTTACATGGTGAAGCATGTGGATGAGATGTTCAAGTTCAACTTTGTGCTTGCGGGATCTGTCACGTGGACGGGTACCTCTTCCATGGAGATCTCCGTGAAGGGGTATGCGTTTGAGGGGGAATATCCCTCGGAAATCGTCGAGGCCAACCTTCCAAAGGAGAATGTCTTCTTGACCGCCAACTTCACGTTTGTGGCTCGTAACCCGGAGACCCACAAGTCGTTCCCGATCAACCGTTTGTTGCCGGTATCCGAGCAGGAGTGGTTGGAATACAGACGTGCCGAGTCGCACAACTCTCAGAAGAAGTTGAGAGCCAAGTCGGAGTCGTTGGAACACACGTGCCCGACCTCTGAGGAGTCTAAGCTTATCCATAGCATGTGGTCTGCCTCCAAGGAATACGGTGATTCCAAGGCGTTGACTCACGGCTCGACGTCCTTGAGCTTTATGAAGGACTCAGAGATGTCCTCCACCTTGATTATGCAGCCACAGTTCAGAAACAGACATTCGTACATGATCTTTGGGGGGTATTTGATGCGACAGACATTCGAGTTGGCCTACTGTGCCTCTGCTGCGTTTGCCAAAGCACCCCCACGATTCGTGTCCTTGGACTCTGTCGCCTTCAAGTCTCCCGTCCCCGTCGGATCTGTGTTGTACATGCGTGCCCAGGTTGTTTACACGGAACACATCCATGACCCTAGCGAGACATCCGAGTCCCACAATTCTGATTCGTTCGCCAGGGCGTTTGAACTTGCCCCGGCGAACAGCTTTTCCCCCAACAAGGAGAGCTTTTTGTCTTCGCCAGGGACCTTGATCCAGGTCAAGGTCAATACTTCTGTCAAGTCCTTGGACCACGAGACCCACAAGGAGTCCGGGAGCTTTATCTATTCGTTCTTTGTGCCACGCGATGTGGAGGGTGACGAGACCCCCGGTTACTGCTCGGTCATTCCAAAGACCTATTCCGAGATGATGGAGTACGTTGAGGGCAGAAGAAGAGCCTACGACACTGCTAGATACGTTAGGCAAATCTCTTAAATAGTGTATGATATGGAAATAATGTTGAAGTTGACGAGTGAGAGGCGGTAACAGATGTATCAAAAAAGGGAGATAGTCTCCAAACGACTAATATCACAACGGATGGAGCTCGGTATGAGTAATAAATAGAAAAGACAAAGGATTCTTGGTCACGTTAGTATCTTTTAGGGTTTCTGCTTCGACTTGTATTCTCACTTATTCCCTTTTGGTACATTATTGGACTAGAATGGTTTGATCTCGGCTTTATCCCCCTTAAATATTTAAATTTCATAATGTAGGTTGATATGGGTCTGTACTGACTCTGGGAATCCCAGTTAGTGATTGCGCCTGGCTATCGGGTATTGTGTAATGCGTCCCCCATTAGATTTTAAGCCGGTATCCTTTATAGGAAACTTTTGGTGTCTTAAAAGGAGCAAGAACCTGGTGTGAGATTTAGAATCAATGTGTCGGAAGAGTTCTGGAGATATGCCGCCTAAAGGGTAAAACAATCAAAGGCATATCGAACTCTCGTGCCACCCTTCAACCCTAAGGCGACAGAATATCCGGTTTTATGATGAGTAAAAATAAGAATAAGCCCTCTACACCCGAAAGGAGCTAGAGCCATCCAACTGGATGGACAAAAGACTAGCCCCCGGTGATAGAAATCGGAGTAACTACACTCAAGTCACCCTAAAACAGTCTTCGTGATTATACTATGATACAGTCGAGCTTCCGATCTACTCATCGTCGGAGTCCTCGTCATCGGACAAGCCAACAGGGGCTAAACCTGGGGTCAAGCCCGGATAGGCCAAAACACCCTTCTTGACCTTTGTGGTAAAGTCATTCTTCTTAGAGGCCTTGGTTCTCTTCTTCTTACCAGCCTTGGCCACGAACTTGTCCTTCAACAAGTCGTTTTGCAAGTCCATGATCTCAGAGTCTCGCTCGTTATCCCAGCTCTTGACGGAGTTGACGTTTCTTCTGATCAACTTTTCCATGTACTTTGTTTCCGCCTCGTCGGTCACGTTGTCGTCGTAGTGCTTCTTAATGATCTGGTAGCGCGCCATCTTGTTGACCTTGGCGGATGTTTCCTTAGACACCTTTAACTGCTTGCGCTTCATCACCTTCTGCTTTTTCAGCTGCTTGCGGAACTCTTCCTCGGTCATTCTTTTGTGGGTGGCATTGTTGTGCACGAGCTGAGCGGACGATAACCTCTTTTTGGCTAGCGAGAGCTGCGACTGATCAGTGCTGATACGCTCCGCCCCTGGGACAAATGTGGATAGGAGTTTGTTCACAGTAGACTGTGCCTGGAGCTTGGATGTGTCGGATTTGAAGCTGGACATTGGATTACCGGCTCTATAAGTTGGGCTGGTCTGAGTATGAAGATGCGTTAATAGGCATGAAAAAAGCTAGAAAAAATTAATGCAAGTCATCGCATCACGTGACTGAAATTTCACCAATATCGAATTTACAGGGAAATAACACTTAATTGGTGTCGAATTACGGAAGGGTCTGGCCTAATCTTTACAGGTTCCAAAAGCGAATTACAGAAGAGAGATCGTACTGACTTCGTCGTCCTACATGTCCATACGATGTCTCTGTCGTTGATACTATACACAAGATTGAAGATGTAGGGGGATGAGATGTGGGATAAGATGTGGGAGAGCGGAGGACACGCTTACTGCTTTCTGTTGATTCTGTTGAGCTTTCTAGCCGTTGCAATGTTGTTCTTGGTCTTTTGGCCTCTGACTGGTAAACCCATAGCGTGTCTCATACCGGCATAAGACCCAATGTCCTTCTTCATCTTGATGTTGCTCCTGGTCTCTTCCAACAACTGCTTTTCAATGGTCATCCCGGATAATTCCTTGGTAATGTTCAAGATCTGGTTTTCCGACAACTGGTGAATCTGCATCTGTGGATAGAAGCCCAACTTGGCGCAGATCTTTTGGGCGGTACCGACACCGATACCGTAGAAGGTGGATGCCAACCCGAGCTGTGATCGTTAGTGGACGGTCTGCAGGGAAATTTCCAAGAGTAAACATACATGAATAGGCTTCTTCCCCTTGATCGCTTTACCCAAGATGTGAATGGCCATTTGGATATGTTGAGTATAGACGTTCTAGCTTGGCCCGTTCGGTTGATGTCGAGATTTTTCAATAGCGCGCATACATTTCGCGATTCTCAGTCTCCTTCCAGATCCGGATCCTTCTGAATATAGCCGTATTTGGTTACGAAAAAATAAGGTCACGTGTGCGGCTCAAGACGCATGCGCTAGCGCTAATCCCTACGAGAGCAACGAACCCCTGGACTGATAAGAAGGGTAATCCTAGAGCAATCATGGATTGTTTCCACGGACTTTAAACAATTGAGCTAATTATTAGTGGTTTTCCTGTTTCTCGGTAATTTCTAGCAATTAGTCTCCTATTTCGCCACTACCGTTTAAGCACTTCGTTCCGACAAACTTAACACACCTAAACCTAGTGTATGTATATGGCCACCTGGGGGAGGAACACTGCTAAGCTAATGTCGTATACAGTGCTATTTTAATGGATATGAAGATAGCAAATCCAAGAACCTCAGGTTGAATGGCTAAAGAGGCAATGTGTGAAGCTACAGGTTAGACTAAGTTAATAGTTTACCGAGAGGCGTTTATGTACCAGGGTATACATGCGCGTAGCAACTAATTCACCTTAGCCTTTAATGTTTTACGAGTTTATCCCTTTGTTGCGGAGTAATTGAGTCATGGTCATTAATCCATGAGAAGGACTTAGTGGCAAAATGGAGTTAGTCGGATTACTCACCAATGCGCTATGTGTCCAGAAGTGCACCATAGACGAATCTCAAAGAGTAATGCATTATTATGGCATCCAGTGGATCAGATAGAGCCCGATATACCGGCAATTTACCATTATCTATATACCCTCAAATATGTATTTGGAAACATGCGTGGAGCAATATTAAATTACATATATTTGCGTACGTTGGCCTTTCGTCTGTGTTGCGTTGTCCACTCCCGATATCTGTCCGGCTAGTTTCCCATTTTGTAGATACAAAAGGGCTACTCCGTTTGAACATGGCCAGCTTTAGGTATTAAGGCACAACAGGGTTTGGGCCACCAATTTTTTAAACCAGATAAAACCACCCAAGCTTTTACGCTCCGCAGTATTTCTGATAACCTGCCCGGTACGGCCGGCTGAGCAGATCTAATTAGACATTTACAGGGAAGATTGTTATAAGGAAGGGGAATTGAAAAATAGTACAAAGGTGACCCGTAAAAGACAATGGAAACCGCTTCAGGGCTAACCAAGCAAGCGGGCAATGGAGATTCGTCTGGCCAGCAGGGTGTCCGCGGTTGGGCTTGTGGTCTTGGGTTCAGAGACCGCGGTTGCAGCCAAACTGAGGTCTGAGGCCAGTCCAAGTCTCTCGTCCCGTTGGCTCTCGCTCTCGCTCAACCCCTGGTTCTCACTCAGGTTGTCGTCCGGCCTCTGGCCTTCGGGCTTTGGCTGGCTAAACGTAAAGTTACTCTTGAATATCGATGGTTTTGGCGAAGCATTCAGCATCGCAGCCATATGCCCTGACGCCGGCGGCGTCAACGGCGGCAAAGTCGTCCCATTGGCAGACAGGAGCGAAGAGTGCGCAATAGAACTCCCGGCGGAAGTCAACGGAGTCAAAGGCGCCTGGAAGTGCTGGCTACCGCGCTTCTTGCCGGAGCCCAACGGGTTCGGAAACAAGTCTGGCGCGAGCGACGATCTTCGCGAGTCGTTGAGCGAAAAGTCGTGCGAGATTGAAGATGTCCGCGACGTGGGCGGAATGAGCGGTGAGCAGCCTAAGAACGGCAGGTTTTCACCGCGTGGTGTGTGGAAAAACATGCTGGACGACACGGATGAATGACGGCGCCGTGGTTCGGGTTCGATCTCGATGTGGTTCGTACGGCGCTTGAGGAGGGGCGCGGGGAACTGCCCGGGCGGCGGAAACTGCCCCAGTCCCAGGGGCTGGCCGGTAAGAGGCGGGAGATTAGCCAGACTGGGCAGTTTGGACATGTCCGCAATGCTGTACGCGCGCGCGCCGCGCAAGACGTTGAACGCGAACGCTGGCGCGGAGTAGAGCTGGGGCGTGGATGCGACGTTTTGTTCCAGGGCCTCAGGGCCGAATCTTTCAGGCGGTCTTGTCTCTGGGTACTTTTCACCCGGATACCCACTGGAGGGTCCACCTGCATAGATGCCCGGAGCTCCACTTGGGTATCCACCCGGGTATCCGCCTCCCGAGTATCCACTCTGGTACCCTGGATACCTCTCGCCCAGCTTCTCGTCTGGCTTCTCTGGGGTTTCGTCCGGCGAGTTCGAGCGACTGCGCTCACCCACAGCGCTCGTCCGGCGGCGGCGGTTCGCCCCTCCATTCCACCAGTTCTTGACTGCGTTATCCGACCGCCCGTTCAAATGGCGCGCGATCTCTGCCCATTTCTTCCCGTACTTTTCAACCAACTCCTCGATGTACGCACCCTCCTCTGGGGTGATGGGTGTCTTGTTCAACAGCGGCTTCAAGTTCTGGTGGAACCGCTCGCGGCACTGCTTGGGCGTACGTGAGCCCAAGGACTGCGAAATCCTCACCCAATTGGTGGGCCCAAACACGTTGATGAGCTCCATGAGGCGCTTGTCCTCCATGGGGTCCCAGGGCCCGCGGCGGTTGGCAGACGACAGTGTGGACGCTGTTGCCCCAATTGCATCTTTCTCCTTGTCGGCGTATCCGTACGGGTACCCATGCGCCAGCGGTGGTGCGGTGTGCTGGGGCGGATGGGGGTGTGGGTGGTGCGGTGGAACGTGCTGGGGCGAATGTTGGTAGTTGGGGTGCAAGCCCGGGTATTCATTCATTGTGTGTTTGGGAAAAATAGGGGTAAGAAAAGGAGAGAGAAAGTATACCGTGCTAAGTGTCGGTGATAAGATATGACCGTTGCTGTTGGACAAAAAAAAAAGTTGGCGCGCGCAAACTCTTATGGTTAGAGCGCGCGCCAGCAACTGCTGGTGGGCCTGGGGAAGAAGCCGTCGTGCGCGGGCGAGGTGCGTAAAATCCGCGCTGAAATTGCCATGCACCCTACGGACCTTTGGGAGATCTAGGCGCACGCGCACCGCAACTACACCTAGGCGATCACCGACTAGGCTGTACCGAGGGTGTCTCACTCACAGACTGCAGTACCGTAATTTACACCTCTTGCATATGGATAGTTCTGGTGTGTACTAATTTAATTACAAATAGTTCACACGGTCTATAAATAGGTGCCTTGATTCCCGGATTGCGTCTGGTACACGAGCAAAGTGCGTCAGACGCAATAGAGATCGAGCTAAGCTTCGACGATAGACGCATCTTCACTGGGTACCCGGCCTGGGAGGCGCATGCTCACGCAGCCAGATGTAGGTTCTGTGCAGGGTTAACTTCGAAGGCTCTACCTCCAGAACGGACCGAGTACTAGATTTACTGTTAAGGTGGAACATGTTAGTTCAAGTGTGAGGGGGAGAGAGAGTGCGATAGGCTAAGCCTCCATGTTCCAGAAGTATGGAGTGTAGCCTCTACTGCCGTGGAAACTTCATGAGCTCAGATGTCTGCTCGTCTGAAATCGCCGTATTGCCAATGGGCTTGAAAAAGGTCGCATGGGTGGCCCCATGGCAGAGGTGCCTGTGGGCAGCAGAGCGGGTTGACGTCAGGGTTCCTCACATTAAGTAAACTTCTATAATCCAAGGGCCGCACTGATGATAAGCTTTAGATTATGTCGGAATAAAATCCGAGTCACATTGGGTAGGCCTCTCTTAGGTTTTCGCCCAAATGGCCAAATTAAGTTATCCTACAGGCACTCCTGCTAATGTAACCTTCGATGAAATGTTACACCAACGGAGCCTATTCAAAGTTTGATACCGGGATACCCGCAATTATTCTCACGTTGGGCCATGACCCATCGTATATTACCGCTTAATAGTGCATGTAATGCCGAAGTCCGAATGAACGTTATCTATCAGTCAATTGTCTGTTGGTCTGTACGGGCGTACATTCCACGGACCACCTTTCTGGGTAATTCATATGTAGGTACAGGCTTGTTGATGCACATCGACAGTCGCTAGGTCGAGTATGCTTAATTGGGGCTCGTAAATTACGAAGCCCGCTACAGTCCGGCATTGCGTTGTTTTCGTGGCCCTTCTAGAGCAGTGACTTCCTGCACTCGCAGCTGGTGAATCAGAAATTCAGATGTGAGTTTTGCCGTCTGGCCAACAAGAGCGTGGCAGTAATACATTTACCATAGAGGCTGGTGTGTGAACCCACGGATCTTCCTCGGTTGGCACGTGATCGTAGCCGGGGATGCCGTTGGTGGAGCGTTAGATATGCGTGACGGTTTCCCACTATATACTCCTAATATAGCTTTGAGGGGCTCTATTTCCTTACCATGTACATATACCGAGTCCTGAGATTTGGATTCTAGAGTAAATTTGATGCATCTTCTTCAGTGCCCTGGTATGGGAACAATAGTGCATATGCAGATATTCGTGGCTTACACAGCAGTACATGTACATTCACTACGAGCAAGACGAGGTACTTGAATCCATGCATTTTCCTCTGTGATCGGCTGGCTCACACCTCTTGGGGGCTGTAGTTGATTCATCTCTCGCATATATATCGACTTTCTCTCTAAGCACTTTTCCCAATCGGCTTGTGGCCAGTCTTTACCCACCACGGTGGAAATGTAGGGGGTTCAGCGCCGTGTTATAGCTATCTGGTGCTTTGAAATAATAGCTTAAAGATTCCGTAAATCGATATATAACACAATGACAAGAGAAACTATCTAGGGAATCGGGCCAGTGTTGTAAAAGGTGAGCGTTACCCGTAATACCGAGTGTTGAATCGGTGTACGAACATCGTACAATTACCCTTCGATGTTTCTCCGTTGTGCGCGCCTGAAACAGATTTAAGACAAGCGCCACGTTGTGCATATCGAGGGACAATACGCTACGCTGGCCAAGTACACTGTAGGTTTATTCTTCTAAAGAAACGAACATAGCTATATCCGATACCTACATTCCTGGCCTTGTTCCCCCGCCCCCTTGCACAATTAGTAGGACCCAAGCATTTTAGATCTTATGCGTCCTGGAATGGTTTCAATACAAGTACTGCAAAACAGGTACAATGTATTAAAGGTACTATTTGACCTTGCGGACGTTGTTGGCTGATATCCTCCGATCATGTGACATACCATCATCTAACCGAGATGATACCGTCTCGGCCTTCGGCATATATGGATACCGACCCCTCTGCTCTGTATATCGTACTCAAAAAGAGTATCATATTTTCAGACTAGCTAAGGTTCATTCACCCTAGGAAATGTCATACGCTATGATGAAGACAAAAATATTTGTCAAATGTTGAACTATGGCCATTGGCCATGTCGCAAGAAACTTGGAGTTGTAATAAGGTCCATCTGAATCTGTAAAACAGACCGGAGGTTACATAACTATTCATTCAGATCTTTGTAACCTTGGAAACGCATATGACTGATTTCTCATTCTAATAACTTCAAGCAGTTCTAAAAGGACTACAATTTAACATATAATTACACCGATAGAGCCAACACACAAGGGTCAGTGTAAATACTCCTGAAAAATTGAGTAGCGTATGATTAAGTTACGTCTCGTATCACGCAATAAGTTTCATCGGCATCTCCCTATACATTTTTTCTTACAAGGCTTCCGTTGAATAGGCTCAAAGTTGAAAACCCTCCGATTCCATTCTTATGATTCTTTTATTTTTCTTGCTTCCTTTAACCTTACCAGCTCACCATAAACCCAATAATTATATGCTCCTCTCCAGCCTCATTTACAATGACATCCCGTTTGCCACAACGTTTCATATGTGGTTTCTTGAGTTTCGACGCGTTTCGCTGATCAGATACATGGAATCTTGTTTCAAGTACCCTCCCTAGTCCAATCCAGTCTCTCTTCGTTATCATTCTTCCTAAAAGTACACCAAGTGCCTTATTCTAGTCAAATGATTCCCAGCTAACATCCACATGGTATGTCCAAGCTCCTACAACGATAGGACTATCTACTCAGTCAACAGACATTTCATAGTTCAAGGGGCTTCATCTTCACAGCATTGGATACACACAATGCCGATCCACCCGTGTGTCTCCTAGCAAGGCTGATTCAACGGCATTTACCCTCTGCGCATCTATGCGTAATCCAACCGCCGACTAAATTTCTCCCAGGCTAAGATTATTCAAATACCAGGTTTCTACCCACCCCGTTTGCTACAAGATCTCATATATGAGGAAGTGTCTGAATACAAAACGCGTAACCTTTGGTTGGCCAAATCCCAGAGTTGTCCTTCCGTCAAGATCAGCCTATATACAGCTTGCCTTGACTTTCAATCAAACTTCATCGCGCTCGCTAGAACGGAAGATATGGGTGCATTGTCTGTGGAAGTGTACGCCTTGCGGCAGGGTGTGTATTCCGTGTGGCAGGCAGCTGTGTCCCACTCGAGTTTGCGATCGTGGCCACAGTAGCGGCTATGCCTTTCCCAACCTTCCCCTTCTTCGCTAACGCTTCCGTTACGCTTTCTCTAGGCTCCAATACCAATGATAATTGGTATTGCGAATCGATGCTTGGCAACCCCCCAAACAAACCAGTGATAAACGTCTGAACATCCTCGAGCGGCACCAAGTTGTACGCCACAGTCTTGAAGCGTTCTGCAGATGCCACAATATCATAGATCTTGCTACGCTTGTTGAAGTTCACCGCTTTCGAAGTGGCCATGCCCGACGAGGCGAGAAAATCCGGGTTCCCCTGCGATGTAAACGTAATGTCTGAGAGATACACCCCGAAAAACGGCACGCACGGCTGGTCACTGACAAACTTGAGCATGTCGCGGTACTCATTGAAATTCCGCGACAGGTTCATCATCTTGTTCAAGCGCTCGAGGTTCGCGGTGATGGCCGGCGGCACCGCGGCCCACGTCTTCTTTAAGCGGTGGATTGGCGACAGATAGAGCCCGGAGATAATGGCTGTCATCGACGAAAAGTTGTTGAACTGGCAGCACTTGTCAGCGACCTGGACAAAGAAACGGATGATCTGAACACGTTTGCGGAGATCCTTTTTTTGGAGTACCAGATAAGTGACGAACGATGTGAGGCAGTTGGAGTTGTCGATGAAATTGGTGATGTTGACGTAGTTCGCAGCATCGACTGCGAAGCCGTACTTTTTCCCCCAGCACTTGGAAAGGAACTCGAACTGGTCAATAGCATTGTAAAGGCGGGACTCCTTGATAGTGAGTTGGCGCGCGAACTCGATGTAGTCAATATCGGAGAGTTTGTGGAGTTTCCTCCTAGGGCGGATCGGCGCAGGCGGTTTGGTGGCCGCCGCGACAGCGGGTGTGCGGCGGTACACGGCACGACCGGCCGCGAGCTCCTCGAGCAAGCGGATGAGGTCACGCGCGGACGCGTCACGCGCAACAGCATCGTGTGCGAACGCCAGCCAGCGCGCCATCACTGCCACATCGTAATAGCGCGCGCACCAGAAGCGTGTCAAGAGTGTCACCATTACCGCAATTACACGCGTGCGAATCGGAGCCGCCTTGCGCGAGACCCACATGTTATACTCCTCGTAGCTCAAGCCCTCCGGCGGCGACACATTAAACCGCTCTATAAGCATCCTCACGAGCTCGTCCAAGCTCATAATGCTCCGGAACGTGAGCAAGAAAGCGACCGTGAAGGGTGTGTCCACAAAGTCGTGGTGTGCAAGATGGCACACGAGTGCGTGCGCGGTACCGCCCTTCACGTGCCCTTTGGAATCAAAGAGCACATCATATTCTTCGTCATCCAAGAACCATGGCACGTCGCGCGAGAGACGCCGCACATTCACCTCGCCTTCGGAGTCGGTATCCGAGTCGGTCTCGCCGTCTGCGCGCACATTCATGAGCTCCACGCCGAGGTCTGTGTTCATCATGCGTGTCGCACAGTTGAGGATCGTTTCACGCTCCTCGATCAACTGCTGCACGATGTACAACACCAAGTTCGTACGGTTAAAAACTTTCTCGACGGAACGGCGGAGCTCTGCGTCAGTATCGGTAACAAGTGTGTGCACACCCACGGATGGCACGTGTGTGTTCGAGGCGTTCAGACTCGTCATCGGATTTGGCTTAGTGAGCACTGCGGTCTTAATCTTGTACGCAAGGCGCTCAGTAGGCGCGCCTGTGCCTGTGCTGTCGAGGTTCTGTAACATGCCGCGGAATACGTCCGGGTCATCGAGGGTGAGCGCCTGCGCGTCCATAATGCTTTCGGCGATCGCGTCGTGGAGCTCTTGCTTGGCCTCGAAGAATTCAAGGAGCACCGGGTACGCGAACGAAAATACTCGTGGGGTGGCATTCTCACTCACCAGCACGTCGCGCGGCATCATCTCGAATACAGAAAAGTCGAATGAGTCGAGGATCTGCATGATCTTGGTCGAATACGCGAGGGATTTGTAGGTTAGAATGAGAATCTGCGAGTTGCGCGTACTCGAGCGTGCATTGCGCGCGGTTCCGAGCACCGTCCAGATCTCCGTTAAGAGCTCGTTCAAGCGCGAAGCACTACGTTGAAGCCGTTCCGCGACGTCACGGTCGAGAAGGTATTTGTTGCGCTGCTTGCGGCGGAGTTTTGCGCGGCTCTTGGAGAACGCCGGGTTCGCATTGATGAAAAACGGGTTGCTCCAGTTTGCGCCGTCGAACGCATCTGCGAGGAAGCGCGGGTACACCTGCGGTAGCACGTGCCCACATGAACGCGTGCCTTCGAGCTGCGAAACGATGCGTACCATGGCCGCAACGTTTTTGCTGATCACGCTCGCCTCCTTGCCAGCCTGCGCGAGGTACAGGTCCGCGGCCTCAAACGGCTCCGGCAGGCTCGCGAGCCCGTCGCCTGCAACGATGCTCGCACGCGTGGTGCTCACACTCGCGCGGCTCGCGTAGCTGTTGCCGCGCACGGTCGTGAGCAGGTGTTTCGTGCCTGTCTTGTTTAATGCGGCCATCGCCAGCACAAAGAGCTCATCGCTCTGTGCGAGTGGACCCATATCCATGAACAAGTATAAGTTACCGTTGATCGACAACTGCGCAAGCGCGCCCGCGATGCGCCGGAGCTTGCGGAACACTGTCCCGTCGAGCTCTGCGTCCTCGATATCGCGGAATAAGAAGCGGCACGCGAGCTGCATCATTGTCACAAGCACTGAGAGATGGCCCGTGTGTGTGGTGAAGAGTTCTTTAGATTCGCGGCGAAGCGCGTCGATGGAGTGCTTGAGGAGCTCCTGGAACGCACGCTTGAGCGAGTCCCATGTCGTGATGTCGGTCGGGTCTGCGTAGAACACGCCGGGGTCCTGTTGGAGTGCACGCGCACGCATGCGCAGCGCATCAGACATGGTACTGCCGTATGACAGCCGTGGCTTGCGAAGCTCGTCGCTCCCAAGACTCGTCGCGATGCTCGCATGGCTCACGGTGCTAGCGACTGAGCTCTTGTGTGCAAGCGCCGGCGCAGTGTATTTGAGGCGCTCGAACGTCTCGTTGCTCGGGAAGTCCACCTCCACGTTGTTGCAGAACTCGGGAAACTCCACTAGCGGGAGCTCTTTTGTGAAAACGTTGAGAAACTCGTTGTAGTAGATCATCTCGCCTTCCGCCGTGCACTTCGGGATCCACACGCGCGCAACGTGCGAGCCCGCGCCGGCGGATACTGCGAGCATCGACTCTGCATCTTTAGCCGATACCACCGTCACGCTGCGAAGTTTCTCGGCGTTGGGGCTCGCAGTAGTGTATGCGGACGTGTCTGAGATCTTGGAGCGCATACTGTCGAAGCTTGTACGGCGCGGCGAACGGAGGCTTGCCTCAGATGAATACTCGCCCATTTGTCTCTGCAAGCGTGTAGCGAGCGGATTCTCGAGTATGTCTGCGATACTTGTGGGATTTCGGTCGGCGGGTTCACTCTTGGATTCACTCTTGGATTCATTCTTGGATTCACTCTTGGATTCGTTACTCTGGTCGGATTCATCTTTGTACTCGGGTTTGTAAGGATTGTATTCGGTATTGAACTCAGGATTGAACTCAGGATTGAACTCAGGATTGAACTCGGGATTGAACTCGGGATTGAACTCGGGCTTGTTTTCAGGTTTGCTTTCAGGCTTGGTTTCGGGTTTGGTCGACCGGGTGTAGCTGCCTGGAAACCAGCCACGACGGATGACACCCTTCTTGGACGTCACACCATCCCACCATCCGGTTTCTGACTTGGCCAACACATAGATGGTATCGCCAACCTGGATGTCCAACTTGTTTGGCTGTGTGGCATGGTATGTTTTGAGGCCCACCACCGTGTCGAGTGGCCGAATATCACTATAGACGGCCATCTCTGGTGCCAAGGCTTCAGACATGATGATAGCGGATGGATTGGGGGAGAATAGAGGATGTTGAAGAGTGATGGATGTTGGATGCTGGGGTATTTTTAGTTTAGGGGTTTTTCTTCCGTCTCGCGTCTCATCCCTAAGTGGACCGCGCACGACCACATGCACAGAGTTGCCGGAGCGACGACCTATTTTCTCATATTTGGCCGAGTAGATGGTATTACTGTGGGATTAACCGGAATTGGTTCTGAGGATCGAAAAGGTTGAATTTATGGGCCATTTTGGCGTCTTTGGGATATCTTATCAATACGAGATATGAATTTGTTGTATTTTTTTATGCCAACGGTCTGTGTTGAGATCTTGGCGGGCTAATGATAATATTCAAGAAAATCTGAACCTAGTAGATGATAGGAATAAGTCTAATTGTTAGGTATGAGGATGAACATCTTCATATGCCATACCTGAGACAAAATTAATGATGTCTGCTAATGCGGTCGTTTCCACCGTGCGACTTGACAGGGATTTCCGTACTTTTTTTTTTATGCTGAATTGTAACTCTCATTCGCAAATTTAGCTCCTCCTCGTTTTAGATAGCCATCTCAGTTTGTGCCTACCTGTTCTTGTAGGTTCTAAACCATGCGTAAGTCGAGAGACCATTTTGGTAGTCAATCTACAGTTTACAGGGTTGAAAGATAGAGCATTTATGACAACTTCCAGGGGTTGGTAGATAAACCCACCTTTGAGTTTCGCACGTAATAGTACCACATCTTAAAATGCATTCGACTTTTAGTTTGGGGAAGAAAACAACTCTGGATATTGTTTGTGCAATATTTTGGTGTACTGAGAGAGTGGTGAATGTGAATTATAAATCCGGTAAATACTCCTTCGGGTAACGCTGCTATCATACAGTCCATCATTTAAAGCAAGCGCTTTCATCAATACCCTCTATCGATGGTCCAGGATAAATTTATCACCTGTTATCCTAATTTATATATACACAGTGATCCGATGCACCTCTAGGAAATCTCGTAGAACGCCTGTCTGGCATCACACGCAGCTTTTCTCACCGCTCTCTTCTTGTCGTCCACCGCCACCTCTAAGCGTCTCAAGACAGAGTTTCGGAAGGGAACAATCTTAGTCAACGCAACCGCATTTGGCAAGAGCAACAAGCAGCGCAACGCCTCAAGCCTCACCTTCTCGCTATTGCCATTCTTCGCCTCGGACAAGTCTAACAATGCCGGTACCAATGTCTGCAAGTGCTGGGTCACAAGTTCCGGCAATTCGTTCGTAGTCAACGAAATTGTGGTTAACGAAGCGCATCTAATCTCATTGTCGGGGATCAAAGAAATAGATTGTAAGAGTAATGGGAGGAAGGTGGTCAAGTGGGGCAAGATAATTTCACGCGAGACATACTTCAAGAGAAGCGAAATCGCAATTAAATAACACTTCTTAGTGGCAATCTCTTGGGCAGAGCCAAACTTCTCCACGAGCTGAGGCACTACGCTCTCGAAGAACTTTTGCTTGTATAACAATCTCGTGTTGACGGGCACGACACGGGAAATCAACTTTTTTGGCTTGGCAAAGAGTTCCAAGTCGCAAATGACAATTTCCAAGCATCGGGAGCCCACCACACCGTAAGGAGTTTCGAGCAATGTAAGGATGTAGCAAAGGAACGGGTCCGCGGCCTTATCGTTCTTCAATACCAATCCCTTTGTGATCCACGCAATGATCTCCAAACTCTGGATCCCCTCTCTAGTCTCCGTGGCAGCTACCCCGGAGGTTAGCATAGCAAACAAGGGCGTCAAAAACCCGCTGTCGGTGAACTTATTAACTACTATGGCGAGGGTCTGCAAGTAGTTGACCCGGGTTAATTCATCCGAGGCGTGTGCCAATACAATGAGCTGCTCAGCGAAGGCAGTGCTGTTTGGCATTAGAGCGGTTTTATCAATGGCAGCGAGGGACCACTTGAACAATGCAATATCAGCGGAAGGGGTTTGAAAGCCGAACTGCAACAATTCGTCGAGCAACTGCTGGTGCTTTTCCACCGACACATACTTGTAAATGAGGTTGAGCAACTTCCCCACGGATTCGAGAAGATTGACATAACATTCGTCGGATGGAAGGCGGCCGGACTGGGACAACCTGATCACCAGGGCGTTCACCTGTGGAACCAAGTTCTTGAGCCATTCGTCGGTCAAGAATGGGGATTCCAATTCGCTGGTGAACACAGCTTCCGCGATGGAATCCACAATAAGTGTGAGGTATGCATAAGAGGAAGAGCTATCGATGGCCTGCTCCAATTTGTTCAACAACCGGACGCACAACATCTCCAAGACCTGCCTGTTGGTGGACATTTTCACCAAAATGGCCAATATTTCGGCCGCAGATTTGGCTGGACTCATAGTTTCATCAGAATCCGGCAATAAGCTCATTAGGACCGGGAAAGAGGTGTCTAAAAGCAACTGCACCTTGTGTTGGTCGCGGCTAATGGCCACGTATCCATCGATAATGGCGGAGCAGGTCTGGGCGGCGTCATCAGCAATAATGACTTCGTTGAAGAACTGGAGAATGAAGGAAGTTTCCTCGAGGATAAGGAAGCGCGGGAGGCTTGTCAACTTAACCAACTGGTGAATGGTTGCTATGCGCAAGGTGGCTTCTCTGGAGGAAGAGGACATGAGGGTCTTGGAAAGTAAGGCAAGGATGTTGTCTTTGTGCGATAAAAGGGCATTGGAAGCAAAATCAGACTCAAATTCCCCGGCGTTGAGCGCATTAACTAAATTCGCATACGCATTCAAGAAGAAGCCCATGTTAGCAATCAAGTTGCGCTGCTTTGGCACGTTGAGGTCGTTCACGTCCTCGAAAAGCCGAACAAACACCTTCTCCACGATGTAGTTGAACGCCTCAGGAGATGCTTCCGCAACGTTTGTCAAGATGAGCATCGAGGCTTTGAAGAGCTTGTGTTCTGGTTCGATGTTCGGCAACAACTCCTCGATGAGGGTCGTAAGGTACGGCTGTAACCCGGACTCCAGACACTGTCGCAACTTTACAGCCATGGCCCTGAAAATCTCAAACATTCTGACATAAACCCTGGTTTCGTCGTCGTCGGTGGCCACGCCCTCAGCTGAGAACATGCTGAGCTCGTTGTGCAAGAGTTCAAACTTCAAGGCATTCCAAAGACTCAACCAGAACAGCTGGACTGCCTCGGGGGTATATGCCTGAATACACTGCAACAACGTGTCCAAGATATCAAGCTTGACCTTTGCGTTGGTGGTGGTGAGCTTCTCAATCAAGTTCGGGAAGGCGTCCTTGGCATAGGCTGTGTTGCTGCTGAGGGCGCCGCGCAAAGCTGTCTTTAGCTGTTCGGACGTGATCTTGTAGGGATCCCCCTTTGGCGGGGTGAAAGAGATGGGGAAGTAGCAGAATGCCACGTCAAAGAGCTCATTGTTGGTTTCTTCGTCCGTAATACCTAGCTTGGCACCAATGACCTCCTGAAGGGTAAAGGAAGCGATTAAGTTGCGGGGGTCCTTTTCACCGGAAGCCACGTGTAAAAACGTCGTCGCAAACTCTGCGGAAAGGTTTCTGGCGATGAAGCTTCCGAATTTGGCCAATAAGCGGGCTAATATGTCAAAGGCAAGGTATCTGACAGGCGCCAAGTTCTTTTTCGGGGCATACTCCTTCTCAAGCGTCTGCAAGATCTTGGCCACGTTGGTAGAGGCAAACCGCGTGAAATCAACCAAGCAGCTGAGCCCCAGAAGCGTCGCTTTGTGGGATACCAAGTCGTCAAACTTGGACAAGTAAAAGTCGACCAATACCGAAACGTCTTGTTTGGAAAAGATTGTCGCATCACGCGCGGCTAACGTCTGGAGCATCTGTGACAAGCAGAGAATTGCGCGTGAACGGATTGCGTCATCGTCACGGGTCAAGTAGTCGCCCGCCGTCTGAATGAACTGTAGGAGCGTGAGCTGCTTCAGGGCTACCTGGTCAGCAAGTCTGGCGACGACCAAGGTTGCCTCTTGTTCATTGGTATCGGTAAATACGAGGTACTGGTTGATGAGGGTCTCTGTGGTGGCGGACATTGATGAACGGCTGATCAAAAAAAGTAGAGATCAGTTTTGCGGTGAAAGTTTTATGCAAAAGAAAAAGATAGCGAGAATACGCGGGAAGAAAAGGGGGAAGGACTTTTTGGGACGCTGGACCGTGGGAATATTTTTTGAGATATAGAATTTTACGAAATGGAGGATTAAAGTTTTCTTAGCATCTATCGTGTGCTGGATGTATAGGATTATAGTAGCTTACTAACTAATGAAGAGGAGCGGTGGTGTGGCATGGAATTTTCGCGTACTTTCTGTTACCTTAACGAATTGTCAACACAATTATGGAGAAACTATCCAAAGTAACGGTTAGAACTAACTTATTGGGTCTTTCGTCTTGCAATTATTTTGGCTATGAGTATCTGTTATCGAGTTACGTATTAAATTTGAGGATTTATAAACGAACCCGAACTCCAATGATGGTTTCTGTTCATAGCGATGTCTAACTTTTAGTGTAGGGACCGAGATGAAATAACGTTTTGTCACGTGACAATATGTGTTAATTCATATTTTTATGTAGGGGGATGGCCAATGCCCGGTGACATGAAATTAACACGAATCTTTTAAAGCTGAGGTTACTATTAACAGATTGTTTGCCTATGACAGCATTGATAAGAAATCAATACTGCTGAATATCTAAACCAGTAAACGGCTACGGATTCTGGCATCTGGAAATTTGTGGTCTATCCCGGGCGCTGCTCTTCCCGTAGGAATTTCTCGAGAATGCAGTCGGAAACGACGCGAAAAACGCAGGTGCGGCGATATGATACATCTGGGTATGCCACTCTCGTTGCTAGATACCCGCTTTGGCACATTATTAGCTTATAAACCCCCTTTACACCCATGGAAAGAATACGACGCAGATTGAGTGGCCACAACTTGACAGCGGTGGACATGGACTACGCCAACCACCCGCCGTTGGCAGACGAAGACGAATGGACGGCGTCAACTTCCAGCACCAGCCTCCCTGGGACCGTCCCCTCCTACGAATCAAGCCAGCTCCACCACCGTTCGATTTCAGGCCCGTTGCACCTCAACTCGCGGTCCACATCCATCACCTCCCTTTCCACGTTGATGCAAGACGACGGCCCTACTAACGCCTCACACGACCCATCCCACAAAGAGGAACGCAAGAGCTTTCGCCGTTTGGGTCTCACATCGCTCAACCCACGCCAGCACTTTGCACTCTCTATGTGTCGCGATATCTCCTTCCTTCCGCCCGTAGTGGGCCTACTCCGGGCCTGGAATCGCGCGTTCTTCTACTCCCCCCCGAACCAATCGCTCATCGACCAGCTCTCGTCTTCCACTTCGGTGGAGCACTTTCTCACGGGAATATGGTGTATCGTTGCCGGCTATCTCTCGTACTGTATTTTGGACGGGCTCATGGTGCGCTGGATCGTGACATATTCCATATCCGCGGCGATTGTCCGTATGTTGAGCTTCTCCGCGTTGGTAATTTCGCTCGAGCAGTTAATTCTCACAGTGCTGGCATCGCCGGACAATGCTACGCACTATCTGTTGCACAGTTGGATCCTTATATCGTGCATAATGACTATTGCGTACGTATGCGAGAGCTTTGTGACGAGCAACTTGTTTAAATCGTCCAAAAAGCGCTATTTTGACTACTATAATATTACCGTATTTGCAGTGGTGCCCGTGGGCCTTGCCAGCTTTGCTACCATGATTGGAATCTTGCGCAGCTTGATTATCTTGCGGCTAGACATTGAGACACGTAGGTTTCAGTTGCAGTCCGAGTAGTAGTTTTGCCCTTGTTTCTCTTTTTTTGCTTTTCGAACGCCTTTGCAGGTCTTTTTTTTTGTTATTGTTGGTTTATGGTGTAATTAACTGGGTCGTTAATATATTAATATTAGGTACTTGTTTGTATTTCCGAGTGCCTGGGGCTTATTCTGTCGCAGCTTTATATGTGGGTGATTTGGGCATAAATTTTCATGCGCAATTGATTAATGCCAGTTTGGTCATTCACACTTCACCTCACTACAGATTTCTTACAATCAAGTCGTTCGAGAGTGATAAAATAATGTACAGAGAGGAAAATACCTCATGATGCTGCTCCTAGGCGAAAGAAACCCCTCTCTTCTTTGGCTTGGCGGCTTCCGCGCTACCCTTATTGTCCTTTCTTCTGTTGGCCCTGGCGAGGTTGGCCTTGTTCTTGATTTCGGCCTTTTTGTTTTCGATCTTGTCCACCTTTTCCTGCTCCTTTCTCTCCATCTCCTGCTTCCTCAACTCTCTGATTTCTTCTAATCTTCTGGACTTTTCCAATTTGGACTCGTTGATGGAGTCTCTAGAGTCGTTGATCTGTCTGATGAGACGAGTGTAGACGAGCGGATCATTGTCGGCGATAAAGACCTTACCCTTCTTCCCAGACTTCTTGACAATCACCCCTGGGTTAACGGCCATGTTCAACTTAGGGATATCCAACTCCTTTTCGGTGTATTCACGCGGAGCCTTCTTCTTCCCATACAAACGAATAACCTTCTGCTCCTTTCTGACCGTCTTGAGCGACTTTTGCGGAGTTTTGGACTTTGGGGTCAACTTTGGCTGGTTGGCCAACAAGTTTCTGGCCTGGCTGTCGGAAGTGACCTCGGACTCAATGGACCTGGTCCCAGCGGTACTTTGCGCTCTCTTGTAGGACTTTGTTTGCTTCTTGTCGACCATTTTGCGTGCTATATATCCTTTCTTCTTTAGATATCCATCTAATGATAACACCTTTAAATTTTTCATGCAGATTCTGTAGCGCATATATTTTTTCACTTTTATGGGTGTTACCCTTCCCGCCGCACGATGAGCGGAGAGCCGCGATGTAAATGTACAAATGGGGCTGGAGGTCATTGTGACTAGAGTTCATTTAAGAAAAACTTATACATAATTTAATAGTTTTTAAGAGGTCATTTTGGAAAACCTATAAACCGTTGGTTCCGCCAGACACTGAGAGATGGTGGTTTAAACAGTGTAAACTGGGTTTCATCTGAACCGCTAGTTCAATGCTATAAGACTATTGAACCGAGAGGTGTGGTGATGTATAGAAATTGAGATAAATACTTGAGGATATTAAGGGTTGCCAGTATAATCCGTACCTGGCCTAGAAATTATATTAAACAAAAGTGAAGCGCGTTAGTATCTCAATCATAGCTTGGTATTGTCATAAACTAGATGACTTGATTTAACTTGAGATTCAAAAGATCTGAATTACAGACAAGTCTGAAGATTCCGGCCCAGCTATATCGCTTACCCAGAGTATCACATACAAAGGGGTAATTTCCAGCAGTTTACCAATCCATCTAATTTATTTTATACCTCAGAGTACTAAATCTTTATCGAGCTAATCCAAACAAATGACTTCTTCGGTCGCGGCCTTGTTCGAGAAGCTGTCTCTTCTCTTGGTCCTGTCAAGGAATCTGGCAGCTCGAAAGTGTACGGTATTTCCAAGAACCTCAAATATCCAGGGTATGTGCCATTAGAGGGTGGCCTCGATACCCAACATCCTTCCATTAAAAGAGTCCTTTATGGTGACATAATTTATCCACAGGTCCGAGCTTGTTGCCAGCTTTGAAATTAGTCAATCAGGAGATTACTATAAAGAAACTTGTTATAATTTGGATCCGTAATCAGAAACTATCTATTGGTGTCCTTGGTTGAGAGTGCTATCCAACGTTCAATCTTAGAATAAGTGTCTGGTATATCCACTAGTACTGAGGTTTACTGCATACCCTGGGAATATTATTCCCAAGCTAAAGAGTAACCATCGTGGCTGGTTCCAACCTTTACTCAACAAGAGTAGTCTATCTATTTTCCAAACAGTACCCCTAGCCTGCCGTCAATTTACTCCATAGCGTTATATCCCTATGCTAGATTTGAATTCTCTGATATTTTCTTGTTTTTACTGAAAACATGCCCCTACTCAACGGCCGCGACCCCTCAGTTTCGCGAGTGCCTCCTGTGTTTACGGCTCTCCTGCAATGTCTGCACGACACAATTTTCACACCGTATGCTATTCGTCCTTCATCAAAACAAAAATCAATACACTTGTATCCTTCTTTCGGTGGAGCTACTTCGCTTTACCTATCCTGTCACACATATTTGTTTCCGGCCTGATTGTCTTCTATCAAATTGAGCGTCTAGCACCATTGCCATCCATTGCTGCGTCGTCCATCGCAACGTTCCATAACCATTAACCTCTAACATGTCCAATCCCGAGAGCCCCGAAATCTACGGTGAAATCATCATGCCAGACGAAAACCCACTTAACGTGGGCGCGGATGCGGGTAAAAAGCGGCGCGTAACACGCGCGTGTGACGAGTGCCGTAAACGAAAGGTCAAGTGCGACGGCCAGCAACCATGCATCCATTGCTCTGTCTATTCCTACGAATGCATCTACAGTACACCCATCCGCACAAGCCGGAAGCGGAAGCGTGACCGCCCCAGCTCGCGCACCGAATTGCTCGAGGCCCTCGTTCAGCGCTTGCTCCCGGGCGTGGACATTTCCGAAGACAAGCTAGACTTGGCGTTACTCGCAAAGACAGTCCAGGGTGAACATATAGATGTGAACCGAGTTGTCTCGCAATATAACAAAGAAGCGGAAGTCCCGATCCAAAGCACGAACGAGGGACATTTCGAAGTTTCATCTGGCGCTCCGGAAGACTCCGTATCGCCAGACTTTAAAGATTCGGAGGAAATCCGGATTGTGCTTCCGCCAAAGCCCGTAGCGCTCCAGCTCATTAGTAACACTTGGGAGACTGCGTGTGTATTGTTTCGTTTCTACCACCGGCCTTCGTTTATTAAGAACCTCGACTTGTTGTATGAGATGGAGCCCGCGGACTACACGGACGAGCAGCACAAGTTTTTGCCATTGGTATACGCGGTGTTGGCGTGCGGGTCGTTGTTTAAAAAGTCATCACTGAATGATTACCAAAAAAATAAGAGCGGCTCTCACTCTGGGTTTCCACCCCAAGTCAATTCTACGGGTGATTCAGTCGAGTCTGATGAAGGCTACCGCTACTTCCTCGCAGCGCGCAAACTTGTCAACATCACCGACGCGCGCGACATCTTCTCCATGCAAACAACGCTCATGCTCATCATCTTCCTCCAGTGCTCCGCACGCCTCTCGACTTGTTACTCGTACATCGGGATCGCGCTTCGGCTGGCGCTCCGAGAGGGCCTCCACCGCAAGCTCTACCACCCCAACATGAACCTCGTGGAGCTCGAAGTTCGTAAGCGCATCTTCTACACCGTCTACAAGCTCGATATTTACATCAACGCAATGCTTGGTCTTCCCCGCTCCATCTGTGAGGATGACTTCGACCAGGAGTTGCCCATCGAGTTGGACGACGAAAATATCACGGAGCGCGAGTATCTTCCGCAGATGCCAGCCGATAAGCTCAGCTCATCTGGAGTTGCCAATTGCCACACCCGCTTGTTTCTCATTCTAGATCGTCTCATCAAGAAGTTTTATCCCGTGAGACCCAGTTCGAACATGCCCAACCCCGTGAGTAACCAGGAAAATGTGACCATTTTAGAGAATGAGCTTGCTGAGTGGATAAAAAGCTTGCCAAGTGAGTTGCAGCCGGGAGGTACACCGTCGTTTAGGTACCTAAAGGCGAACCGCTATCTCAATCTTGCGTATTTGCACGTCCAGAGCATGCTCTACCGGCCATTCATCCACTACGTGGCACCAGAATACTCGTACAACTCCAGCTTCAACAGTGTCACCGAGCAGCACTTGATCGTGAACGCACGTAAGTGTGTTAATGTGGCAATCAAGATCGTGGAGCTTGCAGAGTTGATGGTTGCTGAGGAGTTGCTCAGCGGAGCGTACTGGTTTTCCAACTACTCCATCTTCTTTTCCGTCGCGTGTTTAGTCTTCTACGTCCATGCGTGTTCTCCCGACAGGTACCGTGAGAACCCGTTGGTATACAGCATCTTGCAGCCGCAGTGGGCCGAGATTATGAAGATTACCGAGGTGGGGAAGAATGTGTTGTTGACCTTGAAAGATTCGAGCAATGCGGCTCGTCGCACGTACGACATTTTAAATCAGTTATTTGAGCAGTTGAATAGGAGAACCGCAGAGAAAAATAGCTTTAGCCACATCTCTGAGCCAAAAGTGAAGAGATCTACAGCTGGGGAAGCTTCCTCTGAGTCAAAGGAAAAGCTCAAGACACAGGAAGGTTATGAGTCGAACGGTGCGACGAGAAAAAGTACAAGCCAAGAGAGTTTCCACCAAATTCCAGTCGCAGAGCTGTCGCAGATTCCAGAGTCATCTTACCAGGTGCCAACGTCCCACGTTGTTCTGGAGTCTTCCAACCACCAGGCTTCTCAGCCTGAGCTTCTCAGCCAGATCTCTGTCCAGCCAAAGTTGGTGGGTTCTTGCAACTACCAGATTCCGGTCCAGCCACCAGCCCCAGCCCTTACTTCCGACAAAACCTACTATCCAGAGGAGGCCAAGTGTGACGATTACATTCCCGGGATCATGGACAACTTGGAGATGCAGCTTTTCGGCCGTTTCTTGCCGCCTTACATGTTACCATACAAGGATGAAGGGCCAGGCCAGCTGGGTAGTCAGATGCCAAGTGGCTTGGCCACCACGAGCAACAATATCAACAACGTCTGGCCGGACAGCCCGTCAGGCGAGGCCCTGAGCGATCCAAACTTTACTGATTTGGATTTCGGCGATTTGATGAAAAGTTATAATTTTAGTTAATCTTAAAAGATGGATTAGTTGGCGATAGGTGTTTAGCCATTGAGTACAATTATTTTCGAATTTATCACCGGTACAAAGTTTCGTATGGCCAATCGAGCGCAATCAATACTCGCGTACTAGTTGGACACCGACACCCATACCCAACACAGTGTTATCTGTAAATATAGCCATAAGGGCCCATAAGAATCTAGCTTTAACCATTGCCAGGGTTTAGCTTTCACAACTTCCCATGACTTAGGATATGGACAATTCTCCAACCTTCTCAAGCTCCGCATGTTTCTGATAATGCTCTGACTTGAGATACTTTCTCAAACACTCCATAAAGACATCAGCGGCGGTCTCGTAGTCGGACAATTCGTTGTAAATCTGACAGCTGAAGCGCACGTACACCTTTCCGTTGTGAGCGCACGATTGGACGTAGGTGCCGTACTTCTCAACAGCTTCCAGTTCCACGAACTCCTTGAACTCCAAAAAGAACTGCCCTTGGAGCATGAGTTTGTGGAACAGCTCGCTGTTAGGCTCACCACGCAACGGAACTTCCACATTCACCATGGCTGTGATCAAGGAATGGTCGTCGTTGTCCAAGTACGAGGTTCCCCACCTCTCAGCAACCATAATACCTGCCTGCTTGGCCAACTCGTGGCAATACTGGAAGATGGCCTCCTCTCCACCACAGACATCTCGTCTGAACTTGATGGCAAAGGGAACAGTGGCAATGCTGGCGTAACAGTTGGTTCCAGTAAAGACAAATCTGTCCACCAAGCGGGTCGCCTCGAGTTCCGGCAGCAACTCCACATCATCATCCAAATAGCTGTGGGATATCGGGAAGGTATGGACCTTGCGGTGATGCTTGCGGTCAACATACAACAAGGCACATCCCCTTGGAACGAACAACCACTTGTGCAAGTTGGAGACAAAAAAGTCGGGTTTGATCTGGCGGAGGGAGTAGGGAATCAACCCTACAGAGTGCGCCCCGTCCACCAAAGATAAGACGTCGTAGAAGCGACACACCTCAACCATCTTCTCGAACGGAAATCTGACCCCAGGCATGGAAATTACAGCGTCGAACAAGCACAATCTAACGCCACCTTGCTTGAACGCGGCCTCAAAGATGTCCAAAATAGCCTGGTCGTTCAACGGGTACTGGAGGTCAATAGTGATAGGAATGATCCCAATTCTCTTGGCCAAAAACTTGACGGTATTGCCGCAAGAGCCGTAAACTGTCGATGGCATCACAACCTTATCCCCTCTGACAAAGGGGAAGGAGCGCAAAATTGTGTTCACCCCGGCGGTTGCGTTGGGCAGAAACACCAAGTCTGTGGCATCGCAGTCCACTAACTCCGCCACCTCCTTCGTAGCAGCGGCCACATCCGGGCCCAAGACGAAACGCATGTACTTGTCTGGGAAGTCGCACTCTTTCTGGATGTTAGCCAAGTATTCCTGGACGATAGGGGCCGGGGATAACCCGTACGAGCCATGATTGACCAATACGCTGGCCTTCGTCGGGAAGTACTTTTCTCTGAACGCATGGCCGAAGGAGGGAATTTTCTCTGTGTTGTCTGTCATAGTTGTTAATTTAATGGAAATGATAACACAAGAAAGAGATCCAGTAGATGTATATATGCTGGATCCAGCCGTTTGTTCTGGTGCCTTTTACGGGGTATCTATGTGACTCATATAGATATGCATCCACGTACGGCATTCCTGCAATAGCCGTTTACGGCTAGTCACGGGTCTGCATGATTGTTCAGGAAAATTGCGCATATTATTTTATCCACCCTTATCGCCGGAACGGACATACTTTGATTTATTCGGCTGTTATTCTCGCTACGCATATTAGGTTGTTTATTAGTTCTTTGCAGTTGTATCTCGAAGACCCAAATCCACATATTTGGCCCTCTGACTCTTTTTCATAGCGGGGAGGGAACTGGATCGATAAATATATCAAAAGTGAGAGCGACAATGGGTTGCCAGCAAGCTTCGAACGTTCCGGGGTGTCTCCTAAAGCAATACTTACCTAATCAATTCTGACAAGTAGCCGGGGGGTACTTTTAGATTTAGATAATTAAGGCCCTTCCTAGCCCATTCATAAGCTCGTCAAGCCTGCTCAATGGTTAAAAATATTACATCTAGGCGGTACTGCGGTTATCAATGTAACCAGGAATGTGTCAGAACGGGCTATTGATCTCTGTTTAGTTTCCGCCTCTATACTAAATGTGTTCTAATAACCCCCGAGTGAATGGTCTTGGCGTTAATTACAAGACCCCCCCTAATGTTCTCTAACCGTTATTGTGAAGATCCCATATCATTATTAACTCTCAGTGGTCTTCAAGCACCGGAAGGAAATGCTACAGTGCACAAGATTAAAATCACGACTAAATCTAATGCTATTTTATACCGACTTTTGAATTCGGCAATCCTCTGAGGAAGAACGTTTAATTCGTCAATAGGCTCACTTTCCCGCACACCTGGTTCTAACCCTTCCGGATAATTGGCCCTTCTCGCTCTACCACCCGTCCGTCCCATTAAACCCAATAAACCCACTGAGAAGGAAGAACTTATAATAGTTTTTCTTGCTAATCTCATTAGCCCAGTTCCAACACGACGTCAAACGTCCGTCGATACACGACCCGGCATTGAAGTAGTCCTGAGCACCTGAGCCATCAAACGCATGGCGGAAAAAGTCAGTCATGATCACCTTCTTCAAGTTGTCCAACGACTGGTATTGAGAATCAATGGATGCCGCAACAAACTTGTCCTTAGGGTAGATTACGTCTAAGAAGTTCAAACACGTATCGATAGGATTCAAGATCCGCGGAACCTGCAAATACTTGTCCAAGTACGTCAACGCAGACGGCACGGCGGTGTCGCCAATGTGGACGGCAGAAGATCCAACAAACGGCACCACAGTTTTTCTTTGCACCTCGTTCAACACCTTATGCATCGCTCGGGACACCTTCGGCGCCGGCTTGATGCGCTGCAAGCCTTGACCAGTATCGGCCAAGCGGTAGCGGTTCTCGCTGAGCAAGTCATTGTCCGCCAAGGACCACAACTGGATAAAGTCACGCATGAGAATCGACCACAAGGAAAGAGACTGCGCGCAGAAGTGGAACTGTTTCTCGTGGTTGTGGGACAATCTGGCCCCGTCAACCCCGTTCCGAATGCTCAAAGAGAATGCGGGATCGGTGACAGAAGAAAAGTTTTCCTCCAACCGTACCAACATCCGCGCAATCGGCGCTCGGTTGGAACGCACGTAAGCGTTGACGTCACCAATAGAGTACAAGACCTGGCGGATTTCCTCTTTTGTAAAGCCATCGTCAATAGTTTCCTCCGTAGTTCTGATGAGGAACGACGTAAAGCCCGTTCTGGTTCGCTTAGAGGAGCAGTATTTGGTGGAGATGCGCTCAATCGCGGATTCCTTCTGCTTGATCAACCGCTGGATCTGGTGGCGGGATAAACCGACAGGGTTCACTTCGGATACTGCATCCAAGATGAGTGGGTCGTCGAACATCTGGAGAGCCTTTTCCCCGTCAGTTTTGGAGGTCAAGAAACCGTGGACCGTCTTTATCGGCTTATGGAGGTGGAATTCGAGGTGCTCAGCCACCTCAGGTGCACGTGAGTCCATGACGATGAAGCACAACTTGCCGAAACTGTCGCGCATCTTCTCGGGGTTCATAATCTTGTAGCGCCGGCCGATCTCAAAGATGGTCTGGTACCACTCCGCGTTGTCTGCGAAGTCCTTGTCTTCGATCAAGGTCTGTCCCGCCTTGAAGTCCGACGCCACGACCAAGCCCGCCAAGATGGAGCACACTTCCTTGATCTCGCTGATAATGCGCTTGGCCTTGGTCTTGTAAGACAAGATGTCGATTCTATCGGTGTATTCAGACACGTTCAACGCGGCCTCAAGAAGGCGTAACAACTTCCGCTCCTCGCTTGTCAAGCGCATCGGAATGTACTTGGCGTGTTCTCGCAACTTCCCCAAATGTTGCTGGAGAAGCTCGTCTTTGGTCGGAGGCATTTCCTCCTCGTCTGAGGAGGATTCAGACAGAGACTCTACCTGGTCCTGTTCCTCTGTTTCCACGACGGTTTGCACCAGTTTAAGCTTCTTCGTCTTGTGAGCTCTCCGCTTGCCGGATCTGTGGATAACTTCCCAGCAGACCTTGCAGTAGTTTTCGTCGCACGGCACACACACCACCTCCGACGGCATGTCAGTGCACTCCACACAAAAGTTTTCATCTACTTCCCGTTCGCTTTCGCTTTCGTTCACGTCGTGTGTTTCGTCCGCCTCGGAAATTTCAGCATCATCCTGGAGAATGTCGCACAAGGTTGGTTTGTCGGGCATTGTTAAGGAAGAGGTGGCATTTTGTTATGCATTAACCGCCGAGAATGTTTTATAAGGGAATCTGTACAGGACGGAGAGCCGGTCGCGTCTGAAGATATGAACGTCGTCTAAAGATTTGGAATAGTATTAAATTTAATATACCGTAACCATCGGGTTTGGTATTTTATAATCAGAGGCATGTTTTGCTTTTTATCTGACGCTCTGGAGTCTTTCAAACAAATGACATTGGGAAATCTGAAGGGGTTTTCCGACACTCGATACGTGGCTCTTAGTCGAACGTCAAGCGTTGAAACCCAGATCCAACAAAACGGTCCGCTCAAAGGCTGGTCAAATTATATCTATCGGAATGATTTATGTTGTATTACCGTTACAACTAGCGCTCACTATTTAGACTTTCGTCAGTCTGGTACATTATTCACGGCGTACATCGTTTGATTTCGGGATCAATAAAGCCATTCAGTTTTCACTACAGATATGATTGAAGTTAGAGGGAACAATAAATAAACTTTCCGGGGAAAGAGAAAAAAGATCTAGGCCATTTAGAAGCAAGGTGCATTAGTGTATATAGGGGTGCTTAGATAGCGTAGTAGTAAGTAATGGCACCGATAACCACAAGACCGGCGATAATCATTGGCAATGGGGATTGCTCGCCGGAGATCTGAGAGGAAGTAGAAGCCTGTTTGACGGGAGCGCCGCCTTCAAGGTTGCCGACCAACAAACCGTCCAAGACTTCTCTAGCGTCTTCGGAGTGTCCAATATCCTATTTTGTTAGTAGTGGTCACCGTATCGCTACGAAATACATACGTCAAATGGACCAGTAGCGTCAGTGCCAGCACAGTCGATGATAACTTCTTCACCACCTGGATGTTCGTCGAGGTAGCCAGAGGCGTCGTAGACCTTACCTTCGTAGATAATCCACAAATCGTCTCTGGTGTTGTGCTGGGCGACTTCTTCGAAAGTGTATGACTTTAATTCAGACATGGTGTGTTGGCTGAGAAGCTCTGAGATAAAAAAGTGGTGTGGTGTTTTTAAATTCGCGATACGAGTCGTATTTTTATTTTCACGTCGTTTCTTTTTCGTCCAATGGCTGCAGAAACGTTGGTCATAACTGGAAGCCTTTTCCCGATTTGGGGGACAGATACGATAATGTTGGCCTTATCTGAGAAAAAAACCACCGGTCGCTTGGCGCCAGAAATATTATATGGATCTAGTCAACTGTCAGAGATGAAATCTTCATTCTTATTATATTTATGATTGTCTATAAATAATATATTGACTGTAGCACCTGCTTTATTTGCATTCTACCAAGCTATCTATTGAAATTCCAATCCATTTTCTTCATATCCGGCTAATACTTACGATTCTGGCTATCCCTACTTTTAATGAAAATTGTCTTATTAATGTACAGTTAGAACAGAGAGCAGGACTCTCAGGTCTAAAAAGCTCTTTATCGTTTACTCCAACAAGGCCAAGTCAAAGTTGATCCCACTGGTGGCCAATTTCTTCTGTTTGTTGGTCTTTTTGGCAGCTTCGCTCTTGACGATCTTATTCCACTTTTCAATTGGCTTTGGAGAATCGTTCTTGTTTTTGGCAATCTTGCTCCAAGGGATGACCTTGAACTTGGTATTAGCACCATTGAACAATTCATCATGGACCTTTTCCTTCTCCAAGACAGCAACCTTCAACAAGTGGCCGAAAAGCAAGTAATTGTTCATGGTCTCAGCGGCGATCTTGGCAACTTCGAGCTCGGAAAACTCCACAAACGCGTAGTGCTTGGACTCACCAGTCTTCTTGTTACGGGACAACCTCAATCTGGTAATATCGCCGAACTGTGCAAAATACTTCTTGAGTTCCTCCTCGTGGAAACCATGAGGAAGGCGACCGACATAAACAACACCTCTTCTGTTTCTTGGCTTCTTCTCGCCAGCATCTTTGGAGTCCTTGACGACAGACTTTTTGACAGTGTGAGCAGAGACAGCCTTCTTTGGGGCAACTTCCTTCGGTTCTGGGGTAGATTCCTGCTCTTCCTGCTCGTCGTCGGTAGAGGCGAAACCGTCTATGTCTTCGTCGCTGGATTCTGGCAACAGTAAGTCTTCAGCTTCAACCTGTTCTGGGACAGTTTTGACAACCTTCTTGGTCTTGGTGACTGACTTCTTGGTAGCAGCTGGCATACTTGTCTTCTTAGTTGGAGCCATCGTGTGATATGTGTAATCTGGTAAGTGTACGTAAATGGCTAGAGGCTTTTTGCTGCCAGTACAATTTTGTACATCCAAAAGAAAAAAGATTTGAAAAAAAAAAAAAAAATTCTCCTGTGAGAAGATCACGTGCATCCTCATCGCAGATGTGTACAGAACGTTGGGATTCACTGGTAAGTGGAGATTATATAAGATGCTTAAATGTATGTGCTGAGACCCGTAGCCTTTCTTTTATTTAGAGTAGGGTCATTGGGTGAATTTTCTGGTGGTGGGCATATCGTTATTTTTGTGTTTTCCATATAGAGGTATAAGACGGGCCCAGTATGATTAGTATACAATTCTCGGTGCATAACAAAAATTAATACAGACTACAAACATGTAAATATATCAGCTCTATAAAGAGCCAACCATGAGTGAGAGCTATGTATATGGCATTTCCAGAAAGCTGTCTAAGTTTTCACCTACTAATTATTAAAAATATAATTCTATTGCATAACTCGAACTTAAAATTCATATATATATATATATAATACATGTACCTTGAAGGCTAAATATATCTCAACCATTTCCAAGAATCTACAATTAAACCTAGGTTCTATTCGTTTATTTTAAACTCAAACAGTAATGCATTTTACCTGTCGCTACTTCAACGCAGTCAACAACCGTTTTTCTTCGTCCGAATCAAGATCCAATAAGGTCTTAACAACCGGCAACAATTGCTGTCTCTGCTCTTTGCGTTCTAAAAAGCCCAAGACAATGTTCTTCACGTATGCTACGTTGGTAGACTCACTTGGAGCTTTGGGCAAGACCCCACCAATGATGGAGTTTTTCCGCGAGCTAACAGGTGAAGACCCATTGGAGTGAGATGAGGCATCGACGGTTAGTTTTTCCTTAACACCCTTCAACTGGTTGGCCACAATCTTGTAGTTCTTGGTCAATCTTTCGAATTTCAAACTGGAATCCTCGTTGAGTTTCTTCAAAATGGAGTTCAAGTTCTCCAACTCTCTGGCCTTCTTCTCCGACTTGTTCAACGACTCTCTCAATTTCTCAAGCGTTTCGTGGATTTCGTCGCTCGTCTCATTACTGGAATGAGTCTGGTACTGCAACTCCTTGTTGAGGTTGGTGGTCTTATCGAGCGACTCCTTAGCCTTGGAGAATTTAGTTTCCACCCGGAGGAGGTCGGTCTTGAGGGATTCGGTGATGTACTTCAAGTCGTCAAGCTCACGCTGCTTGCGCTTCATAGCCATGCCGTAGTCATTCTCAATCTCTTCCTTCTCTTCCTCCAAAGACTTTAATCTGGCGTTCAATTCCCGGAACTTGACGTCTTGGCTGTTTTCGACCTCCAACAATAACTTGCGAATCGTTGCAGACTCCCTGGTGCGTTCCTGAAGCATGGTCTGCGATTCGTTCAACTCCTCCTCCAAGGTTTCCACACGGTTGGAAGCTTCCTTAAACTTCATTGAAAGCTCTTCGCTCTGCTTTTTGATGGATTCCGCCTGGCCACTGGCACTCACCTTGTGCTCCTTCAAGTCTTCGTACTGGTCTTTCAACGCCTCCAACTCTGAAACTAGCTTCGACTTCTCGGCGTAGGTGGTCTGGTACGTTGCCTCCAAGCTCCTGTTCATGGACGACAAATTTTCACTCTTGGACACAAGCTGATTCTTGGAGTCCAACGCTGATTTGTTGAGCAACTTGAGTTCGCCCACTGACACTTTCAAACTGGTGACGGTGTCATTCAACGCAGCCTTCTCAGTCTCCATGGCCTTGATGCGCGCTTCCAACCCAGCCTCCGTCTTGTCCTTATGTTGAAGGGATGACTTTAAAGTCGCAATCTCAAGCTTCAAGGTGGTGTCATTCGATCTCGCCACGAGCAACTCTTTATTCGTAGCGGCCAACTCATCCTTTTCTCCCATTAAAACGGCCTTTTGCTGGGCCAAAGCCTCGAGCGTCTCTTCGTGGCTGGCGAGCTTGCCGAGCAAAGCACCGATCTCACGCGTCTTTGCTTCCAACGAGGTTTCAAGACCCAACACACTCGCCTCCAAAGTCTTGACCGACTCGGACAATTCAGAAACGGTGTTGTCACTTCCAGAGAGCTTGCTCATAATTGCATCCTTAACACTCAGTAACTCATCGTACTTGGATGTGATGGCTCGTAACTCTTCGACAGCGGCGTTCAGTTTCTTCAATGCTTCGGCGCGTGCAGTCTCAGACTGTTGGAGATTGGCAGCGGCGGTCTTCAACTTGGCCTCCAAAGAGACAATGGTCGATTCATAGCCTTCGCTCTTTTCCTTCAAATCTCGGATCTGCTGACCATTGTCTTCTGCTTCCTTAGCCTGCAACGCCTTGACCTCGTCTCTGGCAGCCACCAAATCGTTACCCACGTCCCGCAACATATCCCGCAAACTCTCAATTTCCTCAGCCTTGGACGCCAAAGAGGTTTTTGTCGCCAGCAACTCGTCCAACGTCTCATCGAGTTTGGATACCTTGGCTTGCAACTCCAGATTCAACGTGTCCTTTAATGCATCCTGCCCTTTCAACGAATCGCATTCGGAAGACAACACCTCGTATTTGACCTTCAACTCCAAAAGCTCGGCAACGACATTAGAAGGCTGATCCTGGGAGGTCTCAAGTTCCTTGACGTCCTCCACTGGTGCTTGCGTATCACTTTGGTTCTTTTTCTTTTTCTTATTCTTCTTGGCATTCTTGGACACGGGAGTAGCGGCTGGTTCAGTTGGGGTCTCAACAGGCGGGGAAACCCGATCGGATATTTCCGAGATTTTAGACCTGAAGGACTCAAGCAACTTGGAGTTAGTCTCATCTTGTTTCTCCAACACAACCACCTGCAGCTTCAACTCTTCGACCTTGGTATTATGGGCCATGGTTAAGGATGCGATGATGGATTCCTTTGATGCAAGTTCCTTGAAAAGAGTGTCCTTCTCATCGGTAAGCTGGGCAACCACCTCCTTGTTTCCAGCATCGGATGCTTCGAGCTGTTTCTTTGCCTGTTCTAAATCGCCGATGATTTTGTCCGTTTTCTCAGCGGCTTCTTTGGCGGAGGTGTCTCTTTCGGAAATTTTTTTCGTGAGCTTCTCTATCTCTGACGCATGCAACTTTTCAGCTTCTGTAAGCTTTTCTTCCTTTGCGCTCAAATCGGATTCCAAGCCGGCAACATGAGCGGTCAACTTCGAAATGGCTTCAGCGGCTTTGTCCAGTTCTTCTTTGTGGTTTTCACGGGTGACTTCTAACTTAGAGAGCTGGGCCTCTAAAGCAGAGACCTTCCCAGAGTCAGCCTCCCGTTCGGACTGTAAGCGAGCAACCTCGGCCTCCAACTCGGCAACCGTATCGCTAGACGTAGACGACTCGAGAGCTGCAATATTAGCCCCGGCTACCTTTAATTCTTCCACATCCGAGGAATTTGCAAGCGCCGCTTCGGCAGCCGCCTTGTCTTCCATCAAGGTGCTCATTTTGGCGTCCAATGTCTCGATTTGCGTCTCCAAATTCTGAATCCTTTCCGTGTCCACCTGCTTGGCTTTAAGCTGTTGAGCCCCTTCGGCCGTCAACCGTCTCATCTCTTCGTTGAGCATCTCTGTCTTCGCTGTGAGGCCGTCAAGATACTCCACTAGAGAGCCAACCTCGGAGATAGAGTTGACGGGGGTGTACTCCTTCAACACGCCCTCAAACTGGGCTATCAAGCTACTCTTCATCTTTTCTACCTTGTAGGCCTCTAATAACCGCGGGTACTTGTCTTCATACTTGGAGAACTTTTTCAACTTGGACTTGATTTCCGGGGTGACCACCTCGGGGATTTCGGGCTCAAGGTCGGCCTCTGGGGACCGGTCGTCTTCTGGTTGGGCCATTTCGGCTGTTTCAGGGGTGGTGGTGTTCAAGACTTGCGAGCCGTTACGCAACGCTTGCGTCGCGGACTGTAATTGTCTCAGCGGCGTTCTTCTTCCACCGCGCTCTTCTTCGCCCAACTCGTTCAAGTTTCGCGATATCTCATCCTGGAGGTTCTTCCCAATCTGGGACAACTTGTTGAACATACCACTAGGGGGTGGACAGCAGAGATAGGTTTTGTGTGGCGGTGTTTGTTTTAAAAGGTAAACCGACGGTTTAGGTGTTGATAACTCAACCGGATCTGCTGCGCTGGCGAACTATTACGTAATCGGATGCAACCTGCATATGAAGTTTTCACCGTCTACCTAGGCATGGATATTTACAGTGAGGGTGACAGAAAGGATGGAGATCAAACCGTTCCAACATTCCGTTTACGACCATTTAGATGGCAAAGACTTTGTTCTTGCGCTGACGTCTCCGCGCAGGTCGCTTATCTTGAAGGAGCTAGGCTTTAGCTTCCGCGTGGTGGGCTCCAATTTCCCGGAAGACCTAGACAAGGCCAGCATGGCACCCAGAGATGTATGTGAAAGCTAGCTTACTGATTCAGGTTACTAACGTGTCTAGTACGTTTTACAGACGGCTATTGGTAAGGGTAAGGCCGTGTGGGATGAGCTATCCCTGAAGGGTGAGACACCTTACTTGATTCTTTCCGCCGACACCGTTGTGGAATGCGACGGCAAGATCTTTGAAAAGCCTAGATCCAAGGAACACCAGACGGAGGTTTTGAAGTTCTTCCGAGACTCACAGATCCCGCAGCAGGTGATGACTGCCGTTGTGTTGATCAGAAGGGACGACGCCCAGGCGTGTGGGTACCGCATGGAAACGATGGTAGAGGTCAGCATCGAGATTATGGACTCACCAGAGAACATTTCCGACGACTTTATTGCGAGATACGTCGATACGAACGAGGGTGCGAGTGTTGCTGGTGGGTACCAGTTGTTGGGGATGGGCGCCTTGATGGTGAAGGAGATTCGAGGCGACTATAGGAATGTGTTGGGCTTGCCCTTTCGCACGACTTTCAAGTTGATAGAGAAGATTTTGATCAGCACTTAGAGATCTACATACGGGCTAAGTATGGTATATTGCTCTTTAATGGGTAGGGTATCTCTCTTAGTAGTATACTGATTAGCTATATAACGTATATGGGATAGGGGAAGGGATCGACTTCCCTATATAAGCGTAAGGTCCTCATTACGTGACAGCTACCCACTCACCACCGACTGTCCTTGGGCCATTTCTGGGAATTATACACCGTGGAATGTGGATCAGATAACCATTTGTTATAACGCAAGAGTTTGGGATGCATATTTTATTAAACGTTTACTTAGACCGCTACACCACCCAGATTTGGCTTGAGCCATACTCCTGGTTAACTCCGGTTCGACACCTGAGCTGTTGGTTCTGGTGTAGATTCATAGACGATTGCATGTGTGTCGGAGTTTAACTGGCCCTGAGAGACTGGGGATAACGGGGTCTGAGTTTGAGTGTCGAGCATTCCCTGGCGTTAACATTGTCGTATGGGAAGCTGGGAAATCGCCAAGCACTATGTATCACATCAACCCGACTAAAGTTGCGCTACTTATACCCCTGTACACGATTGCTCTCGCCCGGAAAAACTTTCTTTCAACTAATCCTAGATAAAATGGGCTACGGACGATCTAAGTTTTACCATGCGGTTTTCCCTTAAATAATGCACGTTTCGCCGATTGGCCCTTGATTTGCTTAGGCTGTGAAATTTGATCCTTCGCTTATGCACCACCTGCACGTCCCCACTTCGATGACAAGGGCCCCAGATTCACCGATGCAGTGCACCAAGATATAGCACGTGGATGACTTAGACAGGACGGAACCAAAATTTTTTTTTCTGTAGCGAATTGACTTTCTCGACACGCACAGAGTTTAGACTCGAACCAGTCACAGGTAGCGCCATAAAAGATATCCCGTCCACATATAGAGCATCTTCGCCGTACTTCTAGGCCAATGGGAAACCCCCTCTCTTCACCGTAATAGATGTGTTCTGAATGCTGATCGAACCCTTAGCAGGTCACGTGGTGGGCACACGTTTTCCTTAATACCTAGGATACTTGCCCACGTGGGCCAATCTCATTTCCCAGACGCACGCGAGCTAGGGAAAAAAAGAAAGTCATGCAGCGATATTGTTAGCGGAATTGCTTTTTCCCGTAGGTTTTTATTCGCAAGGGCTGGGCAAGGCCGATAGTGTCATATATCAAGTTTTATACAAAGTATATGGTCACACGACTGGTTTCCTCATCCAGAATTAAGGATTTTTTTTCCCATTGAAAAGACTTGGCCTCTTTTTTTTAAGGTCACACGACATCTTTCCTATTTGAACGACAGACTTTTCTTATCCGAACCATCTAGACAAACACAGATATGAAGTTCTCACACTCGTTGCAGTTCAATGCTGTGCCGGAATGGGCTGACCATTACCTCAACTACGATGGCTTGAAAAAGACCATCTACGAGCTTGAGCAGCAGGTCTTGGACGAGGCTGCCTCTACGACCAGTTCCGCCACCATTGAGGGCGCTGCTTCCTCACCGTTCAGGGACAGCACTAAGGGCGCTAAGAAGATGTTTAGCAAGTTTTCCGGGAAGCTCAAGCGGGGCGACTCCGACTCTGATTCGGATGTGGCCGAAAACACTGCTGAGTGCGACATTGAGTTGCAGTCGACGTACTCCGGTGCGTTCAACCCGCGGAAGATCTTTGTCGCCAAATTGAACCACGAATTGAACAAAATCGATCGCTTCTACAAGGAAAAGGAGGCGGAAACCTACAAGGAGTTTAACCTTTTGGCAGAAAACTTGTCTATGGTATACCCTGACACGTCCCAGGCTCACGTGATGGGAGACACTGCGAGCCAGTTCAGCCGCGGCCACACCCGTGCTCTTTCTGGGCTCTCGGCTCCGGACCATGAGGACGACGAAGACGTGGAATTGGATGACTACGACGAAAGCAACCCCAACACTGCCTTATTGAAGGCGTCAGACCTCACGATTAAGGATCAGGAGCAGATCAAGTTAAAGAAGAAACTCACCATCTTGTTTGTGGAGCTCTCCTCGTTGAAGTCGTACGTGGAGTTGAACCGTATCGGGTTCACCAAGATCTGTAAGAAGTTCGACAAGGTGCACAGCGAGACGTTAAAGGCGGACTACTGCTCGGAGTTACCAGCCACTTCGTACATCTTCCAAGAAGAGACCGTCACCGAAATGGACACCAAGATCGACGCTACCATCTTGGACTACGCCACGTTGATGGGCCAGAACGATATCCTCAAGGCCAGGCAGGAGTTGCGCTCGCACTTGCGCGAGCACATTGTTTGGGAGAGAAACACCGTATGGAAGGACATGTTGGGCTTGGAAAAGGCTAGACACCAGATCGATGCCCAGAAGGGCTTGATGGGCGACACCGTCTTCCACCGCCTTAACCACATGGACTGGGCCACCTTCACCGTCCCTAAGTCGGAGTTCACCATCAAGTATCCAGCCTTCCTCATCTCTTGGCAAATCGCGAAGGTGTTGTTGGCGATCGTCGTGACCGTCGTGCTTTTGGTGGTCAAGACCTTCCACGACCAACAGCAGCATAACTGCATGGCGCTTTTGGCGTGTGCGGCAATCCTCTGGGCCACCGAGGCGATTCCGCTCTTTGCGACCTCGCTCTTGATTCCGTTCTTGGTTGTCACCTTTAAAGTGTTGAAGAACACCGATGGCTCGCCAATGAACGGTGCTGACTCGGCCACGTACATCTTGGGCCAGATGTGGAACTCGGTTATCATGGTGTTGCTCGGTGGGTTCACCTTGGCTGCTGCCTTGTCCAAGTACAACATTGCCAAGGTTTTGTCCTCTTATATCTTGACTATCGCTGGTTCCAGCCCTCGTAACGTTTTGTTGGCAATCATGTGTGTGGCGTTGTTCTTGGCCATGTGGATTTCCAACGTCGCTTCGCCGGTCTTGTGCTTCTCCTTGATCCAGCCGGTCTTGAGAACCTTGGAAACTGACTCCGACTTTGCCCAGGCTTTGATCATGGGGATTGCTTTGGCCTCCAACGTTGCGGGTATGGCCTCACCAATCTCCTCCCCTCAGAATGTCATTGCCCTCCAGTATATGAGTCCTAACCCTGGCTGGGGCAAGTGGTTTGCGGTTGCTTTGCCTGTTTCCATCGTCTGCATGTTGCTTATCTGGCTCGAGTTGTGCATCTCGTACCCAAAGATGCAGAAGCACAAGATGCAGGCCTTCAAGCCTATTGTTGAGAAGTTCAGCACTAAGCAGTGGTACATCTGTGTGATTACCGTGTTGACCATTGTCTTGTGGTGCTTGGTGAACCAGTTGGAGCAACAGTTTGGTGCGGCCGGTGTTGTCGCCATTATTCCAATCATTGCCTTTTACGCTACAGGGATTTTGACCACGGAGGATGTGAACAACTACCCATGGTCGATTGTGCTTTTGGCCATGGGTGGTCTTGCGTTGGGAAAGGCTATCACTTCTTCCGGTTTATTAGCCCTTATCGCCAAATCCTTGCAGTTGCGCATCCAGGACTATTCCCTCTTTGTCATCATGATGATCTTCGGGCTCGTGGTCTTGGGCTTTGCCACCTTCGTCTCCCACACCGTGGCTGCCTTGATCATCATTCCATTGGTTAAGGAGATTGGTGATGCGTTGCCACACCCTCATTCGTTGCTTTTGATCATGGCCTCTGTCTTGATGGCCTCGGGTGCCATGGGCTTGCCAACTTCCGGGTTCCCTAACGTCACCGCCATCTCCATGGTAGACGAGTTGGGGAAACCGTACTTGACCGTCAATGGGTTTATCACCCGTGGTGTGCCGGCCAGTATTATCTGTTTTGTCGTTATCATCACTTTGGGGTACGGTATCATGTCTGGTATCGGTTTCTAACCAGCTTGCACGCGACTTTCCTTTTTCTCGCCGCCGGTGGGGTTTCTGTATATTATCTTAGAATTTGTCATTTTTAACAACTGCGTAGGACATCGTAGACCGGGTATTCATTGAAGAGTCCAGTACACGGGTATTTGCCAAAGACGGAGTGCTGACAGTAAAGTGAGCTGGGAGGTCTGGCCAGTATCTTGGCGGCGCACGGTACCGTATTAGGAGCTGCCCACGTGCGCTTAATCCGAGCCAAGAACCGCCCATGTGTGCTAGAATTGAGCTAATATAGGGATATAGATCAACCGGGCAACAACAAAACAGATTCAAGAATTTCTGTTACCCAATTAGTAGATTGCTGATATTTCCCCGTTAAGGTTGCTCGCCAAACCATTATTTTCGCTTGAAGTCCACATGGAACGTAAATAAACATTGCTTATAAAACAATAGGTGCTCCCGAATGAACAGAGAAATAAACCAGACCTGTGACCAATAAGTGTATGATAATTTTGCATCATCGATTTTGGTGAGCATTACCTTCTTTGCCCCACTAGAATCGAAGGACCTTTGTGGATACACAGTGTTGAAGTAAGCATCTCAAGAGAGATATTCAAGGAAGGGCCACTAGGACTTAGACAACCCCCCCCTGAATGGCTATCCGAAAAAGTTCAAATATTTAAAGTATTCCCCTCACACTACAGGTTAGCTATCGTAAAATGAAAGTATATTAAGAACAATGCCTACTTAAGGCATAGTCGATTAAGGGTATGCAACCAGCGGCTAGCAAAACAAAAAAAAACACAAAAAAAAAACACATCAGGCTTTCAGGCAGCGTGGTTCTTAGTGAGAAGCAATCGACGGCATGACCAGCCGCCCTTCTCTATACCGTTTCTAGAACCTCACACTCAGATAGACTCTAATTGCTGGGAGATTTCGTCCAACTCGGCCTTGACACTAGCGTGCTGGGCAGACAATTCCTCGTACTTGTTTTCCCACTCTTCCTTTTCAGCCTCCAAGGAGGTAACCTTGCGTTCCAATTGCTCGGCCTTAATGTCGGTTTCCTTCAACTTCTCGGTGGTTTCCTTCAAGTTCTTGTCCGAAGACTCCAATTCCTCCTCCAACAATTGGTTCTTCTTGGTGTAGTTATCGTTGGTAGTCTTCAAGGAGTGGGACTCGCCGGCGGTCTCCTTAAATTCATCCAAGTCCTTTTCCAACTTCTCAACATTCTCCTCCAACGTCGCATTCTTTCTGGTCAAGGCTTGGATCTGGTGGTCCTTCTCCAAGTTTTCCTGTTCCAATTCCTTGATGCGGACGGCCAAGTCATCTGACTTTTCTTGCCACTTTTCAGCATCAAGCTTTAAGTTGTTGATCTTCTATAGAAAAGGGGTGTTAGTAGTTGTCCTGAGCGTTGGGGCCAGTGGCTAGCCCAGCGTTTGTCTCCGTACGAGACCCGTTCTCGCCACCCGCTTAACCGCAGCTACTTACTTCCTTAAGCTTATCCATTGTGTTTGTAAGATGTATGTATGGTTGGTATGAATTTGTATACTATATGACGTTTACAGAGCGCAATGCTTAAAATACGTGAAGCGATAGTAGGCGTGGCCGATAGCGATTGGGGCGGGTAAGCGCGCCCAGCAAAAAAATTGGGAATCGATCCAGTGGATCGGGAGACGAATAACAACAAAACTACGCAGACGTGTCTTCTGCAAGCGCGATATAGGGGGAGGTGGTAAGTGCACGAATGTTGGAACAATGTCGGCATAGCCGACTTTTAATCACATGATAAATCACATGATACAAAGAGGTGCGCCTTTTTATACTCAGATAGACAGTAGCATAGACTAGTTTGTATTGATTTATTACTAGACATGCCACAATAAGATGATTGTATCAAAGGTGCCATTTGACCGGAAAGATTAAGTTGGCAAATATCTTCATACCTCCGATCAGATATTTCAGTAACATGCCCCCCTGAAGCAAATTCAGGGATATATCGTAATATCTATGATAATGCCACTCTCGGCCCTCAGTATACAAGGCTATCGATTCCTTCTCCTCTCGTACATATCCTGTGAATGAAACGCATTCTCTTTTAGTTAGCTAACGATATTTTCTAATATGCACTAGATATACCACATCTACTGTTAATTACTCAGAATCGCCGGTCCTAGGATAGGGAGCCTCCAGCTAGCTCGTGCGTGGAGAATCCACCTCAGCAGAAGGGGGATGTGCGTCAAATACTAAACGGTTTGAGCGGCTAATATCGCCCGGCAATGTTCACATGAGTGAAGCCTAGTTCAAACCGTGAGAGGTACTGTAATCGGATTAAAAACCTCTAATTCCGAGATGAGACATGAGTGCTTATGTGCTGCCAGAAGTAGACCTATGATTTGAGTCAATTCACGCGAATGCTTTTCTAATATGCACCACCCAGTCCGTGAATTATCAGAACAAGGCCTTCTTTGCTTCCAAAAGACGGTAGGAAAACGCATGGAATAAAGCGTGGGGAAAAACGATTCACAAACAATTGGAAAGTGGCACGAGGGCGCCATTCGAAGTGTGACACCAATCTGGCCAGATTCGGAAACTCTCCACTAACGGCCGCATAATTTATGCATGCCCTTCCATGTGCGTCTCTCTATGTCCCTAAAGAGCGTGTTGGGCATAGTAAACGAATCCCTTGTTTCCGCTTCTTCGAATCTGACGCATGCACCTCTGACACCGTTAAGGACTGGGGTAGATTAGTCCTATCACCGTCTACCCAACATATCTGATGTTAATTTAACCCTCTACCCCCAAGGACTGATCGCACAGAGAATGGGAGCTATTAACAAGGGGTTTTAGCAAGACAAGAATGACCATTAGTGATTTGCGTGTGACATTATTGTCACTCACCTAAATTGAGCGGCAAGTTTATGAAAACAAGTTTGAATCCTGGCCCAAACTCTAAGTCGCCGTCACAATTGCCCTCAGGTATCTATGACGTTTGAAATTAATGTTCAAACTGTATATGAACCCTCCAATTTACTTTCACATGCTTCTAAAAATGAGGCCATAAAGTAAAGTAGTTCTAACCTTATATAAATCCGCGTAAATCCGTGATATGGGGAATCTCTCGGAATGGAATGCAGCTACATTATATATCTGATTGCCTTACACTCTAACCAAGCATACCCCTCCGTCAACAATGAACTCAGATTCAACTAGCTCCCAGGAGCTTATTCTAGACTTCGGCTCGAAGGCTCCAGGGCACTCAGTTACCCAAGAAGAGGAATACTTCGAAGCCAGTAACAGAGAAGCAATCACAAGGCTTATCCTGAACATCGATCCGGACGACCCGAATAACGTTTTAAACCGGTTGGAATCGCTCACCAACGAGTATGGTATGGCCAATGCGGAGGCATTCAAGAACAAGCCCGGCTTGAATCTCAAAGATGCCCTGGACTTCAACTTGGATCGTATTTTGAAGGCCTTTATCAACAAGGCTAATGACCAAGGCATTTTGTTGCGCAGTTCTGGTGTAACGATTGAAGGTCTTTCCACGTTAGGTGTGGATGGCTCCGCTACCTTTGCTCTCACGTTGGGGGATTGTATCAACTTTCCAAGAACTTTGGGTGAGCTCTACAAGACTTCCAGATTGCCTCATATTCCCATTATCCGCAACATCAATGGGATGGCCCGCGAGGGAGAGATGGTGCTCGTGTTGGGGCGCCCCGGCGCCGGTTGCTCTACTCTTTTAAAGACAATCGCTGGTGAAACTGACAACTACCAGGGAACCTCTGGTGATATCTCGTACAATGGACTACCCCAAAGCGAAATGATGAAGTATTTTCGCAGCGACGTGTTGTACAACCCTGAATACGACGTTCACTTTCCCCACTTGAACGTTGACCAGACCTTGCGCTTTGCCATCGGCTGCAAGACTCCAAACTTGCGGGTCAACAACGTGAGTCGCGAGGAGTACATCACCGCCATGCGTGACATCTTGGCCACGGTTTTCGGCTTGAGACACACCTTCCATACCAAGGTGGGTAACGACATGGTCCGTGGGGTGTCTGGGGGAGAAAGAAAGCGGGTTTCTATCGCTGAAGCTCTCGCTGCCCGGGCTTCTATTTATTGCTGGGACAATGCCACCAGAGGCTTGGACGCCTCTACCGCCTTGGAGTTTACCCAGGCGATCCGCAGCACCACCAACTTGTTGAAGAGCGTGGCGTTTATCACTATCTACCAAGCAGGAGAGCAGATCTACGAGTTGTTTGACAAGGTAACCGTGCTCTACTTGGGCCGCCAGGTTTACTTCGGCCCCATCCACGAGGCAAAACCGTACTTCGAAGCCATGGGGTACCAATGTCCTCGGAGACAGTCCACGGCAGAGTTTTTAACCGCCGTCACAGACCCCATTGGCCGCTACACAAAGCCAGGCTGGGAGAACCGCGTCCCTCAGACGGCCGAAGAGTTTGAAAAGTACTGGCACAGGTCACCCCAGTACAAGGCTTTGTTGGAAGAGATCGCTCGCTCTTCCGGTAAAGCAGACGCTGGCCCTTCCGACAAAACCCTCCAGTTGTATCACGATTCGTTCAAACAAGAGAGAAGCCATATCAAGAGGCGAAAATCGCGCTACTCGCTCACGTACTTGGGCCAGCTCCGTCTTTTGATTGTGCGTGGGCTTCAGAGAGCGTATATGGACAGAGCTTACACCATCACCCAGGTCGCCTCAGGGGTGATCCAAGGCCTCATTACCGGCTCGTTGTATTGGGGAACGCCTAACACCGTCTTTGGTGCGTTCTCAAAGGGTGGGGCCTTGTTTCAAGGAATGTTCTTCTTTGTGTTCATGGGGGTTTCGGAGATGGCCACTGTTTTCGGTAAGCGGCGCATTGTGGAGAAGCAGAAGAACTACTCATTTTACCACCCGTCGGCTGAATCGTTGGCCACGTTGATTTCGACGCTTCCAACCCGGGTTTTGACCATTACGTTGTTTACCATCATCTACTACTTCCTTTCTAATTTGACCCGTAGTGCAGGCCACTTCTTTATCTATTACCTTTTCCTCTTGCTTTCCAGCCTCACCATGTCCACCTTGTTTGTGACCATAGCGGAAGCCAGCCCCAACATTGCGGTGGCGAATTCCGGTGCGGGAATCACGCTCTTGTGCGTGTTGATGTATTCGTCCTTCAGTATTCAGCGCACGTATATGCACCCGTGGTTCAAATGGATCTCCTACATCAACCCGATTTTCTACAGCTTTGAGGCGATGATGGGAAACGAGTTTCACAATTTGCAGTTGAACTGTACGCTGATGATGGTTCCCCAGCAATCACTATATACCGCGTATGGAGACGAGTACAAGACCTGTCCGTTTACGGCTTCGGTTCCGGGACAGCCCTGGGTTGATGGGGATGCTTACTTGCGCATCAGTTTTGACTACTTCCATTCGCACATCTGGCGGAACTTTGGGATTATGATTGGGTTTTGGGTGTTTTTCATCTTCCTCCAGGCGATGGCCTCTGAATACCGTAAACCCACGGCTGCCAACGGTGACAAGCTCTTGTTCAAGAGGGGAGGTGAGGCCACGGAATTGCTTAACCGCCTTAACACAGGGGCAAGGGATGACCCGGAGGGGAGGACAGCAGATGCTATCCATACTTTGTTACCAGAAAGTGATGTGGACAGCCAAGCGTCATCGGGGGTTAAAAACCAAAAGGCTTTCCAAAGCTTGAGCGGGGATGATATCTTTAGCTGGAGCCATGTTGACTACACTATCGACATCCAAGGGGAGAAGCGGAAGTTGTTAGATGATATCCAAGGGTTCGTCAAACCAGGGACCTTAACGGCGTTGATGGGGGAGTCGGGCGCTGGCAAGACCACTTTGTTGAACGTCTTGTCCCAGAGAACGGATATCGGTGTGGTCACTGGGAACATGTTGGTGAATGGTTCGCAACTAACCCACTCCTTCCACCGCAGCACTGGATACGTCCAGCAGCAGGATTTACACGTCGCAGAGCTCACCGTTAGGGAGTCACTTCGGTTCTCCGCCCGACTTCGCCGTCCAGCCTCTGTGCCCGACCTGGAAAAGTTGGATTACGTTGAAACCATCATTGACATTTTGGGGATGCAGGCGTACGCCGAGGCGGTGGTGGGGGTCATCGGCAACGGTCTTAATGTGGAGCAGCGGAAGAAGCTTTCGGTGGGCGTTGAATTAGTGGCAAAGCCATCACTTTTGCTTTTCTTGGACGAACCAACCTCGGGATTGGACTCCCAATCGGCCTGGTCCATCGTAAAGTTGATCCGGAACTTGGCGCATGCTGGCCAAGCCATCCTTTGCACCATCCACCAACCGTCTGCCACGTTGTTTGAAGAGTTTGACAAGCTTTTGCTCTTGAGAAAGGGCGGACAAACGGTTTATTTTGGCGATATCGGCTTGCACTCCGAAACCATCTTGGGCTACTTTCAGCGCAACGGTGCGAGAAGATGCGAGGATTATGAGAACCCCGCTGAGTACGTGCTTGAGATTATCGGTGCCGGAGCCACTGCTACATCCACCGAAGATTGGTTTACAAAGTGGGTAAATTCCACCGAATACCTCGAGGTGACCAAAGAGGTTAATCGTTTGGAAGGGGTTCGATCCATCCCCCTGCTCGATGTCCACGGGGATTCCACCTTTGCCATGCCTTTGTGGTACCAGATGAAGTTGGTGTACCACAGAACGATGCTTCAGTTTTGGAGAGACCCTCAGTATGTGATGTTCAAGATGGTGCTATTAGTGTTCTCGGGTCTCTTTATTGGATTCAGTTTCTGGGATCTTCCCTCGACCCTGACGGGTATGCAAAACTGCATGTTTGCGGTGTATTTGTCGTCTATGCTTTGCGTGCCGTTGATTAACCAGATCCAGGAAAGGGCTTTTGTGAACCGTGAACTATACGAGGTGAGGGAATCCAAGTCACATACCTTCCATTGGGCTACGTTGTTGTTTTCCCAGATCTTTGTGGAGCTTCCATACACCGTGTTGGGGAGTACTTTCTTCTACCTCTGTCTCTACTTTCCCTTGAAGTTGGCCCCCAGCAACCTCGTGGCGGGAACCTACTACCTCATTTATTGTATTTGCTTCCAGTTGTACTATATCTCATACGGGTTCCTCATCTTGACCTTATCCCCCGACGTCCCGTCTGCGGCCATCTTGACAACGTTGGGCTTTGCGCTCATCTTGACCTTCTGTGGGGTGTTGCAGCCGGCGTTTTTGATGCCGGTCTTCTGGAGACGTTTCATGTACCATGTCAGTCCTTATACATATTTGGTATCATCCTTGGTTTCTAATGTGTTGCACGATCGACCAGTGGTTTGTTCTAAAGTGGAGATGAGCTACCTCAATCCACCCGCGGGATTGACCTGCAGCCAGTACCTAGCCCCATTTGTCCAGGCATCGCAGGGATATATTTCCAATCCCAACGCAACCGAGAGCTGTGGCTTCTGCAAGTACAAGGTGGGTGATGAGTACTTGTCGTTCTTAGGCATGAAGCATAGTGAACTATGGAGAAACGTTGGACTCTTGTGGGGCTATATTGCCTTTAACTTTTTTGCATGTGTGTTTTTGTACTGGCTTTTGCGTGTCCACAAGGTTTCCCTCCCAAAGTTTGCGCGCAAAGCATAAGTGATATAGCGTGCCGAGTCTTCCACGGTAACCGGAATTAGATTGATGCCCACCTTTTCATTAAAGTTGGCTAGCGATATGGTGTAAATTTATCTGAGTTTTCGTCAAGTTTGACCATAATTATGCACCTAGTATTATATCTCTAAGCAATGCTTCTTTTGGCTCCAAAACCAGCGGGGAGTCCTCCATATACATCTACAGACACGAAAGTGGCGGCATAAACCGGTATTAACCATAAAGATTACTCAGATGTGCCGATGAAGACGAGGAGATATCAAGGGAATGTTCAAGAATGGACCCCAAACTCTCTCTAGACGGCGACACAGTATCTGGATTTGCTACTACGAGCTTCCTCCCAGCCGTTCTGGAACCCCGAAACTGTCTCCTTCTCCCAACAACCGCCCCCTCCCCGCTCAGACTGGACACATTCGTGCCGGCATACAGGTCCGAGCTCGAGGATGCTCCCATTTCAAACATCAAGTAATTGGTTGGCACGGAGGGTTTTGGTCTATTGTTTTTTCTTTGCCGCACGCTTCCCGGCGATGTGTCTATTTCGTTGCTGCTTCTGGGGGACCTGGTTACATGGACCTGGGTATGTGTCGTATTGGATGAGAAGGAAAAGTCTGACTGGTTGGTGAGCGAATCGGCTCTTTCGCACGGGGTATACAACACGCTACCGGGTCTCCCGCTGGGTTTGATACTGAGGGGTTTGTTTTCATAGCCGGAATTCCTCTTGGAGAGGAGCGAGATCCCTCCCTTTAACGAATTACGTATACTCCCCGCACTTGAGAACGAGCCTGTATGCGATTTGACATCGAAATGGCTCTGATTCGACCGTACGTTTTTGGCAACCACTCGGGTGGAGCGTAGGCGGGCCAGGGAGTGGCCCTCTACCTGGCGCGAGCGGAAGTCACGAGATTGGCCCTGTGGAAGTTCCACAGAAGAGTCGTTACTTCGATAGATAGACTGGATCTCGCCAGAGCTGCTCAGACTGTGAATCATAATGTTAGGGGGGGTTTCAGTGTCCCCGGCAAAGGATCGGTTCTGGTAAAGGGAGGGAGAAGACGATAGATGCTCACGTGTTTCGCTAGGTTTGCTCTGAATGAGATACGAAAGGGGGGTAAAGGAATCTCTGCTAGACGAAATATGGTTGAGATTGGACCCCTCAGAATTATCGAGTGAGAGACGGGTTAAGGAAGCGTTGTCCGTCATTTCGCCAGTATGGGCGGAAGAGGCATCATCATCGTCCTCATTCGATTCGTCACTGAGCTCTAAAGTAGACGGGACCAAGGGAGGGGGTAACGTCACCGCTTGTCCGTGACCATCGAACAACTCGATAGACGACAACTGCGAGCTGGTGTAGCCGTAGGCGCGCAATTCGTGGGAAGAAGCGGAGCTGCGCTGTGTGGTGAACACCGACGACGTTGATGGGGCCCCCTGTTGCGCTTCATACGTTAAGTAGGTGGAGAATCTCTTGATGACAGATTCATTGTCAGAGCAAGCCTCAACCGGGGCTCCTGTGTGGTTATGTATATTTCCGACAGCATCGCATTCCGACTCAGACCGATCGCTGAACCTTTTGTTGGCGGAAACTCTGTACTGAATCTTTTGGCTAACGACCCTTCTCAAGAGCAACTCCCAGGCCAACTTTGCGCATAGATCGTCAATGTCCCTTTGGGTGAGCTTGTTCCCATTCACCGCAACTTTCGCGTATGCCTCATGCAACTCGGCTGCCAGTAGCGGTTTTTGGGACTTTCTTTCGAAAACAGACTTTCTCATTAAATCGTAGGTTGGAATTGGCAGACTAATGATCGGCCTCAACCCGGCCTTGGACTTCAGTCTTCGTTGGGAGCCTCCGAGCTTGATCACATGCTGTCTTCTTTTCATAGCGTTGGATCTCTGGAGTCGTCTTTCTGTTCGTCTGGTGAGATCCTTTCCCACCATCTCCCCTACCACAAGGTTGTTAACGCCATCGCGCTGCGTGGTGTATTTGTATGCGTTCAAGCCCGGGACCATGCTATATGTACTATCCACTTCGTGGTACTGGATGGTGGCTTTGCCGTTGTCACCCAATGGGACAAAACTATTCCACACTGTAGGGTCAATGGTGTCCAAAAACTTGTAGAGAGCTTCTTTGCTAACGTGGTTTGCAGTGGTGCCTCTGGACTGACGTAGTTTCAGTTTCCGTTTGAGCGAGGTTTTACGTTCCACCGGAAACAAAAACCGGGTGAGGCGCTCTCCCAAGCTAGCTCGCTTAGCAGCGGTCGGCCTTCCGCTGCTGTCAGGGTCTGAGGGTTTGCTATTAAGAGCTGGCCTGGTTTTGATGGTTCGAGTGCGGGCCTTGATGCTATTTTTCAGCCTTAAGGAAGCAGATCTGGAGATGATGGAGCCATTGTCCACCATTACTCGTGTACGGGATGGGATCTGGGTGGCTTCCGGGGAGGCAAACCTGGCAACCCCGGTACTTCTTGCCGGAAGAGTGTCAGACGGCATTGGTGACTTGTGGATTATTCGAGGTCGCAAGCTTTGGGTTGGTGTGACCAACGAGATATACAGAGATAGGGTTCCTGAGTCGAGGTTAACCGGTGGTAGAATCTCTGATCTAGGTGAATAGTAGGAGGAAGGGTTCAGGGCTGGGTTCCTTGGAGGATCTGAGCTGTTATATCGAGGTGGAGTGAAGTTTTGCATGTGTCGTGTTGTGGGTGTTGGATATATGCGATCAAGTGAGAATGATGTGAGTAGGGGAGGCAGAGCTTATTGCAAGGTTATCGAACTTGCAATCTTTTGAAAAAGGGCCTGAACGTGTTAACAATTGACTTTTGTCAGAAGTTCCCAGATGGGCTAAATGCGATGGCTGGCGCAACGCACAGCCGCACCATTTTTTCCTTAATGCCTTGCATGATACTGGGCCCCAGATTGACACTCGGGTTTGGAGACAATATCTGGTTATTCTTCCAAATATCTGGGCTGGGAAATCCCTCTATTGATTTATCTTATTAAAAAAGTATCTGAAACGGAATTTCGGTCAATAGAGATAAGGCTATGGCCTGATCATAGTGGAAAAGGCAAATTACCTAATACAGAAATGTAAACAGCGGCCTTGGAGAGGCCATTAGGCTAGCCTACACTCAATACGCCGAACGGGTTTTTATTAATAGAAGGTTTGGCAATATCCTCCAGTAAGTTCACAGAGCTCTCCGTTTTATCTTTTATTTCCCCTCCCGTTCCCGGGGAGATATCCGAGGTTTCAGTGTCCAATAATGAAATGCCGTTAAAGGCTGAGAGTTGCATATAATTCGCGAAAATCTCTGGAGATGAACTATAATTTAGCGAAATATCCCGGGAGTGAAATTACACTGTAGAGGTGGCACCGCGTAAAACAAATCACCGCTAGGCACCGAGCCCATATCGACGGAAAATTAAAAGTCGACCATATTTGAATGCGAGTTCTCACCGCCAAAGACAAACATATATCATCAAACACACATCACAATGGCCAACTACGAATTATCAGAAGAATCTAAAGAACGCGTCGTCAAGGTTTTGGACGCTGCCAGAACCGTTGCCCACTACGGCTGGATCCCGTTCGTCTTGTACTTGGGCTGGACCTCCACCAACCCAACCCAGCGTCCATCGTTGATCAAGTATGTATAGCGCTGACTTATCCTCTCAACGTATTCTAACCACCTCTAGCTTGTTGTCTCCATTGCCATCTATCTGAATGCGACCATCTCGCTAGTTAAGAGGACAGAGCGCTGTCGTAGCAACACCAGACTCGCTTGCCACCTAAATCTATAATGAACTATTGTATATAGAGTGAAAGTTTCACTTAAAAAAAATGAACCCCCCCTACGTCAGCCCACTGTAGTCTGAGAAAAAAAAATGCATTCGGAGGTTTTATAACGTTATGTGCTTGCGCAGCGATAAGAAATTTATCGTTTTTCCGGCTGAAAAATTCCGGACATTTTTCTCCCACAACCAACCGCATCAGTAGCAGACTCCACCCTCATCACATCTTATATGGCCTCTAAGCAATCGCCCAAAGATTCCACAATCGGATCCACCTCGACCGAGGTGATATCGGGGCTCTCGGCAGGCTTCATCACCACCCTCGTGACCCATCCGCTCGACTTGATCAAGATCCGGTTGCAGCTCGATTCCACGTCCAAAACGCACCTCCAGGGCTTTCGAAAGGTTTACGAGGATATCCGGCGTGATGCTACGAAGCCCCGCTCGTGTGCGGTCCACCCCTCTATCGTGCTCAAAGACTACTACCGCGGCATCGCGCCCAACTTGATCGGAAGTGCCACGGCCTGGAGCTTATACTTCACGCTCTACAAAGAGTTCAAACATTTGAGCTACGAACAGCTCAACCACAACAGCCAAGGAAACGCACAGCTATCTTCCTGGGACTACCTCACGTGTGCGCTTGCTGCGGGAGGCACTACTTCGTTCCTCACCAATCCTATCTGGGTGCTCAAGACGCGCATCTTGTCCACCACTAAGAGCACGCCCGGCGCGTACGTCTCGCTTCTCGACGGCATCAAGCGCATTCTCCGGGAGGAGGGTGTGCGCGGGTTTTGGAAGGGCTTGACGCCAGCGTTGATCAGTGTTTCACAGGGTGCGCTACAGTTTACGATTTACGACACGATAAAGTTCAGCGTTTTTGCTTCCGACACAAATCTGGCGCCGGGAACGCTGCAGCGCGAGGTTAACTTGTCCACCGTACAGTACATCTATACTTCTGCCGTATCAAAGATGATCTCTACCGTGACACTCTACCCGTTTCAGGTGATCCGATCACGCTTGCAGGGCTACCGCGACCCGCGCGCGGCAAAGACGAACATGTTCAGTGTGTCGCGCGCAATCTGGCAACACGAAGGGGTTTTTGGCTTCTACAAGGGCTTGGCAGCTAACTTGATCCGTGTTGTTCCAGCGACTTGCATTACTTTTGTGGTTTATGAGAAGATGCGCTGGTGGTTACGATACGAATAATTGCATTGAATAGACATGATATTACATCTGAGCAGGGAGAAATGTAAGTGGATTTGGTATGCCAAGGAATAAAGAAGACAGGAATAAAGAAGACAGGAACAAAGGGCATAAGGATGTAGGTAAACTAGACATCGTCTGTTTTAACTTCCAGTAATGGATACCCAGGAACTCCCAAACTGGCCTTCCCTTTCACCTAAAGAATGACGGCTAGCGATCAATGATATTCCTGACATGGAGGGTTTCTTATGAATTTAATTTCCGCGTAGGCTAGTACTCTCTATGTACTCACAACATTCACGCACTACGATTGCCAAGTTCTCCACACCCACCATTAGCTTTCCCGTGCGCGCAATGTCAGAACTGTTTTTGAGCGTCACCTGGTTGTTGTACCGCATGCAAATGCCCCTGCTTCCCCCCAGAATAGACACCTGCAAACGGTTGGCACCCGATTGGTCGAACACAACCATGGAGTCTAAGGGAAACACACCACCCCCTAACGGATCCAAGGTGCCGAAGCATTTCGAGGCGAGACCCTGGCTATCATTGATTACCGCGAAGGCGTTATCATTTGCGGAGACATACGCAGAGATGCCCACTATGGGAATACGGGGGTGTACAGGCTCAAGCGTATTTAGCACAGTGGTATAGTTGTACGAGCTGGGTCCAAAGAAGCAAAGCACAAGCCCAAGAAGCGGCTCTGCAGGACTGAGTTCCGCTAGAACCTGAGATAGGTTTAACGTCTGGGGAATGTCATCTCCAGGGTAGAGGATTTCAACGGGAATGTTGGTTTCAAGGTCGCTCAAATCGTGAAAACTGTGTCGTGAGGATTCATGAATGAGCATCAAACTGGGTTTGGGGTTGTGTGTAATCTGTCGCAGCTTCTTTGGGATTATGGCTCGGTGGCCGGATGGCGGTATCACCTCTTCCCATGTGTCCCCGTGCGATCGTTTGTTACTAAGGCTTTCCATCGTGTTTGTGTTTCTTATTTGTGATTACTCTAGACTTTCCCCTCCGGGCAGTGGGAATCCACAGGTATATACATATCTTGACCTAGGACAGATTTTCCAGCGTGACCAGGATTTTCAGACGCACTCCAGGTCTGGTCCCAAGATCGTGCGCGCGTTCGTAAACTCTGTTCAGCCGCGACGCCGGAAGCCTAAGAGGACTGAGAATGCGGGGAGCCGAAAATCTCCTTGCCACCGTGCCTCCCCTCTGCGTTTTGACTGTCGTTTGGCCGTGAGCAATCGTATTGTGGTGATAGGCTGGGGGAGATTTGGCATGCACTGAAATATGTCACATGTCTACAAACTACGAGCGTAAAGAGGACTAAGGATCGACAGAAACATTGTAGCTTATATATCCACAACTAGAAGGTGAAGGAGATAGGGAACCTCATTAAGCATCAATACCACCGATGCCACCGAAATTGAAAGAGATCCTTCAACCTACAGTGAATAAGGATGATCTGTTAGCGAACAGTCATTGTACGATTTCCTCAAATACACTTACCTATACTGCATAGATCTGGTGGGAGAATCACTCCTTAGAGTCATATTTAAAGGATCTTTCTAAGCGAATGATAATTGAAGACTAGCTTACACCTATAGAAAGTCTACCCACCCCATTGATGATTGCAATCGTGGCCTACCTGGATCCCAATATATACGCAAAGCCCAACCCCACAACCGTATGAAAAAGCAGTGCAAAGGGGTATTCCAGAAGCGAGATCTACCGGCCAAAGCGCTTAAACACGTCATAACAATTAAGTTTAAAGCTACAAAACCATACTGCAAATATACTTTTTCAAAGGTGTATTTATTATTTTGTTATGGGACAACTATTCTTCATGTAAAGCTTTAACTTCTAACTGCTTTCAAGCAACTCGACTCGGTCCTTTTCCAATTCCTCAAGGAGCTGCTTCTGCTTGGAGATCTGCTCCAACACCACCTCGAGTCCACTTGATAGCCGGTCCAACTCCTGCGCCTCCAACTGCTTGGTGAATTTTACATCAGAGTTCTTGTTGTGTGAATGGAGGAAGCTGCCGGGCTTCTCTGTCAACATCTCAAACATGGTCTCGGTGGGCTCGTTGAAAATAATTTCGTCGTACACAGAGCTCTCAATCACGTCGGTACCGTTTTTGTTTTGTAGCATCTCGGAGCCATACGGGTGAAGCTTGAGGTGGTGGTAGAGCTGAAGCGTCTTTTCGGCGGCGTTTCCACTCTCGGCGTTGTTGAAGTAGATCTTGATGCCGATCTCAAACTCACCCCAGCCGGTTTCGGTGATCTCGAACGGCGGCTTGTCCACCACCCGGCTGGGCGGCGTGTATGTGTCATGTAGTTTGAAAACAACCTTCTTGATGAACGGTGTTAGGTCACCTTCAATAGCCGGGTCCTTCACATAGATGGTCCAGTGGTGTGTGTGGTCCACTGGCGCGTCGGCCGGCCTCGTTGGGCCAAACGGCGTGGCGGTGTTGCCGTAAACAATCGGTTTGCTGATCGAGATGTTTTTCACTCGTTTGGAGACAGAGGGCTGTGGGGTCATCAGATGGATTAAATGCGTTGAATGGAGAAGGCCAGAAATGGCGTACTTCGGATATATGCTTATGTCTTCCCGTGTGTTATAGAGCAGTGCATTTTAGAATGGCATTTTCTGTATGCGCTATATAGTATACCTTCCTTAGTACGAACCATGACATAGATTCAAATTAGTCAGATTAATTTTTAGATATCGTTTAATCAAAATAATCACACCGAATACAATGAATACCCCATAAAACACCCTGTCATAAATATTATACCTGTAATGTCGCGGTTTTGCAGGTTAATGATTCAGTTGTTTTTAGACGGTGAATGTTTGAGCCATGCCTAACCACGTATTTACCAGTGTTGGCCACCATGCGGTCTAAAATTATCCATAGTAAAATGCTATTATTAGTTATCTCAAAGATATCTGTCTATTGGTTTGTAAGTCTTTGAATGGGGTGTGATAGTGTACGCTTCAATCGCCTATCTTATCGGTTCAAGCGAAAACTTCTGCCCGTATACCACGCTTCTCGTTACTTTAACAACCCCCCAATCAAGGTATCCCCCTTGATGAACCCACCGGCGGTCAACACCACTAGCTTCTTTTGGATCCTAACCCGTTTAAAAAATTTCTCATTCATCCGCGATTCCAAGTACCGCATCGCCACAAGCTCGCTATAGGTGATGCCCCCCATCATCACCACCAACACAAGCTCCTCCTTAAACGGGGAGGTCTGGGGCTGAGGCTTCTTCGGAAACGCGTACTGTTCTTCGGAAACCAACGCCTTGTCGATTTCGTTCCCAGCCAAAAACTTGCTGAGGTTTAACCCGATCCAGTTAGGCCTTTTGTAGAGATTGTTGAGCGGCCGGTTGACCATGAAGGCACGCAAATACAACGCTTCCACCAACCGCGACACAATGGGCACGTAGTTTCCCGGGTAGAAGAACGACTGGTTTGGATACGTGGTAAAGTCCTCAACCGTTTCGGGGTTGTACGTCTCCGGAAGCGGGGGTAACAAATTGAGCTGATTGGCCAACAGGAAAAAGTCTTTCAAGCACGAGCCGGTGATTGGCATGCCTGCCAGTGGCGACTGCTTGTACCCAGGGCTCGCCACGGTGGTGGTCTCCAGCGGGGTCGACCCCAAGCTAAAGGGAAACAATGAGGTGCTGTGTCCCTCGGGTTGGACCTTGAGAATTTTGTGATACTCAAGCTTTTGGAGCAAAAACAACGCCGGATACACTCCGTACGACTGGAGGATCTCCGCCTTCAATATTTCATAGTCTTTTAGCCGAATGCCTTCGTTGTTGCTTTGGAGGTTTGACAACACCACCACAAACTTGACCACCAGTTGGAGAGGGTACTGTCCACGGTTGGTGATCTTTGTGATCGCCTGGATGGCGGCACGATAGTCCAACTCAAACAAATCGTTCTGGAAGAAGAGGGTGCTGTCGCTAGCACTTTCCACGCATTCCGGGACGCCTGCGCCTTCTACATTGAACTCCTTGATGATGTACTCGGAGATGCTGGTGTGTTTCTTCAAGTCGGTTTGCTTGGACGTTAAACCGCCTAGGTTCGACACAAAGTTCTTGATTTCGTTAATAGTCGAGGCCTGGTGACGGGAGTCAAACTCGCCCTGCAATTCTTGAGCGGTTTTTTTTAAATTGTGGCCAATGGAACTGAAGTTGAGGTTTTTGAATCGCTCGTACAACGGGTCGTCGAGCCGGATCTTTTGCTTGTTCTCCAGCTCTTCGTCCTCCAAGCGCTCAGTCTCAATGATACCAAACTCCTCGTCTTCCAACACTTCACGAACCAACCCCCCGTAGCTGAGCTGGGTGAGGAGTACAGAAATGAAGTCGAGGTTTCGCTCCAACACGACCAAATCCGTGTTTACCCCCACCTTCAGGAGCTCGTACGTCTCAAACTCAGACAAAGTCGTGGACCGCGCTGCCAACCGCTTCTCAAAGTTATCAAGAAGCAAGCACGCGTTGTCACCCTTGCCAAAAAAGTTCTGAAAGCTGAGGGGCAAGTTGGCGGTGATATCCACCAAAGCATCGGCCAAGTCTGAAACTTCGTGCAACGGATTATTCAAGTAGCTTTGGATATCTAGATCCTGTCGCGAGAGCGACAAAAGATTCTCCTCCAACGGGAGCGCGTACGTCGGCCAATTACGCACGGTCAAAAATGGATTGGCGTCAAACTCCGTCCCGGCTCTTTCGCTGTAAATAACATCTTCAAACGTAAGCCCAAGACTCCCGATCTCGTTGACTTGGAACAAGAGGCTCTTGGTAAGGTTTCGGAAGATCAAGGTGGTGGCCTTGGACGGGAGGCTGGGCAAGAACTTGCGCAAGTAGCTGACAGAGTCGTCGTAAGCACTGTCCATAATGATGATCAAGCTATGAAACTGGCCCAAGAGCGTAGGCTCGTCTCGTAGCTTCCGCACAAACTCATCGAGATTGATTGTGGCTTCGATGTGGCTGTGGCTTTTCAACGCGCTGAACGGCGTGAGGTAGTTGACCAAAGGGATGATCCGGCTGTCTAGCACAAGGAGGTTCTTCTGGGTGGTGACCTCCAGAAGCGCATTGAGGAGGGTTTCCAATGTTTTCGTCTTAAAAATCGACGTATCGAGTTTGCCTGAGGTCATCGTCCTTGGACTGTTGTAGAAAGGGGAGTTTGTATGGTGGCTAGGCAGTACTTATAGCTGCTGGGCGGCTTATCGGAGATTGCACGACTCTTGGTATGCACATCTGTATAGAGCTTCGACAATGTGTTTCTGAAGGGTAGGCGGAAATCAGCCATTGTGGAGACAGAATCGCCGGAATTCGTGGCCAGAGAGCCTCGCATGATTTGAGGTTTCTTTAGGACAGAAATCTGATTTAAAAATAAAAAAAATCTAGGGCTTGGCATTGTCAATTTTGAAAACATTTTCGATATCAGCCGGCCGGCACTTAGAGATTATAACCGCAATTTTATTGGAATACAATTTTATTGGAAACTAGCAGCATAAACCAGCCACTTGTGTTCCGTGATGTTAGAAATACAAAATACATGGGTAATCCTATTCCAGACTAATCTCTGAACTATGCATCCGCTTTATCCTTTCAGAATTGAGGTATTAGTATTTTATCTATATGCATGGCGGTTAACTATATACATGGTTTGAGAAACGGCTTATCTAACTACAAAACTTGCGGCCTTTTCCTTGAAAACCACTTTGAGGATCTGCTTTCCCGCTAGGTACTTCTGGCCCTCTGGGGAACGCATAATCTCCTGCTGGAAGTACTCTGGGTCTCGGAAGATGTTACGCGGCGCTTCCAAACCAAATTTGCGCTTACCATTGACCACTATGGAAAATAACTGGGTCGGTGACTCCATCATCGGCTCGGCTGTCGGCCAGGTGTTGGTGAACACAGTGCTCCATGGGAAAGCGAACTCGGCAGACAACATCTCCCACGCCTCTTCCGACACGGAAGGCGTCACCGTCGACATCATCGTCACTAGCTTCCGGAATGCCGAATGAATCAAAGTTGGATGCACATTAGAGTCGATAGCCTCGTAGATGCTATTTGTCAACTTCATGTAGTCCGAAATGACCGTGTTCAACTGTAAGGTGTCTTCTAAAGAAACGGTGATGTTGGTGACGTACTTTTGCACGTTGTTGTGCAATTTGATTTCGTCCGCAGTGAGATCGCGAGTTGGCATTTCCAATGACCCGACGATATTATTGATGGCCAGTGGCAATGAGAGCACGCGACGCAACCAGCGTTCAATTCCCACAATCTTACCCTCATCCCAGTCAAGACTGAGCTCCACCGGGGCCTGGAATAAAATATGCGCTCTGATGGCATCGGCACCGTATTTCTCAATGCATGTGGCGGGGTCCACGCCGTTGAATTTTGATTTTGACATTTTTTCGAAAGAAATGCGAGGAGTCTCGCCCGTCGCCTTGATCACTGGAGCGCCCTTGACATAATCTAGCTCTTCTGGCCTAAGGAATCGGCCATTCTGGGGGTCCAGGAGGGTCTTTCCGTTAACCATCCCCTGAGTTACAAGTCGCTTGAATGGCTCACCGTTCATGTTCCCACCGTCCCACAAGCCCTTGGTTGCCAAAAACTTGGACACAAAGCGCGAGTAGAGGAGGTGGAGAATCGCGTGCTCCACACCGCCGATGTACATGTCGACCGGAACCAGTTGGGAGGCCTTGGCAAAGTCAAACGGCTGGGCAGTATTTTTCGAGTCGGTGTAACGGAAAAAGTACCACGAAGAGTCGATGAACGTGTCCATGGTGTCGGTGTCGCGCCTCGCATCGGCCCCGCAGCTCGGACATTCCACTTTGTAGAACTCCTCCATCTGCTCGAGCGGGTTGCCTTTGCCGGTGCGGTGCTTGGAATCAGGCAACAACACTGGCAACTGCTCGTCTGGAACCGGCACCGTGCCGCAAGAGGCACAGTGGATGATGGGGATCGGCGCACCCCAGTAGCGCTGTCTACTGATCAACCAGTCGCGGAGACGGTACTGCACAGCGCCGTGCCCCGCGCCCGCAGCTTCTAATGCCGTGACGGCCGCGGCACGTGCGGCATCGGCGGTCATGCCGGCGAAGGGGCCCGCATTTTCGGTAAGAATACCCTCTTTGGAAGTGTATGGTGTGCTTTCATCGGCCACCCCATTTGCAGGCTTGACGGTGCGCTTGACAGACGTTCCAGGCATATTCTGAGCCCAGAAGCCCCAGTCGCGCTCGTCGTGCGCGGGGCAGCCCATAACGGCACCCTCACCGTAGCCAGGCAAGACGTATGGTGCCACAAACACTGGGATGTTGCAGATGCGTCCATCGAGAGGATTGGTAGCCTTTAAAGACGGCAATAGGTACCCGTCCTTGATGTCTTTCGGACGGTCTTCAGCCAAAAAGCGTTGTAACTCAACGTCGTCAACCGCAAACTGTTTGGTAATCGGGTGGTCACACGATAACGCAAGGTACTGTACGCTAAATAAGGTGTCTGCTCTGGTGGTAAAGGTTTTGATATCAAACTCTTGATCGGGGGAAGTAGCGTGGAACAGGAGAGATGCCCCTGAGGACTTGCCGATCCAGTGCTTCTGCATTGTCTTGACCTTTTGCGGCCACTCATTCAATAATCCGAGGTCCTGATTGAGCTCCTTTGCGTACTTAGTGATCCCCAAGAACCACTGCTCGAGTAGCCGTTTCTCCACCACAGCCCCGGACCGCCAGGATTTGCCTTCGCTATCCACCTGTTCGTTTGCCAAGACGGTCTGGTCCACAGGGTCCCAGTTGATTTCCGCCTTTTTTCGGTATGCCAAGCCGTCCTCATACATCAATAGGAAAATCTTCTGCGTCCACTTGTAGTAGTCAGGGTTGCATGTGGCGAGCTCTGTCTCCCAGTCAAAGTCCACAAGCATCAAGTCCATCTGCTCTTTCATCTTTGCAATGTTCGTCTTTGTCCATACCGCGGGGTCGATACCCCGTTCAACTGCCGCATTTTCCGCTGGCAACCCAAACGCGTCCCACCCCATTGGATGGATCACGTTCTTCCCGTTGAGCCGGTGGAACCGTGCAAGCACGTCACTGATGGTGTATACACGCACGTGTCCCAAGTGGAGTATCCCAGAGGGGTATGGAAACATCGAGAGAGAGTAAAACTTGTCTTTCAGCACCGTAGCGAGGTGCTTCGTCGGGTGGAGGCTGCCGTCGGGTGACATCGCGCGCCATCTGGCCGCCCATTTCTTGTCTAGCTTGTTTAGTTCGATATTTCCATGAGGTTTTGTCGAGAAGAACCGTCCAAGGAGTCGAACAGGCCGGATTTGAGGGAGTAACATGGTGGGGAGAAAAGCAGAAAAGTGGAGGAGAAGTGGAGAAGGTTGAAAAAAAGTGTCTCTGCTCGTACATCATCAGACAATGTCCTGTATATAGATCCAAAGTGCGACCTCTGAATAAAGGGGAAGAATAAATATTGAGGATGGGAGAAACCATTTAATCTGGGAGAGTAAGCTAGAAATCAACCAACGTCAGATTATTATTCCTTTGATTTTTCTTGGAAATGGAGGTAAATACAACAATGGCACTCTTAGATCAGTTTTCTTTATCTGAAGGACAAATGTTGGTGTACCATCCCTACTAATTGTGGATTATCAAATGAATTTTACAATTAGGTTACTCCAACGCAAGAAAAAGAAAAAAATAATAGTGCTAGAATATATCTGGCTATAATAAATAGAAACAAATATCTTAGCGCGATACTTACAAGAAAAACCGATATCATAGGTGTACTGATGTACAATTTATCTTTATGTGGTGAAACAATAATTTCAATGCAGCAAGCTGGTGTTCCAAGGACACAGACTATCTACCCAACTGTGTACATCCCCGATACAACAATGCATAACCAATACTATCTCTGGAACCTATATTGTATGATAGGGAACCACTGGAAGTTGAAAACCAAGTGCATCCTTCTCGGTGTATATTCCACTCTCAAATTCCTATTATCGCGGCATATTTTTTTTTTCACCTTCTGTGTATAAGACTCTTGAGAGAAGTAAAGAGCAACTCAGGAACCCCATCAATCCCGTACTTATCTCCCAATCTTCTCAATACCTCTACCCGTAAGTCCTCATAGGTGATGTCTAACCACGGCACGGGGTGCATGAGAAGCTCGGATACACTCTCCAGAGTCAAGGGGCCGGCATGCCGTATCTGACACGTCTCACTCTCATCCTCAATCTCCCGAATAATTTCAGCGGTGACACTCGCAAAGGCCGGGTTATGGAAAATGTTCCCGATGCGCTTAAACACAATTGTGCGTTCATCGGGGATTTTGCTAATTTGGCTGGCAAAGCGATCTGGAAGAAAAAGACCTTTGTTAGATGTGCCTGGGATACCCTCATAGGCCTTATCACGCCAGAGCATGTTGCAGATATCCATCACGTAGGAATTATGGAGCTGTTTGAATGATTGCTTGTTTTCAAAGTTGTAGCTCTTGGTGAAGGAGATGTATCTGCAGATTTCAGAAACTACCAAGGGATGGGGCGAGAGGAGATAGGTGTATACCAATGGAGCCGGGAGTACCACCACGTCAGGATCGAGACTGGACAAAAAGGGTTTGTTATCCCGACCAATATCGATTACAAACTGGAGACATTTCAAGGACCGCACAAGAAAGTGAATATCCAGAGATGCAGCGTCGATGGTAAGATTGTGGAATGATCTGAGCGTTTGGCTGGCAATCACGGGTGATAAATTGTCGGAGCTTTGCAACAGCCAGGCCCATAGCATATTCAATACCGAACTCATAAAGGTTAGTAAATAGTCTGGATCGGATTTGCAGCGGCCAAGGTTTCCTCGCATAAACTTTGCATAAAACTCGTCCCAATGGTGTACAGGACTGGTAAGTAGCATTAAACTACTCAAGGACGTTTCCCAGAACCCCACCAACCCGGCTTTCAATACCGGGGGCTCTACCCCTCCTATCATCTTGTTGATAACCAGAAATTGCAAGGTATGGTTCGAGAGCTCGTAGATATGGATGACTTGAGTCACCATGCGCTTGAATTCAGATGGGGATATATCTTCATCGAACAACTGCAACTCCACCCAACGGTCGAGGCTTTGTAGATCGTCTGTGGTGTGGTGGATCAAATAGTACTGAAGTTTGAAGTCGTTCACAAGGATGTCAGACCGCAAATACTCAATCATCAATGCGTTCAAATTTGGAAACCGCTCGCGGCCAACCACTTCGAGGAGATCTTTGTGCGAGTGCACTTCGTTGATGAAGGTCGTCTCGTTGTCACGGAGACAATGAAGTATATTGTTGAGCGGGCCACGTCTTCGGAGCAAGATCCGCTCAAATTCTGTAACGTATGCCAAACTCTCACTCAATTTGGGGTTATTATGGACTATCGCGCCTTGGAGAGTGTTGGGGTGGCTTTCGCTGGTGTCCATTTTTAACACTCCCAACGCCTTCATCGACAATAGGTATGGGACATTCGGGAAGCGGAAAATTCTGGGGTTGATTCGATAAGCGGGGGATGAGTTACTAAAGAGCAAATGTAAGGCCTGGAAATACTCATCAAAGGGAAACCGGGCCTGGAGGTCACTGATAAACTCCACTCGCCAAGGCTTGATGTGGTGCTTGCGGGTAAAGAGGAAGATGAAGAAAGAAATATAGGGCCGAGAGTATTCAAACGTCAAGTAATTGAACATGATTCCGTATATCTTTTGGTGCAAGGTTGGGTCTTCCCAGAACGAAACAGACCCGAGGAGCCACTTCAAGAGCTTAAGCTGGAGGGTTTTGGGTACCTGGGATGGCATCCCAATAGCACCAACGACCTTCATCACTACCGCGGTGGGGATAGGATCCACACATAGCAAATAGTGTTCTGCCACATGATTTTTCGCAAAAACTGGGATCAGAGACGGTGGAAGTACAACATCGATCAAGTGGCCTAGGTCCTGACGCGAAATGCCAAACGACGGCACCAATTCGTCTAGACCCAGAAGTACTTCTCTCAATTCATCAACGTCAAGATACTCCTTATCAAGGCGAGATCCATAGATCGCCTTTACTTTTCGGGATACTGCGGAGGACATGGAGATGGGATGATAGTGAGAGGTATACAAGAACGGCTTTGTTTACTTTTGATAAAACTTTATGCCGGACAGGAGATAATCACGTGCCACGCGTTTCGTAATCTAAAACCATGTTTATTGAGCTCTGGTATTGAAATTCCACTAAAAAGGTTCTATGTATGTTGATAGTAAGTTTTTCGCAGGATGTTTGATTTATTCTTCGAGATAAGTTTCACCCCAATCAATAGGCTGGCACCGCTGACGGGTACCACGAGGCGCTTCCGTGATATCTCTGGGGATAGAGAGACAAAATGCAGGATTTATCGTGGCGCGTTTTAGAAATTTTACCTGCCGTGGCTGGTGAAGCGGCTGGTGTTATATTGCTCCCCCAGGATTACGCAGGTCACAAGGGATTGCGCTAATACTACGGGCAGGTGTACTTCAACTAATTTAGCGCTACTCCCAACAGAAGCGTTCTTAGTTCAACCCTCATCAAACAGAACAGTAGGTTAACCACCCTAAGGATTGGCCTCATAACCGCTTTTGAAAAAAAAAACACCGGACAGCTAAGCAGCCGCCATCTCCAGATACAGGTCACCCGACACGAATATCAACCCCGCTTAAAGATTAGGTCTTTAATCAGCTTGAAGGTTAAATTCGGTTTTACTCCACCTTTGAAATCAGACTGAGGATTAGCCACCGTTAGACAATACCCAGTCACAGCCAATATCGGAACCGAAAGATTCGCACTGACAAGATTTTTTTTTTCCTTCCCCAAGATTAAGACGAGCTTCCAGAATTGTTATCCACGTAACGAAACTCCAAGAAACCTTCCCCTTGACATCCGGAGTTTGTTTCTTCTATCAGACAATAGTATTCGCAAGAGTCTCCACCTGAGAAGCTTGTCTTGACAATCAGCCGGAAGCACAAGCTCTGGATTATCCTGCAATCAGCCAGAGATTACCCTCCTAGTTAGTGCCTCTACTGAGAGTGCTAAAAAGACCAGTCCGAGCGGTTACCTAGACTCAACAGGATCATTCCATAATCGAGCTGATTGTTTTGTTCCGTGAACGGGCTTCCCCTTTCTGCCCGAAGATCAACTTATCTTCTCAGAGATCACCCCCTCCAGCTTGGCTCCACAGGTTCACCCCTTTGACCCCACCATCTCGCACAGCTTAGCCCCCACAACCACAAACATGACCCCCGAACCCCCCACCCCCATTCAGCCCTGCCTCACCTCTGGCGACCATCCACTCTTTCGTGTGAAATCCTCCGCCACTCCCGTCGAAGACCTGCTTTTCCTTTTTGGCGGTTTTGACGAAGACGATGCGCTCGACTCCAACATCTACCTCCTCGATCTCACGACCGACCGCTGGACAACGCACCACGACACAGTTCCCCGTGAAGGTCACTCATCGGTGTATCACCAACCGTCCGGACAGATCATTGTGTTTGGTGGGGTACCAGACGAAGCTGTACAACGCGAACAGCTCATGTTCTACGACCTCCGTGTAAACCAGTGGGTGGCCTCTCCGTCTAGCGTACACGAGCCGCGTCAGCGCGGGCGCCATGCGGCATGCCTATCGGAGGACGGCACCAAGATGTTCATTAGCGGCGGGCTTGATGACTCACTGCGTCCGTACGACGACTTGTACTGCTTCGACCTCGCGACGCGGCTCTGGCTGACCACAGGCCCACGTACGTTTATCTCACGCTTTGACCACTTTATGACGTGTATGGGAAACAAGATTTACTCCTTCGGTGGCCTTAACAGCGACATGAACCACGTCAACGCGGTCATCAGCTGGTTCGACCTTGAAACCAATACCACAGGCGAGATCCGCATTCAGAAGGACAGTATGGCCGGCGATCACGTGTACCTCCTGTCAACCCCTGAGGTGGTTCTTGACGCGGTGATTCCGCTCTGGACCGCGGGCGAACACCCCGAGCCGTGCATCGGCTGCTACGATCTATCGCGCCTTCGCTACAACGTGCTCCTCCTGGGTGCCTTCACCCCGTTGAAGGACTTTCGTTGGCGCCACGTGTTCCGTCATGGTGAGACCCTCTGTTTGCTCGGTTACCCCTTGGTTGATACTGAGACTGATGCCCGTCTCTCGCACATCATCCGCCTCAGCTTGTGCGACTTGGGCATGCGCTACCCGTCATTTGAGGAACCAGACCTCACGCTTGCGTCTGACTTCACCCAGTTCTTTGATGATGCCCAGTGGACCGACTTTGAGATCACGGCAATGGCGAATGATAGAGTGTCCGCACCGATCCGCGCGCACCGCGCAATCTTGCTCGCGCGCTGGCCGCACTTCCGCCGCGTGATGGCCAGTGGTATGCTGGAGGCTAACACTGGCATGTTGCATGTCCCGGAACCTGTCGAATGGGTCCATGGTCTCGTGCGGTACCTCTACACGAACCACATCGGGTCGGAGGACCTGGTGGATGTCATTTCCGGAATCTTGGTACTTGCCAATGTCTATGCCCTCGACCACCTCCGCTCCTTGTGTCTCGCCAAGATGTACGACTACACGTACTCGTCGCGCTTCACGTTCGATGACTACGTGCAGCTCTGGGAGCGTGCCAGCTTGTCAAACGAGCTTATCTTAAAGCACAACGTACTCCAGGTGATTCAGCTTAACTGGGGCAAAGTAGTGCGTTGTGCAGCGTTTGCCCACCTTGCGCGCGAGCTGCTTCTCGAGTTGACCCTTGAAGCGTCCGGCCACGAGTCGGTCATTCTTTCCGCGTCGCACACCTTGTTGGAGAAGCAAGGTATCACCAAAATGTCCAGCACCTTGGCGTTCACGAGTGACGTCCCCATGGAGCCTGTTACCAGAAGGATGATAGATACAGTGCACATTCCTGAGCAATTGCTGGAGCCAATTCAGTTTTCTAGCCCATCCAGGTCGCCGTCTGCGGAAATCACGTATCTCACCCCGGTGCAGCGGATGGACGTGGGTCGGGCGTCGCCGTTGAGCTCGGCTTCGTCGTTTCTCCACTAGCAATGGCGAAAGTACTGCGAGCGCCGTAGATGGCAGAATGTATACGTATATTGATCATTACCTAACCTCAGGTCGCAAATTGGGACCTAAAAATAGTACGCGTCTATATAAGAAGTCAGAATTCAAACACGTGTGTCAAGAATATAAACCATAATCGCTAAAAGGTCTATTTCTCTCTCTCTTCTTTCCAATATCCCAAGTCTACAGCTTCAATTAATTTACTATCACTTCGAAGAACCCAATACTTGGTTCTTTTATACATAGCATTTACCATAACTCTAGTTTCTCTGAATTCATCAAGACCCGGTCCTTCTGACCCAATCTTGCCACGTGATTATACTCTCCCCTACAACATCGCGAAAGTCGCACAGCTCGCAAGATCCGGCGAAAAACAATGAGCAACATATCTCGGCAGAGCCACTAATACCACCCATTCATCCAATCTATCTTCGCATTATAATGGGAAAACAGTTCATTACTACGCAGGCGCCTGGCGGCGCGCACAAGTCCGACGTGCTCGGAATAGCGCTCACCCAAAAGCACACCTTCTCGGTCTCATCCGACGGGTACTTGAAGGCCTGGGCCAACAACATCAACGAAACGGCAAATCCAATGGAAAATGTGCAGGCGTACTTTGTGGACGCACTTGGATTACACCATGTAGCGGTTTACGAGAACATTATCCAGGGCGAGACGATTTGTTTGGTGGCGGTGGTGGCGTTCAGCGGCCAGTGCTACTTTTACAAATCCACGGGCGGTACGTTTTCGCCAGTAGATTTGCTCGGAAAATCTGGAAACTTCTGGGCACCGTATTTTTTCAAAGACCCCCATGGTAAGCAGGACGTGTTTGGTCTTACGTGCTCGAACGGCGCTACCAACTTGTACCACTTGGTCATCGAGACGCCAGAGATCACACACGGCAGTGCGAGCGCCATCGTGCTGTCTACCGTCTCGTTGGATCAGTACGGGACGATCCTGGCAGGAATTCCGCCGTCTTTCCCCACGTGCTTAGCCATCACCTCTGACTTAGTTGCGGTGGGCTACCAATCCGGTTTGGTCACCATGAACAGCAGCGACACCCTCAAGCCCATCTACAGCTTTACCGCGCCGAGCCAGGCGTCCACCGTGAGGTCACTCAAGTTCCAGCCCAGCTTCGAACATGAGAGCAAAGTCTTGGCTGTGGCTAGAGATGCCACCTCTGCTGGTACCATAACGTTATACGACACCAAATACGGTGAGATTGTGGGGACATTGACACAGCCGACCCACAGCACCTCACTGACCATTGCAGCTGTCGCACACGATGGCTGGATCTTTGAGATTGATTTTAACGAGGATGGTAGCTTCCTTGCCAGTGGTGGCTTTGACGCCAAGGTGCGTGTCTGGAACATGGAGTCCCGTGAAAGAGAGGCCACGTTGGTTTTATCACCGAGCGATCTTGACTACACCGAGGCAATTGAGGCCGACGAAAGTGACCGTAGTGCCGTTAGCTGTGTCAAATTCATCGGCAAGGGCGTTCGGGGTGGTATTTTAGGCGGCGACAGTAACGAGGGATTGGTTGCAGGGTCGTTTGACAAGGGAATTAGGTGGTTTAGAGAAGCCGGTGGGGTGTAAGTAGCGTTAGTGTGTATTAAGATTCCTTGGATGTATGTTAGGCGAAAACGGTAAGGGTCGGCCTGGTACTAAAGCAGGTTGGTGCTGCTACAGGTCTAGACCCTGAATAAAAACAATTGGTCATTTTATGAACCTTCTGTGGGTGACGATTAGCTCTAAACAACAGAATACTGACGCAACTCCAGTTGCAAATATAAATTTTATGTTTAGACACTCGGTCTATAACAATTGTGGAGCCTGTGCGAATCCTGTTTTGTGACTAGTCCGAAAATCGTTGTGTGCAATGTTAAAATCCTACACTTCATACCGTCTGGTGCATTTAATAGACCGCAAGGCTAGGATACTTGAAATTCTCGGACTACCTCCCTTTATATCTCGGAGAGAGGTCATTCTTATACTTAGATTCCTTAACCTTCGAATATTTCTGCAGTGCAATTACCTCTTTGACTAAGCAAATGTTAACATGATATTAGTGCAGTGAATACAATCCCAGGAAACTCTAACCAGTTATGAACGACGATGAAAGCGAAAAGCTCCCATATAACCGTCAAATATATAGTACAGATAGCGCCAAAAACGAAGAGTGATGGATATTAATGCGATTGGGTGACTCACGGACGCCTTGTTAAGGTGACTGGCAAACCGACCGTGTCTTCTGGTGACAATAGGATGGGTTCAATAACTATATTGGATAGTTTCGGCGTCTCAATGGGATATGAAGCCGTACTCAACTCGCAATACTCTAAGCATCGGGGTTCGGAGTGATGAGCTCTTGGATCTCCTCATTTAGACCATGCACTTCAAAAATAAACTTCACAAAGTACTCCAACCAGCACTTCAACTGCCACCATTGGGTGACGGGTACGTCGGTCGGGGGGTCAACCGGGGTAGGGGTAGTGGAGTTTCCCAGTGAAAGCGGCTCGTCACCCACAACGCTCTGAAAGACGTTGTCGCTCAAGTGCTGGATGATGAGGAGGACCGAATTGATCTTTAATCGGTCCGCGTCATCCGCCTCGACACCACAAAGAGCCGGAAGAGAGTCGATGAACTGGGCAAACTTGAGAGTATAACTGCGGATATTAATGCGGCTTGCCGAGTAGATATGCAGGGTCCCAACACCCACAGGTAATTCACTACTCGCGTCGTCATCCGGTAACTTGCGCAAAAACCGCGGTACGAGACTCCGCAAAATGTAGTCAATATTTGCAACCACGCCCTCCTTGGAAAACAAGTCGCGAGATTCGGGTGGCGCGTACGTAAGTGACAGCAGCAAAAATTCGTTCCGGTTTAGGAAAAATTCTACGTCATCCGTTGTGGAAAAGAGCGAATAAACCGGGTCAGAAGCCTGTGACAGCCTCGTGCCCAAAATCAGACGGAGCCATGTGCGATACATTCCTGTCAGGACCGCAGGCAGCGTGACAAAGGAGTCGGAAACCCCCACGGCAAGGTGGTGGCACTTGTGGAGCTGCGATAAGCAGCTGGAGAACTTGTAGGCGTTGGTGAGCCGCGAACGGTTGATCTTTTTGAAGGAGTTGTCTTTCGGGAACACCTCAAGGAGCTTCGCCTTGAAGAGCTTAAAGTAGTTGAGCACGAGAAAGTCAAACGAGGGGGAGACAGGGTATTTGGTGAGGGTTTGCGATGAAGCAGAAGTTTGGCGCTGCGGCGAGACAGGGGGCTGCGGTTCCTCCTCCTGGCAATATGCAAGAACGCTACAATACACCAAAACATCCTGATAGCAGCAAAGATCGATCAAGTTGACCCTTGCCTCATCACGCTGCTCATAGTACGTCATACTCGCCGTTAGGAGCGCGATAATCGCGTTCTGGCATTCCACCATAGCGTCCGCACGGGTACTCGCGAGCAAGCGGTCTCTGAAGGCGAGAATATGGGTCTGGATGGCGGTGTGGTTGCGCGGAAAGACGCTGTACGGGTTCAGAGGTCGGAATATCGCCGTAAGAAGCTTCACAGGCTCGGTCTGGCCGCTGAAAATCGAGTTAAGTGGGAGGTCTGGCCTGATGAAGGAAAGGTAGGGGGAATTAGGAAGATTGTGCAAGTCGGTTCGGTCCTCAAGGTTTACGTGTAGCGCGGCAGGGTATACAAGCTCGCCTGGAGCCGCTGCATCGATGCTCACATAGGAAGTGCCTGCGTTGAGGCTACCAACGGAGGTTCGGGCGAGACTGCTCGTACTTTCAAATGAGTTTCCGTCAGTATTTCGTTTGCGCTCCATGAACTCCTCCTCGTAATTATCGTCGTCATACTGGTCACAGAGTTCGTTGACCCAGTCGCAGATTTGGATACCCATGTAATGGTATTTTGAGTTACCACGCACTCCCAACCGTTTTGTGGAGATGGTGGGCCAGATGAGCTTGATCAACTTGCCCATCGCCGACACCCCGAGTGGTTTGACCTCATTCTGGAAGCAAAGTAAGTCGTATGCCTTGAAGATGAGCGAGCGCGGCGTAGCCGTCTCGTGTGTTCCCGGAAACGAAAAAGAGGCAGAGGTCGAGCCAGGGTCGCTATAGACGTTATTAGTCTCATACTGGGATAGAGGCAGTGGCAGTGGAAAATAGTGACCTCCAGGCACCCTGGTCTCCTCGGGCAAGTATGCGGTGTCGAGCAAGCAGCGGATGCTGAATACCAACCGGTAGCGGTCCGTATTCTCCTTCAATTGCTTCAAGTTGCGGTTGATCAACTTGTTGTTTTTGGCATACTTCTGGTGGATCTCGTCCTGCCGAAGTTTGATACCCGTGGCGGTGATACCCAAGGTTTCAGCGAGGAGCGGAATGGAGACCATGTTGGCCTTGGATTGCTGGGCCTCGAGAAGTACTTCGTAGGAGGCATCAGACATGTCTGAAGGAAGGTTGAAGGAGACGGAGGAGGCGTTGCGGGTGTGGCCGCGACGGCCAGGAATGGCGGGGCTAGGGCTAGCGGCTAGGCTAGAGCTAGGAACGAGGCTGGGGTCAGAGGTGAGGCTGGGAGCAGCAGCAAGGCCAGCGACGAGATGCTGCTGATACGCCGCGACATCGTACACGTTTTGCACCACGGGCCCGGTTCCGCGCTGAGGCGAGGCCATGGCTCTAGCTCCCTCGAGGCGAATCCGGTCCAAATGGGTCGAAATCGACGCGTTCGCGTTCTGGCTTTTATGGCGTGGCGTAAAGTCTGGCGGCGGTACTGCATCACGGATGGTCCGCGAGCGCTTCCGTGCGTGACCACGACCGGGCGTCACCGGGGCTCTGTAGCTCGGTGCTTCTTGGGGCCGTAAAGGAGATTCCAGGAGTTGGGGTAGAATTTGGAATGATGGCTGTAATTGATGGGGTGGAATTTGGAATGGTGGCTGTAAGTGCTGGGGCAGGATCTGGGAGTTCTGATGGGGCAGAAGGTAGGGGTACCCGTACTGCGGGGTCGTGACGTACGCTACGTTGGGGTCTGGGTAGTAGAGGTTCTGAATCACGGAACCATCGGGGGCGATCTGGGGGAGGGCAAATTGGGAACTGCCTGGCGGTCGCACGGGGAAGTATTCGGGGTCGTAGTTATAGCCCGGCGGTAGGTTTTCTTGCTGTGAGGGCTCGTACGGACCGTAGGCATTCTGATAGGGAGAGTCCTGGTTCCCATTAGACATGCTTCACGGGGGTATGGGTACCGAGGAACAGGGATATTGGTAGGATGGTAATATATGCAAGAACTTGCACTGAAGACTCGTAGTGGTACTCGCAGGGGTATGTTTGGGTGCAGTGGCGGCTCGCAGCGGTATGCGTAGTAAGGTGACAAGACTCACGGTGGTGGAGACTCAAGCCTGAGATGAGGTACGTGGCGGATGGATCCGGGTCAGACGCGTATTTGGCCTGATTCTATTGACTGGTCGGGTATACTAGAGGCAGTCCCGAAATATACCAGGCGTAAAGTGAATATACACGTAAAGATCAAAGGTGATGTGTTGCGGCTGCGTGGAATCCTGTTGCTAGGCTGGAGCGGAAGGGTGGTGCAAGGAACGGAAGATCTACGGAGGAATACAGTTTGCGTGCGGGAGACAGACGTAGGAGTAGGGGAAGATCTGCGGGCAGGAAACAGTTTACTATTGGGAGTGGATGATCTGAAGTAAGACACCTAAGTGATCACTGGAGATGTGTATGGAGGGCTGTAGCGATCGATGGGCCCGATTATGTTCGCGAAGTCGAGGTGGTGCGGTGAAGTGGAGAATGGGCTAGAGTTCTGGTCGCGCAGAGGGCAGGACATATATGACGGTCAGAGCCTATGGAATACTACTTGATTATATATCCACAGCAATAGCTCACCTGGGATCTAGATCAATATTTTCTTACATATCACGTCCATCATTCCTGTCAGGGACGCAAATTTCGTCAGAGAGCTCTCAATCTATATTTAGGAGACACGCATACGCGGTGCTGCCGAAGTTTGAGATTTGCGGTATGCAGATCAAGCACGGATAAACGAGCGAGGTGCAACTCTATCAGCATTAGGCTCGACCATGTGATTGGCCTGCACGGCCTCTAGAATGTTTACCATTCCAGGGAACATTGTGTTTATATTTTTATACTACGTGCAGGGCAGATACGTCCGTTTGAGCCGACCCCGGTATGTGTCAGAACTGGACGATCTGTCTTTAGAGGTGTTTGGAAGGGGCGGTGTAGGAGACATGCGCAAACATACGTGCGGCAGCAAGCTGGGGCGCCGCACTTAAACTCTGATCTCTCAGATCGATCGCACACCACGGGCCCCTTGTAACAACCTCCCGCAAAAGGTGTAGTAACTCTGGCATTCCTGCTTGCTACTGGTATGGATAGGAGTTTTTTGAGGCGTCTCTAGAAAGCTCCGCGAGTTTGACTTTCGTGCGTTGGCCTATCTAGCGTAGGCTTGGTTGTATGTTTTGTTTTGATCATCCGGTACATACATGCGCCTGGTTTTCAAATCTAGAGGCAGAATTCTTCCTTCTGCCTCGAGTAAGACGTGCATGAAACACACTACATACACTTGATCGAGCACATCGCTGCAGCCATACATTCACTTCCAGGTCATTGATGCATCAAGCTAGATCACGCACGCGTGCGTCCATCTGTACCGAAAGCCTGATCACCAAGCTGGAAATATGATGTCCAGAGCAAAAGGCAGTATTGTCTTCAGATCATATAAAACAACGGAGATTCCAGTGACTGGGGTTGACTTACAGCCTAAATGCAGCTCGTCCCGTTTCGGTAAAAGAGCTAAAGCACATCCCTGTCACCGACTGATCGGACTCATACTTTGCACTCCACTCATTTGGATCATAATATTTTTAGTTATAACTAGAACCGCCTCTAGAGTACTCCTCTCTTGAAATCTGATAAAGGGTAATACATAAAGCGAGATACTTCTCCGAGACTCCAGTTGTACGCCAAAGTCTTATCCATATATCTATCAATGGTTTTTTGTAAGTTACATTAGGGAATGGAATCTCGCGTTTGAGGTAACACTGCATAGTTTCCACTTACCTCGCTCTGGGTGTATATAAGCAGTGCAGAGTTAAAGCCGTTATGCAAGAGAACCCTCAGATTCTCATTAATCTCACAAACCCCACGTAAATGTCGGGCTTGGGGATCATACCTGGTCGAGCTCTAAGTCACTGTTGTATCAAGATCTATACCTGTGCAACAACGGTAAAATCAAGTGATTAGTGTGAATCTTGAATGGCCACTGGTTTTTGTGGCAAAATTGTGGGGGAATATTTCGAAACTGGTGAGATTCGCTCTTACCCTTTAGTCTCGGAAGGTATAATTTGTTTAGCAAGCTTAAATAGGTTTATATGCAAGCTCCTCCAACGTATTTTAGAATAAGTTACGGTGTCTGTCTCCTCTCTATCCATTGAGTAAAAGCACTTTAAAAAAAATCTATCCAGGACTGTCTTGTATAATCATTTTTCGATGAATAACAGCTTAGGGTAGTTGCACGAATATATTGTCAAACAACCGTACCCTTACGGTTGATTTTATTTCCAATATCTTTACCAAATACCACTCCCCGCTCATAACAGAATATTATTGTTTATTAAAGGTATATTAATATTCCCTTCTAAGACTAATTGTATTATAGCCTTCGCGTCCAGGTGTGTGGAACTTCGTATAGTCAACCGTGGCTCTCCATGGGTCAAAGCCTGCGCGTAAGGCGTTGGCGATGCGCCGGGGTATTGGGACCTCGTCAGAGCTAGTGTTCCAAACTTGACGCCTTTCATCTAGCTCAATTCGTCAATTAACTGAGCTAGTAAAAAAAAATTGCAGTTTTTGGATAAAATAGAGCGACAGGCGAACTCCTTGCTGTCGGAAGGGGAAGACTTGATTCAGAAAGATTGACCTTTCCTTCACGCATGTCTAAAGCTGCGAGCACCATGAATAGAATTAATAGTGAACCAGCTCCACAAAACATGAATCTTCGCATAGTGACGTACATCTTCTGGCTCTTCTTACATGGTTCAAAATTTCTGTCTAGCGTAATAGCTCAAACTTATCTTTAGCTCAAACCTATCTTTAGCTTGCCTCAGGTGGACATAGAAAGAGCGAAACATCCACTGATTGGGGTGAAGTGTTTTACTGGGAGGGGAGTATGGGCTGGACTACCTGTGAGAATAAGCAACCAAAAACTAGGAGTTGTTCATTGCGCCAAGAAAATTTAATACGAAAGCAGTATAGTTTTGCCGGGCATAACTGGCAGATTTATTCCCATCATCGTGATGTATCATTCTTGCGAAAGGCGGTCACACTTTGCATGCATGCCCCCTCCCGTACTTGCATACCACATTAGACTGTCCGTGGTAACCAGATCGCGTATTTGGGACGAGATGATAATAGCGGGAAATGACCAGTGCCAAGGAAGTACTGAAGAGAAATTGAAAATCATACACCGAATGCATATGTTTTCTTATATTTTATCCATGCGGACCATATGTGTGTATATGCAGTATAGAAGTAGGCTCCATGGCCTCCCAATATTATATTTTCCTCAGTTTAACCTGAGGCAGGTATTAATGCATGTACTAGTGCTGCCAATCTAATGAATACATTAGAATTAGCTGCAGACATTTCAGTGGCCATTGGTTCCGAAGAGAGTCTGGAGAATACCATACCATGGCTCTCGCAGAGTTCTGAGTATGATCCAGCGGCTACAGTGCAATGTAGCGACTCCTGGAAAATCTCTCGGGCTTGAGGTACATATCCCGATACACTTTGAATGACGAGAGTATTATAGAGCTTAGTCAGGCTATGTAGAGTATTGCTCGGTGCATCCATATTAATAATCAAACCTAATTCTGGGAAGCATGGATTTAATTTGATAAAATGGAAAGCTTTATACAACGGTTACTCCTGTCAAACCGGAAACTACAGTACTTTAATCGACTAGACGGATAGAGTACCTCCTTACCCTCAAACTTAACCGTTGTTAATCCATTACGGGGCATTTCTTTGAGAATATTGAGAGTCGATTTTCATTAAAGTTGGTTAATTGCTTCACATTAGTCAAAATCCTTCGATCTTTAAACATGGGAATACAGGTCTGTATCTGAAACCTCATGGAATTCAATACCTAAATACGTATTAAACATGCATGGTGATATTTCATAATGGTATCTAATTATAGACATTAGCTAAAAAAAACGGGCCTTCAACAAGCCCCATCCGATCAATTGTTGAGTCATACTAGATCTTCCGAGTTTTATTGCCGTATTTTAGCTTAGCGTTTTATTTTCGGATCATATTGCCATATTTCACTATATCTTACCAGGTCTTTAATGGATCGACGTCAGTTTCACTGATCTTGATATCAACATTGGTATAGCCTTGCTCTGACAAGTCTCTCTGCAAGTTCTCCTTGACAACAGTTAAGTAGCCTCTCTCGCAGTTAGTGTGGTTGGTCAAAATCACAGTCTTGCCGTTTTCCTTAAAGAACAACGCTTCATGGTGGCTTAACTCGCCAGTATAGTACAAGTCAGCATCAACGCCCTTGAAAACCGATCCACCACTCCCGGCGCAGAGAGCCACGGTGCTAATTTTCTTGTGTTCATCGGCAGTAGCGACTTGAACATGGTCAATCTGTAAGTGAGATTTGATCTGCTTTACCAACGCGGTCAAAGCGACTGGTTCGTTAAATTCAACCAAGCGCCCCATGCCTTCACCCTCGTTGTGGTCCTTAGGATCAGAATCACAGACTTCACGAGACTTTAAGCTTTGGAGGGCTGCCAAACCGTCGGCCAAAAAGTCATTGACACCACCCTTGGCAGCATCAATCGCCGTATGGGGACAGTATACACTAATGCCGTTGCTGATGAGTTTGAGCAAGGAACGTTGCTGTGGATCTTTGGTAGTGATGGACTTTAACCCACGGAAGATAAAGGGGTGATACGCTAAGATGAGCGAGGAATTGTGGGCCACGCCCTCGTCAGCAACCGACTGCGTCAAGTCGATAGTGAGCAAAATGTTCAACTGGGCCGATTTGTCCTCAGTGACTGACACATCAAGGGATGAGCCTTCCACGAGAAGACCGGTGTTATCCCAGGATTTGTCCGCAAGTCTGGTTGGGTAGAACTTTTGGATGGAGTTGACAATAGCCTTGATGGATTGAGATGATCTGGACATGGTTGGCAAAGAGGTTGCTGGGTACGGAGAGTGCTGAGCTGATGCTCATGTACTGCTATTTTTCAAAGGTCACCTGACTTAGCACTCGGGGAGTTGTGGAGAGGTTCGCAGATGCCGAAAAATGCAGTATCACCGATCTCTACATGGCTTAGTTCCACCCCACAGCATGTGCTAAAATTTGGACCCCGCTCTAATATAAAACAACGACGTGAGTGGCTCATCTAGGTCTGATATTAGTGATGTCTATCTTGGCTAATCTAACTCGATACTATTTAAATTCACCCATGAGACCCTAGCCCAGTGATGCATTTCCTATACGCTTTATCACAGAATGGCATCCATATAATACACTCTATCGATTATCCCGACTTGACATCTAGTAAGCCGAGACGCTCATACACCCCTCTATATCTCTTGTACTTGTCCAAGGCCACAAAGTTTGCGGCCATTTTCTGGCCCAAAACAATCTTCTGGCTCAAAAAGGCGTTGCTGGCCTCTAAATCGGTCGCTTCAATCCACTTGGTGGTGGCCTCAATAAACTGGCTGGCCAAGTTTGCCCTTTCTTTCTCCAAAACGGCTCTCTCTTCGGGGTTTTGGATAAAGTTGTCACTGGTACCTGGCGTCACATATTTGTAGTGGAACTTGTTGTTACCGCCCATTTCCTCCAAGATGTTATCAGCGTCAATGTGCTCGGTCAAATCGTCAAAGGTCTTGGTGAAGTGGATTTTGGAGGCAACCACCGGATCCAACCACGTCTTGATCACGTTCCAGATGGAACTGAAGACCCATGGCGCCTTGTGGATCAAGAGAATCCCCAAAGACTCGGGGTAGTGGGCCTCGAATGCGGAGATTAAGAGCTTGACCGGTGCGTTGTCCATGTTGGATAAACTAAAGTCGGTCAAGTCGAAGATGACGGAACACGTGTCAACTGGCTCCATAAGAAAGCATCTAGCGTACTCGATCACCAAGATGGTGTACTTCAACATTTCCTCGGCGTTCTGGTCCGACGGCTTGTGCAAGCGGGTCCTCACCACGACAACCGGTCTCCCCTCCTTGTCGGTGCCAGTGATGATGGATTTCCCCAACTCAAACTGCTTGATCAAGCCTGGCATGTTCTTCTCCTGGTACGCCACGTAGTCGCCCTCCAAAAACACTTTGTCGGCGAACGACTCGGCCAAACGCCAGTTGAAAGTGTTGGCAATCATGGTCACGGCGTTTTTCAAGTCAAACTTGCGTGCTCTGACAAACCGCAACACCAAGTTGTCTGGGGAGTCGATTCTGAGCATTTCCCAGAACTGGCGCTCCACGTCTTCTGGCTTGAGCCCCGTTACGATGCCAGGGATGAGTTTCGGGTCTAATGTATTGGTGTTTTTGGCGGTATCCGTATGTTTTGGCGCAGATCTGAATCTCGCAAATCTCTTCTTCTTCTCCTTACCTGCGGAATGGTGGCTCGCATGAGAGGTTGTCTTGGATAACTTGGCAGAGCTCAAGTTCACGGTAGGAAATTCCACGGTCTTACCCCAGTAGGTAAGGAGCTGCGCCCAAACTTGCTTCAAGACCAACTCTTGCTCCGGGGTCAAGGAGTCGATTCTTCCAATAGCTTTTGAGGTGGTCATTTATGCCTATCAGATCGAAATTAAAAATGAGACTTGGAGAATGGTCTATATTTATGTCTAGTGATGCGTGTTTTTTTCTTTTTTTTCCGCCAGCGGGGTTGGCGATCGCTGCGGACACATTTCCAAATCGGAAAAGGCGGGAAGGATGACAAAGTGGAAATGGCCATATTATAGAAAATTTGGACTAGTTGTCGAATAACGGTTGATTTAATAATAGCCCCCCGGAGGGTTTACCCTGACCTTTATATATACCCGCAAACGCGTAGAAGACAGTGTTAATCATTGTACACGACATGGAAGTGATTGGTAGCAGTAAACATCCCAGGTCCAAAAAACCTTTTCGCCCTAGACTGAAGCTCTACTGCACGAATAAACTTCCGATAAAACCTCTCAATTTTTATTTTATTTTATCGTTAACCGTGTGTACAACCGCATCACCAAGTTCCTAAAAGACGCCTTCTGTATTTGGGGCCGACCCGTGGATGAACCAGTAGTCATGTGACATATATCTCTCTCTCAACGAGCCTCGCCCATTTTCCACGTGACAAAGCGCGAAAACCAGCTGACGTTCGGCCGTTGTTTAATTGGCTCTGGCGATAATAATAATCCTGCGCATAATCCACATGAGACTTTTCATCGGGTTTAACATGCTGGGTGGGGTCTAACCTGTATACGCAGCGGATGATCCACATCGAGGCGAAAGCATTCGGGATTGGTATCCCTCACACAAGAGTTGATTTCGTATTTCTTCCCAACTACAATTCTTTCTCTTTCTGTTTAACCACACCCCCAAACCCCGCGCATTTATACGATGGACGCCTTAACTGCTGATTACTTACACAAGGTCATCGCCGAAAGACTCGAGGCCAACTTGGTGCAAGTGCAAGACATGTCCGGTGGTTGTGGTCTGGCCTTTGCTGTCATCATCGTGTCTCCCATCTTTCAGGGCAAGAACAAGTTGATGAGACACCGCTTGGTTAACAATGCCTTGAAACAGGAAATGAATTCCATTCATGCATTCACCCAGAAGGTTTTTACCCCCGAAGAATGGGAGTTGCAGAAGGTGAACTACGAGAACTAAGCCACTAGATTGGCGTGGAATAAACAAATCGGATCCTTTTGCGGAATAAGAGATAACCTGTTTCAGAACTGAAAGTGACCAGTCGGAGCCATTGCCCTACTCGGATTCGGTCTGGTTTCAGAAGCAAGACCAAGCACAATTCCTGTGGTGCAACACCCTTGCATCACTGGTTGTGAATCCGCCATCAAAACTTCCCGTACTGGGGCTATGCTGTATATGTATCATTAATTACCCTGCTTCTGTTACGTACCCCTTGTATGTTTTTTTGCATCGGAGCCATCGTGCTGTTGCTTTATCTTTGTAACCGTTCCAATGTAGCCAATCAGGTAATTATATTAGTAACTCGATCTGGTACGGGCAGATAGGCGTTGCTACGGTTCCTCGGCTACGACACCGTAATCTCCGAGATTGAAAATTGCATATTAATTAGTACATGCATGAAGTCGTGCATATGATTTGACAGGATCATCCAAGTCCATTAGTAGATACCTGGTATTTTATATATATATATATATTACACAGAAAATTCACATCTATCGACACCTGCCGAGCTCTAAGGAGATTCATCTGGGGTTTCGGCACTATCTTCAATCTGCAGCTTAGAAGGTTCAACATCTTCCGTAACTGTATTAGTTGTATCCGCTTCTTTGAGAGTTTCCGAGACAGGCACGTCAACGATGACAGCCTCTTCAACCACAGCTCCCTCTTCGTGGACGTTTCCACCATCCAAAAGCACCCCGTTGGACTTCATAACCAAGACCAAGTTCTTAATAATCTCACTAGAAGCTTCCTTGATCGACAGTAAGTCGGTTTGCGAGACATGCGTTTGGTTGTTAAGGGTATCCACGGCCTCCAGCAATTGGAGCCAAACCTTTTCAACCTGCTCAAATTCACCCAGCAAATGTAAGAATGTCTTGGAAATGACGCTTAGCAAAGCAATCTGAGTCTTGGCCATCCCGTGTGGGTCCGTCTGCAAAACTTCGGGTTTGACCACTTCGTGAAGTAATGGCAATAACGACGATTCAAACAAGCCCTCTGGAGGAATTTCCGGAGAAAGCTTCATAGATAACAATGTAAGCTGTAAGGTTTTAATCGCATGGTTTCTGATTTCCCGGCAAGGGTTAAAGCACTGGTGGGCAATGGCCTGTGCCAAAATGTACCACACTTTACTCTGGTCAAACTTGGAATCAGTCAAGATGGATAACAAACTAGACGTCAAGGTAATGGACTTGATCGAAAGATCCACCATCACTCTCACCTTGGGGTCTTCCACTTCGTGCTTGCGCTGTTTAGGAGTTAGCTTGTCTCCCTTCTGCTCAAACTGAGCACCCAAACAACCAACCGTGGAGATTTCGTCAAGTAAGGACAAGAGCCAGACGTAGTTTTCGGAAGTGATCTGCAGAGGTGATGACTTCACCACACCCTCGATAAATTCGTAGATCGACTTTGTGTACGCCTTATCTGAGGCAAACGTTCTCAAGAGTAACCAGTAGTTGGCATCGGATAAAATCGTAGTCTCGCACCAAGTACCTTCATCGGACAATGACTGCAACGGACGCACCAAGTGGCGAGCAGACCTGATAATCGCCTGTTTGTCAAGCTCAGCAATCAGCTTAGTGGTTTCCAATAAGGACTGCTTCGCCTCGGAATCGACATGTCTCAACAACAACAACTTATACGTGAGTAACCTGGCACGTGTCTTTGGCTGAGTGGTTGGCGCATCGGCCAAGGCGAGGACGCTATCTAATTCGTTTAGCACCGACACAACCGTATTTTTACCGACAAATTCCGTCTCGAAAGAGAGGAATACAAGACACACGCTCAATTCCACGAGGAACAACACCTGGACGGTGAAGGATCTGGACGACTCAGCCTTGAATTCAGGAATAGCGCTCAAGATGTGGGCAATGAACGCAACCAATTCAGATTTCTCGAATAAGTTTGCATGGGCAAAGACGCTTGGAATGTGGCAGGACTTGATACAGTCGTTGGTGTACAGTGCTGCCTCAATTTCCTCCTCCGAAGGATCCGGCAAGTCGCTGTTGCCCTTCAAGAACCGAGATAATGAGGCCAACATGGTATCGGCTTCCTTACCGCTCTTGGACTTGGTGATGGTAAACTGCGGCTTGGCGACTGGCAAAGGCTCCAAGCCCAAGTTTTTTTGGAAGTCCGGGAAAATGTTGGGGTCAATCAAGCAGTTATCCAAAAGGAGCAAGATGATTTTGAGCACGTCGTCCCAGCTGCCCGACGCAACCGCTTTGTTCTTCTTCAAAATGCGGAAAAGCACAATAGTGGACAACTGGGCCTTGAAATCCATACCAAACAAGTATGCCACCTCACTGACAATGACTGAATCCAGAACCTTATCTTCGAACGTAACCTTGGTCAACGGAAGCACACCTCTCGAGTCGTTTTCAGCCACAACCGAGCGCTTGGTGCCAGTCAAAGTGGTCATGTGGCATAGCAACCGGGTGATCTTGTCAACGCAGCTGTCCAAGCCGTAGTAATTGGCAATAAACGCGCACTTGTCGAGAGACGACATCATCTTGGTGACGATCTGGTCGTCAAAAGCCTCTTCAAAGATGTTTGTGAATGTAGCTACCAAGTCATCGAATGTAGACTGGAAAATGACCCTGTCGATCTGGTCCAAGGTTGAGCGGTCCAAATCGGCGGTTGTAAGAGGCTCGGAAACGTAGCTGGCCAACATGTTGTTCCAGGCATCGTTGAACCACTTGGTACTACCGCCCTTGTGCTCTTCTGGCATTACAATCTCCCTGTCCCTGATGGAGACGTAAATCTTGTCCAAGTACCACTCGGGGAAGTTGCCTCCCTTGTACACACCTTTCAAGTTCTTTTGGTAATCAGAAAACTGCATACGCTGTTTGACCTGGGGATTGTGCAAATCGGTATTCAACATGATGATAGAGTAGGAGAGGATGAACACAGTGTCGAAATCTGGCGTTACCGGTTCCGGAGCTTCCACCGCTTCCGAAATAGCTCCAGTGGTTTCTGATTCAACGGCTTCAGCTCCAGTGACTTCAGCCTCAGCATTCTCAACCGGTTCTTGTGCTCCTGTCGCAGCTTGTTCCACCCAATCTTGGCAGGCAATGTATCGGTTGGCGAAAAACTCCATCGCCCTTTCGATCTGCTGTGATTCACCTGGCAATCTGAACGTCTTCAACAAAATGCGCAACGCTTCGTCGACACGCAAACCAGAAAAGTCCAACAAGCTCATAAACTTCTGGAACAACTCAGCGTTCTCTCTTCTGGTCAAGAACTCGCCCATAACTTTCTTGTCAAGTCTACCGGCTTTGTGAAACAATAACTCGGCGATCCCATCCAAGTCCTCGGTGGAATTAACGAACCCTTTCTGGGCAAAGAGAGCCAACCCCTGTTTTGGCTTGACGTTGAAGGTCTTAGTACACTGCACAAACTCCTTCTTCTGGACCTTGTCCAACACCAACTTGTGGCTGGTGGACAGTTTTTTCTCCGACAAGGACTTTTGCATCACCTTATCGTAGATACTAGAGACAACGGAAACAAGGCCCTCCAAGCAGATTGGCGGCACGTTGTTGGTGGTGACGAGGGCGGTGTCTGGCAACGCCAAGTACGACAAGTATTTCAAAATATCCGTGCACAAGTCGTTTCTGTCAAAGTCACAGTCGTAGTTGATAAACAAATTGGCAAAAAAGGTCGGAGAGCGGGTCCAGAGCAAGGAAACGGACTCGACAAGCATCTCCTTGGCGATTGGCGACCGCAAGGCCAGCGGGGTCTGGGGCGCTGGGGAGGCGGTACCCGAGTGCGAGCCCCTGCCCTTGGCCAAGTTCTTGTTAAGCGGCTTCTCGATCTCCTTCGGGGAATCGTCGCCCGCGGATGTTTGGTTTAACACATCCTCCGGCACAAGGCTCTTAAAGATGGTTGTCAAGACCAATTCGATCTGTAGCTTCAAGTGCGGAGCCAAGGTGATGTACAAGGTGTTGAACACCTGCAAGGCGGCACGGAGCAACGGCAACGACTCGTTCGGAGATTGGATGATCTGCAGCAAGTGCTTACTCAACGGATCGGCCACCAAATTTAACAACTGCGGGTGCACGGCTAAATGTTTGCTGGAGACCTCCAACGCGGTATTGAGTAGCGATAAGGCAAAGACCCGGGTCAGCTCCATATGCTGAAACTGGTTGGACGGCGCAATCATGGATATAAGAATCCCCAAAAAGTCCTTGATGCACGGTAACCCGAACGGCTGGTCGTCCTCATCCAAGCGAGTCATTTCTACCGACTTGCGGCTGCTACCGGCATCGACACCACCGATGGTGTCTTCTGGCAACTGGGTGCTGGTAAAGTCGGTGATGGCGTCTTCGGCAGCGTGGGCGTTGGGAACTTCGATCGATTCCAATTGCTCAAAGATACGGATGAGAATCGCCACCATGGCCATTTCCGCGGCCTTTCGCAACACCTCACTGCGTCTCTTGTTGCAGGCTAAAGACAAGCATGTTTGGATCACCTCGGTGACAACCTCGTCGGTGAGGTAAGCGCTAATGGTGCCGCCTACGAGAAGCGCCTCCAAGAGGCGAAGTACCTTCAACAACACGGCGTCGTCCGACGCCTGGTCGCCGGCCTCAAAGCGGCAATGGGTCAACGCCGATACGACCTGCGAGATGGAGACGTGAATGTTCTTCGAGTCGAGCGAGAGGAGGCCGTAAGTGAGAAACTTGTTGATGGAGTTGAGCGCCAAGGAGGTGATCATCCCAGACGTGGACGGAGACTTGATCACGAGTAAGAACGGTTGGAGAAGCGTGAGGCTGTCCACGTCATCTAAAGTATCCGCGCAGAGCAACATCAGACGCAACTGCATGAATGCGGAGAGCAACGCGTCATCGTTTCCGACGGTGGGTGTGTGGCTGGGCTTGGTGCCAAATTTGGTAATGGCGTACTCTTCGTCACCGAAGATCTCGTTGTAGCCACCCACGAGGGCCGCGACGGTGCTCTGAGACCAGCGCGCCAGCTTGCGCATGGCCGAAGAGATGGTGATGCATTCGTTGATAGCGAGCGTGACAGGGTCGATGGTGACAGAAGTGTGGTGGAAGTGGCGAGAGTGTCGAGCCCTTTGCAGAGCGAGCTGCGAGGCAATTGGGTTTAGCTTTGCCTCTAGCTTTTCATTTTGCGTCGCCCCTTGCCTTTCATTTTGCATTGCATTTTCCCCGGCGTCAGTGCTCTGCGCGTTTTGCAAAGTTTTCTCGCTCATGTCAGATCGGGATGTATTATCTATGAGTCAGAAAACCAGCTAGCAGAGTGGTGAGCTGAATTCAGTGAAATAGTTCGGTTTGGTGACGGTTCAGATGGGAGCGAATGCAGTAAATATCAGATCGAAATGAGCGCATAGTCCGGCGCTCGTTTTCGTGTGTTGTTAACAACCATGTTAGCAAGATAGCGACGCACGACCTAAATGTTGCGATACGTGCTGATGGATTGTGAGGCACTGTGGTTTCGGAATTATCGTATGCTGTTAAAGAACAAAGTTTGATAAATATTGGAAAAATATTGATAAAACATATCTAGTGAAGGTAAATATGTTTGATAGGAATGTCTAGCATTACTATAAATGAAGATAGAGCTTAAAAAGGGTCGGGCGCCAACAAAAAAGAATGGTCCCTAGCAGGATCGAACTGCTGATCCCCGCGTTATTAGCACGATGCCTTAACCAACTGGGCCAAGGGACCAAGATATAATAGGTGGGCATATATGGTTCTTTAAGACTCAAATATTAATAAAACTTTTTCTGACACGTATTCTTCCATACACATATAGTCTAATATTAATCCTAGAGAGTTTGAGCCAGTGATTTATTGAGATACGCTCTGAGGTAAATCCGTTTCCAGAATCGTTAACTCACCTCTGCTGACTTCTACTTCAAAATATTCAAATACATCATATAATGGATTCGGGTTGCAGAAAAATCTACCGTGATTTGCATATTCCTAGGAACTGCCTAATTTATAACCCGTACCTTGGAAGCTCTTCGAACTGGTGGTGGCACTAGTAGCAAAAAAACCAGCCTTCTTCTTGGGTTCCGGCTCGGCTCTAACAGAGCTTTTACTTGATTCCTGATCCTTGTCATTTAAAGAGCCAAGCCTGATGCCTGCGGTCTTGGTCCCAAGAGGCATACCCCCACGGTTGTGTGGAGCTGGGGCGGTAGGGGGGAGAGCAAAAGACGCTTCCATCTTCTTAACCAACACCTGGAAAAATAGAGGTGCCTTGAGGATTCTACGGTCGTTAAATTCGGTCAAAGTAGACCCGCCAATGGCATTTCCGCCGGTAGCACCGCCCAGGATCGTGGCGATAGGCTTTTTGGCCTTCCCACCAGCTTCCCTTCTCTTTTTTTCAGCGATGCGCTTCTGTCTCTCCTCCCATTTGACTCTCCCGGCAAGCTTCAGAGGAAACAACCAGTAGTAGAGCGGACCCGCAGACTTGGTGGAGATGCAGCTGTAGCCGTAGCCAACAGCACAGCCCACAAGACACTCCATGAAGGACATGGTGCCGTTGATGATGAACTTGGCCAACATCCCGGCAATCGGCAAGTTTCTGGCTCTAATCGGCACGAAGTAGAAGTTAATGACCGACGTCTTGTTGTAGCGTGACCAGGTGTAACTCAAACTGGAAAGCAAGACGGTCAACAAGTATGGCGACTTCAAGAACCAGCTGAACTGGTAAACAACCAAGATTGGGAGCCAGTTGAACGCTACGATGAACCAGATGTAGTCGGCATTCCAGTGGTCCATATCACCTTGGAAGATCTCCGACTCTAAGTTGGACGAGAAGGAGTAGAGGGAGTACAAATCCATCATAGTCTGCAACGGTTGCAGACTGGCGATGAAAAACGTCGTGAACGGCCGCCATAGTTGTGCCTTGTAGATTGTGTAGGGCCAGTAATTGATAAAGTGAATGGATGGGATAATGTTCAAGATGTTGAGGAGCGAGATGGTAAACGTGGACAACACCAAGAACTGGGTCACCGGAGGGATCGAATGCACAAACCGGACGATTTCGTTGGTCATGTTGGATTAATATTAGTGGAATGCGCAGTAATTGACAAGTAAGGACAACGGTAATATACGGGGATGCTCCGCAAGTCGATAACAAAGACAGCGCACGCGAAAGCCGCAGGAGTTGTCTTGGGCACGACTATTTCAGGCTTTGTGGATGTGGAAAAATAAGAATGCCTTGTCGGGCAGCTTAGCTCAAGGGGAACGGGAGATAATAGAATCGACTTAGTTGGGCTGAGCTACACGGGGAGGATTAGCATATCATTGGAGTGGAGTTTGAAGCTTTGGACGGGGGCAAAGGCCGAGGAGCAGGATTCCTACGAACGCTGTTCGCCCAATCATAGATATACTGGGTAATTGCCAGTGCTAATCGAGGCCCCATATTAGCTATTAATGTATTTATTTGCTTTACTAGTCATTTGACAGTATTATCGCCTCATACTGGTACCTGATTGTTGATCTCCGCATCTGGCATGGGGTCGATCCGCATGTAACCTTAAGCGGAGATATAACCCCCCGAGAGCCAGTGCCCACAGGCATCATTTTCAATGTCATCACTTTGTCCGACTCTCAGAGCATTTCAATGTTATAATGCTACTGTCGAGTGAAACTCCAGTGTTTCCGCGTGACCTACCGGAAGTGAAGTTCCGGGGCTTTCTGAGTCCAAACAAGGACACCCTGACCTCTCAACGGTATAACGGTCTTTTGCTATTCTCTCGAATCTAAAATCACACTGACAATTTTGGATCACGCCCAAACTTTCACTGCCTGACGTAAACCCGAGAAGCTGAGCCGCTGCTTTCACATGCACGCTAACAAAAACATAGGCTCACCCGCAGGTCCGCTCGACCGCGTAACTGGGCCGAGGCCCACGGACTTTTTTTCATGTCCGACAAAGTCCGGAGGGGCAGCGCATGCCTCCACATGAGCGCGGGGCAGGACGGCGGCACATGCCGCCGGTCCTATAAATGCCAGCGTCTCCGCGAAACCGTTTTGCTATTTATCTCGTTGCCCATCTCTTTATTCTCTCGCCGGAAAGAACTAAAGATCACATTATGAAGAGATTTGCAAACACAGCTGCCCGTTTATCCCACATCATGCCAGTTGGTCAGCTCCCTAAGAACCACGCGCAAAAGCGCTTCACTGCCACCACCAGTGCCCCTAAGGGCGACTTGTTCAAGTTCCAGGCCGATTTACCGCCATTGCCGGTACCAGAGCTCAAAGACACTGCTGCCAAGTACTTGGACTCCGTCAAGCCACTTGCGTCAGCCCAGCAATACGCCGCGACCGAGGCGAAGGTCCAGGAGTTCATCAGACCGGGTGGGGTGGGCGAAAAGTTGCACGCCAAGTTGCTCGAAAGAGCGGCGCTCAACCGCAACTGGTTGAGCGACTGGTGGGATGAGTATGCCTATATGGCTTATAGAGACGCCGTGGTGCCATATGTGTCGTACTTCTTTGCCCATAAGGACTTGAGAGGGCCAATTGGACAGAACCAGTTGCAAAAGGCGTCGCTTCTTGCATTCCACGTGACCGAGTTCCTTGACAAGGTTGCGAACGAGCTGCACGAGCCAGAGGTGCTCAAGGGCACTCCATATTGCATGGAATCCTTCAAGAACTTGTTCAACAACTCGCGTGTACCAACGTTGCCAGCTGACACCACCGTCTACTTCCCATATGCGGAAAACCAGTACTTCTTGGTCATTGTCAAGAACAGATTCTACAAGATCTATCACCATAACACCCAAGGCCAACAGTTGGCGCCGTTGGAAATCCACCAACAGCTCGTGCAGGCCGTGGCCGACGCCCATGCCAAGGGCGTCCAGGAGGCCGCCATCGGTGCATTGACCTCCGTGAACAGAGACTTCTGGACCAATGCATACGCGGACTTGGCTCAGAACGCGAGCAACCAGGTCTCATTGGATGCGATCCACGCCGCCTCTTTCGTGGTCTGTTTGGATGATTCCTCGCCAGTCACCACGCACGACCGCGCTCACATGTGCTGGCACGGGAACGGTACCAACCGCTTCTACGACAAGCCGTTGCAGTTTATCGTGGCTGCCAACGGTGCCTCGGGTTTCTTGGGAGAGCACTCCAGAATGGACGCCACCCCAACCAACAAGTTGAACGTGACCGTGTGCAAACAGTTGGCCAAGGACGCCAGTGCCGGCACTGACTACTTTGCCGGCGCCCCCTCTGCGCCCTCTATCCCTGAGGATGCTGCTAAGGAGATCAGATTCGACGTCTCCCCAAGTATTCGCAACGCCATCGCCGACGCCAAGCAGGAGTTCCGTGCCTCCATCGACTCCCATGACATGTTCACCTGGCAGTTCCCAGGCTACGGCAAGAACTTCATGAAGACGTGCAAGGTCAGCCCGGACGCCTACGCGCAGATGTTGATCCAGGTTGCATACTACAAGTTGACTGGCACGTTCAAGCCGACCTACGAGCCGGCCGCCACCCGCAAGTTCTTTAACGGCCGTACCGAAAACTGCCGCTCCTTGTCCCCTGAGGCTGTCGAATTTGTCAAGACCTTTGTCAACGCTAAGGTCTCCAATGCTGACAAGCAGCTTGCATTCCAGAAGGCCGCCAAGAAGCACAGTGTGAACGTAGGTGCCGCCGCCAACGGGCTCGGGATCGACCGCCACTTGTTTGGCTTGCAGCGCTTGGCCAACCCTGATGAGGTTCCGGAACTCTTCAAGGATCCAATGTACGCCTACTCGTCCTCATGGTTGCTCTCCACCTCCCAGATTCCGGTTGACGAGTGCTACACGAGTTGGGGTTTCTCCCAAGTTAACGACTTGGGTTTCGGCTTGGCCTATATGATCAACAACGACTGGTTGAACATTAACATCTCGTGCAAGAAGGGCAACGGCTTGGTTAGTGAGCAGTTGGGCTACTACTTGACCGAGACCGCCTTGGAGATGAGAGAAGTCTTGGGCGACGACGCTGCCGTCTTGAAAGCCAAGTTGTAGAAGGAATTTAAATGTTTGTTTTACCGTATATAAATGTAGTTCCTATGAATTTGCTTTAGAAAACCTTGCCTTGGTCTCCGATCCTCTACCGCGAAAGGATTCAGATTGAGACCGGACTACAATAAAGCTTTGGATCTTTTCTCTTGATCTCTTATTGCAATCCACGGTATGTCTAAGATATATCTATGTCCGTCTTTTATGAGCATCATCCGTGATAGTTTAGTGGCTAGAATCCCCGCTTGTCGCGCGGGGGACCGGGGTTCAATTCCCCGTCGCGGAGCTTTCTTTTTTTGTGAACTATTCGTTAATTTCTCTTTTAATCTCTGCTGGAAAAATCTGTCGTGTTATACAAACACCGGGGCTGTTGACGTTTTCTTTGACAACTACCCAAGGCAACGGCTGTCAACTTGTCTGGTATCGATAACCCCCGGTCCCTAACCCTACGAGCTTCTTCTACGTTCCACCTCCAGGCTGCATGTCTCCCTTTTCAATTATATATTACACTATACACATAAGACGTGCTAGAAGTCCAAGGTCTGCTTTCTAGGGAACTCTTGGATCTCCGGTACAGGAATCTCCGGAATGAGGTAGACCTCGCCCTCGTCGTTCACTCTCTCTCTATCTCTCTCGCTGATATTGTGGATCTCCACAATGTTCTCCTTCAAGAACGCCATGATCTCCACAAAGTTGTGCTGGATCTGGTGGGCCTGCTGCTTCATCAGTCTTCTGACCAACCCCTCAATCAACCTGACCGCCTCTGGAATGGTGGCGTGCAATCTCTCGAGCAACCTACCAACAGACTTGATCAAGTACTCTTCTTCGTAGATAGTCCCCTTGCGGCCCTTGGCACGCTTACGCTCTTCCCTCTTCCGGTTCTTGGTGGACTTTCTGGACGCCCCGGTCTTGGCGGTTCCGGCAGTCTTACCGGTGTAGCGGGTGAAGAACGATGGGGTGGTGGACGTTTCCGAGGCAGCGACTGACACATTGTCTGGGGTGTCGAGGTCGTTCTGTTCGGGGTTGCCGTAGAATTCGTAAGGATTCTCCTGTTTCTTCAAGCGTAACTCACGTAATCTTCGCAACTGCGATTCGGTCTGCTGTTTGCAATCGGCAAGTAACTCGGCTATGACACCGAAGCCCTCACCCAACTGTGGGTCAATCACCGACTCGAGCAAGCCTGGCTTATCATGTGTGACACACAATAAAATGGCCTCGTCAAAGTGATAATTCTTGCAGTACAACTTGAGCGCATTCTCTAAGTTGTGTAAGAACTTCAATTCAATGTCGGCGGCGGCGCTGTATTGCTGGTCCTCGGTCAAAGCGATGACCAATCTGTCTGCCACCTCCGTCAAAGAGGCCTTGTCGATTTGGGCGATGGTCAAGGCCTCCTTCCACTTCTTGGCTAAGATGTAGCACTCTAACGCCTGCAGGTGGTTCTCCAAGACCTCAAAGGTCATCCCCGCCTCATCGAAGAATTGCTGAGCCTTCAAGTGCACGGCATACAACGCCAAGATGTGATCGGATCTCGGAGCATCGTAACGGTAGAGGTCTAGCGCGAGTTGGTACAAGTCGTACTCGACAATGTACTGGTTAATTTCCAGCACCAAGCCCTTGTTAGAGTTCTCCTGCAAGCTCTCATTAGAGCTCTCCTGTAAGCCTTTATTAGAACTCTCCTGCTCCATCTCGTGCAAGTGACGCAACCCTTGGGCAAAGTTCTTAAGATGGGTGTCAATCATGACGCGCATGCGCAACGGCGTCTGGACGTGCAAGTTCTGGAGGAACGGCAAGTACTCCTTCGGATCTTTTTGCGACTGCTGCGCAATATTCAACGCCAACTTGACATCATAGAGGCCCAAGGCAACCGTGTACAACGTGTTGACGTCCTGCAAGAAACACAAGTGGGTGACTGACTTCTCGAGCTCGTCGGCATCGGTGAATGCGCCGATCAATGCCAAGGCACCGGCCAAGTTTGGCGGGCTCTGACACGCAAACATGGTGATTACCGTCTGCAAGTACTTGCTGTAATATGCCGGCTGGGTCAAGAGCGTCACCATCTGCTCACAGATCTTGTTGATCTTGGATTCTGGCTTTTCGGTGACTTGCAACTGGGTAAACTGCTGAACCATTTCATCTGATCCAAGGGTTTCCTTGTACTTTGTCTTGCAGACATCCTCTTCGTGCAAGCAACTGACAAACAAGTCCAAGTACTCGACCTTGCCGAGCTCCGCCACGAACTTAGGCATGTTGTCGGCCCACAACTTTGGATCATAATCGTGCAAAATGTCCAAATCAATTCTGTGGGTGCGACACAACATGAACGCCTTGTAGTATTCGGTGTCCTTGATGTGCTGACGAACCTCACTCAAGATCATGATTCTTGGGTGGATCGTCTCCAAGTTGCCACGTGGGGCCTCTAACACCACGCGTGATTTGGACGGCATGGTGTTGACCAAGATAGAACCGCGCTCGATCATTCTCACACGTTCATCCTCATCTCGGGTACCTTCCGCTGGGGTGCTTTCGTCGATTGGCTGGAACACCGACGCGTCCAAGTGCACGAAGCGCAATTGGTGTTGGGCCGTGGTGACCATCAAAAAGGAGTCGCTCACCATGATGGAGGTGACAGAGCTGGAGATACAGGCGTCGTTCGCAAACAACTTACCGTTCACCGTCAACCCAAACGCCACCATCCCGCTCGCAAGCGGACCCGCCTGGAAGTCGCGGCACAACTGCGGGAACTGGCACACCTCTACGATAGAGCCGTGCGAGTCGAGGGAATACACATGACCATCAATAGTCTCGTACACAGCCATGGCGCCATCCGAGCTCGCCTTTAACAAAACAATCTTGTTCGGTCCGCTACCGTTGACCTGGTCAAGCACAATCACTTCCTCCGCGGTCAAGTCGACAATGGCAAGCCTGGACTCAGTCCCATCTACCAACAACACCACGTGGGTGTCGCCAATAAACGCGAGCTGTCTGATGGGCATCTCCCCTAGTCCGGCAAAGAGCTGGGCGTTGTCCATATGCTGGACCATCTTCGGAGCGCCGCCTTTCTTGATAAGCTCGCCCCAAGAGACGAGGTCTGTGGCTGGCCCGAATACATACAACCCGCCATCCACACCCGCGGCCGCAATCTTCATGTTGCTCTGGGACGATGCGGCAGCCGTGGCGTTCACCATCTCCCCGGTGACTGGGTGCACAACTTCTAAATCGCGGAAGGCGATCGGCGGCGGAACGTTGGCAAGCGCAAGCGGTGTGAACTTAATTTCTGCACCGTCAATCACTAAATTGGTCCCGATATCGAACCCCTTGTAAGTGGGCCCAATGGTCACCTGGGCGGTCAAGTCGACGATCTGGATGGAGCTTATGGTATGCAAAAGCAACTGCGTGGGCTTTTCTGGGTGGAAGCGAAACGCGAGGATGGGCTCGTCGGCACGGAGTTCCTGTTTCAAGTACCAGTGGTAGTTCTTGGTGGTCCAGAGCTGGACGCGCCCGTCGAGTTGGACAGCCAAGATCTCAGAGTCGCAGCTCCACTCCACGTTCTGAACGGTTGTCCGGGGATCGACACGAAGGCAAAATTCGCCATGTCTCAACCCGTTCTTCTCGAAAAAAACCACCTTGAGCTCCAAGTCTTCGAGCTCGGTGTCGTAGTCACGCTGCACCGACGCAAGCAACGCCCCTTGCGGCTTCCACGCGAGATATCCCTCCAAGTTGTTGACCGGCTCGGAGATTGACACGAGTTCACCGTCCCTGGTGTATACGCGGGTAACCCGTCTGGAATCGACCTCGACTGCCTCTGAGATCTTGTTCAGGATCTCCTCAATAATGCTGATGGCAAAAAACTCACCATCGCCCCTCCAGGATACCTTGTGGCGGGCCAGATCATACGGTGAAACACACCCGCGTTCTACCTTCCCCAATGTGGGATCTCTCATGGCATTCGCTATCTCTTCGTCCGCGCCAGCGTGCTTCAATGCCTCCTTTTCACGCTCTAGAGCACGCGCACCCTTGCCCTGGAACTGCGTCTCCTTCTTTCCCCAGCCAACCGAAACATGCTTGTTTGTGTTGTGAAAGTTAAGCAAGTCGGCGCTGCTGATGACAATCTCGCTGATCGGCTCGAAGAGGCGCGAGAGAAGCGTGAGCTTGTGGTCTTTTGTCAAAAGCGTCAACGTCTCTTCATCAGGCGACCACCCGGCAGCAAGAACCCCGGCGTCAATGGATCCGATTATTGACACAACCGTGCTGTCCGAGTCGTACGAAGCGTCGTAGGTGGCCGTCACGATGTCACCGTTGCTGAACACAAGCACCAACTGGTACACGTCCACAAAGTGCGCAAAGCTCACGAGCTCGTTGAGCGACCCGTCCACGGCATACGCCTCTAGTGGGAAAGAAGCCAAGACGTTCACCGTCCCGTTCTTGAGAAACTGCTGCACCTCCACGTGGCTGTTCTCCTCCGGATCAGTGAACACATACGTGATGGAGTCTGTGACGGCGTCAAAAGTGGAGTATGGTGAAAGCGTCACGTCTGGGTGCGTGAACGCCTGCGGGTTGAGGTACCCGCGGTTCAATACAGCCAAGTTCTTCATGTGTGAGGAAGAGCAATGGGATGGAGTCTAGCGCTACACTTCAGATGTCGCATAAAAAAAAAGTTTTGTATTGTGTGCACTACGCACGTGATGAGTCGTTGCGGAACGATGCAAAGGTTGAAAGAACCTGAGATATGTGATTAAGGTGGAAACCTTGCTCAAGTTGGAGATTTTGGCAAACCCTTTTATATAGCCGAGACTCAGAACAAATTGAATAATTGTATTTTATTCTCCTTGTTACGCATGCGATGACCTTGGACTTGGTTAAGTGTAAGAAATCTAGATCTACTGCAATAAGCATATAACTAGGTGATTAATATGTTTATATCACGCAAAAAAATCCCTTCCAGTTACTAGGATCAGCTGGCAACAGCTAATCTCTCAACTCTTTCCTTAATGCCTCCCGAAAATGCGTATGCCTTCCCATTTGAGTGATAATATCTCGGAATTTCCGGCTACATACGAGTAGCCCCGATAGAGCTATGGATTAAGCCTGCAAGACTGTAAGGCATGGCACTAACTATCGCTACACATGTCCGTACAAAGCAGACACTGAATTCCACGCGTAATACACCAAGTACCAATGCTATGTTTCGATCAGAATCGGGAACCTCCAGGAATGTTAACTTGGATGTCCTGGGAGAATAGCAATCTAGCAAACATTAGAGCTTCATCCCGCAGGCAGCTCTCTACAGAAGTTTCAATGAATGGTGTATTAAACAAAAATACGGTAACGGCAAATAAATATTTTTCGGAAGGACAAAAACGATGCCAGGAATGAAAAGGGGAAGAACACAGTCATACACCTGGGCCGCAGGGGCACAGAATGCAGTGGACTGGGAACTTGGGACAGCTTATCATGCGTTTCTCAAAAACGACAAACGTGAACGCAATCTAAAAGTGGGGAAAGACTTATTGGTAACTGTTTAGTTGTCCTCCAAGTGCTTCTTGGCCTTCAATTCGGCGTAGAAAGCGTCCTTCTTTTCAACCTTTGGCATGTGGAGACCGTACCACCAGTAGGCACCCATGCCCAAGCCGATGGAGCCGCCGACAACAATGTCGAACATGATTCTCTTTCTGAAGGTGCCGGTGATTGGAGCGATGGCCATTTTGTATTGATGGGTATACGTGTGTATAGTGTGGGCTCTGGCGCGGTCTCCAGATGTACCGTGCACCGCTTTTAATATTTCGTATCACGGGAAGGTTGGTATGGTAAGACCACTTTGTAATTTTTTCGTCCTGGGTCACGTGCCACACCAGCCAATCAGCAGTTTTAGAATGTCACTAGTAAACGGACTGAACAAAAATAGTGTGCGAGGCCCAGGCCGGGTAAGCGCGACAAATCTTAAGGTGGTACGACAAACTCAGAAGCTGGGTAGCGATATATGAGCATAAGCATACGCGAGGTGGAATGTCTACAGAGTCCAACTAATCACAATACAACAATCATAATGTTCAGATTCGCCGCTGCCCCAGCCAGAGCTGCCTTCAGACCTGTCGCCAAGAGATCTTTCCAAACCTCCAGGGTTGTCAGAGGTGCCCACTTCGAAGAAGGTGTGTACTCCAACTTGCCATTCAAGGTCCACAACAGAAAGATTCCATTCGCCATTGTTTTCTTCGGTTTCTTTGGTCTTGGTTTCTCCTTGCCGCTTGTTGCCGTTTGGTGGCAATTGAAGAAGTCTGGTGCTTTCAAGAACTAGACTTCCTGACCCGTAAACGCGGGCTTTCCACGTCACACAAAGACCCATTCCAATTCCATATTCTCCCCATCTACGCACAGTGCGTGTTTTATTTATCATATAAATTGCGTGTCACATCAGACTAGCGGTACAAATAAAAAAACTATAAGCGAAAAAAACTACAAGCGAAGAAAACTGTAAGCGAAGAAAACTATAAGCGAAGAAAACTATAAGCAAAGGTTTGAGTGTAGGTACGCGTGCTCTCCTGACGGAGACCTAGAATATGGTTTCCCGCACACTTGGTGATTGGCCTAATGTCTGGATGAGGTGTGGCCTCGACTCGAGATATACCAACTGCTGACTTTCACACCTTCAAAAAGCGCCAGTCTGGGATCGAGGGAGTAGAAATACTGGTGTAAAAAGTGTGGACAACGAGGGATTAGATCCACCTTGAGTATTAACGTTCAGTGAGACATAAGGGTCTGTATCCAACAGGTAAGGCTTTCTAGAGCTTTTAACTTTAGGTATTCACTGTGACAGGCTCTAAACTTTGGTGTCAGCAGGAGTAAGATTTTCATCAATTGTTCCAATGCCAAGTCGGGCCAGCTGTGTGCCTATTCGTTATGATCTCTTACTTTGCAATTTGTTGTGTTTGAGACAAGCTCTCGTGGAATAAAGGCCATTTTGAACTTAGATTGCGGTACGCAGATTTGTGCTCTCGTATCGAGCAAGTGAGAATGCGGTGTATTGGGGAAGAAGTTTGATATATGCCCATTGCGGAGGAATTATTTAATCACATGTAATTTAGTTTTTCAAATATGTTAGGCGTTTTTGGATAGCCAGCAGCACACGAACCATGGGCCTAATACTGAACTGGAGACCCACCAATACGGTTAGGATATTGCCTGGTTGCTTGCACCCTCGAGTGTTTTACAAGGCAAATATGGACCTTAGGGTCAGGTCTAAACTTATTGGGTGGTCTGCGGTTGGGTGTTAACTTTGGTGTTTTGTACTTAATTTATTGGCCAGTCTTGGCGGTCGTGTACATTGCGGTACGACTGGCCATGAACTGCTCTTTGTAGAAGTTTGTACCCTGTGGTTAGAGTCTCTATCACTTTGGATAAATAAATTAGTAAAACTGCAGGCATTCTTTTAAATTGAAAGTCCAAGGTTGCACCCGAGATCTGCAGGGACAGTCGAGTTTTCATATCGATCCAATTTTTGTAGCGCCGCACCATGCGTCAACGATGAGCCCGAGATGCCGATGCTAAATCTGCCTGAGGCATCAAAGCCCGAATTTGGAGAGCCAGCTGCAAGGTGAACTTTCAGGTGTATATACGGTGCTCGACATGTTAATATCTTAATTGAAAAATATTATGGTAATGTCGGTATACTTTATGTAATCACAAAAAGATTATATGTAATGAAAAATAATTCATTGTCGTTTATAAATGTATATAAATTGTCTGACCGTATATATCGGTAAAAAACCAATAGACACGTATTTATAACCAAGAACGTATAATATATGCGATTTATTTAAGCTCAAAAAATAGGTACTGATAATATCCATGGAATATATACATCTTGCACATCCAATTGACTCAGACCCCGTTATCTGTTTTCACCGTCACTTTCAACAACTACTGGATACAGGATACATCATGGATATCGTGAAAACCGTCATACTTACACCGGGCTTACTTCTTTCAAAACAGTTTCCCTTCCCCCGTTAAAGGAGCTGTCCATTTTACTAAGGAAATGCTCGCCAGATCAAGTTTAAGATTGCTTTCAAGAAGACAGCCTGCCCGCACTGCGGCTTTTGCTAAGAGGTTCAACAGGAATACCAAACAGCCGCTTCCAGCCACAGAAGAACCGCAGCCAATTCCTCCCCACTCGGTATTTTACAGAAAGTTCAGTATGCTTGTCCTTAAGAACGTTGGTGTTGCTATGGGAGTGTTTTACGGCATGAAATTTGCCTGGGATTTCTTGGAGGTGAACGAAGAAGAACTACACTAAGCAGTGCTGAATTCCATGCCGAACGATCTACCGGACTGATCCTTAACCCTCATATGCCTCCAGATGTATCAAATTTCATACAACCTTGGCAAAATTTGAATGGTCTGCCTCAAAATTCCGATGGCCCTTCCCACACGTTTAGCCCGTGACCACACACCCTTAGCTCTCTGCGCCTCAGACCAATCTGAGCGTCCTTATCACCGTTCAGTAATCGTTAACTTTACCTAGAAATAAAACAGCCTCTCATATATAGGCATTATATTGTGTGTCCAACGACGCTATCAGTGGGGTGAATCCGGCACGCAGGGGAAAATTCTCGGTGTGGCCACTGCGGTTTCGTATCTGAACCGCGGGAAGTCAATTTTAGCCGCCAACGAGCCAAATACAAAAGGACATATGCTTACTCCACATACAACTTACCAGAAGATAGACAAAATGGGCAACATTCTCTCTGCTAGTTTTGCTCCGGAATGCGACGAGAAGAAGGCCACTTACGACGCCTGCTTCAACTCCTGGTACACCGAAAGTGAGTATGATACTCCGGGATTTCTTCAAGGAGAGTACTAACGACCCAATTTTAGAGTTCCTTGCCGGTAAATCCATCACCAATGAGTGTGAAGAATTGTGGCACGAATACAAGGAGTGCATCGATATTGCCTTGGTCAAGAGAGGGATGGTTAAGATGATGGAGGAAGCTAGAGAGGAAGCTTCTTTTGAGAATTCTGGGATTCCGCAGAACCACGACGAAGCCAAAAAATAGCTTTCAACCTTTTCTCTTGTATATACTGTTTATTTATGCCAATTTAATGCATCATATTTAGAAATCTCCGAAGTTTACCACTTCTACAGATGGACAGGCGATAACGATAATTAATAATATACAGGGTTGTCAGACAACCATACGAGCGACACCTAATCAATACCAATGTACAACACATTGTTGCCTCTTATGAACACATCGTTCTTGAACGAGTTGACAACCTTGGAGTCCTTACCGACGCACTCCTGAACATCGCGGCCTTCTAACACGATGTTCATGTACCCGTCGATACTCTGGAGGGTACCCTTGTACGTGATGCCTGAGTGTAACTTCACAACAACGGCGGAGTTTGTGATTCCGGAGAGAAACTGAGATGGTTGCATTTGTAGCGGGGGATAGATTGCCTTCAGCGGTTGTTACAGATGTTACAGCACGCCTCCTCTGATATACTCGAAGCTATCATTGATGGAATGGGCGTGTATTACCCGAAAATCACCCAATGCGGAGATTAATAAATTCCGTGTGTATTAGAGAGATACACGCTGCTGAGCCAATCAACACATTCGCGCTCCTTCCGTACCCGCTGAACCGTTTTTCCTTTAGCGATTTTCCAGTCTGACCGGGCACGTACGCTGCGATTAAGTACGATATAAGCGGAGAACCCACGCGTAAATTCATCTAGAAGTAGCTGTATAAAACAAACCGAAAATGTCTTTTATCGCCAGAAGATCTTTGTCTACCTTGATCCCACCAAAGATCGCCTCTGCTGCCAACATTGGCTCCAACCCAAACGCCGTTAAGATGGCTAACGTTGTTGCCTTGTACCAGAAGTTGCCAAAGGGCGACAAGCAGCCATTCAAGGCCACCAAGTACTTTGACAAGGACAGTAACGCTTCTTCCAAGTTCTTTGTCTACCTTGCCACCGGTATCATCACCTTCGGTTACACCTGTGAATGGTACTTCCATCGTATGTATATTTGAGACATCCCTGCCTGTGAATTGTCGGTTCGTGATTGAAATTGAATTGAATTTTATCATTAACGGGGCTTCCGCCTCGGAATTCCTGAATCCAAGCCGTGAATCAGTAACCCATATTCCTGATGAGATCCCCGATCAAATGAAATAGCGCAACCATTGGAATAAATTGGAACAAATTGAAATAAGTCGGAACAAATTGGAATAAACAGGAACAAATTGGCTACTCTTGATTATCTACTCTTGGCTATCTTCCTTTGACCCAGCTCTAATCCCGGGAATCTTCAAGGGACACGACGCTTTGCACAGGGTATCGATTCACGTTCCAATACTAACTCCTTCTAGTCCGTCACCACAAGCATGGTGATCACTAAATCACGCTGTCACTACCAAAGTCGCAATGCTAATCTATGATTACACTTCCTTATGCCTGCTCTTTTTTCCACTCTTACACCTTGACGTCAGGAACAAAAAGTCACATGTAAGGTGTCTGGGGGTTGAAAAACGTTAGACTCTTTCAATACACGTTTATATATGTATCTGGGGTCCTTTCTACGTAGTTTATAGCACCAATGTTACCCCGAGCCGTCATGGTGCAGGAAAAATCCACAGTTTATGTGTGGCTTCGATTGCAAAGATTGCGCCATTTATTTTGAATTAGACAAAGGTTGTACCTAAACGCCCCCGATACACAGTTTAGCCTAGTGGGTGTCATTCCGCGTTAATAATACTGTATCGATGCTCTACCGCTCCTATCAGGTGCGAGCTTTCGTAATATCCGAGTTTTAACACTGTGGAGGCTTGCTGCGTGGAGCCCCAATTTCCCCATAAACGGATGACTATTTCAATCTACTTTACTGAAAAATTATAGTTATTTAAACCGAAATGATTCCTTCCCATGCTAATTGTTTCACGTTCTAAGGATCATCTCATCTTTCATCCTCACACAATGGCTCCAGCTCTTACTATTACACGCGACATTGAGGAAATTTCCAGCAAACTCGACAAAACCAAGTGGTTTTCACCTGACGGAATTTCAATCACCATCCCTGAACATCAACTTGCCGGTGCCAAATACCCCGACTACTTACCAGTCTGGGACCCAAGGACGGTGAACCAACTCAGTGTCGGTGACCCAAACTACGTGGATCCAGGCACCCGCGCTGATCCGGAATTACCGTTATTGAAAGCCAAGGGTGTTGTGATCAAGGATTTGACGCCTAAATTTGGCTCAATTGTTTCGGGCATCACCTTAACCGAGTTAAGTCCGGAGGAGAAGGACGAGTTAGCGTACTTGATTGAGTCCAGAGGGGTAGTGCTGTTTACCGACCAAGAATCTTTCAAGGAACAGAAACCAAAGGAAGCAGTCAAGTTTGCTGAGCACTTTGGCCCGTTGCACATCCATCCGACTGCCGGTGCTCCAAAGGGCTCCCCTGAAGTGTTTATTGTCCACAGATACAAAGAAGGGCATTCCTACGAAAACGGAAGCTTCGCCGACCGTGTATCCACTATCACCTGGCACTCGGATATTTCCTTTGAGAAGCAGACCCCAGGTGTCACCTTTCTCACCATGTTGGAAGGCCCTACGGTTGGTGGTGACACCCTCTATGGTGACACCGTCGCGTTATACGAATCTTTGTCTCCAGTGATCCAGGAGAAGTTGAAGGCGTTGAGAGTGGTACACTCTGGATCGCACTTTGAGGCGGTGGCTAAAAAGAACGGTGGTCTTGTCAGACATATCCCGGATGTTTCGGTGCATCCGTTGGTCAGATACCACCCTGTGTTGAAAAAGCACTACTTGTATTTTAACGGTGGCTTTGTCAGGGGTATCGAGGGGTTGAAGAAGGAGGAGTCTGACTTTGTGATTGACTTCTTAAAGACCTTGCAGATTCAATCCGCTGATTTTCAGGCGAGAATTAAGTGGGAACCAAATACAGTGGTTGCTTGGGATAACAGAAGAACAACTCACACAGCCCTTGTTGATTTTGTGTCTGATCAGAGACGCCACTTGTTCAGATTGACCACTTTGGCCGAAAAGCCTTTCACCGACCCCGAAGACGCGTAAATTTTGTATAGCAATCAAACCGATATATTTCATCTTTTCTCAATCTTAGTGGATTGCGTTCAATTTTAAAATCGTTATAAAAACAAAACTGCCTAGTCTGATAGGTAATTTTGAAAGAGCAATTTCTCAACTAATCGTATGCAAGTATCTCTAGATTTGTAGTTCTATCAATCAAATACGGTATTGGGTCAAAATAAATATACCATGTTAATTCACCATCCAGAACAGGAGTTTCATTATGACTGATTTGAGCCCGTACTTTTCTGATAAGACAAACCATCCGAATCGTGGTATACCTAGTAGATAATAGTGGATAATGTTAACTAGCTATAAGAGAATACTTTTCACCCGCAAGATGTACACAGGAGAAGGGTAGTTGGTGGCCTTATATAATGGGATGGAGAAGATATCAGGGTGTCCGCCTACCGAAGGTAAGGAGATAATATACACTTACTTCCGTCCAGTTAAATGTCACCTTTACTACATGAATATCTCTTATTCCCGGAATATTTAATCTAAACCATTCCGACTTTTGCATAATTTATGTGCTACAGGTCTGATATCCTCGATCTAATGCAAAACAGTGCCAGTAAAACTCTCAAGACTGTAACCAAATGTTTATAAACAGAGTTTATACACGAAAGCTTCAAAATCATGCTCTATTTATGAATTAACCCAGAATTCTGGCTTGATTACAATATATACGCCTACAATCCTCGATGATATGTTATACTTCCGAAGGAAGTATCATATACCATACTATATTCATAAAACACAATAGGTTTTTTATAATATAAAAAAAAGTTTAGATGACACCACATGGAGTGATGCCACTATCACTCAGGCAATCAGCAAAACAAATATGTATCAACCAGCACATCAAAGCAATATGATGTTCCAATCGCGCCCCCCGGTGCTGCTTGACCGCACGGGAACGTACTGTCAAGTGAGTATGGCAAAGTTTCTTGAAATGAGCCGGTGGTGTCAGGTATTGTAACTGTGACAAGCCGTGGTTAATATAAGCCGAGTAACCCGAGATACACAGTAACTCGCCATTATTGTTTGCAACATCGTAATCCTTGCTGCAAGTTACAACACCATTATCGGTGAGTGTTGCCGACATGAAGACACCGGGAATGGTAGTAGCGCTGTATGCCTGAACGTGCAAGCATGCCTGGGCGAGACCTGAAACGGCCAAGGTGGTTAAGATAATCTGGAATTGCATTGGATGGGAGAATCGTTTTTTTTGCTGAGTACTCTGAGCAGATGAGGACAGTTTCATGGGAATTGAGCCACCTTATATACATTAATAAAATAGACCAGGATATAAAAAACGCCGTCCCAAAGCCAAAGAGGGGAACATTCTTGGTTAAGGATGTAGTTTACAAACTGCCATTTCTGGATTGCAAACTATTTTAGTACCCGTTAGACAGCTTTAATCCAAACGCTTTTAAATTACTGATGTCTCAATACAGAAGCTCAATAAATGCGGGGTAGGGCCGTGGTTGACGCGATCTCAAGTATGTGGAGCAAACTGGCTTTTGATTAACAAGAAAATATAATATAAATGGTTAAATTGGAAAGCACTTAATGATTATCGTACCACAAATTCCAATTTAATAAGATAACAGAAATCGGTGAAGCGTACCTGCTCTTAAGAGAGGTGGAAGTACGATCAAGCAAGACAGTTATGACTTAAACGTCCTTGAGGGAAGTGGTCATCTTTACTTGACTTCCCACTTATAAATTTAGGTGACATGGGCCATATCTGGTCCGAAAATGGACTACAGTGGAAAAAGCCCCTGCGGAATGTAGACAGTCCTATTTTAGAAGTCTATTTAATTGTTTATTCCCCTGGAAATGAATGATACTTACATTAGCAAGTATCGATATTTAATACTAATATGTGTTGTAAATGCTTTACCAGGGTGAATTTAGTGGGTTTTATTTTATTCTATATTGACAGAGTTTTGTGGTGTGTTTTATGTTACATAGATGTAGACCTTCACCTTTCCAAATTACGATGTTCAACTAGTTCTAAGCCGTTAGGTCTGGTACACAAACTTTAAAAGAGTACATGAGGAAATGTGTCACAGATTATACACTAAATATCTGCTGAGCCAGACGACGGGCTAACAGTATGTGTATGCATGCATTAAAACTCCAAACATTCCCTCGTACGGCAAAGCCAATATTCATGCAAAAGAAGGACCTTTTTCATTTCATTTGAAACATTTTTCTCCTATGTTACACATGATCCCCCTGTACCAACTAAATATACCTTTCCCAAATCTGTAGGACAAAACGACGTAGTCATCTGTTTCCTACCTTACACTCTCCAAGACCACCAGATCCGGATATCCTCAATGGCAAGGTGTTTTTTTGCTATAACCGGATAAGCCGTTTTCAAGCTTTCCAAACCAGACCATTCAATATTTACGCTTTTTTCTTTAGAGTGCTTTGCCTTTTAGGCTGACCATATGATGTACACGATTTGAAAGATTTTATATTGTAATATTTGAGTGACCACCAATACACGCCATACATCACATCTTGTAGAATCCAATATCGGTGTAACCATCAATGCACGTCCTAATGCGTCACACCCTGTAGAATCCAATATCTATGCGAAAAACGTCATATCACAGGGTGCATGAAAACTAAAAACTCAAACGATTCGGAAGTATCCTTCCGGGTACTCTGTTACAATTTATAACTGGCGAAAATTTACGGATAACATAGCCCCGATAGCCATTGCACTTAATACCTCTCACCACTTAAGCTTCTGATATTTATGCGAATAATTATGTGAAGGTTGAGGTTTAGCCGAGAAATGCAGCTTGGAACAGGAGCGGCAAAATGACCGAGCAAGAGTACTGTATGATTTTGATGAGTTTAAATGGGATACCGTGGATACTGTCGACAAAATCGAGAGACTGAAGATTATGGAAGCGCTACAACCTCTTGAAGGGTCAACAGAAAAGAAGCATCAGTCTTTTGGGCTATATGCCAATTTGAAATTTGGCCCCTCAATTTTGTGCTTTCTGGCAGACATATGACTCCATTATGTGGTCATTTTAAAGGTCCTTTGTAAATGAATAACAGGTGGTTTGGCCATGTTAATCACAGATGTGTTCGGTGAAATATAAACTTCGACTTTCATTGAAGATTAGTCCAGTGAGATATAAATCCATCTAATCATTGCTTTAAAGTTCCTTTCCTTTCATCCAAATACAATAACACTTGAACAAGCAACCATCACTATCTTGCTAGAAATGTCAGAAATGCTAACAAGTCCTGGTTCTCCTTAAAAGTTACAGTATATTGACTAATTATCCTGGTGCAACCTTCTTTGGCATGATTAAGTGCGGGCCCAAGTCTTTCGATAAACAAGTGAAATTGATCACTTGTGGGGAGTCTAAAAAATAATGGCTGTAGTAGATTCCGTCATTCATGTAATGTGTAGTGGTCACGTGTTAGAGATATACCAGAGATGGAAATGAACAATTGTCTTGCCCTATAGAGCTTTATGAAATTCAGTCCTGAGATTTCAAAATTATATGGAAGGGATGGCACAGGTGAAGCAAATTTGTAATATTCCAGATATGTAGTTAGAATTTTTTTGGTTTTATAAAATGGCCACCGTGCGAATATGTACGTTATAATTATTCAGTGAAATAAGACTAGTGCTATATTAGAATAGATTAAAAATTGTACAGTTTGTTATTTTATATTAGATACAGACTTGTTTAGTAGGGATAATTTTATAATAATAAGTTCACCAGCTTTATACACAAAAGGTAGCAACCAAAAAGTAAACCCCACCTTCAATCCTAACATACCATTAACAATCCTAAATTGCTATGCCTATGAAAATATCAAGATCCAATCTACTAGATGGTAAACTCCTCTTATTAATTCACAGCCGTACACTATTACACAGCATCTTTTTAAAGTCTTTTTGAGAACTAGGTCCTTTTCCCAGAGTACTACATAACCCAAAACCATGTTTAATGCCGCTCTATGATTACAGTGCTCATCGCAGTTAAAGCACACGTCGGCTCGAAAACAAACGGAATGCCGGCGCAGCCGCTATACTGCATGCTGCGTGGCACATTTTTCGCTGACAGTTGTCAGTGAAAAACGCGTCTGAGTTGATTTAAAGCTCTCTTTTTCACATTAAAAAACATCCAAAAACACCTGTTATGGCTCTCGCTGGTGAATAATCATGGCAGTTATAGAATATGTTCAGTGGTTATTATTTATCTGGTACATTGTGGTTACCCTCCTCGGGCTTGTCGGGTACTGCCAGATCATCCGCAAGTTTTTGTTCCGTGTCAACTATTTGAAGGGCACCTTGGTGCAAAAGCACTTGAAACAGTTCGTGGAGGATGAACCCAAAAACACTGATTTACCATATGTGTCGATTCTCCGTCCTATAAAGGGCCTAGACCCGGGCCTCGAGGCGTGTCTCGAGTCCTCCTTCCACCAGGTATACCCCGTCAAGAAGTACGAAATTATCTTTTGCGTGGCCAGCCGTTCTGATCCAGCCTTATTGCTAGCCAGGCAACTCATGGCCAAGTACCCGAACCACGACTGCCGCATCATGGTGGACGAAACTGAGAGTCGTTTTGGGTTGAACCCAAAAATCAACAACTTGATGAAGGGCTATATCAACGCGAAACACGATTTATTGTGGGTCTGGGACTCCAACGTCTGGGCCGGAAAGCTCACCATGTTGAAATCTGCCACCACCTTCAGCGGCAAGGGCTACGAGCGTGGCCGCAAGATCAAGGTGGTGCATCATGTCCCTTTAGCCGTGGCCACATCACCGGGTAGCCGCATTCTCGATTTAGGCAGCAAGCTCGACGAGATGTTCATGACCACGGCCCACGCAAAGTACTACATGGGGCTAAACACCGTCAACACTGCGCCATGTGTGAACGGTAAGTCAAATTTTTACCGCCGGTCCGAGTTGGACGAGTCAGTGCGCGCCCTCAAGCTAGAGGAGAAACTAAAGGGCGTCAAGAGTGGCAGCAACGCTTCTCCGTATGGCGAAGCATACACCGCCGCCTCCAGCTCTGTGGCAAACTCCGGCAACAGCTCGCCGTTGCGAGGAGCGTCTACAGCGACGTTGATCGAAGAGAGCTCCCCAAAGAGCAACCCCGTGTCCGCGAGAGACCATCCGGGGCTCGGGTACTTTGCTCAGTACATCGGCGAGGACAACATGATTGCGATAGCTTTGTGGAACTATCCGCGCTCCAAGCCCGGCTACTCAAAGCTTATCCACGAAGCTGTTTACCAGCCCGTTAATCACGCCAACTTTTACACCAGCCATGATACTGACACCTCAGGCTGGATGGAGAGCTTGAGCACCGTCAAGAACTATGTCAACCGCCGCACCCGGTGGTTGAGGGTCCGAAAGTACATGGTCTTGGCCGCCACACTCTTGGAGCCGTCCACGGAGTGCCTTCTAGCGGGTGCCATGGGCTCCTATGCCATCAGCCGGCTCTTCTACAACGCCCACAACCAGACAACTATCTTGGCTCTCCATGTGCTCACGTGGTTTTTGATTGACGTATCCCAGTGGCACACCCTCCGCAGGGCCTATAAGTTCTACTATGCCGATCAGCACGATCCAACCTTGCCGTCATTTTTGCCCGGGATGACCTCCACCGACAAATCGGTGTGGTTTAGCGCCAGCCGGTGGGTACTTGTGTGGGTCATCAGAGAGTGTCTTGCCCTTCCAATCTGGATCATCGCCATGGTGGGAGAAGACGTGAATTGGCGGGGCGAAGCCTTTGTCATTACCAAGGACGATGGCGCCAAGAGAACGCATTTGCAATAGCTGTATATAGAAGTTTATCTGCTTAACCAAAAATAGATCATAATAGCATAAAGGGTGTTTAGGAACAGGAGAATTTTGAAAATAAAACTGAGGAGTAAAAATGAAAGCTAATACTCAGGATTGAACTAAGGACCAACAGATTTGCAATCTGCTGCGCTACCACTGCGCCATATCAGCTTTCAATGGAAAATATAGTTATGTTGCACATTTCGAGGGCAATAACAAAGATATTTGTCTAAAACTTAAAATCCAATCATTCCTTTTATATTATGGTATCGCTCTCAGAATCATTTCCACTATAACCCTTTTTTTATTGTCAGCTGATTAATCCTGCACCTGTGATTGGATGCCGCACGAAAATGGTGGGGCGTAAGACATCATGCAAGGGTCAGCTGACACTGAGAAGCATTCTCGGAAGGTGCATATAAATAACCCACTGCTCGCATACCAAAGCAATAATAGCCTCTACTCAAACTACCAAATCATGCCTTGCTGTAAAACCGATCCCTCCTCTACCTGTTCCTGCGCCGCCCAGGCCACGTGCTCCTGCGGCAAGAAGGCCGCTCAACACTGTGATTGCGAGAGAGCCTCCACCGAAAACGTCAAACCCGCGGACAACGAGTCCTGCAACTGCGGCCAAAGAAAAAAGGGCGAGTGCACCTGTGGTGGCTCTGCCGAGTGCGAGCCGAGAGAAGGTGAAGTGTCCTTTAACTAGAAGAGCCCGATGTTATGAACCAGCGTTGTCACTGTATAACGTGTATACTAATTTATATTTGCACCCGAGAGCCGGTAGGTGCGGTGGAGATACGTTTGGGCATGAGATGATTTCAGTGTCCCCACGTGACTCGCTCATCATACCTGCCCGCCTCTACAAACCATGTTTAGCATGTTTCTAAACTTTGAAACATCTAGTATATGGGATAACCATTGATTATAGTTAATTGACGTTGTTTATATCGTCCAAACCTTATAATGTAGCCAAATTTTTTTTATTAAACTTCCCGGAATATTATCAACGTTTCAGATCTGATAACTTCACCTTCTCTAACTTGGCCGAGAGCAGCTCGCTGGTGGGCGGAGTCGAGGCTTTCTGACTCCTCCGCAAGGTGTTCTCACGCGACTCTATATATTCCTCAGGGCGACGGACACTTGTCGAGGCGTTCTCGTCGTTCAAGTAAACCGCCAAGCGTTCGTCATTAACCTCCAACAACGATACCTGATCGTTAGCCTGGAGTGCACAGAGCCGGACAATGTACTCAAAGAGTGATAGAGACGCGGCGCGGATCTTGTCTTTGAATTCGGTATCCTGTGTCTCCTGGGGCTTGGCCTCTTCGTCATCATCATCACCGTACGCGATATCCACCTCCCCGAAGGCAACCCACTCGAAAGAACTGGTCTCAGTCGCTTCCAAGTCGCGGTTGATCTTCAATACCAACACGGGGGTGTCCCTATCGCCAAGCTTTAACAATTGGCCCGAGGCAGAAAAAAAGAGACGGGTGATGCAGGAGAGATCCAAACGGATGGTTTTAGGCGTCTCTTCTTCGTCATGGTACCTCCCGTCGTCAAAGTCTTCCGTCAACTCCAAAGTGTAGGCGTATTCCTTGTTCTTGGCAACATTTCTTGTAACTTGTACCTGGCACTTGGTGATATCCTCCTTCCACGACACCTCAGACGACCCGTAGGCTGCACGACCGGGGTTGTAGAATACGGAAAAGTAGGTGAACTCGAAGGTGGGGCCCACCGGCACGGAGGCAAGGCTTGCCTCGAACTGGTCGTTGGACTTGGTAACAACAGTCGAAGCTTGGAGTAAGCGCCCTGGCGAGACCTGGGCCGGTAAAGTCGCGGACAAGTTGGCCCCGGACGTGGTCAAGGCTAGCGAGATCAACGGAATGGCCTCTTCGATACGCTCAAGAAGGTCCTTCATATAGAGCTCAACTTCACGTACCGCGGTTTTGCGGCCGCTCAGAGATGACTTTCCGTCAATGTCGCCACTGATCCGTGTGACCGTTTCGTCAAATGTGTCGATTTCCTCCTTGAGGTCCTTAGTCAACCTCAAGGTGCTCTCGAGACTAGTATTACCCCTGGCAGCTCTATAGACGGTTAGTAGTGTATCTGGGGGCAAAATAGGCCTATACATACACTAGTTTGATCAAGTCAATCGCGGTCGAGACGATCTCAATTCGCGTTTGCAACCTCTTTTTGGTTCGTTCGATATGGGATTTCTCCTCCTCAGGGATCTTTTCGAGGAACTTCAGCACCGTTTTGATGGCATAGCCCGACGCAATAGATATTCCCGATTTAATCGCAAAGCTTACCGCTTGGCTTCCAGCCTGTGGAGTTAGTGATCGGAAACATTATTCAGGTCTTTACCATGAAGTTGGAGATCTTAATTGACCCTAAATCTATGGATAGATCCCAAACCACGGATCTGCTTATAGATCCCAAGCTATAATCGGCTATCGTTTCATACCTTTGCTAGAATCTCGTCCATTTTGCTTATCTTACTGCAACCCTTACATGCGACAATTTGCCGCCCACTTTTATCCGTCCTGCACCTGGAAAAGACTTCCGTAGATCAGGAAAGTTTTGACAGCCGCATGGAAAAATCAGCTTGATAAGCTTCCAAGTTCTTTCAATCTCTACACTATTTTGTATTCAATCAAGTCTCACTTAGGCTTCAACCATTAGAGCGATGACCCTTTCGTTAGGGACAGTTATCTACACGGCGGTGAAACCTATTGTCAAAATTTACTTCATTATCGCCATCGGATACTGGCTCGCCAAACGCAACGTGCTTTCGGTGCTGACCTCACGCGATCTCTCAGACATGATTCTTTCCGTCACCACGCCGTGTCTTATTTTTAACAAAATCGTGGGAAATATCCAGAACTCCGATATCAAGATCATCGGGATTCTTGTCTTGACATCGGTGATGATCTATTTTCTGGGCGCCGGCTGCGCGTACCTCACGCGGTGGCTTACGCCCGTGCCGCTCCGCTGGGCGCACGGGATCGTGTTTGCCGGTGTGTTGCCAAACATTTCCGACTTGCCCATTGCATACATGCAATCCATGGGCACTGGTTCTGTCTTCACCGAGGCCGAGGCCAACCGTGGCGTCTCGTTTGTAATCATCTTTCTCGCGACGTACATTTTCTTGATGTTTAATTTGGGCTTGTATAAGCTTGTGCAGATGGATTTCCGTGAGCCATCACAGGATGCGGAGAGTGCGAGGTGCGCGTCACCGCTGCCGCCGGTAGATGCAGTGTCCCTCACTTCTTTATCTTCAGAGGAAGACAAAACCTATCATCCACAGTCCTTCAGCGAGGCACCTCAAACAGCGTACCGCCGGGCCAGTATCTCACAGTCTCGTAGAGTATCCGCTAGCAGAGCCCGCAGACCGTCGATGGTCTCCATAGACAGCCAGCACAGCAACTTGCGCCGAATGCCCTCCGAAACGATACACGACGTGATTCGTGAATACTCCCGCATGGATTCTCAGGAAGAGCTCTCGGTGTTTATGGATATCCCTGCTAAAGCCCTCCGCCAACGATTATCCGAGCAGCCGTGGGTGAGGAAGTATCACTTGGGGTTTCTTGTCGCGTTTGTACAGAACTTTTTTCTTCCGAGTTCTCTCGCGTTGGTGGTCTCGATCACTATTGCGATGATTCCCTGGGCCAAGGCACTCTTTGTCACCACCAACATTTCTCTTCCGAATGCCCCCGATGCGATGCCAGCTCTTTCCTTCTTCATGGACTTTACGTCTTATGTGGGGGCCGCAGCCGTGCCTTTAGGCTTGATTATGCTTGGCGGGACTATCGCCCGTCTTTCCTTGGACAAGAAACCCCCGGGGTTTTGGAAATCCGCGTTGTTGTTGACTATTTTGAAGCTCGCTGTTATGCCGATCTTTGGCGTGCTCTGGGCAAACCGGCTCCAGAAGTTGGGCTGGCTCGAGGGCGAAAAGGTGGCGCTTTTTATTATCGTGATTAACTGGGCCCTTCCGTCCGCCACGGGCCAGGTCTATCTCACAGCAACCTACACCCTGCCTGACAGCCCTGACCATGTTCAAATGGACTGTCTCGCAATCTACTTATTGATGCAGTACCCAATTTTGACCGTGAGTTTGCCGCTTGTCGTCACCTATGGTATCAAAAATGTGTTACACTACTAGAGCATACTGTGAAGATCAAAAGTGGTTTATCTCTGACTTCATCATGTAATTTTCCTTTTCGCTTATGTTGAATCCTATTATGTCTAGGTTTTTCAATCTCTGCCCGAAACCTTTTCTGAAAGCTCTCCGCGACATGATCCTTTCGGTTTTTATCCAAAACTGAATAATGTAGTTTTGAACACAGGGTTACTGGCATCCGTACTGCACCCCGTGTTTTGCAGTTCATGATCTGTTTTGATGGGCTTTCCAACTTGCGCGATGGTTAAGGTTGGATTTTATGACAATAATTCGTACATAGAGAATATTTTCCTATTTCATGACCAGCATGACAAGATATCCAATATACTGGCAAGATCAACTTGGAAATATGAGTCAGACTAAGGGAATAAAACCATTTATGGGGTGAGATTTAAACCTATTGAGGGGGATACGGCACCACGCCTTGAACTAGGATAACATACATTTCGTCCACAAATGAAATATGCCTTGAAAGACAACAGTAAACGGTTGCTTTTATATCCTTTATACCCTTTTATAGGCCTAATACCGATCAAACCCGAGGCCTTTCTCTTAATTTCCAACGGCGTGTATGTCTTGCTTCCACTCCTGAGTCAATTATTGCACAGGAACTATAAATATCGCTTGATTTTATAGTTTAACTTTGAGAGAAATTCAACTTACGACGAAAATGCCGCTGATAAAGTCTACCGGAATGGGTGGCCATAAGCTTACCATCGTTGTACGCGGCGGTTTACTACAGGAACTCGTATTTACCCTTTTCTGTCACATAAGACTTACCACTTTGTCAGCATCTGTACTGCGTTACATACCTGCCCCCTCTTCGCTTGGCGGAGGGGGATTCTATAATAAATACTCGTCGCACCTCACTGCGTGGATTTAATTTAGTTCAGTGTCAACTTTCCATGCCTTTGCTAAACAAACACATCCGTGCTAGTTGACATACTGAGCATAATTCTCCAATTCTTCACAGATTTACACTTACGTCGTTTCCTTTTCTTCAACTCGACCCGCTCTCCGCTTTCCCATTAATTCAGCATATCCACTTCACCACAACTAGTTTTACCTCAATTTACTATATTCACCAACTAGCATTGCTCCCTGGTTTCGTCCGTTTTTGATTTTCATCAATTTAATATACATTTACATACGCTGTACCGGCTCGCTGCACTGGTTGATTAACCCCCCTGGGAGTTCACCGCCAATTCCATGATCAACCGCGTGGCCATGTGCAAGAACGGATACGCGGAAAACGAGCTCATCTCGTCGTCTTCACCCTCCACCCCCGCTTTGTTTTCCTCTGGGTTCGAAAACTCCCAGCCGCCAAACTTAAAGTCCACAAGGTAATTGTTTGGCTCTAACTGAAAGAGCTGGATCTGCATCTTCATCATGTCCGGAGTGTTGCTCACCGGCTCCTCCTCCTCCTCCTCAGGTTTGTGGAAATCGTCCAAGTCTGCGTCAACTGTGGGCTTTGCCGGCGAGTACTTCCACCGCACACGAATAGTCCACAACTCCTCCTCCGACGGCTTGGACCACTCGGCGCCCAAGTTCTGCAACGCGCGGTAAATCTCGCCCATCACGTCAAGCGGATACGAGCGCGAGCGAATCCCGAAGTGCCACCTGGTTTTCGACTTTTTAGTCGACAATGGGGTCAAGTTCTTTGACTGGATCACCTGCTGTTGCTCTGGCGTCAAGTGTTCCATGATGTACGCGCGGTGAAGCTGTGGCAAAGACGACGGCAAAATCGCAATCGTGGAGTTAGCCACATTGGAAACCGGTTGTGGCGCTTCGATCGAGACTGACTGGTGGTTCGATACTGGTGGCGACTGCATCAAGAACGAGTCCATGTTCAGCTGCTTGGTCTTTTTAAGGTCTGCCACCAACCGTGTGTTGTCTCTGATCAACTTGTAAGCATCCAAAATCTCCCCGTTCGGGTTGTGCTTGCCCCTGTTGGCGAGGGCGATCGCCTGGAGAATGTCATCACGGGCGTAGCCCATGGTGACGCTCAAGGCGTGGATGACGTCGTCATCCGCAGTGATTTGTTCTTCGTTCTTTGACAAATCTGGTGGCAAGAGGTACTCTGCGATGTTGACCTTAAACCACTCGTCCTCCATGATCTCATGGACGGTGATACGGTTCAACGGGTTCACCACAAGCATCTTCTGGAGGATGGCTTTGGCGCCGGGGCTCAAGAAACTCGGCAACGTGTACTTCCCGCTGCTGATCTTCTTAAATAACTCAGGGATAAACTCATCATCAAACGGCAATCTCCCGCACAACATCACGTAGAGAATGACCCCGCACGACCAAACGTCCACTTCTGGCCCCGCGTAGAGCTTTCCGGAAATGACCTCGGGCGCGGCGTAGTTTGGCGACCCGCAGCTCGTCTTGAGGAAGTCCCCGTCCGTCATGATATTACTCAACCCGAAATCCGCAATTTTCACATTCAAGTTCTCGTCTAAAAGCAAATTCTCCGGTTTCAAATCGCGGTGCACGATCTTGTGTCTATGGCAGTATTCTACTGCCGCAATAATCTGCTGGAAGAAGCGTCTCGCCTCGTTTTCCTCCATCTTTCCCGTCTGCACGATGTAGTCAAATAATTCCTTACCGGCGTACTCAATCACCATGATGATCTCGTCGTTCGACTTGATCACATCGTAGAGTTTGATGATGTGCGGGTGGCGTAACAAGCGGAGGTAACTGATCTCACGCTCCACACGGCCCTGCATGTCCGACTTAGCAAGTGTCTTGCGGTTGATGATTTTCAACGCCACACGTTGGCCCGTTGTGAGGTGGTATGCGAGTTTTACCTTCCCGAAGGAGCCCTCGCCGAGCGTCTTGATAATCTGGTATTTCCCCACACGGTTCGCAGGGTTTGCGTCTGCTGGCACCCCTGGGTGCGGAATCTGGTTGTCCATTTTGTGTCGGGATGGGAGGTTGGCAGAGAGGTAGATGGCATGACGCTTTTGTTGGCCTTAAGTGTAAGCACATGACGACGTGTCGCTTTCCGTATGAGGCATTTCCGGTTTTGGTCGTGGCATGCACGCTCGTCACTGAGCAGAACGAGTAAGAGCGGGGCATTTCTCGACCACGCAGGAGAGGCGAGTTTGAAAGAGAGGTCCGTGTGGAGTGCCTACTTTTACGATTCCGTCAATATAATCTTTGACCAGTGCAAACAAGTTACCGATCGAAGGTTAAGGGGAAACACTATATGGGTCCCACGGCCTATATTATATATCACGTGACGTGACACCTACAGGGAGTGTCACTGGTTCTCATTCTGAAGGCTTCTTTGCTTCATTATATAACTAACATCTAGTTTAATATATACCCTCTTTGAGGATTACTATTCCGTATTATTGATAAGTTTGACATACGTGACGACTGGAAATGCCGTTTCTCAGCGGGTGGAAAAGGATACGACAGGAGGTATACTCAACTTATGTTTATAGCCACTACGGAAACTCCGAAAAAGGTGGACCTAGATGCTACGGATAGTTGAGTCTTACATCGCTGTGTTAAGAAAGAGTACGATCCGAACAAGAATGCAGAGGGCTATTTTGACCAATGTGGTCCAATGTACTATTTGTCGCCAGGGGATACACAGATGTAGCTGGGCTACAAGCACGGTATGCCAGGGGTATTACAGAAAACGGGTTTGCATAAACTATGGACCCCTAAACCGACGGAGAAGTTACTACGACATAGGTACCAGCTATGTAGTTAAAAAAATTGAGACAGATGATTTCGCCCAGGATCGAACTGGGGACGTACTGCGTGTTAAGCAGGTGCCATAACCAACTAGACCACGAAACCATTTGTAGATGTTCAAGTTATTTATATGATTAGAATAGCGTGTGGTTACCAGGAGCGTATAATTATGGCCCAGGGGATTGAACTACAAGTGGCGATTCAAGTGAGAAATACCATAGTACTGCAAACTCAGAGAGCTATATAAGGAAGTGGTGAGCTGAAGCATCCTCTAGGGGAAGATTGTGATTGAATCTGAGGGATTATTCTGATGTATTGTGAATTGATGACAGACTGAATCCTCCTGGCTGGAATCCCCACAGGTGCTTGAACCCTGACAAGTGAAATAGATATGGGTATTTAGGTTGTAACGTCTATAAAGAGGTCAGCGACTAGATTGATTTGCATGTACTGGAGTTCGAAATTTAGCTACGTTATAGCAGCTTATCACGTATATCTCAGTAAAACTCTGACTCTTTGAAATGCCACGACGCCAATTTAAATGACTCGGGAAGCAATCACGAGCTATCAATTGGGTTAAGTATAATTGCATATGCATGGGTTCCACCAGCTACCATGTAATCCTGGTGACACCTTTGACGATTTAGGATATCATTTACTCATCTAATGAAAAGTATAGAAACTAGCACCCTCCACTTCTTGAGCAACATATAGAGGCCATAACTACTCAGGCGAAACTGGAAGGAATTCCTACGAGAGATTCAACTAATAATCTAACCATACCTGTATTTTATCGGACTATTTTATATTAGTTTCGAGCAGATTACTAAAGACTACTTTGGGTCTTGGCGAAGATTGTGGATGCGGTGTAAACCAGGCTTCGGGCCAATATACGGGACTTTTGTATGCACTAACCTCAACTCAATCTCTAGATCTGGTCACAAATTAATTGCCAAGTGATTACTCAAGAGCTTCCGTACAATAATATGTGCATTTTCTCAAACGGCAAGTCAGTTTTCAACAAATATCCGACACTGCAGACAATAATATTATAATAGAAGAAGGAATATTCTCACTCTAACCAAGAAATCACTCTCAACAGGGGTTTGGGCTACAGCGTTAGAAAAATTGGCCAGTTGGAATTCTTGGCATTGGAGGTGAGATTATTCCCCGCAGGAATCTACCACCAAGGTGCGATAAAACCATGCATGAAACCCCAGGAACCGCCTTGGTCCTCTAAATGAGAAGTGTGATATTGAAAGCCCTCAAAAGTCTCACCTTTGTATATGTGAGATAATCCATGAGCGAGATATCTAGAAAACTATAAATTGAGCTAGTTTTCGCTTTGAAAATTATTTCATAACTAATCTACAAACTCATAACCGTACCATGGTATCTTCAAAGTTCTTTACTATCTGTGGCTTGGCCGCCGTTGTCTTAACTGTCAACGCCCACGAAGGCCACGATCATGACCACGACCACGATCATGTTGTTGAAACTGCTCAACAAGAACAGGTTTCCCCGACAGGCTCCCTGGCTACTTCTACTCAAACTTCCTCGTCTCCGGCCTCTTCGGCTTCAGCAGGAGCCGCCAGCAATATGAATAGTGGTTTTGTTGCCGCTGCCTGTATTGCCGCTGCCCTCTTGGGTTAAACAAGCTATGAGTGAGTTATTGACTAGTTCCCGAAAATCATGTTTCACATCCTTGACAGTGATATTTCTGAAGTTTTATTTTGTCCCTTTTCCAAGGCCCGATGTATATAGATCCCGCATGGGATATTCTGTATCTGAATTTGAAATCTTAGGCATAACTCACGCCGAATCCATGAATTAAACACCATAATGGGGTAAATTTGGTGTACACTTTCTTGTCAAGCAAGCACGTAAGATACGATTACAAATAGCACATCACTCTAGGACAGGAATTTCACTGATATAACACTGACCTACTTTCTGTGCTGCAGTCATACTCTTGTTTGAACTTTTATATATGGCTTGTGCGTTATTCTCAGTACTCTGTCTAAGTAAAGGATCGTCACTATAAATCTGCTTGAATTGGGTATAGTAAATGAGGCTACATGTGCTTCATCCTACGTGAGACTACAGGTGTCTTATCTTAAGTGAGAAATAGCTTCATCAGCCGGCCTATATAAAGACCAATTGACCGCCTCTTGTATATCTAGTTTAGATATAGTGATCAACCAATTATACCCGGTTATATAATTGCCTACGTAGATATATTACACTGAGCCTCACACCCCATACACATCAGTCTCTTCTACTAGGAGGTCTGAGTGCAAATTTCTAGCAACGGTGGGTAGATCAATCTCAGGGTAGATATAGTAGATCTTAAATTCATCTTGTGTCTTTAAAGGACTCATATAAGTTCCCGGGGACTTTGGTGAAGATCTCCTCGGCTAATCCCTTTAGCAAGGAGAGATTATTTCTAGCTTGTCACGAATTCTGATCTTAAGTCCGTTCGCGCGATAGCAATATCCACCACCAAATGGTTTAATACCCACTGGAAGTACTGGAGTCATCTTACGGAGCCCATGCTTTCCATACAGTATCCTCTCACCTGTTTAGTACATTAAATGTATTATATTTGTCTTGAGGAATTTCCTGGGGATTTTTTCTTGAATTAACTTGAAAAGACACCTTCCAAGCTTGAAGGAAAGTAAGAGGGCCCATTGCAATGCAAGAATTATAGATCATGGACCAGAGATGTTGTATAACCTATAAATTCGTGATTAAGTTTCATCAACAAGTACTGACCCCAATACTGTACATTATAAATAGACTCACAGGGCCCTATCTTCCGATAGACTATGATTTTGTTTGATACTTTATGGTCAGGGGTTCTATCTTCGTAAAGGTATATGCTCTCATAACTCAACTGGTTTGTTTTGCTGATAAGGCACCGCACTAACAAAGAGAAGATTGTGAGTCCGAATTCGGTGGAAGATTCCCATACGCCTTGGATTTTATATAAAGATATCACCTCGTTTAGGGCTGTGCTACCATTTATATTTAGCCGGTGGCGTATGTGACACGCACAACTTGGTGAATTCGGCAGATGAGATACAAGTGGGATGTTTTCTCGACCTTGGCAAGGATACAACACCTGATGTATAGAAGAATAAATCAGCAAATACAACTGAGTAGTACTAAGAGCCGGTGGCGCCACCAGTTTATCCAGGGGATAAAGTATCGCCTTTGACAGAGTGAACCCAGATAAAGATGTGATTGGTATCTCGCCAGTAAATGTAACTAGATGAGAGTCATTATAGAAGTGAATACATGGGAAGGAGAATAGTAGGTATGGATACAGCAAGGACCAAACGGGCGATCATCCCTTACGTGACAGTAAAAAGGGCTTATCAGGAAGAACTTCTGAGCATGTGACCTCACCTGAACCTGACCCAGTACAGTTTTGAGCCAGATGATCCCCGATTTGTTTCCCTGAAAACGCTATAAATTCTTTGTTCCTTATGGAATTTGGTCGCATCGCCGTATCTAAATATTGTACAGCAGACCACCTGACGCACCATCCTGTCCCAACGTGTATAACTGATAAATTTGCATGCATAGAGATTTAAAGACAAAGCCACATACACTTGTTCAGATCGAGCTATCCAACCACGACTAAGTTCCCTTTCCATCTCGATAACTGCGGCAGTGGCACTAGGATAACTCAGAATTCTAACCCGAGCTTAATTCTAACAAAGGACGCATGTAGATAAAAGTTCAATCAGAGTTCCCAATAAACGACCCGTGTGGGAGTACCAGTGTGTGTTTAGACTTGGTATAACTTCTAATAGCGAAAGCCGCGGACTTTAGAATTACCCACAGATTTTATGAGCTTCCCCGGGCCATAGTGTATAAAGTTGGAAAGACTACTGCTTGAAGGTGATAATAGTATGCTTTTTCTACAAATACGATTCCCTAAGTAACCAAGCCGCATTAATGACCAGGCACTCCCAGGATCAGTATCCCGGCAACAGGGGCTGGCCGGCGTAAACTGATGTCACGTAACCATGTTCATTAAGTCACACCCCACTCTATTTATTTGACGCGTAATGGAGAGTCGTTATAAATTTGACACGCAATAAAGTCAAAAAAAAACAGACACGTGCTTGTGTGCATATGCAGGCGCATATGCACCCACATTTGCGCATGATTATATGCGTGCATCTGCCTAGTGATTAATACCACGTTCACATAGGTTGATATAAGGCTATATAGAGACCAACCTATGCTTTCAGTCCTGAAATTGTATGAACAAAGGTTGATACAAACTGCATGTATTTATATGTTTCCATTATATATAGAATAAAGTTACATTTCGCACATCCCAAGCTTGCGGTAAAGAAGCGAACAAGAACGGTGAGCAAGCTCAAAGGACTGGTGTAATAGAATATGCACCGAAAAAGGCAAGCGAGGTTATTTAGATTCATACTTTCTGCTAGTGCTGTCATGGAACGAAATTCTGCCGAGCCCTAAGAAAAAGAACGCATCAAATCATGCATATAAGAACTTGAGCAGGGATTAATGCGAGGAACAGGGTTTAAAAGCGTATTAAAACGGCTAGTTGGGTCTACATGATAGATGCGCACGCCTTATATGGCGTAATTTACCGGTCGCTTAAGGATCATAACGTGATCGTAAGAAGAGCTGAATACAGAAAAAGCGATACAGTGGTTCTTTCAAAACACGACTCCTCAGCGTATTCAAATAGCCGAGACTAGCTTTGATGCTTTTCCTACAAAGAGTTATAAACCAATAAGAGGCTAAAAACGAGAACTCGGACTACCAATCAGTGTCGCATCAAATTCCGATGCAGGTAGAATCATTTAAGGCGTAACATATCCCAGTACAGTCTGTATAAGTGCCGAGGTAGATATGCAGACATCGTTTCCTTGGCGTACAGGTGCCGTAGGTGCGCAGACAAGCTCCCTTTCTTGGCGTACAGGATCTCTGGCATTGAGAAGAATCAAACTTTATACAATGCTGAGCTGTTATTCAGTGGGTACATGTGCACGCGGAGGTGACAATTTCAGGCGGAAACCCATCAGAGAATATTGCCTAGAGTTATTGTTTCAAACTCGCCAGGTTAGACCTCAGTCGTGTTGGATCAGGTAGTCAAAGTGCCAGGAATCGATTAGCTAACCTGCGTATAGCAATTTGGTGAGGGGTTCATCCACTTTTCCAACTTATTCCCCGTGCAGGTGCTTGCTCTCTATGACCCTGGCGGAGGCGAGATGTTGGGTAAGTTCCACCCATTCAGTAGAAAGCACATGCTGCAGGCCCGTTAGCTTACACTAAGCTGCATCCCTTGTGTCAAACAATCCTATCACCCTCACAGAACAACAGTTACTGATTGGGAATTTTATTCTAACATTCCTGATATAAAAGTTTGATTCGCAAGGTACCCATCTAAGTAGCAATTTAAAACTGCCTAAAACCGTATCTAGGAGTATCATTCAGTAGAAGGACCGCTTATTCATCTCGCCTAATATAGACATGTACTAAAACATGCGGCGTCGCTGCATCTGCACAGAACTCACAGCTACATTTTCTATGCATCTCTACCTCGCCAGTTATTCCTGTCGAGGCTATACCATGACAAGTGTTACGGATCTTGGCAAATATTGTTACCCTATGAAGTATAAAGAAGGATAAGATCTATTTAGAGTCCCCATTATTATTGGAAACTGGAACTGTTGACACCTAAACCAGCACCATTGACATTTAAGCTGGAAATGTATCATGTGAAATCGACAAAATTCAAAGCCCAGTCCCTTACTTCCAGACCTCTCACAAGACACATCCTGTCTGCTTAACAGGGATTAGCCGGTATATCGTATTACGACCATTTTCGTGAACCCTGTTGCTTAAGACCCCTACCTTTTGATATTATCACTGTCTGGCGTTAGACTGCATTTCCACTGGTTCAATCTGGAATTAGAATAATTAGTGACCTTAAATTCCCCTCTCGAGATTTAAATCAGACGCTATATAAGGCAAGCGGTGGCCCATGCCAGTTTTGACGCTCATTTCAAATATCACTAATACCATCATGAGACTCTCTCCGTTGCTTTTGGTTCCCTTCTTGTTCCAGGTGGCCACAGCCGTCATTAACATTACTACTGTTAGTACCTCTATCACCAATACAACCCCATCCAACCTCTGTAATTCCTATGTTACCTCCGGTGGTCTGGGTCTGCTTGCTTGGCTGGCTACCGCCGATTTCTATGCCCAATCGACCACCGACATTGCCATCTTAGGAACCGGAGTGAGAACATACACGTACATTGTGCAATGGTTCTTCAGCTTCGACGATCCATTGGGGGCCACTGGGTTCAATGTCAATACGTTGACCGCTGCTGTATCTGCGCTCACCACGGTTAATGTGGTTGTTAACCCTACCCAGGGTGGCTTTATCCTTTCTTACAATGACACTGTCACCTATCCAATTTTGCTCGGCGTGGATCTTACAAATGGGCTTAACTGTTTCGATTCCATTATTGGTTATACCACGGGCTTTACGGGTGGTTCAAATCCTACCACCATTATTTTGGGTTCCTCCGATTTCTGGCTCAACCCGGCTAACGACGTGACTTGTGTTATCGGTTCCATTACCTCGGGCTGCATCGCCTTGAGTTACCCGCTGCTTAGTACCTGTATGACTTGGTCCCTGTGTACTGGTGCCACACCTCCTCCTAGCGTCGTAACAGCCACTCTTACTTCCATTGAGTCCAATGGGTGTACGGTAGTTGATAAGGTTCTTAATTCTGCTTACACTTATACCACCACGATTTTCCTGACGAGTACCTACCCTGTCACTCTGACCAGCACGTGGACATCGGCAACGACTACCATCTTTTTCATTCCATTTTATGGTACCTTCTACTCTACGCATACTAGTACCACAACCCAAACATACACTCAGTCTGCGTTAGTCCCTACTGTTTCTACCTCGTTGATTTCCGCTGTTACTCTGTGTCCAACTTCTTCCTCGAGTTCTTCCTCAAGCTCCTCCTCGAGCTCTTCCTCGAGTTCTTCCTCGAGTTCTTCCTCCTCCATTGTTTCTAGCTCTTCTGTTGTTTCAAGCTCTTCGAGCTCTTCTGTAGCTTCAAGTTCTTCCGTTACCTCAAGCTCTTCCGTTGCCTCAAGCTCTTCCGTTGCCTCAAGCTCTTCTGTTGCCTCAAGTTCTTCTGTTGCCTCAAGTTCTTCCGTTACCTCAAGCTCTTCCGTTGCCTCAAGCTCTTCCGTTGCCTCAAGTTCTTCTGTTGCTCCAAGCTCTTCTACCCCAAGCTCCTCTGCTTCAAGTTCTTCCGCTTCGGTGTCCGCTGCTTCAAACACCCCGTCTGAAGTTTCAAGCTATTCCTTATCTACAGAGTACGTCACACTTACTACTTGGGTGAATGTGTGCTAAGAGCACCAGCATGCTTCTCCTATCTATGCTTATGGAACTACCTTCTATATTATTGTAAAATACTAGACTTTTGATTATTGAAATATGCAAGGGCTGTATTCCCAAGACGCGTTGCCCTGTCTTAGTGTAAGCACCTGTAACAGTGCATTCTCAAAGCCTGCATCCCCAGACTCTCTATTACACTTTTCAGCTATCGTGTCATAACTGATACAAAATAAAACCTAAGAAAACTTTTTGACCAAAAAAAATCCTTTGCTCCAGGTTAGATAATTATGAGGATGTGGAGAGGCTGATTTGGCAGTTTCATATATGAGTTCCAGACCATTGAGCATATGTAGGTTTCACAGGATAGAGCGATGATTACACCAGATCACAAACACCGGAATATTAAGCTAATATCTCGATAGGGGATAAAAATGACTGATAGTGTTGCTAAACATGGGAGGCCAAAGGTGCCAAGCGCAGAGTGTCATCGCTTTATGGCTCAGAGATGGTTGAGTGCAGGGCTATAGAAATACTAGACAAATATTTCTGCTAACCAGGATGCAAAATCAAGCTTGTAATGTGCATGTTATGGCCTCTTGCACACGGCTTTCAAAGAGCTATCAATCTCTCTGCCAATCTAATTCTATTTGGAAGCATAAGTAAGGAGGAAACAGACGAGGATGGGAGTGGAGCACAAAACGGGAACACTTGCTTAGAAGCGAAGGATTTCAATAAAAATACATTGAATTTCATGGATGGCTTATTATCAAGCGTCCCATACTCAAATTACTCCCCCCTACACCAACTTCTCATTATCGCTATACACGACACCATCGTCAATGCTCGTAGGAAAGGATTTGACCCAAGAGGATTCCAATTCACCAGTTAAATCGTAGCTCCGGGTGTGTTAGCTTGATTTCTCTTTCCCATTGATAATAATCGTCGAATGCGTTATCACCGATGAATAGTCTCATAAAACTGACTGGGAGCTCCAAGTGTCGGATGGCCTGCTCGGACAAGCTGTTGTTCGCTAGGTCTAAATGCTCCAACTTTGGCGGAAGTTTGGTTAGCCCAGAGAGGTTCGATAAGCCCTTTTTCCCAGATACACTGGAACTCTCAGACGAGTTTCCACAAGTGGAAACACGGTTATGCAGAGTATCACACTCTTGGTCCGCCAAGTTTAACATTTCAAGAGATTCGGGCAACTGCAACTCGTTAATGGTGCTAATTGCGTTTCTTGAAAAGTCCAATATCTTCAATTTTGGAGGGATCTGTACAGCATCGATTGAGGCAATCTTGTTATCATCAAGTATCAAAACAAGTAAACTTTCTGGAAAATGGATATTAGCTATACTGGATATTTGACTAGACAGGACAGTTAAATTTTCCAAGTGCGGTGGGAACTCAACATCTTCTAATGAAGTTATCTTGGTATAATATGCTCTCAAGCTGATTAGCCCCTCAGGAAGCAGAATGTCAGACAAGGAGTTTATTTTTGAATTGGAAATATCCAAGGAAGTGAGACACTGTGGGAGGGGGGAGATGTCGCAAAGCGTGATAATGTCGGTTCCACTTAAACATAAATCTCGGAGTTTCAAATTTGGATCACATGCATTGGATATTTGGAGCTTTTGAAGAGGATTTATAGAGAACTCGAACTCAGTACAATTCACCGGAAGGTGGAAGTTCACCAATTCTTTCAATTGGTTGTACCCAAAATCCAAGAATTGGATGCTTTCGGGTAGCGTCTTTGAAAACCGTTGAAGTCTATTGTATCTCAAGTATAGATGGGTTAAAGCCAGTGGAATATTGAGTTCCTCAACTGAAACCAAATGATTAGAGCTCAAGTCTAAGGAGGTTAATCCTGGTGGAAGATTAAGCCTTTTAACAGAGGTCAAAAGGTTTCCGCTCAAGCTTAAGGAGTTCAATCCTGGCGGAAGATCAAGTCTGTCTACTTGACTCAGATAAACTTCCGAGAGGTCTAAATCCTTCAAGCTTGGAGGGAAGATAAGGTTTCTAGGCGAGTAATGAGTAAATAGATGCTTGTTATAACTGAGTTCGAGCTTCTGGAGGCTCTCCGGGAACTTGATCTGTAGTGATCTGGCGGTGGCTGCATCTTCATCTGTTTTATTTAAACGATCAAGGGAATTACCACGAAGGTTGAGGATTTCTAAAGACCCCGGTAATGAGTTGACAAAATCTAGTGATGTTAACTGGGAAGTCGTAACCAGTAAGGAAACTAAACCCGGAGGAAACTTGAGCATGCGGATCTGGGATGATGGAAGACCTGTCTTGTCTAAGCTCAATTCTTTGAGGGAATCCGGAAATGTATCCACACAAAACTTTGTTAAAGGACACTTGGTGATGAATAACTTCTTTAACCTCAGAGGTAATTTCTGTCGTTCGAAATTAGTAATGTTTAAACTCTCAAGTTTCAAACTCTCTAACAGCAAGGGTAACTCAAATAGCTCGTTGATCTCCGTTACTCCAGGGATGTTTTGCAATACCAAATCTTTCAAATTGGGCAAGTTTAACGCGTTGAAGGTCTCGACAGAAAATTCCAAGACGCTATCTAGATCTAATTTCTGTAAGTTCGAAGGGAGGTTGGCATATGCTGTCATCGATCCCCAGGGAATATTTGAAACGAATTCTTGGAGATTCGGCGGAAAAACGACGCTTGAAGCAGTTTCTTCATCTATCTCCCTATATTGAGAGTCATATCCAAATGTAAGCTTGCGCAAGCTGGAGAGAAAAGGTGGCACTTTTGGATCAATAGAAGGGTAAAGAACAAATATTTCTCGGATACACTCCTGCACCAGAGGCAAAGATGGTAACCAGTCCCAGTTGAATGTCACCCACTGTTCCTGATCCGCATCAAACTCTAGAATGGCATCGGCGATAATTGAAGACGCTTTGGTGAACACTCCTTTGTGGAGGAATGTAAAATCAGCAATATCAATCTTTACCCAAATGAAAAGCTCCTCAATGATAAGCTGGTCAAACGTATCGCTGTTTACTAACGCTTCAAATTCTGAAATCTTCATGCTGAGAACCTTATCATCCACAAAAGAGTAGCCATCTTCGTGTGGTGGTCTGTCAAAGATCAATCTAATGTTCGAGTAGTAGCGTTTCCGCGCCACCAAAGTAATACTGGCATTGTCTAATTTCATCAATTCGGCGACTGTAGGAAGCGGTAGGTGGGAAATAATCTTTTCTGAAATTTCCAACGGAAAGGTGTGGCCGAAAAGGGGGATTTTTTGCAGATTCATGATGGTGAATTGAAGAAGGAGTTAGTAGTGAAGGAGACGAGGAATTGACTTGTTTCTGTGTGGTGAAGATACTCCGAAGTTTATAGGATCTGGGTGGTGAAGGGACGTATTGTGTGATATTACCAGGTAGCGTCACCCTGGGTACGCTGTGGTCATGCAGCAGATGTTTCGAGAAGCTAATTTGGTGCGAGGTATCTTTCTAGTTGGTTTAAGGGGCTTAGTCGGTGTGAGGGATGTAGCCACCCCATGCGTTTCGCATCCCTTGGATGTTTCCAAATATACCGGATGATAATGCATTCCTAGGATCACATGGTAAGTTACAAGAATCCAGGGTCACCTATGATGTTAGTAGCTTCCACGATAAGCCACATAGATACATGGTGTGTAACATGGATGGATGAATGTTGGGTGAGATTCGCAGGATGCAGTGGTAGAGTAGGCTGCAGAGTAAGTTGCATCGAAAGCAGTAGAGGGTATACGCAGATACGTGCGCCAGCAGTGCCACCAGGACTGAGGTGGAATGAAGTGGATGAAAATATAAGTGAATGAAAATATAAGTGAGGTTGGTGGAATAAACCGGATATGGTGAATTAGAATAAGGGCGTCGTGTAAGGTAAGTGATATCAGTGGGCTAAGCAATATTGGTGCAGATATGCTGGAAGTGGTCAGATAGTGAGCTGCATAATGAGCCGTATAGTAAGCTGCATAGTAAGTTACATGGTAGGTTACATACTGAGGTTATATGCAGGCACTTACCTCGGCAGTTCAACCCAGGGCAGAAGGTCCATCAAAGTGAATGAATATCTGAAAAAACAAGATTAAATGAAATGAAGAAGATATATTGGAGTCATTAGATTGTGTGATATGGAAATATATGTGAGCGAAGCAATATTGGTGGAGATACACTGGGTGTAATATTCACATAGTAAACTGCATAGTAAGTTAAATAGTGAGCTGCTTAGTAAGCTGCATGGTAGGTTACATGGTAGGTTACATAGTGAGGTTATATGCAGGCACTTACCTCAGCAGTTCAACCCAGGGCAGAAGGTCTATCAAAGTGAATGAATATTTGAGAAAACAAGATCAGATAAAATGGGTACGAGGTATTAGAGTAGAGATAATTAAGCGAGGTAGCGATATGAGTGAATGAAGCGATATTGGTGGAGGTACACTGGATGTAATGTTCTCATAGTAAGCTACATAGCAAGCCACATAGCAAGCCACATAGCAAGCCGCATAATGAGCCGCATAATAAGCCGCATAGTGAGCTACATAGTAAGCTACATAGTAAGCTATATAGTAAGTCATATAGAGAGCCACATAGTGAGGTTAT